ACCACGGATCTAATAATAGATAGATAGCAAGAGAAATATAAAAAGCCCTTCCCCCCAGCGGAAAAGCATCTCCCCCCCCCAAGAGAAGGGGGAGACTGGTAGAGGGTTTATGGAAAAGCAAGATACTTAATTTGGCGGAGTTCTATGGGATCCCAGAATCAGTTAATCTTTCCCTCTTCCAAAGGAAACAACAGCCTGTCATCTCCCTTGTCACAGGCGTCGAACAACCTCTCTCTAACAGACTGACGGTCAACAAACCTTGGCTAACTTGACTCTTCTAAGTCGATGTCTCACCCAACCAGGAGGGCGCAGACGTTGAAAGGACTGTAACTACGGCTTACTTCGACGTAGTTACTCTAACTGGGGTTTTTTCTCTGATGGCGATGTATCTTAATTTGTATGTAGCTATCTCTATCAATCTTTCACTACTGACAACAATCAAGGATCGCTGAAGAACTTCAGCGATCTTCTCAGCTAATATTATTTACTCCTACTAGATCTTTACCCAACCCTCTCACGCTTAGACGTACTTCAATGCACTTTGTCCAACTTCCCCGAGTCCCGGCCGTCTTTCTCCGTCCTTCGACTAACTCTGCCCAACATCGCCGCACTTCTGCTCCCAGTGTCCCTAGTTCACCTAACTCCGCTTAACTTCGCCGTACTTCTGCTCCCATTGTCCCTGGTTCACCTAACTCCGTCTAACTTCGCCGTACTTGGTCTCAGATGTCCTAAGTTACGTGTGGGGTGACGAGGTTAAGACGCGATAGGGGTTTTGATGGTCAAAGGAGGGTCATTGCTGGTGGAATCATTGAGGTGTCACGAACTATGCCGTGACATCCCTCAAGGAAGCAGCACAAAAAATCCTGGGTGTGTTGTTGTAATTCTCAACAGAATTTAGAATCTAACAACGTAGGTGTTTCAAAACGTGAAATCTGATGTAGGTGTAAAGAAGACTGCAGCACAAAACAGTGTGTCTGTTGCAAGAGAGGACTCAAGTGTTTTCTTTACTGTCACAGGGCAGGATGGGAGTGCTAGAATCTCTCTTGACTCACCGCCACAGAAAGAGATGTGGTCAATGCACTCACAAATTTAGAAGGAGGAGAAGTGTCAACTGGGAAAAGTAGAGGGAGAAAGCAGAAAGGTAAGAGGACCAACAAGGAGAGGGAGAAACACCTGGTGCTCCCGAGGGTACGTCTTACTGGAAGTTGGATCTTGTCACAATTGTTGTGTCTTCTTCTCTACTGACTGACTGTGGACAAACCTTGGCTAACTATGTCATACTGGGGCGCCAATGTCTCACAGAGACAGGGTATTCATCAGAGAACTGTGGCTAACTACGCCATTGTCTTTCACTGCATACAAGCAGGTCATACATGATGATGTGGCATTATAGAAGTAGTATCAGAGACATCAGATGATGATGTGGCATTAGTAGTGGTAGTATCAGGACACTAGGAGCATGCTGTGGTATTGGGGTGACAAAGGAGAGTTAGGATTGTCAGAGTTTAACCAAATATTCAGCAATGGCATCATAGTATAGACAGCTTTTAACCAACAATCCTGTTGGAATAACGCCAAATACAGTGTTATACGGATATTTGGAAGTGGAGCGGATGTACATAGAATGTCCCTCTCTGTCTCTTTTGATGCATCGTGTTCTATCATTGTAAACGTAAACCTCCACAAATAAAGTACTACCTGTCACGAGACATACTGACCAGCATATGCACGATATAACAGTGCCCAACGGAACAGTGATGGTACCACTGCAACAAAAAGGCCTATTAATCGGCGGTTGACCCTACCGCCGATCGCTGGTTAAATACCCTTCCCCGACTTTTGCTCGACTTGTCACACGCTTTGTGACACTACCAGATTCATGGTCAGATGGAAAGCGGAGGCGAGGTGGAGGTGCAAGGGTATAAATACCCCCTCTGTGAGACCTCTTCCTTATCAATGAATTCTCAAAAGTTACACTTCTAAATCATTCTCTTCTTCACATTCCTCTTTGCGCTTGCTACACTTGCGCACTTTGTCTAAGTCACTTCCAAGACAACCCTTCCTCAGCACTGAGGTGCTCTTCGTCATCATCGTCCAATTCACTCTATGCTATCACTCTGTTGATCATCGTCGTTGTCCTCTGAAGTTAGGTCTTGGTCACTGCCTAGCTCACAGGTCGTAACAGTGTCAAGCTCAGTGCGTGGCAAAGCTTTGGTGTCTCTCTGAGCCTCTGCTGCTTGTGCCTGTCAAAGACAGCTTGACCTCAAGGGCCATCAAAAATTCACCTGACACCATCACACTTGTATCTCAAGAATGAGTCAATAACCCGAAGCCAGGTATCACTCATCCTTTGACTGGTGGGGTACTGCCATTCAAACTTCCACTCATCAACGGCCAAGTGTACAATAGTCCCTGGCTGAACCTTGGATTTTCTCCAGAAGTCAAGTTAAACTCCAGAGGAACCAGTCAGGAATGCTCCATATTGTCAAGACAGCTCTAGATTCTTGGGAGACAAGGCTTTGCTACTGACTAGTGCTTAGAGGATCTTTGTAGTTCAGACAGAGGAAGATACATTCTTCAAAGAAGGAACCAGAACCATTGAATAATGTATCTGCTGCCTACGCTCAGTGACTCCATGATTATAATCCTGTAAACTCTGGACCCCTAATCCTGTGTGTGGCAGTCATGTTTGTGACACATATGTCTTTCTTGACTCCTCTGTCTGGTCCTCTCTGAGCAAGCTTCTCCTGTTAGCCGATAGGATTGACCCGCGACGGCTGAACCGTCAGTTGGATTATTACCCCTTCCGGCAATTTCCCCTACATTCATCTTATCCTCTGAAATCTATTCAATTGTCTCTATTTGGCTGTGTATGGGTGGAACGTTATAAGTATAGAGACATGTAGAATAGATGCGTGCTCTTTTCCCCTCTGTATCATTACCCAATTATCAGCAAGATACTAGATGTATCCCAAGTATTCCTGTCATCATCATCAGTGCATTCCTCTTTTCAACTATGTGGACTATCTGTCAATTCTCACTAGTTCTCCCTGGTGATCTGACATTATCAGAATGTACCTCAGGTCATCTTCAGAGGTTGTAACCTTCAGGCTCAGGGTCTGATATCAACCAGTTGTTTGTTAATGCACTACTTTTCAGCGTACCCTCTGACCGCCTGTACTGTTTGGCAAGTTCCGGACTTAATTGGGAGAGTATGTCCTCCCGTAGGGGCTGAATTTGTTCTGTAAGCCCTGACCTGAAAGTACTGAGAAATTTCGCATCTGCTCTAGATCTGCGCTGGCTGCCAATTGAGACCCCCAAGCCCAGAGGGAACACATAGTCCGGCGGCTCATTCTCTTGAGCAGAACGCTGCATTCGCATAATATCGCGAGACATCGTTTGAAGTGTAATCTCCTGCTCATGTCTCAGGACTTCCAGTTTCTCACACCATCTGTTTTGCCACTTCTGTCTTGCCTCCTCAAACTCAGTGCTTGTGGTGTTTGGTTGGGGGTTGAGTTCAAATACCCCATCAGGTGACAAACTGCCAAGAGTGAATTGCTCACTGGGGTCTTTGGAAGCAACCAGTTTGGCCAACGCCAGGGTAAGTTCCTCTGTCGCATCAAGGAGCCTCAGCTCGCTTAGAACATGGCTGTCGATCCGAAATCGGATATAGTCTTTGTGTTCATTGAACTTCTCAAAAGCAGCCATGATTGGGAAGTGGAAGAAGTTGAGGATCTTGAGAACGGTTGATGCTTTATGCCCGTCACGAATATGGTGCTCTGGTGACGTGAGAAAATCGTCATCCTGCCTAGCATCTTCAGGCTAGCTATAGTCCTTATATCCCTTGTACAGCGCTCTTTGAAGAACCTTTGTCCCACAGACTGCTCCACCCTCGTCATCGTCATCGTCATCGTCATCGTCATCGTCATCGTCATCGTCATCGTCATCGTCATCGTCATCGTCATCGTCATCGTCATCGTCATCGTCATCGTCATCGTCATCGTCATTGTTTTCATCGTCATCGATCCTGGGGTCATCAAAGCTGTCAGCATCATCGCCACACCCTCGGTCGGAATTGACCTTGTCTTCTTCCTTTCATGAAGCTCTCCCTGGCCCCTGAGGATGATTTGGTATTTACGTACGTACAGGCTGGTGGTCACTTGCCTGTCCGGCGAGTATCACAAGCCTCTGTCAGAGGTTCCTTCGGTTATAGGTATGGTTTGAGGGACAAGATCCGCAACTGGTCAAGCACGGTAGCAATCTAGAGTCACAGACAGGTGAAGATACATTGTCCAAAGAGTAAAGTAGCTATCTTTGTATTATGTATCTGTCAGGTACGCCGCCAGCGGCGTCCTCCGCATACCAGAGTTGTCACCACGTGACAGCCTCCGAGTTCACTTTGAAGATGATCCGTTCTCACGACTCGAAAGCGATATTTACGATTTTTTTTGCGGTACACTCAACTGTACAGGAACTTGATGGGCTGGTCTGTCAACTCCACAGTAGGCACCTGCATAGTATGTACAGTACAGTGCATTATATCACTCGACCGGTCCCCTGATTGCTAGCCACGGGTGGACAAATTAATATCCCTTTAAGGCTCCGTGTTGACTAGCCCCACTTCTTCCCTTCCCTCTTTGCCTGAAGGGTTGAAGATACATCTTATTTCTTTGCTACAATTGTGGAGCATCCACTTCTTTGGTACAGCGGTATCAGAGGTAGTACTGAAGTGAAATCCTCCTCATCATCATTGCATTCCTCCTCATTCATCAAGATGACGGCTACGTAGATACGCTCAAGTATGACATTGGCTATCACACCTGACAACATTGCACGGTCCTCAGGTTTGCATATGTCATAGCCATAATTCTTCAAAAGTTAAGTCCATCTTGCCCGCTGGGAAGGGTGGTGTTAAGCTGTTGAGGATGTATGGAACACTCCAGACATACTGGGAGTGTCAAGCTCAGTGGGGTGGTTCAAAGCTTCAGAGTCTCTTTGAGCCTTCTGCTGCTTGTACATGTCAAAGAGAGCTTGACCGTATTCGGCCTTAAAGTTTTCCTTGACACAATTGAGCATAGGTTCTATCTGTGACTCAATGGCAAAAAGAGAAGCTTTGTTGACGAATTCAGTGGTGAACAGCTGGCGGTCTGCCAACTCCGCAACGCTCCAGTGCTGAAAGTCCCGAACTTTGTTGCAGAGTTCAAGACAGACTTTGGAGAAGCTGCTCAAGAAGTCCCCATATGTTTTTCTCGGAGTCTCCACACTTGCACCATTGTCTCGAAACATCCTTGTCCTAGCTGTTGAATATCGAAGCCATGTGGCTTTGAAAGTCTGTGCGGCCTCCTGGAACCTCATGGTCATGGACAACTCACCTGTGGTGGGGGAGAAAGTCAGATCACCTCCAAGTGTCAACCCGGTTATTTGGCACCGTTCACTCGGATCTCTGACAACGTTCATCTCGGCAAATTGCGTGAGCAGGCCATGGATGTCATCGAGAAGTCGGTAGCTTTCGAGCACAAACATCTTCTCCAGTTCCCCACCTGACTGCAGGTTGAGGTTATTATCAGGTGGCTGGGTATCCATAGTCAGAAGGGTACAAAATACTCTGAGATGTTTCTCAACTACTTGTCTGATGTTTTATTATTATACTTGTTAAGGACCCAGCCGGAGACGGACCACTCCGGAGTCGCACGGATCTGATCGGACCCGGTCAGAGATGGACCCCTCCGGAGTGGTATGCTTCTATGCGGACCCAGCCGGAGAATCTCCATCAGACCCAGCTGGAGATCGCCACACTCAACAAGTCTCCGATAATTCCTGCCCAACATGTCCAATGAACTTGTGCTCTTTCTGTTTACATTCCATCCTAACACCTGTATCATCCCTTTGTGATTGTTTCTTACTGCTTTCACGTGTAAACCATGTCAAATCCTTCAACCAACTCCCTTCCTCAAGACGCCTTCACACCGCAGTTTGAACACGCTTTTGTAAACTGGGTGAAGAACGAAAACTTTGCCTACACCTTCACAGACGAGGATATCGAAGCTCGACGCTGGGTTTTGAAACATGATGGGGCCTCACCCCCTCACTTCCAAGCACCACATAACTCCTGGCTTACAAAGGTCCGGAAACAACATCGTCTTGGGGAGAATGGGGAAGAAGTCCTCTATCGACCTTCTCCTGAAGGTGATCAATGGTACAAGCTTGTTCCTATCTCACAAGTTCTCACAGTCATCAAACGAGTACATTGTTTACAAACCGCCCACTCAGGACAGAACAAGACTCATGAAGAGATTGCTAGGTACTACCGTGGTGTAGGGAAGAAGGAAGTGGTGAAAGCAATTAAATCATGCAATATCTGCATGCTGAAGTAAGTTCCTGTACATGGAGCAGGATGTGCTAAATCTCTCAGAGCTCGCAACAAGGATCCTGGTCAAATCCAACCCATCACGTCCAGCTTTCCCTTTGAGCGTATCCAAATCGATCTTGTTGATATGCGCGCAATGGAGTGTAAAGTCGGAACAGAAACAATGCGCTGGATATGCCATATTAAGGACCATTTTACAAAGTATTCACAGATGGTAGGTGATTATCCTGCTCTTGGTATGGCCGGCTAATCTCAGTACGCCATGCCAAAAAAAAGTGCAGCAGATGTTGAACAGCATCTTATGACCTGGATCAATCACTTTGGAGCACCACAAATACTCCAGTCCGACAATGGTAGAGAATTCTGCAACACGCTTATCATCAATTTGGCAAAGCGCTTTGATATCAAGATAAAACATGGGCTACCTCGCACACCTCGTGTCCAGGGCCTTGTTGAGCAGGGAAACTCAACCATGAAGAGCCGATTATCAAAATGGTGTTTGGATAACCCAGACCGGCCGTGGTATGTTCCAAGATGAGGAGATGCTCGAGGGTTGCTGACTGCCATCAGGGCCGATGGACTCCCACATGTAATCCGCTCCATCAATTTCACAAGACACAGTGCTACACTACACACACCTTATCGTGCTGTTTTTGGGCGTAAACCCCGTGAAATTGATATGTGGGACACTCTAGAAGGGCGAGACATTGTGGAAGAGGTTAGGTTGGATGATGGCAGGACAGCAATTGAGGATGACGAAGAGGATAATGAAGGGACACCACTCCCTTTTCGTTGGGAAGATCAGGAGGATGAGACGGAAACACCACAGGAAGGGCAAGGATCTAATCCGCAGACCACGCTTGGTAAGTGCATTTATTACTCTGTCATGTTCTTGAACTTTGCCTGATCAACCAGAAACAACTCCTCTACAGTCTCCTGCTGAGCCTTCGTCTACCAACCCGGTTCAACAGCTCATTATGGAGGATGAACATGCACGTCGGAATCCAACAGCAAGTGACCACATCATCACAAAGATGCGAGAACGACAAGCTCTCTGTCGAGCCAAAATGGTGGAGCAACATGGACGCAATCAGAAGAACTGGACCTACAAAACCGGCGATAAAGTCACACTGTTTGTTCCTCCTCAAGATCGGCCAGGTGCTCCTGCTAGTCGTATTCCTTGTGTGGTATGTGAGGTATTTCCAGAGAAGAGCAACACATATCGACTTCTTTGCTCTGAGGGAGTCCTCACCCGATTATATCAAAGCAAAGTACTCAATCCGGCAGATGACCTCCAGATACCGGTTTCTCTACATCTGGGATGGTCAAAATGGAACACTTTCCCACAAGTTACATTGAGAGAAGCAGCATATAAAATTTTTGGTGAGTAGTTTCCGTGATCATCATGTGGCTGATACTTCAGATATCAAGAAGGTAGAAGTGCATTGCCGCTGTAAAGGGGAATGTACCACAAATCGATGTCGGTGTAGACAAAAGAATGTCAAGTGCGGTCTGTACTGCCATGGTGCAGAGCATGAGTGTAACAATTACTCCCGTCTTACCGCTACAGAGCGTACTTTGATTACATTGCCTGAGAGCTCTGATAGAACTAGACAACAGAAAAAGAAGAGAAGGAGGACAGAGAAGAAGCAGGTGAGGCGTGAAACAGACTTGGATATGAGTGATACTACAAACAGTGGTAAATAGTTCTTGATCAAGGGAGTATCTTCACTGATCCCAGGTGATCGGTCAACTACCACTTCCATGACTGCTCCCTCCTATACACAAGCTGCTCCAAGCTTGGACAATGACACAAGTTCAGAAAGCGACACTTCGGTACAAAGAAGAGAACATCGACGGGCGAATACCCCGTGGCCAGCTAACGATCATTCCCTTGAGTCCTGGAGTGACTATGACGAAGATGGTGTTCCCTCTTCCTTCTGGCATGGTCGCTCACCACTTGATGAATTCCCCAACTACATCGCAACACCCGACGAGCTTTGGAGGGAGGAGTCTTGGGAAATTGATGGGCAGGTTTGGTCCTTACCTCGACCGCTTCTCCGACTCGCTAGGAAATACAAGATATGGCTTTGGCATGAACTTGCTACCATGATCATGAGTAAACGGAGAGGTCTCAATCAGTCTGGGTTTATGCAAGAGGCGGCAGAACAGAAAGAACGTGTGAAACGGATCCTACAGGCTCGAGAGGTATTCAAGGAGAAGTATGGAGCTGAGCTACAATTTGACAGTGAGTTTCTCTCTCCTCATGACTTCTTTCTCATATTCAGGTGGTGCTGGTCAGTAGAACAGAGATTGTACATAGATCAATGATAGGTTCAGGTCACAGTGACTGAAAACCACAATGCATATACGTGTAACCAAGTAGGTAATCATGTCTTTGGTCGGATATGGATGCAAGCGCTGCTTCCAACTTCCGTGGGTGCAAGAGCTTCTTGAAGCATATATAGTCTCCCTCTTGGTCTGTCCAGGAGTAGCAGTTACGGACCCACTGGGAGACCATGCTGCTCCGGAGGTGCACGCATCTCTGACCCGGTCCCAAAGCCTCCTGCCTAGCCAGACCACTCCGGAGCGGTCCGTCTCCGGCTGGGTCCTTAACATACTCAAAAGGTGGCGAGTGGATCTCCATTCGGCCGGAGAAGATCAGGCAAGCTGTGCTCTACTCTCCTTTCTTTCACATACATAGCTTTTGTATACCCTTTGTGATCCATTATGCTCAATAAGTGGCGTCATCGTCGTCATCGTTACTATCGTCGTCTTCTTCGTCTCCGTCGTCTTAGTGGTCATTGTCGTCATCATATTCGTCCCTTTCATCGACTCGCTGTCGTTACCTTACTTATGTCTGTCCTACTCCTCAAACTGATCCTCCCTGCATCTCTTTCAAGTATGTACAATTGGTGTGATAGTCATTCGCCTATACTGGAAGTGATACAGGCATTAGGATCCATTATAATGACCACACTTTCTCACAATTTGGAGTTGTAACCATGGCCTTCTCCCGACTCCTGGGTTGTTTCTATTGCTTGTGCGTTGCAGTGACTATTGTGGACTGATCAAGCAAGAAGCCATCGTGATGCATCGACGACACGTCAAGTCCAGTCGGCAAGTCAAGCAATTCCCGTTCCGTGCGTTTTTGTCCCGATGTCTTGTGGCCGAGGTGGTATCGGGGTAGCAAGAGGACAATGCAGAGAAGAAATTAGCCTACAAGACTCTGGTAGAATATCATTTCGTAGCATATTCCTCTCCTGCATGGGTGTCAATCTGAATCTATCACATGAAATCCAGAAAACAACACAACGAACGGCCAAAGTGGACGGAAAGGGGCAATGTCGTGACTAATTGGGCCTCACGGAGGGCTCTTGCCCACTATACATAGTGTTTAGTATTGTATGCGGTGCAAGTGAATCGACGGATGTCTAAAAGTCAGTGGGACCCCAGTTCTGATGAATCATGTACCGGATACATGCTGTACAAGTAGGTCTTACTCACTCATCTTGCTACCCTCACCCCGAGTTGGAGGATCAACTCCTGACCTAATTCCCTGTCCATTATAAAACACCATCATATCGGACAATGTATGGCGTGAGTATCATTGAGATCCAAAAAGCATTCCACAAAGCTCAGTCTGACCTCTTCTCAGCGTTGACGCTATTCAATTGAAATCACTCCTGATGTCTGAGTGAGACAAGCTCTCTAACTTCTACAAGATCACGAAAAAGACAAACTTGATCACAACGTCATAACAAGAGGGATTAGACTCTCAAGATACGAACCGAAGCTTCAAGACGAGTTCTTTGCTTCCTAATCAAAGATCCGGATCAGTAGGATGACATGTTTCTCCTGCCTGATTGCTTGATCTTTGGCCGTCCAAGGATATCACTTACAGAAGCCTGCAGAGCTCGGAAAAGTCAACGATCATCCTATCATTAATATCCGTGATACAATTACGATCCCGTCCAGAGACTACATTGCACACTTCGAAGGTGCAATTGAGATCCAAGTCAATACAGGGAAAGAGGAACTCCTGACATCTCCACCATATAAACATACGAGCAGCGAGTAAAGTGAAAAAGTGACAAGCAAATCAAACAAGGGACTAATCCCTGTCCTGTGACACTTCGGAAGGGTACAGAGACTTCCTGGCAAGTGATCAGTGATACCTTACGTGAGCAGGTAACACTGACCGTTCTGAGTTTTCTCGGCCCCGCCCCGGGGGGGGGGGGGGGGGTTACACAAATCTCCAGAGATCACCCTGCCATCAGCACAACAACTACCTCTGTGCATGTTTGATTGATATCTGTATCGACTGAAAATGAAAAGATTGGAAGGCATACAGGTCACTGGACTGCGTCTTAATGAGATCTCGCCATTTCGCTTGTGGACGTTGTGCAGGAGGTGCATGATAGGTTGATACGCGCCCCATGTGGGGACACAGGTACCGAGGCACATGAGAAGGGATAGGTCGGTTGAGACAGATGGATGGAGCATGATGGATAGACATACAAGCAAGTGATGAGGTGGGCAATGTGGGAAATGTGAGCAAGAGAAGGTCTCTTCTTTTGTATGATGTGAAGGGAAAATCTCTTGCGAGTTGAGCTGGTGAGAGTCTGCCATGTTCAATGTCCCATGAGACCATACAGGTCTATGACAAAGGGTGTGACGTACTGTATACTTTGTGACGTGAATCCCCGTTTATCTAGTCTGCGCACACGGAGGTACCGGTACATGGCAGAATGGTGACCCATAAATATGGCACAACAGGCCATATCCCGCTCTGAGAACGTCAAGCGCTATCGGTCTACAATCATGTAAACAAGTAACTTGTCATGTTGCGACCGAGTTGACCCTAGCTGACAGAAGGCTTCGCACGGGATCCGTTGAGGAAAGAGGTTAGGGCGCCACAATCTTCACATTGCCACATGCCACATTTGATGCCAAATCAAGGGCAGGCAACACTCGGAATCATAGGATCAAAGGCGTTCTCGGCCATCGGCATCGGCGACGGCGACGGCGTCACGGACAACGGGGACGAATATGACGACTTGAGCCGGATGTCCGTCCGATTCACGAAGAAGGCTAGGACATGAACAATGACGTTTATGCTTGACAAAGGATCGAGGGTTAGGATGAGAGCTGTGCAGGATGGATCAATGGAGGTTGCATATGACCTGGGGATCAAGTTCTGTCTATAAGCTGCGTTCAACTAGCCGAGGGATTCCTACATCCTTCAACGACTAAAGTACTCGATTTGATCTAATTCATCCGGATGGCCAATCACACTGCCCATGGTTCGCTCTACGACATGAGTGAAGACATCAAAGCAAAAGCCTGGTCAGAACTCAAGCTTTGCTGTGGAGTTGTTGATATAGCACTTCGACCGTCCATCGACTTTGGCGTTGAACATGGTATTATTAGGGGTGCTCATTTCTGATACGCCAAAATAACACGTGTTAAAATGACGTAAAATTTTCCTCTTCGGGTAATTTTGATGACAAACAAACGCGACATCACCACAGGTGAAAAGTGACCGTTGAGTTTTCATCATCACCGTAGAGTTATCGTATCTTCTTACAGAGACACTTTAAAGCGATAAAAAGCCAAGAATCTGAAAGAGGAGAGCTGTAGCTTCAAGCTGATACTATGGACACCTCGGGGGGTGGTAATTTGAGGTCACCGTCACCACCTGTAAATATGTCGTTAAACCCCCTTCGCATACCCCTGCTAACTTCAGTAGGTTCTGCATATCCCCTCCACTGCTCGGCAACCATCTACTAGAACTCAGCAAAGGAGGAACAGGGACAAAGAGGATAGTCAGGACAACCCCCCAGCAACTTTAGGCTGGACAAAAGATCAAGGTACCGGCCAATACTGCTCGCTCGACTACCTTATTGAGTGGTTAGCTATGGGAGATAACTTCAAGAAGTATCAACATGGCCTAGGGGGTAAGAAGAAGCTGGGGATGGCTAGGGAATGCTCTGAGTGGATGTCCAAGTCAGGATGTCCAACTACAAGATCGACTGATCAGATACAAAACAAGGTAAGTGTGATTTCCTTCCTTTTCTCCCCCCCTAAAACTCTGCTGATGTCTTCTAGATTCGTGAACTCTTAAGAAGGTGGCGAGAGGCCCGTGACTGGCTAAATCACACAGGGAAGGGTTTATTCGAGAGTATGGTGGATGGTAGTGAGGATCCAGAGAAGATAAATCAAGCTGAACAGACGGTTAAAGGTGAGTCCCCGTCTCTCCCTTCTCCCCTTCTCCCCGAATACCTCCTGTGACCTGTGTATCATCTGTCTCCTGGCTGTTCATCACTCCTATGCTTCCTTAGCTGATCTGCAGCCACTGTATTGAAGAAGTGTCCTGAATATGACTCTGTGGACCCCATATTTGCCGAAAGAGACGGCGGGACAGAATCCCTTCGCACAGGTACCACCGGAAATTCGAATGTCACACTCGAGACGATTATGAGGGGTTCTCACCACCCCTCTCCTTCTCCTGAGAGATCTCCACACTCTCCTAGGCCTCCATCACCATCTCAGATGTCATTGAATGACTTCCTAGGCCAGCAAGAGTCTCAAACTGAAGATACATCGACTCAGAGCGAAAATACACGTCCTGCGACTAGGGAACGCAGTTTTAGTGATCATAGGCTGACCAAGCGAGCTGCAGGTACGTCAGGCACGGTGACATGGACTGCATAGCCACTAAGGTCAGGGTATAGCTGATTTACAGGCCTTTACACATCGTCCAGGAGGGGGGAAGGAAAAAACAATGCTGGAGGTATTGCGGGGTTGTTTGAGGGGATTGCTGCGAGCAGAAGGGAGGAGATAGGCCTAGAGAAGCGTAAGCTAGCTATCCAAGAGGAAGAAAGAGAAGATTCGAAGAGACAGAGGAAGGAAAGGGCTAAAAATGAGAGGTTGGTCATAACATCGAAGGAGGCTCAAGCTCGTCTCACTGCAGAGCAAGGACTACCGGTAGAACTTCGTGTTTCCTGGGTTCAGGCTATCGCAGATGCAGAGGAGAGGTATGATAGAGCTCACAGGGACAGAGAAGAAGGGGAAGGAGACGTTCACACCGAATATGATGAGTGGAGCAATTGGTCGGAGAGTGATAGGTAGTTGAAACCACTCACCTTTTTTCATGATAAAATGAAGTTGTCTATGTCGATTTCCTCTGTCTCCAATGCTAACATTTGCTCCACCAACTCATGACGTCTTCTCATGTGTGGCCTGAGACGACCAGCACCTAAGAAATCGTCCTCTGCTACCTCCTCTGCAGGCAGGTCATCTCGAAGTGGTTCAATTGGTAAATTTCCAGTATTTTCTTCGGTGTAATATTCGTCGGTGTTTATGAGGATGTTGTGGAGAATTGTACAGGCTACAATGATTGCGTGAGCCATAGCTTCGTCTCTTTTAGTTCGAAGTCTCATAGACATTGATCGAAGTATCGTCCATCGAGCCTTTAACACACCTATTGAATGTTCGACCCCTACCCTCATGACAGAGGCTCGAGAGTTGAAATACGCGGTTTTACCTCGAAGAACCGCTTGGCCAGCACTCTTTTTGAACATTGGTACGACGACAGACGATGCTGTAAAGCCAGAATCAGCCAGGAGGTACTCCTGGTTGCTGAAATACTGAGAGGGCGTGTTAAGGGGTTCGATAGCTCGCTGAACTCGTTGATCGCTGCTGGAAGCGGGATAGCCGTAATGAATATATCGAAAACGCTTTGTATGATCGACGATAGCCATGACATTGAAGCCATACCTCTCCTTGCGGCTATGATAAGCCCCTGCATCATCTCTAGCAGGAGCAGTTGAGAGGTTCACATGATAGCCGTCGATGAGGCCTACGCAGTGAGGAATTGAGTATTCAGAGAGAAATCGAGCTTTGATTTCAATTCTTTCGGTGGGGGACGGCCAGGAGATGAAGTAAGATCGTTTTTTCAGTATAGCAATGAGGGCCCGGTCACACCACTTGAATACAGTGCCGGCTAACTAATTAGCAAAATGGACAGAGCAATTGGAAGGAAAACTCGCTTGAGACCCCGAACTCGCGATCTAATGTCCTGCAGTCATGTCCATGAGCCATTCGGTAGACCAGTAACCCTATCTGATACTTTGGTGGGGCCTGAGGCTTGTTTCCTCTTGAAAAAAAGACAGGATCATCCTTGAAAAAATCGACGATGTCATCAAGATGGCTAGGGGACATGCGAAATGCTTGTTTATGACGAATGCCTCGTTCTGCGAAGAGGAGAATGTCACTGTGGTAGAAAGAGGGTCGGGGAAGATTGTTAGAGACAGTCGGGTATCGATCTAAGTAACGATTTGCTGAGATTTGTTGATGTGCTTGAATTATGTCTTCCAAACAGGCCCTTGAGGTATGATCGTCCAGCAGAGGAAACAGAAGCAATGCGGCATCTTCTAAATCGTGCAGGAGGTGAGCTCGAGGGGTTTTGGAAGGCATGACACGAAATCCGAGGGGTTTTGCTTAGTAGATAGTTGAGAAATGCAATGGCCGAGATACATATACATAAACCTGCATGAGATGACATGGGGGAGGACGCGAAGGAGGGGTTACACGTGGCATTTTCTACCTCACACGTGGCATTTATGACATAAAAATGGCTCGTTATCACAGGTGTTCACTTATCTGTGATAATGTCGCGACTAGCCATTATAGAACTGAGCACCCCTATTGTCGAGTACTTTCACCTCATACAGAGGTAACGGAGAGACACTGCATCGAATCGTGTCGTATTTGACATCCTCCCATTAATATTATCACGGTTAACCCTCGGTAAATCTCATCTGGAGTTTGCCATTTCTCGTACACTGAAGACGATGAGTAAAGAACCCAAGCAACCTTCCAATGTATCTGTCCATTTCGTAGGTCCGCTACGTACCCATACTGGTCATGGAGCTGACTGATAGCTCGGGACATGTGCTGGTTGGTCTCGCTCCGTCCCCTGATGCTAACTCTCGTTGATTATCGCTCATCTTACAGGTGCCGGTCCGGTGGTCAGCCGGAATTGCTCCTCTCTAGCTGTAGACTTTGGCAACGAAGTGTGGGGTCAGTTTCTATTTTGGCATCACCACTCAAATGTACAGCGCTGAGATCAGTCTTCGACGCCGCTGATGGTACTCTCGGTAGACTACACCAGTCTTCACTCAAAATGTCCAATATCACTCGGATCTTCATCACACACATGCATGCTGACCACGTCTTGGGTCTAGTACCCATCTTGACTACCATCATGTCAGGAGTGGGAGTGACCGATGATGATCTCGAAGAATTGAGGCAGAAGGGAACATCCAAAAAAGTCAGCCCAAGTATATCATCTTTCTTCCTAGCTGATTTTCAGCCAACAGTGAATATTTATGGACCAGCGGGCTTACGAAAACTGGTGCGGACCACTATCAACCTCACGAGCTTGATCTTGCGCGGTGCGTACGCGGTACATGAGCTGTTCACGGATACGCCGTCTGTGGGTTGCTCAGAGGAGGAGTTGCATGTCAACGAAGCGGTAGGTATGGACCTATCAGCAGATGAGAATGGAGTATGTGAGAATATCCTCCTTGAGGGAAACGGAAAGCAGGGGAAGGGTTGGGCAGTCAGTGCGGGTCCTATCGACCATCGAGGTGAGTAGTCAGAATCTTCGGTAGGAACCAAGAGCTCATCAGATATAGTACCTTCCCTCGGATATGTATTACAAGAACCAGTCCCACGATTACCATTGGATACCTCCGTCCTGGTCCCTCTTCTCCAAGCACACGCAGACGCACTCGCCGCTCTCGATCCACCCGTCAGACATCCTCTCTCTCTCCTCTCGCATCTTACATCCCTCCCTACCCCGAAGCCATACACGCTCCCATCTGGCGAGGTTTTATACCCTCCCGAGCCGTCTGGTATTCCCGCTCGCAAGCTGGTCATCTTCGGAGATTGCACAGGGGGTACAGAAAACGCCCGATTTTTGGAGATCTGTAGCGACCCGAGTCTATTGATACATGAATGTACCAATGCTGCTATACCTGAGCTCGTCCAACGAGGAGAGAAAGGACGGAAGGTGAGGACGAGAGCACTGGAGCATAGTTTGGTGAAGCAGCAAGAAATTCGGCAAGGAGAACGATTGGGTGCTGATTACCCACCAAATACGCATAGTGAAAATGAGGTGTGTCAAACGGAAAAGAAGGAACGAGAAGAGAGAGAGACGAAACACAGAGAAGTGACGAGAATGAAAGCTTTCAAGAATGGACATTCGACTCCGCTAGAAGTGGGAACTTTCGCCAAGACGATACGAGCGAGAAGAGTTGCCGTTAATCACTTTTCAGCCATGTACGTGACCTTGTTCCTGACATAGAGAGATCTATAAACTTACCGTTCCAGGTTCCCTGCGCCGAGATATCCTTCGTCTGATCCGTATCCTTCCATTCTATCTCCCATGTCACCGTTACCTTACCCTGCACCGTGGCCACTGAGATATTCGATCGATCCACCGATGTCCCCCGTCCCGCTGACAGCGGCTGAATTGCATTTGCGACTGATATTGCAATCTGTAACGGACCAGATCGATGAGGTTTGGGACGGTCCCGCATTTCCTCTTTCCTTATCAACTTACCCCTCTATCGATCCGTATACGCAAGTCTTGTCTCCCAATTCTCAACGTAGCTCTAGTGGTCGGAAGTCGATCGCCACAAGGGATTTCATGATACTCCCCGTCCCGTCTCACGAGCTATCGGAGTCGGAGATGTCAACCATAGCGCTGGTGGAGGGAGAGGGTAGGGAGGTCATGACGGAATGGCGTGAAAGGGGTGGGGTTTGGATGGGTCAAGGGACTGAGCGACGTTGGGTAGGGGTGGAAAAGGAGTGACAGACTGTCAGGGGGAGCAGCACGCAGCAAAAAAGACAGTTGAGAGATGCATGACCGACGGTCACTTGTGAGTATCTCGTCGATCGTCGCCGTCGGTCACGGATTGCTGGTGTGCCTGGGTGACGGACCTCCACCACCTCCACCCAATTCTCTTGGTCGATGCCATCCCTTCTGAGCTTTCTGAGACCTCCACCCCAAGCCACGTCATGCAATCCCGCCTTCTGGAAAAGTATACAAAGTCGTCTACTTCCCACCCGCCCTCCAAATCTCTCAATCTACCTTCTCATTCAAACCGTATAAACATCGATTCTTGAACCATCTGAAAATGCCGTCATTCGGAACGAAACCCACCCAGACGTCAGCAGATGATTTTACGCCTGCAGCCAAAGATGGTCGAATGGTTTTTGGAACTCCACTTCCGGACCCAAAGACTGAATTGGGCGTTTATCGTCTACTCTCTCCCTCTGCCGGAGGTGAGTTTCCTGCGTCCTCTACGGTCAAAGGTTGTTGAAGCTAATGAATAGTCAAAGTCTCCCCTATTTGTCTTGGTGCTATGAGTTTGGGAGACCAGTGGGTCGGTTACATGGGTTCTGGGGTAAATTTGGAGAAGAGTTTGGAATTACTCGATGCTTATTAGTGAGTTTTATCATCCGTATCTTACCCCTTTTCTATCTACCGCTACCACATGAAGACGAAACAATGGAGTCAATCGCACTCAAACGTCACTGTCGTCAGCTTATCATTCAAACCCACGGAAGCTAACGTACAGCGAGGCCGGAGGTAACTTCATCGATACGGCCAATAATTATCAAGATGAACAAAGTGAAATGATCGTCGGTGAATGGATGGAGAAGCGCGGTGTAAGAGATGATATCGTCTTAGCCACGTGAGTGTCATTCGCTTTCGTCTGATCCCAGGAACAGTCATTGCTCGAGAAGAGGAAGAACTTATGATTAGTAAATACACAACTTTCATGTTGGACCGTAAAGAAGGTAAATACGACGGTATCAGGGTTAACTATGGTGGAAACTCGAAGAAATCTCTGGTGCTCTCTGTAGAGGGATCCCTCAAGAAACTTCGTACGACTTACATTGACCTTCTCTATGTTCACTGGTGGGATTACTCTACCAGTATTCCGGAATTGATGCAGTCGCTCAATGATTTGGTCAGAAGTGGGAAGGTTTTGTACTTGGGAGTATCGGACACCCCAGGTGAGTTGGAGGTTCCTAATTCCCTACCTTCCTTCTTCTATCTCTCTTTGCTGACCCAGCTTTCCCTCGTTGACCATTCCACATGTCATATCGCAACCCCACCAATGTTGAGTGATCACAAAAGCTTATACTAATCCTTAGCATGGATCGTTTCCCAGGCCAACGAATACGCTCGTCAACATGGACTAGCCCAATTCGTAGTGTACCAAGGTCAATGGAGTCTTGCCGACAGAGATCTTGAAAGAGAAATCGTCCCTATGGCACGTGCCAACGGTATGTCCATCGCCCCTTGGGGTGTGTTTGGTGGAGGAATGTTCCGTACTGCCGAAGAGTTCAAAGCGAGGGAGAATAGTCTTCGTGGTGGACAGAAACCCTCTGAGAAACAACTCCAAGTCAGTAAAGTTCTTGAAGAGATAGCAAAGGAGATTGGAGAGAATGTCAAGTTGACCAGTGGTGAGTGAAAGTTTTCCGTCCTCTTCTGCCCCTCAATTCATAACCTTGCCATTTCCCCGTGTGGTTTTTGTTCAATCTGAGGGATTTTATCATTTTTTCTGTATTCACCCTTCTTTGGTAATTCGTCATCTCGGAGCCGATCTTGAATTGATCGTCTATTGTCACTGTTCGCTCGTCGGGCAATAAAGTACGATTCACTTACATTCCAGTCGCCCTCGCTTGGATCCGTCAAAGAGTAACCGATTGTTTCCCTATCCTAGGAGGAACTAGTATAGACAATTTCAAAGCCAACGTGGAGGTGAGTTGACCCGTTCTTTCCACAGTACGTTCTACGACATCTTCCTAACACCCAGGCACTCAAGATCACTTTGACTGAAGAACAAATGCAGAAATTGGACGAAGTCTCTCCATGTGATTATGGTTTCCCATACGCTTTGTTCGGACGTGATCCTCATTACCTTCCAGGAGGAAAACCCAATTCAATCTTGGTCAATGCTGTGAGTCAATTCCCAATCCAATCTCGTGAGTGAGGAAGACTGATAAACCAGACTGCATCAGTCAAGTATAATGTCTTGCCTTGAGTCATTACAGTTGGGACGATATGGATTGTGTCTGCGACAAGTTGGTAACAATTGGTCAACGTTTAAGTATAGTTTAGTTAAAGTGAAAGAGATGTATGCCACTTTTGAACCGCCACAACCATCAAAGAAAGAGCTGTGCAGTCGTCATCCTATTCGAGTGGACTTTTTTCAACATTACCCATATACTTGTATCACACTTTCTTGTGAAAATGTCAGCATATACTCCCCCAGATCATCCACCTCTTACCTCCAGACCGACCCCGATACAAGGAACACAGCGACGTAACGATTCGATAGACGATAACATACCTGATGAACCACCTCCTGCTTATACGTCAGTGGCCAACTCCGGGATGGGTGAACAAAGTGTACAATCTGGACCTAATCGACCTGATTTCTCTGGACCTCCACCTTTACCTGATCATTTACAACCTCTATATCATCAACATACAGAACCTTTATATCCTCAACATACCCAACCTCTGTATCCACAACATACTCAACCTCTATATCCTCGACATACGCAACCCCTTTCACCTCAACACACTAGTACTCAACCTTTCTCTCACCCCACAGGGATAACACAACATCTAACCGGGGTAGGTGAAGGTCATCATCCCCGTCCTCATCCAGGATGGATAGTCCCAAATGAAACTGGTGGTTTAGTCCCAGATCTCACAGGAAGATATCCACCTCCTCCAGCGAACATCCCACTACCTCCTCCTGTCTCTTTGATAGAAGGGACATCTTCCTCAAGACCACCACCATTACCTCCTAGACGTCAAGAAAACTCTGTAGGATATAGTAAAAATACCGGAGGAGACGAAGGAGCAAGGGATACAAGTCCTACTGAGTCACCTACACCAGGAAGACCTTTGTTACATAAGGGAATGTTGTTGGTTTATCCTAAAGGACATTGGTGTGATAAATGTGAGTAAACAGTTTACTCCTTGTTTCATCGTTGCTCATCAAACCCACACTTCACACACTATCCCAAGTTTCATTCACTATACGACTTTCCACTTGCTACCCTACTCGTCCCACCTCCATGGTGCAACGCAATTACTGAACATGTGTTATTTGGGGAAGATGTGTTTCGGGATCGACTGGACTCGGAGTGGTGCAAGTGCAAGTTCTGAATGCTGATATCAGGTAACAATACGGGATATAAATCTACCGACCCAAGTAATCCATGTGTCAATGTGAGTCATCAATCTGTTGTTATGGTCTCAACCTTTGAAAAAATTTACGCTGAATACACAACAGGACTGGAAAAAATTTGGTAAACCTTACAATTCAGCCCTTCGACATTCTTATACCACTTCTCCTCGTCCAAATTCAAATCCTTCCACAATATCAGCAATAAATTTTCAACGTCCTCTTCCTAATTTCCATTCACCTGCCCTATATACAAATCCCCCTCCTCCTGCTCCTTCACCTGCACCTCCAATACCCAGTCCATACGCTCATCTTCCCCCTCCGCCTTCCAAATTTCAGCCCCCACCTGGTCCTTCAATGCCTCCACCTCCTCCTCCACAACAACAACAACAACAACAGATCTTCGTTCAACGGTTCCCTGGTCCAGTACCGCCAGGTGCGTTAGTGGTCCAACCTGGTGATCCTCGAATAGGTGGAAGATTGTGTAGACGTTGTGGAGGTGAAGGAAGGGAATATAATTTCATAGGTTTGGATTCAGGTAGATGTTGGGATTGTCGTGGACTTGGAAGGCTATTTTAGCCGAGATGCTCCATACATACTTGCTATGACGTGTGTTATGTTTCGATCGAAGCCATCGAAGGAGAAAGAAGTTGTCCAGGAAAGACTAACATCTTCATTTTTTCACTCGTTTTTGGTTTCTCCCTACACAGGTAGAGGTCGGATCTCGTCCAATTCGATATGGAAAAATCATCACGGTTACGTCGGTCAGAAGTTTCAACGAATTTGTCAAAATGCATCTTGTCAAGCATCGAATTCAACGAAATACCCCATCCGGACACACTTCCGTTCTCGTCGGATCATGTCATCTCCGCCTTCTTCGATCGTCCTTCTCTTCCTCCATTCATCTCTCCAACTCACAACACCACAAGAACCCCTGCTTCGACCCAACGCGGAAGGCCGGACCGGTGCATGCACTATCTAACACTAGATGATTCGACTCTCACTTGGTCCAAAGGAGATGATCTTGTGACCAGGAGGGGAATGAGGAAAGGACGGATAGGTGCGACGCACGTCTCAGCATACATCCTTTCATCCCGAATTCATCGGTCATTCGGGGTATGTGTCCTCTTTTGGACGACCACGTCTGAGCCCCGGTTTATGGGTGAGAGGTGGCGAGAGGTCGTGTGCGTATAAATGTGGTTGTCTGGGTCCATAATCCTCATCTTCTTCAAGAGACTATATTTCGACATAAACGATTCAAGCAAGTTTTATTTTGAGATTACACTCATCAACAAACTATATCACAGGTAAAAATGTCAGCCATGCTTATTAGGGAACATCAAACTGATCTACGTCGTAAGTCATCACTATACATACAGTCGTACTACGTCATCATCCTGCTTTTAGGCTTCTCATGTCGTGAACTCTCACAATACGGTTGGTTCCGTGTCAACTGACAAGTAGCTTTCTCTCCTCCAGATATCGAACTCGCCCATGGACAATGGTTACTCGAACTTCATCGTCGTATGGCTCATCTCGAACAAATCCGCGCTGATACTCCAAACGACTTTGAATACGGTGGTGCAGCTCCACTTATGGCCGACTTAGCGAGGTGGGAAGACGCAGTGGACGAAGCTCGGAGGATGGTATATGCTTTAGGAGGTGAAATGAGACGTAGGAGCGAAGGAGAAGTACCAGTTTGGAATCGACAGAAGGGTAGGGCGACCACAGGGAATGGTATGATGAGGGGATCGAGTGCTGGATCGGCTTTGAGGCCTGGAGCTGTGGCTACTGCCAGGGGTTGATGTGGGGTCGTTTTCGCCCACACAAATGCTTGATCATCGTTCTGTATCGCCTTCTCGGGATATCGATTTCCAACTTGTAGCATATCATGTGTTTGTGTTTCCACATTATCAAGCATCGCAATCATCGACAATCTTTCCAATACACTCCACTCCGGCTATCTTCACGGATGATCCTGTCTTTTCGACTTTCGCATCGCATAGTAAAGCCGTGGACGATAGGCAGAAGATGATGGAGAGGGTGTTGGTCTCATGTAGCATCTAGCATGAAGCATGGAATCTTGACCGATGTCAAAAGTAGCTGCCCTTTCCCGCATATTCGGTATCGTGAGTTGCGGTTATGTCGCCATTTGATTCAGAATCTGCACCTAATTTGGCTGGAGGCGGAGTGAACTTCTTCGCTGCGAAAATCGGCCTTCCAGGTGGAATGTTGAGAGAAGAGATCGGGGGTATAGGTTGGAAAGCGACCTATCATCAACGTTTGCTCATTCGTTGCTCCACTCTCAAAAACTCAAGACTGAGCTGAAGAGATGTTATTGATGTCACTCACAGTATCGTTAATACCCTTATACGCTTTGATATAAGCTCCTACATCTTCCAATTCCCTTTCCAACCTTCCCTTCCTACCTCTTCTCTCTTCCTTCTTCCTCTCACTACCTTTTCCCACACTGAGACCTTTCATTCTCTCCCTTATTTTGCCATCCTCCATCTCTTCTAACCGTCCCTTAGCTTCGATCAACAAAGCTAAAGCTTCGCCCACTTTCTCGCCTTTACCATTCTCCCCACAATCCACACCGAGCCATTTATATCCTAATGCAGAGGCAAGAAGGGATTCTTTCCTCAAGTAGCGCTTGACGGGAGGTATTAATTCCCCCTCCGCTGCTTCGGTATCTACTTCTGAGGACTTTGAAAAGAGCTTGCGATTCGTTGGTGGGTCAGAATGAGCTTTACACATCTGACGAGCGGACGAATAAAGGGAGGCTACGTGGAGGTATAATTTAGCTAATAGCGAAGGTGAGGGATGGTTTGGAGGGAGGGGTGGACCGGGAGGCGCGAAGAGTGTATGAGGAAGAATGGGTAAGAGAAGTTTACGAATGGCCGTTATATGTGCATCGGCGAGGAAGATCCTGCGGATCAGTAGTGTTTGTCATATATCCAATACGGTCTACTTTCGTTGAAGCGCTGATACTTGCCTTGGGACACTCCTATTCTACAGTATTTGACAACCAAGAAGAAGGAAGTCACACATAACATGCGAAAGATATAGTGTTGGAAGAGAGAAGACTGTACTTACATAGCCAAACCTCTCATAGTCTCAGATCCACATTCCACAGGCCATCTCCCTTTCCCAATCCTTCCACCCGCTGCGACTCTTGCCATCTCCACAAGCGGCACGACCTCCCCCGCTGTCCATTCCATCACTCCAGCCGCTTGACTGAGTAGATCCACACCTTTTGCCAGTCCAGCAGTAGTACGTTTCTCTTCTTCTGAGGTCATACTGGCTTTCTGTCCCGGAGGAGGTTCGAACTTCGGTAAAGAGTTGAGCACATGATGAGCGTGGTTGACCAGAGCCAGAGAGTAGGTCAGCATGACGAATAGATGCTCAGCATGCATGCTTGGGAAGGGTAAAAGTGGGGTGGTGAGAGAGTAGGAGGTAAGGGAAGATCGCCATTGGAAAAGAGGGTCGGTTTTGTAGAGAAGAATGTCGGAATCGAGAGACGAGATGATTCCTCGTAAATATGGTAGGTACTCGTGGATGGCCTGAGATCAGCGGTTGTGTGCAACGTTCAGATCAGAGAGGTAACAAGAGAATTGGGGTGGGATGAAGAGAAGAGAGATACCCACGTCAAGGACGGAGAGAGCGCTGGAATTTACATCATTCGTCGATACGGCTTTCAATGCTAGGTGAAGTTTAGTCCGAGCTGCGGTGGCGTCACTGAGAGTCGTAGTGTACGTCCCGGAGGGATCATGTAGGATACTGGAGAATGTCAATAGAGAGGTGGTGGGTAAGGGAAAGAGATATGGGGGCATGATGCATGACGAAGGAGAGTTGGGAGAAGATGAAAGTGTGGTAAGTATTGCGCCGCCAAGAAGGGAGAACACTTGGCGTGGGGCCCATATTCTATCTGAACGGTGCTCCTCCTACTGTATATACACCTGTACAGTAGTCACGGAAATATGCGATGCATTTATGATTTGTCGAATGCTATGTATCATGAACGCTCTTTTACACTACTCTTTCGTCCCTGCTCAGATGGTCCAAGCTCTTTACGAGCATCGTCAAACCGTCTCACGATTACCTGACACCGGGTGACAGCGCATAATTGTCGGCTTTTGGATTTGAGGTCTGTGTTGAACAGCTGTAGCCCGGACGCTCTCTCCACGCTTTCCACTAGACATTAGCCATCTCCTAAGCTGTACACCTACTTTTTATACATCTATCGTAAGTGTATACCTCGATGAAAGATCAAGATTGACAAAAAGGAGAGTGGAAAAAAGAGGACACTCACCTGGCGCGATGAACGATCGAAGGTCCGCTCCATCAGGTATCTCCTGGTTTGGCAACACGAACGCTCCCATTGCTAATTCCTTGACCGATGAAGTCTCTGTCACCATCTTATCTCCTTTGGAGGGACTTTGAGGATAGCTAAAGTCGGGTCTGGAAGCGAGTACGACCTTTGCGAAGTGTGTGGGAACTGAAACACTTGGAGGGTCACCAATGACCTCGTATACCTGATCGTCAGCACGGTGTACGGTATTTTGCTTAGCAGTGATCACTCACTACTCTCCACTTGCCATCTGGATGTCGGGAGGGGAGATAGAGCGGAACGCTACTTGTAAGAAATCTCAAAGAATACGTTCACAGTGGACGTACGTGAATACATAAACATCTTCAAAATTGGTGGTTAAACGGCGACAAAAGTCTTCCACGTATGCCCAGTCTGACGGTGTCAGCCCATATGCCGTTATGTCCCCTTTTCAGACGGAGGTCCTCAGAATATCAGAGAGGTGTCATGTGAGAGTGGAATGAAGTGTAGTAAGGAAAGGGACTCACAATGCCGGTTGAAGCCATCTCCCACTTGTGGAGCTATATTCGTTAAGAAGAACGTCTCGTCCATCGCCTGCTGGGAGATTTTAGCGTCCGCTGCTGGAACCCTGATAGTCAACACATCAAGTACATGGCAAGTGGATAGATAATATTCACATGTGCCCACGATCATAGCCACTCTTCAAATCTCTATGTCAGCTAAAATTTCAAGCACTGGCAGAGGAGAAGATTGAGGGGAAAGACGTACAGTCTGATAACTTGGCCCTGAACATCTCCGGAATCCCCACATCCTCCATAAACACACTCTTCGATCTGTCTCCCTTCACCACAGGTCCAGGTTGAGTGTCAGCCGCACGAGCGGTTTCTAGAGGCACTGGCGAAACATTGAGATTCGGCGGTGGTGTTTTCGCCAATGAAGCGGCCGTAAGATGTTCCGCTGTCTGAACATTAATGGTATCCTGTACATACCTGACGACTAGACTTTTCTTCGAAATATAGCTCACCCAGGCTGGATGTCGCAGACGGCGGTCATACGCAGCGGTATACGCAGTACGCTGGATGATATCGGGTGTTGGACCTACATCTCAGCTCTCGTCATCAGGGGCTAATCTCACTGGTGGAGAAAACCTACCTGGAAAACCACCGTGAAGCCGGACACTGCCAGAAGGTACAGTGACGGGTTTGACAACCTCCTTACTGCTGCTCGTCGGCGGTGGAGGTGGGATTACCGGCAGCTCATCTCGGCTACGTCGCGGATACAGCACACCGGCGCCGATGCCAAGGGTCAGACCTGCTGCAAAGAGCAACGAAGGGCCTAACGTAGGCATGGAAACGAACGGGCAGTATTCTAGAGTAGAAGTGAGAAATGTTTTCAGAGTGCTCATTTAGTTAACTACAGTTTTGTTAACATTGCTATATGACATGAAAGAATAACAGAATAGTGTCTTTCGTCCCCGTGGTCTAGCGGCTAGGATATCTGACTACGACTGTGTAATCAGGGGATCACGGTTTCGAATACCGTCGGGGATTCTCTTTTGCTCAAGAGCGGCGGCGGTGTCAAGTCTATATAGCTCAGCTCGATTTATCGGGTCGTAGAATCTGAAAACTTGTTGCATGACCGCAAGGCTAATTCATTGCGTGCGTCAGGCACGCAGATGTGGTGAACGCGGAATCAATCTCTACCGGAGTCAGGATAGAGATTGCCAGCAGCTGATTGGTTCATCACCATCATCCAGAGAAAGTGCGAGCCTAGACGCTAAGGTTCTCCATCGCATGCCTATAGGGCAGTCGATCCGGAGATGCCTAGTCGGCGATCGGCAGGAGCGTTGCAGAGGGAAGCATGTTGGGGCTCTGTCACATGTCACGTTTGTGGAATCTTCAAGACTCGATGATCTGTTTCGATGGGTAAGTTGGTGTGATACTGTAGAACCAACACGCCGAACTTTTTGTCGATTTGTACCTACGTATATCACTCTGAATAGTCCTCGTTGTCACCTGTGATCAAGATCGGGGTGAGGTTCCAAGACCCACAATTTGTTTCCAAGACAGTCCGTACATGTGAATGTGTGATACCCATCTCGAGAGTCAATCTCGTAAAACGGTTCAAAGGGAACGATTTGTGTTAGATCGTCATCTAGAGCCTCTGTTCCTGCGGCGTCGGCTTCACTGTTCATCAGGGATGGGGGATTGTTTGTCCCTTCAGTGTGGGGTTCTTATTTGATGATATGTATAGAGGGATCTTCACTCAATACTTCTTGAAGCCACCGAGTAACTACAGTAGTAACACGTCATGATATGGCAGACGGACCGTTTTGGCCATAATGGTTGAAGCGGTGCCGAACGACGTTCAAATTGTGTTCCGATGTGGTCAGAGCACTGCCCATCATCTCCGAGCATAAAATTTGTACACTATCTCAAGCAGTACTGTATCCTTGAGTGTATAAAAAACTTGGCGTATGTGTCACAAGATACATATCGTGCAACTATACACCCTCTTTACATTCCACATTCCACATTCCACATGAATCGGACTATAGCACTTCGTGACGGTCGTATGGATACAGCAGAAGAAAGAAACGGATGACTGAGAGGTCGCGGGTTGGTATATCTGATCAATCATGTGTTGAGATTTACTCTTTGACTGACAGCTCCGATAGGGAAACGAGGTTCAATGCATTTGCGGTGTATGCATGATTTGTCGTAAATCTCTTCGAATGGGAACGGCACCGGTAGGATTGATGTTACTGATCATATCTGCTGCTTCGTGACCTTTGAGGTTTGCCATTGCGCGGACCCACCAGCTGAAAAAGTCAGCGTCTGTATTCTTCCCGACCATCTTCCAACATCGGTAAAATGAATAGCTATCAAGGCACACACGTGGGAAGTAGGGAGTGAAAAAGGGTGGAAACAGGTCCGACTCACCCCTCAGCTTTGCGACGGATCTTGGCGAACACTGGCGGACCAGGTCGGTCATATCCATCTTCCGAGTCAGTGTCCCTGTTCCTCGTGACCAAATGTGTCAATCCCTTCTTCACGGAAGTCCCGGTCCCTGGTCGCTCGCCTTTCTTCATGATGAGTGAAGTGGGAGAAGGGATAGGTCCTATCGAGCTCCGCATAGAGAGTGCTTTTTGATTCACGATTTCCTCCGGTACATCGGTGTCGACATCTACGGTTAATGCTCGCGGTGTGAAGGGGTTATGACTACTCTTCTCAGTCATACTTCCATCTTCTGAAAACCTGTCCGGAGGATAGATGTTGCGTAGCTCATCTACAATTGATTGTGAGAAAGCAACGTATGAATCGTCTCGCATGACCATTGATTGCGCTTTGGCGAAGAGAGTGTATGGAGAGTAGACGAAGGGAGCGGGTGGCTTGTCGGTATGATCTCGGCCTGATTCGAGGTCTGGCACTTGTACACCGGAGAGACGGGAATGTATAGGAGTAAGTTGACCATTGGGAGCCGGGAGGATTCCGTGCATGATGATGAGTTGAGAAGGCATTGTGTCGTCCGTGTCGGAAGTAGGCACCTTGACAACTTCTGGAAGGAATGACGCGATATTACCGATATCACACCATTGGCGAAGACCCTTTGAGAGAGCTTCGAGTGCAACGATGAGCGACGTGAGAAACTCGTAGAGTGCTTCATCCTCCGCCGTCTGAATACTGCCAGGTCCGGAATCGTGTGTTTCCATATATTGGATGTCCGCATTGCAACGATAGAGTAGTTCGCCCATTCTGATTCCTCGATTTTCATGAAGCCACTCGGCCATCCGGTTGCTCATTGGGTAATTGACGTCGGGAAGTCGGTATGCAGGTATCTGCCATCAGTGGTCATCTATGTCAGATGAGAGAAGTGCTCACTTGGTGTCGAGCAAAGTTGTAGACTACCATATCACCTTGATGGTCAAGCGTGGGTCGGACACCGAAGATACTCGCATAGATCCCTCCGGGCTGGACGACAGGTTTTGTCCCACGCTTGGCATATGTCTTACAGGCTGACAAGAACAAATCCATCTCACCCTTGAGAACACCCAAGTTGTCGGCTAAGGCTTTCGAGAAGAAGTGCGTGTCGGCCATACGGTACCCACGCTGCATGTAATGATCGACATTGTCGGTGGAGAATGACTTGTCGCCGCCCTTGCTGTCGATGCTGAATGGGGGAGCGTCGCCTATTTCTCGGACGAGGAAAAGTAATACACCCTCGCTGCCTTGGTATTTGATAGAAAGACCAGGAACTGCCTTCTCCTCTTCACCGAAGGCGGATTTGAACTTGTCCTCATTTGCTTTCTGCCCCGTAGTGAGTACCCGATCGAGCATGAAGCCCAATGACTCCACGGATATGTCAAGACTTTGAGCCATGAGGACGGCCGCTTCGATGAATCTTCGCCGGAAGATGAGAGATTCTCTTTGAGCTGCTGGGATGGAGAGATCGATCAGGTCGGCACCTGCACCCAGTCGACGCTTGGCGATGGACCGAAGAATTTCACTGAGGAATGGAGTGATCGTGTGCCAGACAAATGACAGTTGATAGAGCCATTGGAAGGTGCCTTGTCGGGGGTCAAGCTCAAGGACGAGTTTCTGAGATTAGCCTGATACGTGCGGGTGTAACAAGTCGCCCACCTTGAGGTCCACATCTGTTTCAATAAGCTGTAGTGGTAGAGTACCATCATTCTTTACTAACAATCGTCCAAGGGTATCAAAAGCGGTCGAACAGACAATGACATGCCTTGCCTTCTCCCGGACACCTCGACGTACATAGTAGTCGAACATCGAGATGATGGCTGTGAGGATGATAATGACACCACACATTACCGAGATGAAAATTGTGAGCCTGGTGCTCTGACCGCCTCCCTCAGCCAATAACGCAGGGTCGATACCGGGTTTGGCTTTGTACGATGAACCCCCGAGTCCGAGATAGTGCATGCCGCACACAGCTGACGCGAGGAAGAGAGCACATATGCCTCGTTTCCAGAAAGAGTCCTCCCATTGAGATCGGAGTCGGAAGAAGGCGACGAGGGCAGCGGTCGAGGCGATACAGGCCAAAATGAGGGCGAAAGCCACTGTGACAGCCTGGTCGTTAGCCAGCCCGGTCATTTGAGTGGGAACATACCGTGTAGGAAACCATGAGATATGGCAGATGAAATGATGCTGAGTAGTGCATGAGACCAACTAACTGTCAGTGATGAACTGTGAATTTTCTACCACTCACTAGTCAATCCAGAAAAGATACCTGCAACGACCACTCGAGAGATATTGAACTCGACTCCCCCAACCACCCAGAAAGCCCCAAGAGTTGCTATCAAGGGTACGAACAACGACAAAGCGGTGAAACCTTTGGAAAACTCTTCGTCAGAATTCCATACCCAAGGTCGGAGGGAGAAACTCACCGTAATATACCAAGTAACATGTGGGGTAGCCCGCAAGTGGATAGATATCATACTGACAAAGTGCATCCCCCACACTGCCACACAAGCGAAACAGACGCCAGCCATCATGAGCAAAAAGTGATTCTTCCATCCTTTTGACGATGTTCTCCTACCCAAACACAGGAGGGTGGTGTAAGAACCAAGGATTGAGACCACGATGGAGACGACCAGGACGCCTGGACTAGGTCGTAATGGAACGGCATGGGTAGCATAGTAGTCGCGTAGAGCGTCAGGATCTACAGAGTGAGCAAGGCAGTGGATAATTGGAAGTCGACTCACTGTTCCAGATATCCTCAGGAGGCCATAACATTTTGGAGAAAAGGGACAAGAAGGGAAAGTGGAGCGACAACAGAAGCAATCGAAGAAGAGAGATCCGAGATCTATAATAGAAAGATCAGCCGCTAGCCTGGTATGGGTATCGTAACGGCGGTCAGGCAGAGTCGTTTGCTGTTATGTCGAGGCGGATTGAGGCTTTTGGTCGAGACTGAGATAGAGAACCAATAAACACTTTGGAAGCAACGGTCAAACAAGATCAAACATGAAGGCAGATGATCTGGCCGGAAGGGATTGTGGGATGAATGTGGGTATCGGCAAGATGTTGAGTCGTTGGCGATCGAGAAGGTGTAGTAAGAAATGTGAGGTAAGATATATGAATGCCGAGAAATGGAAAGCTCGAGAAGAAGGCCTTTACCTCACTCTTTTAGACTCGGAGAGCAAGGAGCAAGGAAGGGTAGATGTATAGATGAGATACGATGCCCGAGGCTTTGGTAGACTTTGGAATGGGTGGAGAGCTTGGAGAGCCTTGTACGGGGAAGAAAGCCGCTCTGCCGCCATCCGCCATGTCGCCTGGGATGCCGTAGGCTGTAGGACCATGTCAGAGCGGCTGAGGCAGGATATCAGAGGATTGAGTGGGTGGCCCATGCCCGATCGGGTCTGGCGGATTTGTCAAGAACGACATGGTGAGGTAATCGATAGCGCGAGTCTCAAACCGGAGGTGGTAATCGACGATAGGATGGGGATACAGTAGTATCGATGAGCAGACATGACACGCCTATCTTCCACTACAGCCGGTCCCACGCACATACACTAGGGGGTACTAGTATCAAGGGGTAGAATACGAGAACGATGACTCACCAATGATCGCCGACTTATTTTCTGGCCCAGCTATACCATATACCAGCTACTAGCTACTCCAGCTGGCCAGTGCCAGTTACAACAGTCTAAACTTGTCCGTCGCCAATTTCCTTCGTTGGGTTGATCCTCTCCAGTCTTTCAGAGATCAGATGGCCAACGCAACTGATAAGCCAGCAAGTCATTGATTGGACGAGAGATCCGAGTGAGAAGATGACTTTGTGGATAGTCCAAGCTGTATACCTCGTACATCTTGCGATATTTTTGCTCACATGGTCACTCCGACCACTCATGAGACCAACAGCTCAAGGCGGACGACCTCCACTTCGAAAGAACATGTCACCCTGTCCTTCATTAAAGTGCCTGGGCTGAATGCTTTCTACACAGCCGCCGAGCGTATAATCCCTGCTTGGTACATCCATGTTCGAAGTCGTCATTGACGATGATGGCGTGGCGTACACAGTCGGCAGTCGGGGTCGTGAAGATGAGGGGAGTTGTAGAAACAGGCTTTGGAAGAAAGGGAGGAGGGACTAGGGACGGGAAGAGTTTGGCAGGTTCCCGCGGATTCGAATCCCTGGACGATTCGAAAGTCCAGACTCGCACTTTGATCTTTGAGTTCGCGCGCCGCCACTGCCACTTCTGCTCAGTCAAACGGTGATCATTGAATCATTGGATCGTGCTTTGGTGGCCGTTGTGAAAGACAAACGAGTGACCGGTGGGGGCTATAAAAAGGTTATGGAATGCAGAGGGGCCGTCACATAAAAAGTCTGAGGCATCATTTCTTCACGATATGCACGACTTTTTCATTGACTTGGCCGGAGGTTACCTTGTCCAGGGTCAAAGGTCCGAGGTCCGGTAAACTCTTTTTGCTGAGTGCCTCGAACATTGGGAACATTGGAATATGCATGCAGCCGTGATCGACCCTACTTCTTCTTGCACTTTCTTCCATGTCTGGTCTCCTCTCCCCTCGAGCCCTAGTCCTGTCATCGGTCATGTTCTACCTACTACTATCTGCTAGCTGCTCACATGATCACATTCCGCTCAGCAGCGACGTGTTTCGGCCATCCTATCATGGATCATGGAGATCAACCCGGACGGCCGTCATTTCTTCCACCATGATGTGCACCATGGCACCATGCACCGAGTACGTATTCCCTACCTGGTCTTTGATATGGTGCAAGAGGCTTCTAACCGCGCGACGGGATCGTCTATTGGATCTCAGGTGCATGCGTAGGCCTACATGGTGAAATCCACTCACACCTTCCTCTCAGCATTTCAACCCCTCGCAGGCGATCGCAGGTCACTAATGAAAATCTGATTCTTTGACCAAATCACCACACACCTATTCTTATGCGGATAACATTGTACGCAAACTCGACCCCGTCGTCTTCTCTGACTATCTGGCAGCTACTTCTTCATGCGCCCCAGTCCGTCTCCCCGTCGCATCGCTATCCGCCATCGCCTCGCAACGCGCAATCCGGAATCGGTAGATTTGGCTGTCGTCATGACGATCGACCCCTCCCAATCTCAGAGTCCCACCTTCAAACAACCCTTTTGATGTCTCTGACGCATGACACAGCCTCTATCACTCATATCGCACCGCTGAATTCGGTCTGCTCAGTTGCTATTGACCTTCAACAACGGAGAGTTCTTCTTATCAAACTGACCGCTACAGGCCACCCTTGTCCACAACTCATCGGACCCGGCTGAAACTCGAACGCTCTCTCCACCTCTGCATAGCTTCTCACCCATTCACAAACACACAGGAATCTGTGGAAAGATCTCACTCGAGGTTATATGACAAAATATTCCTGAGACTCGGCGCAAAAGAACAGTCGAGAAAATGTCCCAAGGCCAAAGACAAGCACATTTTGCTCCTACCCCCATTCCATCTCCTTACCCACAGGTTCGACCGTATCCTCCTCCTATCTACAGTCCCGCATATGGTCGAGTCGAGAGACAAGGACGATTAGGACCGAGAGGTGGTGTACAAGTGGGTGGGGCGGCCGTACAATGGGCCCCTGGGGATGATGATGAGAGAAGACCGCTTACAGCCGAGTACGTCGTCTTTTTTCCACTCTCATGAGCCTCTCTTGAACACATGTTCCTATACGACAAATTGCTCTCCTCCGACTTTTCACTAATGAGCTGAGCAGGGCTGGTCAAGTGAACGAAGGAATCATGAGCTGATTTGCAAGGTTGACTGCAAATGGACCAGGATCCTTCCTCCGAGTCGTCTCAGGACCTACATCTTATGCCATGCCTTCGACTCCCTCGGCAGGCTTAGACTTCATCAGACGACAGACCATGCCCAAACGAGGTGCAACGACCAGACGGGTGAAGCTCACAAGAGAGGGAAACTGGGTCAATGAGTAGGTCCTTATTCATGTCGCTTTGTAGTGCCCACTTAACTGCTCTTCACATTTGCCTTGTTCACTAACCTTGGTCTCTGGAAGTAGGTCTGAAGCTCACCATTAGATATCCAGTTCCAACGCCTATATCAAGTGCGGTGGAAGCGAAATGGCTGACGGGTAGGCATTTCTCTGGAAGCGGAATTTCACATCCATCGAGACGCTGATTAACCAGGTAAAAACAGTCACGAATTCACGTCAGTGACACTATCATTGGTCGGCGAGTCTGACGAGCAGTCATATGAGGTACACAGCTGCGACATGCGATCCCGATGACTTTACACGAGAGAATGGGTGGCAGCTACGGGTAGCTCAACAACATAGGGATACTGAGCTGCTCATAGCAGTTACAAGTTGTGAGCCTGCTTTGGTCAGACCCATCACATATCACGGCTGACGTCTCAGATAACGAGGACAAGATTTTATACGCAAGGACACTGCATAACGTTATGCTCAACATCCGGGATATCTGCAATACCAAAGCGTAAGCCCCCTCCCCCTCATCTCTTCGGCTTACACGGCCCCTCTTACATGCTCTTTCACCTCTTTCATGACTTCACCTCCCTCCGCTTACGCCACTTAACATCCTCGATCCCGCCATAGACATCACGGGCCGATTTCCCAGTAGACTGAACTTCGGCTGACCCACTTTAGATCTAAGTTCTGGCGTCGAACCGCAGAAGAAGGTCGTCCAGGATGGCAACGTATCGTCGTTGCCCTCATTGCCGACGGCATCGGCCCCATGGACACTTCGGTCCTTGATATTCTAGCTACTATAGGGGTATATCAAGATGGGGTGCTCAAGAAGGCCGTGGATGACAAACCTACTGTGGCCCATATCTTTGAATATACCACTCAATTATCGATCGATGCGACGCCTCATTTGGTTCAGCCTCATCCTGGAGATCCGAACAATCTGGTGAGTTTGGCGACCCTCCCGCAACTAGGACACTTTCTCAATGCTCCAACGTGGGAGTTGATGTTGTCAATTGGGCTGATCTTAGGTCCCGGTTCAGATCATCTTCGTACTCAAGCAAGAAAACTCCAAAAAGATCAACTCTCACCGATGGCTCTTCAATGCCATTGGTAGACAGATCAATCCCGAAATCTGTGTTCTACTAGATGCAGGTACCAAGCCGGGTCATAAGGCTATCTATCATCGTCCGTTCACATCATAGCTCTGGTTCCAGACTGACGAATAGTATGGGAAGCCTTTTACAACAATCCGAATCTCGGTGGGGCATGTGGTGAGATACATGCCATGATTGACAAGGGCAAAAAGCTCTTCAATCCCCTTGGTCAGTCACTCCTCCCCATATCACACTTGCTGACGGATAGTCGCGGCTCAGAACTTCGAGTATAAAATGTCTAACATCCTGGACAAACCGCTCGAAAGTTCCTTTGGCTAGTGAGTGTTGCAGGCCCCAATCGTTGGAGCGAGTGACTAAACGTCAGTGTGAGCGTATTGCCAGGTGCTTTCTCCGCATATAGATACCGGGCGATTCTTGGTCGACCGTTAGAGCAGTATTTCTTCGGTGACCACACTAGTGAGTGACTACCAACATTCTGCTCTTCTTCCTCTTTTCCTCTGGGATGCAAGCTGGAGATGGAGATAAGATTCTGGAGGTTGTGCACAAGGTACTGAATGGAATGCGACACTGACCTGTAGTGGCCGCTCGTTTAGGCAAGAAAGGAATATACGGTATGAATATCTTCACCAAGAACATGTTCTTGGCAGAGGACAGAATTCTGTGTTTCGAGCTGGTGGCCAAAGCGAAGGACAAATGGGTGCTATCATACGTCAAACCTAGCAAAGCGGAGACGGACGTTCCGGAGAGCGCAGCGGAGCTGATTTCGCAACGTCGACGATGGCTGAACGGATCATTTGCTGCGTCAGTGGTACGTTCCATAATCATCTTCTATCTCCCTCCCTCGTTTCTAGAATACTGAGGGTTGTCGACATGAAGGGTGTGATCGATGCTGAAAGCCAGTACGCCCTCATCCACTTTTTCCGCCTGTATCGAAGTGGTCATGGTCCAATCAGGATGTTCTTCCTCCACATTCAGGCTCTATACAATTTGTGAGCTGTCTCCTTTTCACTTCACGCATCATACTGAAACGCAGATTCAATCTACTTTTCAGTTGGTTTGCGTTGGCCAACCTTTGGCTCACATTTGATATAATCATCAACCTAGTCCCAAACTCCGTGAAAATCAACCTGTTTGTGACTCCGGACGTGGTACGTTTCCTTTCATACATGTCAGTCGATGATCCTAATAAAGTAGACACATTGGGTTAATCTTGTCTTGGCTTGGGTATACATAGCTTTCCTCATGTTACAAGTACGTCTTTCTTCGTCCTTGAGTCATGCTGATATCAGTTTGTTTTGGCTTTGGGTAATCGACCAAAAGGGGAGAAAGGATTATACATTCTCACTCTTTGGTGAGTATCTGCGTGTCCACCGTACCCGCGCTGACCTCAAGGGTGTTCGCGATGCTGGGAGCATATATGATTGTCTGTTCGGTACTTCTCTCCATCAAGGCCTTTGAGGACGCACTGAATGTGGCTGGATCAGCGGGTACTAAAATCGTTCATCTGTTCAAAACCAGTAATGGTGTTCTAGTCGCTGCGGTCATGTCCACTCTGGGTAAGTTTTCTGTGTATCCCTTCTATTCAAGCTGATAACTAGGTATCTACCTATTTTCTTCTTTGCTCTACGTGAGTTCATGCCACACAGGGAGATAAGAACTGATCAGAAGAATGACCCTTGGCACATGTTCAGTTCATTTCCACAATACATGTTGTTAGCTCCAAGCTTCACGAACGTTCTCAACGTATATGCGTTTTGTAACCTCCACGATGTATCTTGGGGAACTAAAGGTGAACTCTAAACTTTCCATCCCATGTCTTTATCCTCATTCTTCCCTGTTGATCAGACTCTGTTTAAGGCTGTCCGTCGTCCAGTCACAGGAGAGGGGAGAAAGGAGTCGTCAGTTAGGACCAATGCTGATGAATAGGTTCGGACAAGGCAGAAGCTCTTCCCGCTGTCTCTTCTAGCAAAGACAAATCAGGTGAAGGAGCAGTAGTGGAGGATGTTCAAAGGGCGATGGAAGAGCTTGACGAGAATTTCCAACATACGGTAAAACGAGCCGTTGCACCATATAAAGAACCTCCCTCTTCAGAGGGATTGAATATGGATGTGAGTATCATTCTTTTGAGGTCTATGCCACACCATCTCCAAATTCCTCACACAATCCTCTCATCTCAGCAGCAGATTGACACGATGGGAAAAATGGCTCATGACGCAGGACCAAAACAAAACTTTCCGTACCAGACTCGTAGGCGTCTGGCTCCTATCAAACGCCGCTCTTGCAATCTCTATACAAACACTCAATGGACTTGATCAAACCAAAAACCTCGTCCAAGCTTGTCTTCCCTCCGACTACAATATCAACACCGGTTCGATAATTGTACCGATGAATGGAACTTGTATCGAGGAAGCTTTGTCATTTGATCAGGTACATTTACAAGGTAAACAACAAGTGTACTTTATGTACCTTTTGTGGGCTACCGCTGGTCTGTCTGGTGTTCGTTTCCTCGGGGTGAGTTGATCATGTCTCCTTGTTCCAATCAAATCATTCTCCTTCAACACACTTTCCCGACTTTGCCCTTCTCAAACGTGTGCCTTTGTCCCAATTGTATCCTTCCAACTTTGCTCTCGGAAACATGAGATACTCTCTTTAGGATATAATGATAAGGCGTCAAGGGCTGAGAGCTGAGGAACAGTGTTTATGGTATTGGATGTCTAGGCAATTGGGGAGGTGTTGCAGGCGCAATTGATCCGGTAGTTTAAATTTCCTCATACCTCTTCGTATTCTCTTCCTATCCGTGTTTCACTCCCAATCATGTCCGTCCCAACGTTCCCCAACGGGCTCAATGTTGTACAAGTAGATATGATGAACATTATCTCATGACACCATTTCATATTCTGACCAGACATCTCAGATTCCATCATTGATGCACTTCTTGGCGGTCGTTTGAGTTTGATATGGTTCGGGAATTGTGTCCCCATTTGATGGCTCCGACGGCCAGACGGCGTCGGCGGTCCGGAAGGCCGGCACAGGGATCGTCGATCCCCTTTTCGGTTTCGAGTCTTTCGACAGCATGGCAGTCAGGGTTTCAATTGTCTTGTCTCATCACGGCCGTATGACGGACGAAGACGGGTCGCGATACTATGACATGAGTGTGCTGAAGCACTGTCACAGATCACAGACGATCTGTCAGTCTGAGCAAGGACGTTTTTGAGCTGTTTTGACATAAAGTTGGCATTGCAGATCTCCGCAAGTCAGTGGAGATTTGACACGAATGTGGGAGATATATCGTCTTCAAGTAACTTATCACTCAAAGTTCAAAGAAGGCCGCTTTTGTCATGGTGAGTAAGCGATAAGAATAAGCGTGACTGCAGTTCTCGTAGCGTCAACGATGGCATGGCGAAGATCCGATCCCTGCCTGTCCCCGGATTCCCCGGGATGAAAGATCTACAGGGGTAATCCATCTACCGATCTACCGATGGCCGTTGAAAGATTTTCGCTGCTATTGCGCTATCGTTCTTCGGCCCTCGGGTCTAAGCAGATATTTCACAGTGATCATTGATCAGTGATCACTGACATTATCGATGTTCAACTGGTAAAAGATGCATGCTCTGTGCTGCACTACAAATACTAGTACTTACTGCATAGTTGCAGTGACCAAAAATTAAGACGCGTGTCGACGCGTCAAAGTGAGGAAAAAAAGCCACGCCGCCCCCGCCTTTGCGGAAAGAGCCACTTAGACCAGGAACGAGTCTAAGCATTATAGTTTTTCGGAAATTCACGCTAGTGCTCCGCAACTCGTTCCTTTCCCTTTTTCTTCTTTCCTTCCTTCTGGTCTCGCCCTTTCCCCAATTCGCCAAAGCGTCAAAGCCTCTTGACCGGAAACGTCCTGTCAGGTTTGTAAGATCCTAGCGCTGAAACTGGGAAGTGGAAGGAAGCAATGAGAGAGATGATTTTGAGTCGTCTCTCCTGGATCTTGAGACTATCTTAGGTGATCGTCTCTAGTTCAAATCTCATCACCCTTTCATTTGAGTTCAATCCCCGTTCACCGATACATGTTTTACATTTCGCTATCAATTTCAACGCCCTACCACTTCCGACTCACTTCGTAACCCCCCGATCATGAATGAAGATCTTAATCCGTCATGTCGAATGAAGTTTCAAGTCGATTGGATCACTTTAGAAGGAAAACCGGACACTTGAAGGAAAACCCAACTAGACTAGCGTGAAATTCCCGAGCGAAGGGGCCGAAGATCGACTAGTGTCATCAAAACGATTTCGCGAGAAGTACGAAGTCAGACTAAATACTTAAGTCTTTCGGATCGCTCAAAGTCTTTGCGAGTTGAGACTAAAAGAGTCATTCGACGCATGGGGCCCAGGCCCCAAAAAACCAACTACACTACTACTACTCATTCGACCACTCGACCACACCACTTCATACACCGTAATTCATCTTGACTACATTTTTTCATAATCATCATATTACACTCTGTCATCGAGATCGAACAACGACAGCATATTCATCACTCTCTCGATGATCACCAATTAAACTGGATATGATACATGTTATATAATCCACCACACGACTCTCTCGCCTCCCCCACTCATATCGAGCTTCCATGTGGTGACCGTGTCAAGTCGACTTTTCCACCTGGACCATTCGTCTCTACTCGAACGAAAACCTTCATCTTCTTCATTCCATTCTCACATATAGCCTCACAATGCTAGACCTTTACCTCATTCCCAAATCAGGTAACGCTGGTGGTAGATACTTTCCTCATACCGGTTAGTGCTATCTTCCTCCTTCATCGTCTTGTTCCTTCTCTACCCTAATTCTTGACGCCCATGCCCCGTGTCCTCCTACCCTTCAAAAAGCCTGGTCATACGTAAGGGGCAACATCCTCATCGGGCGTACAGGTAACAGAACCACGCTGACATTTCAGGTTATTTAGGGCTTTCAGACGTCGTAGCCACAGGCACGGCAAGAGCGAAATCACCCCCTTATTGTGAACCCCTCCTATGTCGATCTATCATCCTCGTTGCGTGTTGTTATCAGGTTCGTAACGTTGGTGTCCTCACCTCCAACGCGGGGACGGTTTTGTGGGAAAAGACAGAGGTACTTTGGAAACCGACCAATGGACGAGAGTTTGGAGCTATTTCCGATTGGGAACATAATTTTAGAGTGGTCATCCCGCCCGAAGCTGTCAAAGGGACGACGTCTACCTCGTGGTCCAAGGAATGGCGTACCGTTTGGAAAATCGAGCTAGTGGTCGACCATAAACCCATTCCCGTCGTAAGCGACAGTATATCACGCGCTTTCGCACTTAATCTTTTCGACTATCGCTTACCCATCCTTCCACCTCTCTCTCCTCCTTCTTCGGTCCGGATCGGGTCAGGAGATTATGCAGCTCAGATCTCTGTCAACATGCCTCACGGTGCATTCGGTCCCGCCGATGATTTCAGAGTGTCGTTCTACGTAAAGGCAGAAGACACAGGAGCTATTGTAAAGCGCGCCACCGTCAGTTTGTTACGAAAGACGGAGGATCTGGAAAAACCTGCATACTATCAACATCATGGTTCTGCCCCTTCAACTTCTTCCCCTAGATTGTCATTTTTCCGTCGAAGTGTCTCTCCTCGACCACGGTATCAACGTATCAGCTCCGACAGCAGCGACGGTAGTATTTGTGGTGTAGAAGAATTGCCCATCCCAAAAAATGTCAAGGTCACAAAAATTATCGATCAATCATGTGACCGTCCCGCCCTTGGTCCTGGTGGTACATATTGGTACCATACAAATATTCATCTTCCTCGTCGAACGGGTCACTGGGATTATGGCGAGACTTTCCGTACCAAGCTTCTCGATGTTTCCTTCGACCTCCGCGTTAAGCTTCAAATCAAAACGTCGAAAGGGAAAAACGTAGACGTATATGGTCCGCTCATGCCCATCACTCTGGTCGGTGTGTCTCATGAGGACAGATTGGCAGCACAGAAGATTATCGCCGCTTCCTCCCCAGCTCCCACAATCGTCCCTATCAAATCTGGTTCTCGGAAGAAGCATCGGAGTAGTCGCAGAGGATTATACATGCACGAAGGCACCGTGGATATTTCCGATCCGATTGTCAGTGGACCAAGAAAGAAATCTCGACCTTCCTCTCCTTGTTCTACACCACCTTCGCCGCGTCTACCTCCCATTTTAGGCGTGGCTTCCGACCTTAAACCCATTCTACACATATCCGGCCCACCTTCCGCTTCACAATCTGTCCAATTCATATTCCCCTCACCCACACTTCCACGTTATGCGGACAAACTGGAGTCAAACGTTCTACCTCCCATACGCTCTCTTTTGCATCCATCCTACTCCCCCCCTCCACTTGCGGACTCCGGCCTCACTATCTCGGAGTCTGACTCTCTCTCGATGCTTGAACGCGTTCGGCAGAATGGTCGACGAATATCGACCACGGCGTCAGATGAGGACGAGTTGCAGCCTCTGCGATCACGGCCGCGCCTTCTGGATGATCATTCCGAAGGCCAGTACGAAGTTGAGTATAGTCGTCCTTCTCTACCTTCTCTCGGTGCTCTTGGACTGGGTTTACCGGAGGTGCCCAATGACGGTCCTAGGACGCGACCAAGAACAGCACCGATCTATTCAGCTTTCGCCGCCAACGCCAACTCCCAATCCTCAGAGACACTGATACCTCCCCTTCTGTCTGGCCAGCTGTCGAAGGAAATGCTTCAGGCTAGAGAAGAGGACAGGCCATTGACTTCCATGGCGAGAATATCGGGCATGGGTGAGCGGGAGGATAGATTGTTGGGCATGGACCAGAAGGGGAGTATTTGGCAACAGGGAAGATAGCAAGAAGAGAGAGGTATTGGGAGCGGGAGCTGGTCTCGAGCGGGAGTGAGGTAATTGGTTCGTGTTGAATATCGGGCCCCGAGTGGTCGTTAGAATTTTAGACTGTACAGTCTCTGAGCATCTCGCATTCATTGGAAGGGTTCGAGGAATATAGTCAGGTTCAAGAGTGGATAATCTCATGCGGATAGCTCCCAATCATGTAGCAATAGTCATGCAAGCTTTCGAGTCGGGTACCATGTTTCTTCATTGCTTTTGTGCTCGTCTAGATCTTCCAGCTTCACCAGCCAATAAGATCTGCTCCCCCGGTCTCCCACATGCCCGTCCAGGAGTCGACCATATCGTCGCCTTCCGTGCATCTCCGCAAGTCTTGCCTTTGATGTTAGGACAACCCGATGATTGATTGGAATGTTGAACGCTGAACGGTGCATTTGCATTATGCAGGTACAATAAGAATATATGCTTACATATCGTATTTTCAACAAGACCTTCATCCCTCCCGCTCCAACGCTGCCCAGACTTCTTTCTTCTTAGCTGTCCGAACTTTGGCTTCTTCTCGATTCCGAGCCGTCCGATTCAGGCGCTATCAGTCAGTGACTAATCGCGACCCCTTGACCTATCCTGGTCGCGCCGGCTCCTAGCTCTTGAAGGGGACCCGACTTGCCTTCAGGCTACGCATACTTATCGTTAGGTGTCGTAGCTACTCCCGGACACTCAGAGAGTGATTAAGCACAAAGAGGTTCGTGTACGTGTATGACATGAAAACGGTTCTTACGAACTTGAGTGGAGGAAGATGAAGGTAGACTGTGAGGGACGGAGACAAGTATATAGAGAAAGACGGACCTCTTTACGAAGACATAAAACTAATTCTCTTCTTTGAGAATTACATGCTCCTAAGTATCTTATCCATCCCCTGGCATGACATTCTTCAAGAGCTTGGATATACTCTGCGCAAGCTGAAGATCAGTACTATCCTCAAACTCATCCTTGCCTTCATTCATTTCCTTATTAAACAGTCCAACTCGGAGTCCTTAACAAGATATGGGATCAAATCAGAAGGCGGTTCATACGAAGAAAAGAGGAGGAGGAAAGAGGGAGGAAAGGGAAGGGAGGGACGTACCCAATTGACGTTCTGGAACACCGAGTAAAGGGTGCATCTTCCTCTCTCTCACTGCACAACCTCTGATCTCTCAAAAGTGAATATGTATCTCTTCAGGGACTTTGATGTGTATCTTCGAATGCTAAGTGAGATTATAGTGGTAGAGAGGGGATTGCGAATAAGGATGGGAAGAATTGAGTGAGAAAACTGGAAGGTTTTTCATCTTTATTTTTGACTTTTGATTCTTACTCACTTTGGCTGGTTGTTGTCAATCTCGTGTATCATGTCTCTACTCAGCAGAAGAATCGGACGAGAGCTTCAGATAGCTGGTCCTAGTAGACATATCCCTCGTTCACTACCTATCATTCCACTGCGATGGACGCCGGTACGGTGGGCTTCCAGGGAGAAGTCGTTTCTCACTTCAGGGCGGTCTTTCTCTCATTCGGTCAGATTACGCTCAATTGGGATCTCAGCACCTGAGGAGGGAGCAACGTTTGGGCAGGTAGGTAAGGTGGAAGGAAGATTGTGAGTTTTTCATTTCACCTTGCCTCACACTCTCATTCCATGATGGATGACATATCGCTATGACTTTCAATCACAATCACTTATTAGAGATCTCTCCTCGCGATGATCGAAAGGGTAGTGTATCGATTACAGTAGAGATGACGGAAGTACCCCATAAGACCAAGAGTATAACAGAGTACAACTGAGAATAGACGTATGACTTTCACATGTACTGCCAATGACTGTGGGCATCGATCAACACATGAATTCTCGAAGAGATCATATGAACGAGGCATCGTCTTGGTACAGTGTCCACAATGCAAGAACAGGTGAGCAAATCAATTCGAACTACTCTCATTTGGAACGCAGGGCCCTAATCTCGATGATTGATGAAAATTAGAAAGGAGAGGGAGCAAGAGATCGGTGGCCGTGGGTTGAAAGTGACATTCAGACATCTAATCGCTGATCACCTTGGATGGTTCAAGGTAAGTTTCTGTCTCAGAGAGGAAAACTGTGGAGCACGCTGATGCGCCAGGAAAGCACAGAAGACGGGAAGTTAAAGACTATAGAAGATCTTCTCAAAGCCAGAGGGGAAAAAGTGGTGCGAGGACGGTTAGGGCCTGATGGAGATATTGAAATAGAAGGGGAGTGAGAGTCTTCATTCTTTCCTTTCAACATATGTCATTTCTCTTTCTCACCACAACGCTATGCTCACTCAGTACCAGGCTGCCCAGACTGGGGTCGACTATGACTGGCCCCTTTTCCCATTTCTAGCATTTTAACTACAACAGGAAAGAAATCGCAGATTCTGGAAGTCCTCGATGCACCGCTTCTCAATCGACTCGGTTAGATCAGCTAGATCAGATGAAGATTCAATGGCGAAGATCAACGGTTCGCCTAATCATCAGACCAAGATCCGACCGAGAATACCATCTCGATCCTTCCATCCGTCTTGACCGGAGGATCGAGACTCGATCTGGCCCATTCACCCAATTCTTCCTTTACATCACCCTACCTTTCATATCCCCCTACCTCCCACCTACCTTTCATCCTTCGTTGTTTCTCTGGCGTACTTGACAACACTCCTCTCATGCAGACAACAAGCAGAAGACGCAACTATGGCCGGGACAGTATGACGCCGACTTGTCTCGGTCTTGCCGCATAAGGCTTTTACGCTTCCTTTCGACTTCTCTCACTCTCGTTCTTCATCGTCTTACAGTGTTCACTTCCTTTTCACTAGCTACCCCCCACGAACCCCCTAAACCCCCTAAACCCCCTACAAGCTCTATTCATCGCCTCCCAAGTAGTGTTACCACTTCGCATAGCCCATACTTGGGGCATATACACTGTGAGAGGGTGAGTGAATATTGTTTCGCTGATCCAACTACTCGTCTGACCTCATCTCCTGACGATCTACTTTGACTGAAAAAATCTACAGCAAAAAAGAGACCTAGTCTGGTCTCACCTCTGATTATTCTTCTCATCCTCGAAATATCTTGGGTTGTACTTGCGACTCCTCCCGTCTTCTCTTGGTCACTGGCTCCTCTTGTCTTCCTCGCCTTCCTCCCTTACCACTCTTCTCCTGACCTCGAGTTTAACGATCCTCTGACCAGACGCTTTCTAAGCCGAAGATCCTGACCATTCAGCCAGCAAAAGGCCCGAGTAGAGGCTTATCGATCATACTATATGAAAGCTTCCCCCTTTCGCTCACATCCCATTCAGCAGATTAAAAACAAACTAAAAGGCGGTAAACACTACCCTCGCGCAAGCAACGATAGGGCCCTGCTCAGACAAGCGGCGGCCCAGACGAAGTCAATAGAAAAGCAGGAAAAGGAATTACAAACTTTGAACGACGGATTGGCTATTTGTCTCTTTGGTTACGGATACACGAGGACGATGTATGATTCAGAGTATGAAGAGGAGGTGAGGAAGCAGGCTGTAATGCAGGTGAGGCGGTGTTCTCCCGGGTTCCCTTCACCACATCTAATTTTTTTCACGGATTGAAATCGTCGCCACTCGTTGTTTTCTTTCGGTCTTGCCATGGATTCGATGCCTTCCCGCACACCTTACTTCTGTCCAAAATAGCCCACCACCTGGATAGTGAGGACAGCGATACGTGCCGTCAATTCGGGAGGATACGTGCTGACGTCGACAGGAGGTACTACCAGATGCAGAGATGTGGAAGAAATGGGAAGCTACCGAAGCTCCTCTTCGTCAAGGTCGAGGTTGGTATCCTGCTCTGGTGAGTAGTAATCAAAGGCCTATCAGTCCATACCAGCTGATAATCAGGATCGTCACTTCCTTGAATTACTAGTCATATCAGAAATTGCATGTCTAGCTCATCCTCTCCACGGCCTAGGTCCTCCAGGTCAAGCCGAACGTATTCATCGTCACGCTTCTCGCGTTCGTCGAGTAGCTTGTGAACGTATCGGTGCCGAACGTTTACATGCGTATTGTGAACGTGTGAAAGAAGCCTTTGACGCGTACATGCAAGGAGGATGGAGGGCGCCAGACATATCTAATCCACCGGCTAGAAACGCCAATGGAGTACCGGTTGAAGGAGAAGCGAGTGATGAGTTCAGCGACAGTGATTCTGATGATGACACTGGGGTGAGTCCAAATGAGTTGGACAGACTAGATGAGAGTAATGAAGATGAGGAAGAGAGAGGGAGACAATTACAGAGGACTGGGAATGTTGTGAGAGCTGCAAGTCCTACCGGTGTGAAGAGAGAGGATGTAGCTATGGAAAGTGGTCATCAACCGAACGGGCCGGTAAACAATGAGATGCAGGTGGAAGTGAAGCTTGATATCGAGGAGAAGTATCAAGAGCAGGAGTTAGACGCGAGGATGGTAGGTACTTTGAATCTCACAGGAGAGGTGAAACCGTATGTTCATCTTTTTTCCAGATCACTCATCCTATTTCCCAGAAACATCACCAAGCTGTTCTCAGACTGGAACGAAGAGATAGCTTACGGACAGTGTCGAGCAGAAAGATATAAACCCACCTGCAGCTGAGATGGATTTAGACTTTGATACCCGCGCGGGGATGAGGGACGCTATAGTAGTCGCTGCTTTGAAAAAAGCTCGCATGGCCGAGAACAATGTCCCCGTAAGCGTCTTTTTCCTTTTTCTTTACACCTTCACCTCACACTCACTATTTCTGATAATTCACCTCAATGAAACATTGACTAACCTCTCGTTGACATAACAGGTCTCTCCGCAGACGATCTCGGTCCCTGTCGGCTGAAACGGTCGTCACCTAGCTGATATTCAGGTCTTGTGATGTGACTTGTTGCACACTTGCATGTATACAATTGACTTGTCAGATGAGACGGAAGAGATTGGGAAGAAATAGTATTATGTCGCACGCTCATTATGCACATATCATTTTACGTGACCAGAGTGTGTCGATGCGTGCGAGAGAGACGTTGGTCAGATACGATTCAATGCATCTGGTTTCAACAGAACATATGCAAACCCCACTGTTCAATCATCTCCTGTTGCAAACAGTTGAGTAGGGCGCTGACCGGGACCACTTAGATCTTCAAACATCGCCCGTGGATCTTGAGGTGGTATCAAAGCTCGGAATGCTTTTCGTACTGCGACATGAGCTCTGACCTGATGCAGATTTCGCTGAATTCCTTCTGCGTTCGTTGGAGAGTTGTAAGCACCAGCAACTTCCATGCACTTCGGCGAATGAGACACTGGACCATGTGCCCGACAGATTATGGCCGTGACCAAGGGCGGATGAAAACTAGAGACTCACCTCGCTTGATGAACGCAAAGAATTCTCTGTCGGTGTTGAGCTGCTTGACTAGTTCCGGTAGATTTGGTAGTGGAGGGGAGCAATTTGGTACTGCAGACTTAGCTTGGTTCCACAGTTCATTGGGAGATGCGAGGACATACCAGAATACTCAGGTTTGGACACATCGACGACCAAAGAGAATTCTCTATCTGGGTCTGAGGGGTCGAGCAATGTGAATTTCATCAATAGGAGATCTTCTGGCATTGTCAGCTGTTGTATTACCTTTGACGAAGCTGCGTGTGAGGATTCTCAGCCTGTCTCAGAGCCCAAGTGGATGTAACGACCACCGGTAGAGCGGAGAGTATCGGTCCTGGCCTCGATTGATGATGCGTCAGAAGATTGAAGAGCACTCACGTTTGACCCCTTCCACTTTCCACCCTAAAGCCTCTTCCAGCGCTCTTAATTCATCACCATCTCGTCCCCTCATCTCATCCAACACCTTCGCTTGACGTTCCTTTTCGGCTTTCGTGATGTTGACTTCCCGAGTGAGGGAAGTTAATTCCGTCTCCAGGGACGCAGATTGTTCTTTGACTTTGGCCAAGGTCTTTTGTATATGTGATAAGGATGAGGTCAAATCGGCGAGAGTGAGACGTTCATTCTCAATAGCTAACAGTCAGATTTATCGTAATGTACTTTTCTTCTCACTCACCAGCAAGCATCTCCACTTCTCGTTCTCTCTCCAAAGTGATGCGTCTTTCACATTCATCTTTCTCCGCATGAAGGTCTCGAACGCTGGTCGCATGATCAGACGCCCTATTCGCGATTTCAGTCTTTGCTCGGATAGTATAAGCGTCAATCTAATTATCAGCGAGACACGTTCTCGTATGACAAGTGAGGTGCAGGTAACACACAGCATTGAGGAAGGCTTCGACGTGAGCATGGAATGGACCCCACTCCAAGTCGATAGTGGGCGTCCCTCCCTTTGACGCGCTGACATCGAAGAGACTGCGTAAAGAGACTGGTCGGTGAGGTGCAAGATAGGACGTGGCCATGACGAGATGTGAATGAAGTGGACGAGAGGGAAATAGTGACTTGTTTTTAAGACAGGAAGGGAGGGAAGGGACGAAGTGGGAGGGGAGGTGTTTTTGCCACTTGACGCGACTATCTTTTCATTTATTTCTTTCCACTGATTTTTTGTTTTCTCCCAAAAGTACGAGTAGATTGTCTCGTTCAACCAGCCACGGCATAACATAACATCCCTACCACCATCTTGCAATCTTAGCCAATTCCATACATCCAGACACTCGCTAGTAGCTCATATCTCGTCATGTTGGCCAGAGTACTCAAATCAAATAATCAACAGCCCGCTCCTTCCCCTCCCACAACACCTACAAAATCTCGCGACGGTCATTCGAAATCCGCCTCTACCCCTGCCGTATCCTCCCCCACTAAAATCCCCGTCGCCTCCACCGCCACTTCTCGTACATCTCATATCTCTTCCAAAGAGAACCTACCTGCTCCAGTCTCTTCAGAGCGCTCCAATTATCTCTCTTTTCTCTTTTCTCAATCTCAAGCAGGGGCTCCTACCACACCTGTTAAAGTACATCCCAAAGTCGCCCAGGCATCGGCTCCTAACCAAGTCGTCCCCGTCCATCACCCGTTGAGGGAAGATCGTCACGCGTACGAATCGGATGACGTTCACATGCAGACCATAAAGAATACTATCAATCCAGCCATGTTGAAGCAACTCGCCATCGGTTCAGCCGCCAAAAGTTCTGGGAACGGAACACCCAGTCGCGGACAAGGTCACACACAGTCGTCTTCCGAAGATGTGCATATGAAGACCGCACGTATGGATACTCGTATGCCAGAGAAAGAACGAGGGCTTCAACTGTGGGAGAGAGAAATGTTGGAAAAGTCCGACGTAAAGAGGAAGGCAACCGTCGCCCAGATTTGTAAGTTTTCACTAAACTTCTCATTACGCCCCTTCCCACACCTTTGGCTTTGACAGTCCGACCTTCTCACACAGAACTCGAGCTGACGTATTCTAGACTTTTTAGACTACTACTGTACGAATCTTCCCGACTCACAAAGGTCATCCTCGGACTGACGCATAGTCGATCTCCTCGGCTACCTGGCCGCCAGAAAACGTCGCCTTGAAACCTTTAAAGTCGATACCGCGGAGCGCCAGGTACGTGAGAAATACTTTGACACTACATCATTCTCAAACTCCATGATTGCGCCTGTAATACCAATGAGAACCTATGCTCACCCATATAAACAGGTCACTGGACCAGAATACGCAAAAGAACTACAGTCGTACAACGGTCGAGAGCGAGTTCTCCTTCGAAAACGCCGCACCAAGCTTCGTGTTGAGCAATTCCGTATCATCGCCCAAGTGGGTCAAGGAGGGTATGGTTCGGTCTTCCTCGCACGTAAAATTGACACCAACGAGGTGTGTGCGCTTAAAAAGATGCGCAAGGGTACATTGGCCAAGATGGACGAGGTCAAACATGTGTTGGTAGAAAGAGACATCTTGACCGCGGTCAAGACACCTTGGCTAGTCAGACTTCTATATGCGTTCCAAGACCAAGAGCATGTTTACCTCGCCATGGTATGTTTCTCAAATACACTCGTAGTGTTAAAACTAACCATCTTTTAGGAATATGTGCCAGGTGGTGATTTTCGAACTCTACTCAACAATTCGGGTGTGTTGAAAGAAGAGCATGCCAGGTTTTACGCGGCAGAGATGTTTGCAGGAGTCAACGAGCTTCACAAGCTCGGTTACATCCACCGTGATCTCAAACCAGAGGTGAGCTGGTTGTTCTTTGCTATTCCGCACAGCTTACACTCAGAACTTCCTGGTTGATGGCACTGGACACGTCAAGTTGACCGACTTTGGTCTCGCCACCGGCGCCCTAAACCCACAAAAGATCGAAGACATGAAACACAAAGTTGGTTTCTCATGACCCCTACATCTTCCCGAGCTGAGTTTGCAGCTCGACCAAGTCAAAGATGAAAATCTCGTCTTCCGTAGCACCCTCGAGCGTCGCACTCTGTACAGGAGCATGCGTATGGCTGAACCGCGTTATGTGAGTAGACCTCCTTTATGAAAAGTGTGAATATGACCCACTGACGTTTGCAGGCTGATTCTGTGGTTGGGTCTCCGGATTAGTACGTATATCCCTTGTTCCACGTCATTCGTCATGAGATCATTGACGTGTTCACCGCCATTTCAGAGGAGCGGTCGGGCGTAACGTCATGGTCCAGACTGACCAAATAGCATGCCCCCTGAGGTTCTGCGTGGCAAAACTTACACTTTCTCCGCCGATTATTGGTCACTCGGTTGTATACTCTTCGAATTCCTCTGTGGATTTCCTCCCTTTTCCGGGTCGTCGCCAGAAGAGACGTGGGCGAATCTTAAGAACTGGCAGAGAGCTCTACGCAGACCTGTGTACGACCGACCTGAGGATCTCATCTTCAATCTAAGCGATGTGGCATGGGACGCCGTGATTCGGTGAGTGCAAGTCGTATATCTCCTTTCATCTCATTTCTTCTCCCCAACGGCCTTGTTCTCCGTCCATTTAATAAACGTCTATATTGATTGATTGTCACGTAGAATCATTTATAGTCGAAGTCGCAGCATCGAATGTGGAGACGTGGGAGAAAGATGAGACCAAAATGTCCGTGAAGTTGGGTCACTCGTCATCGGAGCATGTGAGAAGGCGTTGACAAAGTGATCGGAGAAATGGCGAATGTTAACCATCACAGACTCATCGCCTCACCCAAAGACCGTATTTCCAACCTCCAAGATATTCAAGCTTTACCATTCTTCTCTTCTCTACCCTTCGGCTCCCTTCGCGAATTACCTGCACCTTTCGTACCTGTTCTAGACGGTGAGACGGACGTGGGATACTTTGACTCTTTCTCCTCCCCAGAGGATATGGCAAAATACGCAGAAGTGTTTAAGAAACAACGTGATGTCGAAGCTGTGGAAGAACGTGGGATCGGTAATAGGAACAATTGGGTCGGGTTCACATTTGGAAAGAATACAAATCTCGTGAGTTTTTTTTGTTGTTTCCGTATCATACCATCCATAGAAAGACATCTACAGAGAAGAAGGATGGTCCATTGTGACATCTGGAAATCTCTGGTCGTACTCATCACTCACACCTAGCAAAAATTGTTCCCCATCGAATCAGCAGAGACATACATTACGTGGGAGATGGATGAACTTGGCTGACTCGAAAGGCACCACCCGTCCGAGGAGGAAAAGCGGAAGGAGAAGCGTTGCAGACCATGTTTTGATACCAACCAACGCTTTCTTTCCCGCCTTGAGATTTATATATATATACCCGTGTAATGTTTCGGACGTTTGAAGAGAGAATTTTGCTAGTACTTTGATGCACGATGAATACACTTTATGCCATGACAATCGGATGTAAGTTGAGCTCGGTTAGACGATATCTCCCAATGAATGAAGATTCACATCTTTCACAACAACAGTGCATCTTGTCCAATAAACAAAAGCAAGGAAGCAAAGATATTGAAGATATCGTGATTACTCAAGTCCCAGCAAGTGCCCGACGCCATCCTTCACCTTCATTCATCAATACCCTCCCAACTTCAGAAATGTCCATACCCAATGCCACCTTTCTTTCATCAGGAGACCGATGGGGGTCGTACGCCCAAGTCAAGGCATGAGTGGAGACGAGGGAAGAGAATATGAGGGATAGTTCAGAAGAAGAGAGAAGAGCGTCACTTTCGAGTAAAGATCGAGTTAAAGCATCATGATCCGTTCTCACCTGATTATCAGAACATTCATCTTCTTCAACATACCCATATTGATGATGAACTAGTGATCAAGGAATCATCTTGCTCCATTTTAGGATGGTAACATTATTTATTTGAGGATTAGAAATGAGGGATAGAGATTGGATCAAATGATTTTAGAGACTCACATTCTTCCAAGCAACCTCTGGAACACCTTCTCTCCTGACACATCGAACCATAGCTGCTAACATGATCCTCTGTTGTTCGCTACATTGTTTGATGTACATTGCCGCAGGACTAGAGGACATTTGATGGAGTACAGCCATCATTTCTTTCGCTGTGACTGGATGAGGGGATGGAGATTCATATGCTACTTCCACAGCTCGGCTATGAATGAGCTCTCACTTCTACGAAGAATCTCTTGCTGACGAATTCAACATTGCCCTTATGATGATGACAGAACATAGGAATGACGGAATGTGACCGACTGAAGAGATGAGAATAATCGAAAATAGATACCCACCGACAAGCATCCAAAACCCTTCGTGCATCTCCATTCGTTCCTGCCATTTTTGTCGCGGCTAGGGCAATAGCATCAGGTACCAAAACCCTATGGTCTTCTTGACTCTTTGGATGAGGTATCAAACGAGATTGTACTATTTCAATCAGACTTTGACGGTCGTACGGTTGGAACAACAAAGTTTGAAGGCCTATGTGTCAATTGAACATCTCTCCTCCTGACCTTTCGCACTTCCAAGCAGGGCTATGAAATACAGTCATAACATATTCGAAGATCATAACAACCAGCACATGGGATGAATTACACCATCTGGTTTCCATGAATTGCTTTATAAAACAGTAGGGGATATGGAACGGTAAAGCATGTGGGAATCTCGAGTGCAGAAATGTGAGCTAAAAGGATCATGACCCACCTAATCTCGACTTGATCTTAGCCGCTAAATGTTGTGGTAAATCCATACGGTTGGCAACTGCCACTACGAACATTTGACTATCACGCATCGTTGGCCAATTGAAAAAGTTGTAGACTACATCTTGTTTGGCAGTAAGCAATTGGTCAAGTTCATCCATCAACACGACACTGTGTATAAGCTTATATAGTACAACATGTTTGCCTTGAAACGAATCGATTCGAACAAAACCCCCATGAGTAGATATATCACTCACAGCTGGACGGGTTAAGGAGGAGGGGGGGAGAGAAGAACATGAAATGAAAATCATAAACACTCACAAGGTATGACCCCTGGGACCCCTCGCCCCTCCTGTTTTCCTGGCATAATGCGCTTCCAGTCCTCTCAGCGCAGTTTTAGCACTTGCACCCTTAGCCCCCGAGATGGCCTCCCATAAAACGGTGTAAGCATGTTGCGGCGTGGGAATTTTTAAACCGTTGATCTCGACATAAGAGAATGGTGGGAGTTCCTGTGACGTCAATTCTTTAATCCTCTCGAACCAATTTTATATCGGCTCAGATAGTCATGGTTGATGTGATATATGTGGGCAAAAATGAGAGGAAGTTTAAATGAATGTAGCTGAGAGGTGTGCAGGGTGAAACTGGACATACCCCATCTTCCGCTTTACGTTTCAGCTCTTTCACTACCGCGTGAACGGTGGCTGTTTTGCCCGTACCGGGTACTCCTGCGATATCTGTCATGAGCTGCGTTCAGATTAACAAAGTCAACAGCGACGGAGCCTGTCGAGCCACTGCATTCTGTGGCTCAAACCACACTGTTATCTCAAGCTGACCCCAGTAAAGGTTGACGGAATGGTGATGTATATAAGGTCAGGCGCCCAACCACCATGCAGGGTCACCTATACCCATCGGCAACCGGACAGAGGAGGAAGCAAGAATGGTCAAGCGGAAATAAAGCTGTACTCACACAGACATCCCCCGCCCCCGCTTTCCACCCCTTCCTCAACTTTGGACAAAACCTCCACGAACTCTTCCTCTCTACAAGGTAGAGAATCCGGTGTTGCACCCACATGAAGCAACCTCATCGCTCGTTGATATGGATCCGTTGGTAATTCATCCAAACTTGGTACAGCCGATGGTAGTTCAGAAGTTGATATTTGAGGATGAGAGTTTTTGCCTTTTCTCTTTCTCTTTTCTTTTCCCTTCTCCTCTTTCAATTCCGTTTCTTTCCTTGCCTTCGAATTGCTTAATTTTGGCCTTTTGACTTTCCTGATATCTTCTTTTCTCTTGGACCTCTTCGTCCCGCTTTTCTCACTGACCTGTCCTTCCTCTGCACTCCCCTCTTCCGGAAGATCTTCATGACCTTCATCTTCACTTTCCTCTTTTTCACCATCAAACACCCCATCATCGTCCGAAGAGTCGACTGTCTCAGCTTCCGATTCTTCATTATCGCTCTCAACACTCTCCGTTGGTACGACCCAACCTTGACCTGCTTTTCCTCTTGAACGCCAAGAATCCATATCGACTTTCCATACCTTTCCACCTTTAGCGCCTTTGTCAAACGCCCGATTACACCAGTAAACTCCTTGACGGACATAGGTCCAACCTTTCACAGAGGATTTGGAAGGGGCGAATTGATCCCGAAAGAAATTGCGAGAGTATATGGGGATCGTGCGGAGGAGTAGAGAGATGGGGAGGGAGGTACTACTTGGTCGAATTGGGGATGCAGCGAGTAGTACTTCGTTCTGTAAGTTAGCCAGGTCAAATATTTGACATGAAATCATTGCACATATATTGTCAATTTGACCAACTATGCCAGTGACCATGCAATGAGAGGTGAAAGATGTTGTGTGAAGGGAGTGGGTGTCAAGAGCCGATGAATTCAGACGTCACTCACATCCTCCACAGAAAGATTTTTCATTATCCCTGGTAAATCTTGTCGACGGAAACACCAATGTACTTCTGCCCACATTCTTTCTCCTGATCCTTCTTCTTCCTCCTCATCCCTTTCCTCATCCTCCGCTGAACCCTCTCCTGACATATCCTCCTCTCCCTTTGCCTTCTTTGAAGTTTCCCAAAGCCTCACCAGAACTCCAACTCCTTCTCCACCCCCTTCCACAGAAACAGCAACCCCATCTCCTAATGTAAACCGACTTTCTTCGTCTGCTTTTCCGGCGTGGGTCTTTCTACCTGGTGTTAGAGGTCTTTTAGTGGATTGGCGAGAAACGATTCTCGCGAAAGAGGTATAGTCGATTTCTGCCTTTTGACTTAGTGTTGTAGAAGAGCTTGAGGCTGGGTTTGAAGAAACATGACGAGGAGCGGAGGTCCATGAGTATGTTGTATGGGATTCTGATCGAGGGTGGGAGGAGGGAGAGGGCGTGAAGATTGCTCCGCTTCGTGTGGATCGACGAGGTGTGGATGCCATTCTGTGAAGTAAGGCGTGGAGGGTGAGCTTTACAATATGTTGAACATGGAGTGTCTTCTTCTAGTGGAAAGTACTCGTCCAGTCTGTATGTGCCGAATCCTGTATCATACTGAGCTGACAGTTGTGAAGAGAAGGAGGAGAAGTGGGAAAATTTGAATGGGGATAGAATTGTGGGACGAAGAGACGCGGCTGCTTTTCCACCAAGTAAGATCCACGAACACGATGATTCAATGATGATATGTATACCTGGTCTATGCAACACATCGTCTATATTGTGATATTGTAATTGTCCTACATCACCCACACAGCCCCATAACTAACATGATCGTACCCACCACCGTCCACCCCACTTGGCCCCATCGTCCCGCATCCGCCCTACGCCCAGCAGCAGACTTTGTCGAAGTACTACTATTGCTCGTCCCTCCACTACACACATTCCCCTTTGACGTCTCAACAATCATTACCCTTGGCATTCCTTCATTCACCTTCACATCAAGATTCCCCGATCCATCCGTATTCATTATCTCACAAGCTACCGCATCTAAAACTTGTACGTTGGCCCCCCATCCACTACTCCCGCTGGGTATCGTAACAGTCCCACTTGACCCTTGGCCCCTATTCGACAACAAAGAAATCAGAGGACCTTTGACAATGAGAATCTCGTTACTCCCCATTTGTGTGACATTCATACGTGTCTCGTAAAACGAGTTGGAAGCGTTGAAAGCTGCTCTTCTCACATCATTGAGATTCTTGAACATGGTATATAAAGTAGTATTGGTGTTATATCCCGATGTCCATAATGGTTCCCTGTTATCCGGATCGCTACCTCCACTGAAACCTTGTTCAGCACCGTAATATCCATATGGAATACCATCGACGACGAATGGGAAGGCGTGAGCGTTGGCGATGAGAGCAGTGTCAGAAGTGTAGGAAGCCATTCGAGGATTATCGTGATTATCCACAAAGACACCTAATAGAGTTGGGTCTGGGAAGATATCATTGACCCAAGTTGTCATATTGACCAATTCTGTAAGGTTTCCGGATGTAGAGTTGAAAGCTCGAACAAGTGGGTAATAAGTTGGATAATTGAATGTGTTGATATTTCCATTTGATTGATATCCAGAGACGTACATGGGATCACCGTTCAAAACTTCACCGATGTTCGCTATACCTGCAGAGGAGGTAAACGTTTTCCAGAACCCTTGGGGGACATGTTTGACGGTATCGATACGTACGGCATCGACAGAATAATTCGAGATCATATCTTTGATCCAACCATTCCAATAGTTTATCACCGTGTCTGATTCAGTGTTGAGATCAGGGAGGGCGACGGAATCATCTCCCAACCAACAATCTTCCACTTGTGTTTGGTTTGAATAATCTGTGATCCAGCAGAAGGGATGATAATCGTTTGAAGTGGAGAAAGCGCCGTATGAAGAAGAAGGAGAGAAATTGGAAGAAGAGGTAGCAGCGACATGATTGATGACGACGTCCAACATGAAGTACATCCCTCTCTCATGAATTTTGGAAATGAGTGAGGTGAGATCGGAAGCGGTTCCGAAGTTCGGATTGAGTTGTGAAACATCCAAAGACCAATAACCATGATAAGCTTCTCCTTCTCCTGTCGTTCCTCCTATATTCTGCACGACGGGAGAGATCCACACGGTGTCCCACCCCATCTGCTGTATGTAGTCGAGATGGTCTTCAATAGCGGCCCAGGTTCCTCCACATATCTTGCGGTCGGAAGGGTTGCAACTGGTCGATGAAGAGGAAGATGGCAGGGCGAAGCGATCGGTGACCAGTTGATACACGGAACGAGGGCGCATGGAAGCAGTATCAAGTGCTAGGGAGTAGGATAAAAAACCAAGAAATGTCACAAGAAATGATGAGAAGAACATGATAGGTCAAGTATGACGGTAAACGAGTGAGTGTGGTTTGAAGAGTTTAGAAAAGTTTAGGTGTGATCGAGACAAAGTAGGAGTATGTCTAAAGAGTTGAAAAAACTAAAGAATCTATGTTATAAGCAAACCAGTCCGATCAAGAAGCGATTCATAAATAGACGAACTGACGATCTACAAACGATGCGAGAATCTGTCGGCAGCCGAAAAAAACAGTTGAAAGGAGGTACAAAGGTCGCGAATGAATAACGGAGGCGGGATGCGACTTCTTCGGCTGCGTGGGCTGAGTGCTTGACGAGTGAGATTGAGATTATGTCAGTGAGACGAATGATCCACCACTGAGGACATGCGGTTCTAATCGGTGGGGGAGGAGGGGGAGACGAGATGAAAGCGAGCAAGGAATGTGGAGAGGAGAGGGAAATTGCGGTGCATGTTGCATGGTGCACACACCATTAAGACCCTGTCGTGTCGTCGTATTCGTCGCATGGGTGTTTGGAATGCGCGGTCTTCAATTTTGGCCCCACACGACGCGTTACGTTCAAATAGTAAGCCACGTTCCTTCATATCCCATGTCTTTGTATTGGTTATCGACTTGAAATTCACTTGTCTTTTCACAGCCCTTGTTCAGAAATGCTAGTATCTTGACGTCTACATCGACATTGACCAAACTCAGCTGAGGGCATGAGGGAGAGACAGACAGAAATTCATACAGTCAGAAAAACACAAAACGCAAGCGGATAACGGTCCGGTCGCCGGGACTGATTCTTCTGACTTTTGAACCCGTTGACCGGCGGCATGGAACGCCCCGTGCACTTGGGGCCCCTATAGGGTTTCCCTGAAATTCTTGGGGGTAACCATAATACCCGAGTTCGGCTAGACGAGTTGGCGAATGACCGAGGTTGCGTGTTCAGCATTCATCACTGAAGCTCTTTCTTTGCCCAGACTGGCACCTCCCACGTCCTGCTGCATACTGCTCAGCAGCTCAACTCGCACTCCTTCCGTTTGAAACTGACGACAACCCGTTATCCGCTCTTCATATATCAGTTGATTGTTTGAGGTCTCAAAGTCATCTCGTCGTACAGCCTCTAGATCTCTAGACCCCGTGCACGTTGATCTCTATCAGCCACGATCAGTGGATCTGGTCTAGAACTAGAGTAAAAGTGGATGAGGAATCGATGGGGACTTTGAGAAATTGGGAAAATTGGATAAAATACGAGATTGACGTGTGATCGCCCCACCCTTGACAACCTCTAGCCTATCTCTCTCTTTCTCTCTTCATCTATACCCCTCAACTACGCACTCTTTCACGGTTCCTTTGATAATCTGTCGCTCCAACCCCCCTCTCACGTCACGCGACTAGTCACTGGTACAAAGTAACATCTCTCTCTTTCCTCACAATTCACAACGCTCACATACTACTGTATCATCCTCGATCACACACCCGACACCTAACATACAAAGCAAAGACCGAAACCAAGTAAGACGAGCAATCATCATGTCATCTCCTATCCCAATCAACACCACTCCTCCCTCTCATCCTAACCATCATAACGCGACCCCAACATCTTCCATCTCTCTATCCCCTCAAACCCCTTTCTCAGCCCCTTTCTCTCATTCTACAATCCTCCGTTCTCTCTCTTTCAAATCTTCTCCACCTAAACCACTCCTTTCTTATCCTTTCCCTCAAGTACCTCTCCCAGAGAACGCGTTGGACGATCAAGAAGAAAGTCACGACGAACATGATTCCTTCGAATTTGCCGATATGCGACATATGCGGTCTTCCTGGAGACGAGCAGTCAGCATGAGTGTCCCGAACAATGCTGGGATTGGCACCATGTTGGGAGGGTTCGGAGGGTTGAAAGGAAGTCCTCCCAAGAGTCCTGTCGATGGTTCGGGTCTGGGTTTGGGTTTGGGAGGTTGTCAAGGTGGACAAGGAGTTCTGGCTGATAATGCCGCCAGAGGACAGGGAGTTTTGAGACGACTCAGCATTGGAGGGTTTTCGAGGGTATGTTCAATACTCCTATCTCTCCTCCGTAATGTCTTCACTCATGAACCATTATGATATCTTCATCATCCCATTAAATTCACTCAACCAACTGTTCCTCGCTTCATTCAACCCTCCTTCCCACCCCACGAGCATCCTTCGAGTGCATGTTCATTGTTTTTGGGAAAAGAATCACACTGTCCAATCTGACCAATTCACTAACGACCAGCCCGCATTTCTCTCCCCACCTGTTCAACCGACCAACCTCCCAGCCGAACCCCCACTCGTTCCCACCCCTCAAACATCAAACATCCCCCCTCCATCAGCCCCACCGACGGTCCAAACACACACCATCCCTGTATCCGAACCCAAGGTGCTCAATCAAGACTTACGACGAGCGACTACGCTCGGTCCGGATAAAGCGAGAAGGTTGTCTGATGGTCGAAAGCGAGGTGTGAGCCCTGTGAGTGGTTTTCCTCATCATGAACGAGTGGATGGAATGTCAACACGAGGCATGGTGACTAGCGTCATTCCCCACTTTGTGAAGAGTCACATGAACTTCTTCCAACGGTTTCATCGAAACACCCTTTTCTGCGCACAGCACCAGTGGCAGAATTGGCATGCTGGGGCGTATAGAGTCGCTTGAAAATTCAAGAGTAAGGGCTGATGTTGATAGATGGGCGAACGTATGCTCCGTGAACATGGGCATTTCTAATCACTATCATGAACACTCAACTTATTGTATCACGTTTTTGTGCCGTCAAACCAGTTCTAATTTAAATCCTTATGGGACGGGAAGTCCCAGCTACAAAACTTCGAATTCGAAATTGATAAAGGTCTACACGAGTAAACATTCTTGTGGGCATGGAAAGCGGGAAGATGATGTGTGAGGAGTTGTACAGGAAACGAGATTCATTCCTCCGGGCGGATAGTATACAAAACCAATTTTTTGTTTCAATGACGATGTTTAGATGGATATGTACGATATGTGATATGCTGGATTCGAAATTTTGGACAAGGAATATGAAAATTTGTGTATAAATAAAATTGACTGGTCAAAATGTACATATTTGTAGTATTGTAATGTAATGGTGTTCTTCCATGTCATTGTTGCAATGGTACTGGTATGCAGCATGCAGCTTGGTGACAGAACGTTGAACGTCACAGAGAGAGATCACGTCCATGCATCTGGTATAGCAAGTTACTGTGCACAGAATAGGGATATCGATGAACACGAAAGACTGAGTACCGAGTATGAAATAGGATTGAACCCGTGTCATGACACGGAAGGAGGACGTGAATAAGGATGGTACCTAGGAATTTAGGAAGAGAGAAAGAAGAGAAGGCAAAAAAGGTTTCAATCGTCAAGGCATTTATTAGGGCATTATGGACATGAAAAAAGGTTTTGTTTCAACTACGACTCGTATATACGAGCAGGTCACATGAGACCGTCTCTCGAAGTATTGGGAGATTGAGCGGCTATAAGTCAGTGGAATGCTTCTTTACTCATTCTGGAAATGCCCGAGGCACAGATTCTGACGCGATGAATGAGCGCGAGGTTGGTTCAATGACATAAGGGAAAAAAAGAGAATCAAGGTAGATATGAAACGCACCCAGCCGCGCTTCCAGGACCTTGAGACTGTCTTCCTTAGCCAACAACTCTTGTCGCTTGAGCTGGATCTCCCTCTGGACCTTGAGTTCGATCTCGCGCAATTTCTCTTCTTCGCGACGGAGCTGTTCCTCCTTGAGTCTCACAGACTGGTTGGCCATGTCTTCTGGAAGCATGGACGAGTCGCTGACGGTCAGCTGAGCTATAGATGATCCGTCAGTCAGCACTCACGGATCGCCGTTGGTGACTGATCGAGAAAGTTTCTCGGTACGGTAGTTCTCGTACAGGAAGTCGTGGGTGATTTCCTTCAAGTCTGTCAAATGTGATCTACTCGTCAACGATGCTCTTTCATATTTTATGGTTGGAGTATAATTTGAGTGAAACCAGGGAACCGATGAGATGACTGACTGGAGAAGAGCGCTTCGAAGACGAGAGAAATCAGAGTGTTGAGGATTATCCACTTCTACAACACCCCAAGGGTATCGCCTGCCTCGGATTGGCTCGCCGTTGATGATAATTTCTTCTTCAGATCCCACAATGGCAAACGGCATCAATGCTCGGAGCTCAGAGTTGTCGGCGATAGTATCCTCGTCATCTTCTTCCAGATCGTAAGGGAAGTTGTAAACTGGGATACCGTAGTAATCGATATCCTCCATGATCTACCCGTTAGGTCAAACATTCATTGATGTTTTGAGTACTGACTCTCTTCTTGAATTTCCTCAACTCAGTGGGAGTGAGAGAATCTGCCTTGCCAACAACAGGTATCACATTGACCCGGGGAGACAAACGACGCATAAGTTCAATGTCCAACTCGCGCAGCCTTTCATCAGCAAAAGATCGATGGGTTCATGAACGACTCACGAGTGTCCGGTGGGTGCGATAAAGTACAACAAAGCGTGTACACGATTGTCCCTGAATCTTGGGTTACGTTTGATCCGCGATTCTTCAGCGAGGATGTCATCGTATTGCCTCTCGAGGTAGGATGAGATTTCAGAAAAGCTGACGATGAGCTCTGCATGTCACAGGAGAACGGTCTCTGCTCACCAGTGATCATTGTCCAAGCCATCACCAAAGCCAGGAGTATCGACAATGGTCAAGGCAATCCTGGTCCCATCTTCTTCCAGCTCCACATTATGGGGCGTGATGCGGATCCCGTTGTCTTCGTGCGCCCGGTGGGCGGCTTGCTGGACTAGGTTTGGATCCAGTGGTGAATGTGGGTTCTCCGGGTCGGTAAGAAGAGACTGAGAGCGATGAGTCAAGATGGGTTGTTCGACGAGTGTGTTCACAAAAGTGGTACGTCCTGTACCGGAAGCGCCTGGTGATCAGTGCCTTACACTGAGACACTCGCAGAATCTTATAATCTCCCTACCATAGATACAGCTTGACTGTACACTTTTCGACCGACGCTTTTGACTCTCTTCGACTCTTCTTCGACATTCCGAGGCCCGAGCGTAACATTCCTCTCATTCAAAGCGTACGTGACGTGAGGAATGTGAGTTGAGGAGAGAAGTGTTTCGACGTACCTACGACCATGATAGTCATATGCAGAGCCTTCTTGGCCTGCTTACGACTTCGTGAGATACGGGAACTCATCTCGAGGTTGACGCTGAGCTGGCAGGACGAGGATAGTTGGAGGGCGGTGGGGTTGACAGAGAGGGTTGATGAGGCAGTCAGGAAGGAAGACTGGAAAGTCGTTCGGACCCTTCACGTCACGTAAGATGGAGAGAGTGAGAGTAAGAAGAGTCGTTTCCTCGACCCTTTTGAGATGCTTGTATAGAGAGAGAAAGTAGGACGAATATGAAGAGAGGAGAGGAAGAGGGAAGGGAGGCCTGAGCGTGAGTTGGGTTGCGTTGCAGCATGGCTCGTGCGCGACGCCCAAGTCCGCGCTCCCCCCATTTAACCACGTGCCACGTGGCGGTCACTGTACCACCTCTCGACTCGTTCGTACGCTGAACATTCACAACCTGGTCAAGTGTCCATCTTTCTGGCCATGCCGAGCTGCTGAGGAGGGCCTAAGGCAAACTACCGGTCATGTCACGCAACGACGGCCCCTCTTACTCCATAAGGAGAGCTCCACTGAATGCCGTCGCTTCCTCTTCGACGCAGTCTCGCAGTAATACCCCTAACTCGCGCGGCATCACCCTCGAGGACTGGGAAGCCAAGGCTCCTCTGACCGACAAGCAGCTGCAAAGCATCAATGTAGTCAAGGACAAAATCGGTCAGAGACCTCTGCCTTCCAGAGTGAGCCATATAATACGTCTAGCAAGCTCCTTGTCACTGACCACACAGTTCACTCAGCCCCCAGCAGGCTCTGCTCCGGACACACCAACCGCTCCCCGTTCAGCAAGAATAGCAATCCTCCAATCTCCTGATCCATCAATAGCACCTTCCGCTGCTCCTTCTCCTCGCTTGCCAGGTGGTGCCGTCCTTGTCCCGCCAGACACTCTGCATCCGAACGCTATTTCCACCCCTCAACAATTCCATGAGCACTTTACCGCCCTCACTCTCTCCACTGAACACGAACAGGACAGTCTTTATCGAGATCATTTGGCTGAGATAGTGGGTCTACGGGAGAAATGTGATGATCTCATACGGCTTTTACGAGACGGTGAGGGACAAGTGGAAGAAATGTTGAAATGTCTCGAGTATGTTGAAGAGCGAAGTGAGTCTCTGCGAGGAGCTTGTGAAGATCTCTTGGAAGAGCAGGTGAGCTCGGCTACGGAGAGATACATATATATATATCACTGCTCATCACCAGACTCATCTTCTCACTCACACTTCTCATCTCGCTCATCGACTGACTTTCTTCACTTTTCTCGAATCGGCCCAGAAAATGCTCAACAAGCCCGGTGACGCTCTCGTGCTCAGTGAAGATTTTCTCCCGATGGTCAAACGACTGGACGAGTGTTTGGAGTACCTTGGAGAACATGTGAGTCGCAGCAAGAATGTGGTCATCTGCTGAATGTGCAGCGTGACTTCAAAGATGCCGAGGTTTATCTTTTGAGATATCAACAATGCATGACACGGAGCATGACCCTGATCAAGCTTTACTTTGTCACAGCAGTTCGAAACCTTGGGGTCGAGGTGGGTAAAAGGACTACAGACACGGTCAGTCGTATCAATCTGCTCAAGTTCTCGCTCGCTAATTCTTGTAGTCACTTTCAGAAACCGCCACACACGCCCTTCTCTATACCAAATTTGTGACCCTTTCCACATCCTTACGCCCTCTGATCGCCGAGCTCGAACATAGGGTGTCTAGCAATCCTGATGAGCTCGCGGCATTGTTGGGGGAATGTCATTCGGCGTGGGTGACTACTCGTCATACTTTGGTCGGACATCGGGTCAACGAAGAGATCACACGTATGGAACCCGCAAAGTCAGAACTCGTTGATCTGGTAGGCATGCTTTTGTTTCTGAGTATCGACCTAACTTGCAGACACGTGCAGGATGCAGTTACCTCAAACAAGTGTGTACGGAAGAGTTTAATCTTTACAAACAATTCTTCCTCTCCGGCGAGTCACAATTATAGTACGTGCTGCATGACACCATTGTCTGAGCTAAGCTAATCTCATCAGTGGATTTCTTGAGGGACTATGCGACTGCCTATACGATTATATCCGCCCTCGTATCCTTCACGAGCCATCCTTGGAGACTCTCTGCAGTGTCTGCACTGTCTTACAAGCCCTTATGGTGCAAGACGTTACCGACGATGACGATCCGGACGCCACCGAAGTTCACACCCCAAGATCATACGCTTCCTCACCCGCATTCTACGGCGGCGTTGTTCCTGGAGATCAAGAAGACTACTTTTCGATCCGTCCCGCCTCACGTGCTCGACCAGGTTCATTTCGACAGACCTCTTACACTGGCTCCATCTCTGGAAGGCAGAGCGAGAGAAAGAGAACCAGACCGCCCTTATCGAGACTCCATACAGAAGTGTTGTTGAAGATGGTCTTACAAGACGCTCAGACTAGATTGGTGTTCAGAGCGCAGGCGTTGATACAAGCGGATGTTCAATATTACTCACCTAAGGAAGTAGACTTGGACTATCCCGAGAGACTGAAAGGTGCGCCTCTGTCTGTGGAGAGGAGTACTCATGAAAAGGAATGTTGCTGATAATCAGGGAAAGATGATAAATTGATACGACGTCAATTGTCTGTATCATTAGATGCCGAAGATGACGACGAACCAGCTATTCTCGCTATGCCTCCCACTGAGACCCAGGATGAGTGGTACCCTCCGTTACGAGTAACTCTCTGGGTATTGTCTTGTTTGTATCAATACGTCGATGTGAGTTCCCTCTATCCCTCACTACAGACATGACGCATTACCCTCTTCTAACTTGATATGTAGAAACGAGGGATTCCTACAGTGACAGTTTACTACCGTTTCAGATGCTGACGGTAAGACTGCCGTATTTGAGGATCTTGCCCAAGAAGCAATCACGATCTGTCGTAGATCTCTTACTACTGCCTCTGACTTGCTATCAGCGAAAAAAGACAAGATGGAAGATGGAAGGCTATTCCTCGTACGCCACTTGTTAATTCTTAAGGAGATGACTGCGGGTCTCGAGCTTAGTCGACGAGATAGGGAGAGGGAATGGTCCGGTATAACGGGTAAGACCGAACTTTCATCTCTGTTCCTGACTCTATAACACTCACTCCCTCCGTCTTTGTCCTCGAACTTCCAAAAGATGGATGATACTGATTTCAGATTTCCTTCGGGCACTCCTTGAGAACGCTACAATCATGCTTGGTTATGGAAAACCAACATTACCCAGTCATCTCCCAGATGCTAAAACCGTGAGACCATTTCTCTCAGTCCGAATTCACTCCTGCTACATCTGGTTGATCTTCTCTGAGTATGGCGGTGAAGTCGACGAACGCTGATATCAAACTCAGGACGTCGACAGAGAGTTGAAACGAGCTTGTGAAGACCTCATATCTCTCTGCGCGGCACGTGCGACATTACCATTACGAACTTTCATCGATAGATGTACCTCATACCTTTCTTCCTCTCGTTCTTCCACATCAACCTTATCGGATCAGACTTTCGCGTCTCCACAGAAGGTTAAAGAGGTGCATGATGAGTTCCGAAAGCTCTGTGTGGGCGAAGTAGACAGATGGGAATCCCGTTTGATGTTGTATCTTGGAGATGAGGAGACAGTCAGAGTTCTGGTGCCTCCTGCTCAGGTGAGACTTTGTTCATTCTCCTCTTCTACCAATCCCCCGGCCCCACTCCTCTCTTCTCTTCCAGCTCACCCCCTCTTCACGCTACAAGTGGCTGGTCAGGGATCGCCGATCCATGTTGGAACGCTATGAACAGGAGAAAAGGTGGTATGGGGTGGTATTGTGAGAAAAAGAGATGGCCAGCTGACTAATGTCAGAACGCAATAGTCGACGGTTATAGACAATTTCACGATCTCGTCCGATCGGAATACGACTTTTCGACTGCTGCTGGTATTCTTACACCTTCTGCAGTATACACACTTTTGACTTCTGGCACGAGCATCGCTTCCACGGGAGGTAATGACAAACACTATTGACCGTTAAACGGACGTAGGGAATGTATGCATATGCCGTGGTTTTGAACCGACGTCACTCTTTCTTTACTGCGTTTCAGATCCATTGTGAATGTCTCATTGCAGTACTTGACCTGCATGCTAGCACGACTTTGCCAGGACATGAACATCAAGCTCTCAACTGTACGAGTATCGTGAACGAGCTAAGGGACTGTGGTTGAGGACGGCCAGAAGGTCATCTTCCTCCTCCCATCATGCGCATAAGTTGACTCATATCTACTCCATCAGCTACGGTCTCGTTACAGAACAGATACTTACCTGGCATTCCACCACCTCCACCACCCATAGCTTGCATCGCTTCTGCTCATCAGTCTCACTCTTAATCTCAAAGCACGACTCAAGGGAAGAAAAAAATAGTAGTATAACAGAGGCTATGGACAGAGGAGACCAAGTAGAGACTAAAAGGTGGTGGACTCTACGCACGTTGCATTTGGCCCATATCCGGCATCCCTCCTCCACCACCACCTCCACCCATCATACCCCTCATCATGGACCCAAAGTCCATTGCACCTGGTCCGGCACCCGGTCCTGCACCTGGACCTGCACCAGAACCTCCCATCATTTCCTGCATCATCTTTTGTGCTCCATGAGGACCCATGGACCGGAGTTTTCGCATCATCTCAGGAGGCATGGCGCGCTGGTTATCAGTCATCTTCGTGCTCCCCTATCCCCCAGTCATTTGGAACACCACGGAGCTGGAAGAGCTGACTTGTTGAGCAAAGGCGATGGGCGAATGGTTCAATGTACGTAGAGGAAGCGGACACTTGGGAGGAGGGGATGAAGTGTGAGAAATATGATATGGTGTGGGAGAATACCTACTCTCATAGCTTCAATCTGCGCGGGACTGGGTTGACCATTAGGACCTAATGGTTTGCCTCCCGCTGCAGCCTGCATTTTCTGCATCGCTGACATCCTGTCGTAAGTGGAGTTTCTCCTGACACAGGCTTCCCATCATGATGGAAATACAGAACATACAAATGGCAATGACTGCGAGAGCAGCAGGAGCGGTGTAATGACAACATGGAAGAGATACGAGAAAAGTGGACAGAGCTGTAGATAAAGATGGATATGAGAGATAAGAGCGACACACCATCCATTCTGTCCCCCAGCCTGACGTGCCATACCAGCCATCATCCTAGCTTGCGCTAACAACTCTTCCACCTCTCTGAGCGAAGTACCAGACCCTCTTGCGACTCTTCTAGCTCGACGATTAAGTCCTACGGGATGACCAGCTTTATCAAACGAAAACTACTTTATCAGCTCCACCCCACCCCTTGTATATAAAAATGGCATTTCATAAGATTCACGTTCGAAAAGAAGAAAGATGGACACTCATCATGGAGATGGATTCGATCATGTTAGGTGGGGTTCAGAAGGAAAAGGGAATGTGTCACTCACAAATATCAATCCGTCCGAATCCAACTCATCCTGTCTCATTGCATCCGTAATGAACATCAACCTTTTCATCTTCATAGTCGCTTCTTCTTCACTACCATCCATGACACCGGCTGGTAAACCAGGTATCATCGAAGCGATCTTTGACAATGATCCCCTGTAAGTCAGCTGACTAGAGGCAAAAAAAAACTTTAGTAACTCGCATATTCATGATACTTGACAACTGTTCTCGCCAATCGCGCAAGGAGAATTTGCCCTGTTCGAGTTTCTTAGCCATCTCTTTTTGTCGTTCCGGATTGGCTCTGGCCATATCCTGCCTGTTGATTTAGCTTCTGCATTACTTTTCATGTCTCCTCCTTGCCAATATCACTCCATGATAAGGGTGATGGTCATAAAGTTTCCAGGGAAAACGGGAGAAACGTCAACTTACATATGCTCCATAAGGCCCTGCATATCTCCCATACCTAACAATTTGGAGACGAAAGGTTGTGGTGCGAAACGTTCGAGATCATTCATATGTTCTCCCGTGCCCAGAAAGATGATAGGAGTTTTGGTCGCTGCCACACTGTCTATAAGAATTTCAACTATTACATCAAGTGAGAAATGACTCACGCTGAAATGGCTCCACCACCTTTAGCATGACCATCAAGTTTGGTAACGATTATAGCTCCGAAATCTGCGCTATCTTTGAAAGCTCGACTTTGACCTTCCGCCGCTTGACCTATAGAAGCGTCAAGAACCATGATTGTCATGTCCTGACTTGTCAGCTATTTGTCAAACCGTCCATAAAATTCTCATTTCTTCCCCGTCCTTCCATCAATTTCTCACACGCCTCAATGTACAGAGCCTGGCAAGGACCGCAAGGGGGAGAAAGCTGAGAGTTTTGTGCAGAGTAGACAGCTATACTCACAGGTTTGACAGCATTACTTATAGCTACCATCTCTTCAAACAACTCGCTTTCTTGTTTATGTCTTCCCGAAGTATCCACAATGATTACCTCGAACCTTTCTTCCCTCTCAGCTTTATCCATCCATTCAGTAAAGTTCAAGACTCACCTTTTCGAAACTTTTCAACTCCCAACGAGGCGATGGCCACGGGATCCGTCTCCGTGTAACTTCCGTAGAAAGGGATTTTAGCCTTGGTGGCATTCCTACATCCTCAACTTCGTCCAATAAAGTAACGCTACGTACTGTTTCAACTGATCAAATGCCCCAGCTCGGAATGTATCCGCGCAGACCAGACATGTCCTGAAGCCTCGTCTTTGATAATGCACGGCGAGCTCAACGTCAGATTGCTTCTATCATTTTCCTTGAAACGAAAGACTGACCTTGGTACATGTAGTTGTTTTCCCTGCTCCCTATCATATCAGTGACGAACTATGTGCTAAGCTAGGCCGCTGACCTGAATACCAACAGCCATCAGGACGTTGGCCTTCCCCTTTATCGGTTTGTAAGGTTCCACACCCGGGTCGACCAAAGCGACCAGCTCATCAAAGACCGCCTTCTGCACCACATTCTTTCGATTGACTTCTCGTCCCCCCGCAGCAGCACTCTCTTCCAGACTTTTCTTGACTTTGGTCTTCACTTTATTACGGAGCGAAGCTACGAGTTTGACGTTCACATCAGATTCCAGAAGGGCCGCCGTGAGTTCTTTCAAAAGAGCATCGAGGACCTGAAACGTGAGCACAGCGGCAATGGCAAAAATGACCAGGGCTAACCTGATCATCTACCACTGGAGCCCGAGAGAGTTGTGAAAGAGCGCCGTGAAGACGAGCCCCAAGATCTGCTAATACCATGATAGTAGCGATGTGTGCGGTCAGTGCTAAAGAGTGCTGAAGTAAAAGACGAGATATGACGATGAGCAGGTGCAATGCGATTGTTAGTGCCTCCGCGGTGGTTTGAACACCGGACCTTTTCATCACGTACTATACGTACAAGTGAAATGCTCTACCACTGTGCTACGCAGGCTTCATTTTTGTAGAGTGCGGGGCCCCACGCGTCCTGATCATATATATACCCCCAAATACACCTGTGGCATTCATTGTTCAAGCATTCCAGTCTTCGTCGTCGGTGTTGTTCTCAGATCACCCAATAATTGCCATGGCCTACCAGCCCGTGTCAAACTCAACGAACCAATTCATGTGAGTCTTGTCCCTTCCGCCTCTGTTACACCCTGGTTCAAATACATCTCTCTTGTGAGCTCCTGCTGACCATCCAGACCAGCAGACGATGAAGACCTTGACGCCCTTTCCTTCTCCCAACCTAACCCAAACGCTTCCTCTTCATCCTCCGTCCCTCAGCCTCCCCCATCTCCACTATTATTAGGAAAGATAGGCTCCACCGCTAGACCCAACACGAGCTCATGGGGCGGTGTCAAAGTAGAAACTCGGTATACTGGAGAAGCGACTCTCGATGAACCTGTCAGTAAGACCATTGTGAGTTTTCTAACGTATGTCCATCATTCCTTGAAGTCTCCGCTTCCTATCTATCTCCACCTCGTGGCTTATAGCTCAACACCCTTCATCTCCTTGTTTGATGAAGGAGAACCTGGTGCTGTGTAACCGGATATGATTGATATTTTTGGCGATTGAATGGATGTACTCATGTGTTAGATGCGAGACCTAAATTCCATCTATGCAAAACTCCTACAGGTTCTTTATCCGCCTAAAGGAGCTGGAAATAATCAACTATTACGGTAAGCTCCCCTCGTCTCGATGATTTAGCTCTAACAATCTATAGGGACTGGGATTTATGGGGACCTTTAGTGATATGTTTATCGTTGGCTATCATTTTATCTCTCGACGTGAGTTTCGGTGTTTCCTCACCGCTGATATCATTCATCATTCCTCACTTTCCACTCACTCACAAATGTTAATTTCCATCTCGCCTCAATGCCAATGGACGATTACAGGCCGTTGTTGCTCCGTGTACGAATAGCGGACTAGGATAGAGGAGATGGCTATGATATTGAGGAGGTCATATGTGCCTTTGCTAAATGCCCAGGCCCCGAAAGCACAATCTATGCAAGTATTCTCACTCGTCATCTCACTCATTACCGTTGGTTCTGTGGTCGTCACCGTCAATTCCAAATTACTCGGTGGGAAAGTGTACGTCTCTCTTTTGTATACGCAAATCATCAACGTTACTGACAATCTAGATCATTCTTCCAGAGTCTCGTGAGTTCCTTGACATTCTACCTTTCCATTTGTCCTTGCAATCCATTGCTTTTTGCCCATAGATCTTGTCCTGTTACACAGGGTAATGAACCCTGTGCGGAGAAGGAAAAGTGCATCCGGTGTCGCCGATGACAATGGTAGAACAAGCTGACAACAGTGCGTCTTGGGCTACGCTCTTGCCCCTGTTTTATTAGCTTCCGTCGTCTCTTTCCTCGTCCACAATCTCTTTGTCAGGATACCTGTATCCCTCGCTTGCTGGGGATGGAGTGTATGGGGTGAGTAACTCTTCGCCTTCATTGAATGATACTCATGCTGTAGCCTCGATGAACTTCTTCAACGGAACTCGATTGCCAGAATCACGTCTCATGCTTGCTGTCTACCCCATTTGTCTTTTTTTCTTCGTCCTGGCTTGGATGATCATCATCCAGTGAAATGCATCTACCTAGAGTTCCTGGAGCAGGGAGTAGAAATGATAGCACGAAACACCATGAAAGATATGATTTGAGAGAAAAGATGCATCACATGATTTTACCTATACACATTCACTACTTTAGTACAACGATTGCTACATGATTCCGGACTTCGTACCCAAATTTTTCATCTTCGTCCCTGTCCCATAAACCCATCGGTAGACCCTCGTTCATTTCATTTGATAGTTGATGATGAATACTTGACGGAGAAAGACCAGCACCAGCGCTGTGCTGCATGTGGAACGGAAACAGATAGGAGGGTGATATGTGAGGAGGTGAACGATCCTTAGAAGATTGCAGGTGCATGGACGGCCACACCTGCTCCGATGATGTGCGTTACGACAGGAACGATAGGGATCTCGGCCATACACATCGCACAATGATAGTCGTACACATGATTGGATAGGTTGAGGATGCAGTAGGTGGGACGATCTCTAGCGACGCAGCCAGGACAGGCGAAGAGAATGCACTGCGAGTCAGCGGTGTAACTCGCAACCTTCACTTATCTTTCTCTACATTCAGACGCCACCGATGATAGCACCGCCGAGGGGTTGCAGTGGTAGAGATATGAGACTAGGAGAATGGAGGGAAAGTGTGGAAATATCAAAGTCATGAACACTCACATTAGGATGACACTCAACATGCTGTGGTAAAGGGGCACCCTGTCTTGAAGCGGAATTTTGCATCGCAGGAGATTTAGGAACAGCCGTGGTGGAAGCCAGAGGACCTTGACATAGCTATCATCAGCATCATCCCTCTTTCACCACTTTCCCATCGCATGGACGACGGTGGCGGGAGGTGATATGACTTCTCGGGGCCCCCAACATGAAGGATGAAACAGGAAAAATGTGATACTCACTTTGCAATTACCACAAGCCATATTTACTACTTCCAGAATAGATGTTGATCGAATCAAGTGATCCTTCGATAATTGTAGATTACGAAATGAAAAAAAGTCGAGTTGTCAAACAGACACCGATACGAACAACCAACGTCGGGATATGTTTATATATCCCTCACTAACCTTTCAAGCTCCACTAGATGGAAAGCAGTCTTCTCCTCACGCCCTTGTACAACCCCGCGTCCGACCAGCTCGGGGCAACGAGGGATAGCGGGGAAGGCCGGAGTCAAGGAGGTCGAACGCTTTCATCCAATGACTTGACCCATCAACCATCAAAAGCGTAGTTGTATCACCGTGATCGGTCCTTTGACCCCGAGCTCCACCCCGCTCAAACGCTTCGAACGGCGCACAAAAGACGCTGCATCTCTAGACGTCTCACACGTTCGTTCTCCTTCAAGCCGAATGTGTCAGTGTAGCTGAATGGGTCGTTCGCGTCACAGAGCTAAGAAAGATGAGAGGATGCATGTATAGAGTGTCGAAGACCGAAGTGGGAAGGCTTGGACCTGAAAGGATGCATGTGTCTTCCCATGACGTGACCATCTTCTTGATTAGACGCATTGAGACAAGGTGAAAATGAGGACAAGGCGAGGCAGAAAGCGTAGGATCAATCCGGCCGGATCTAGTCTTTTTGTACTGTACACAGAGAGATCCTCGCTTTCTCTTGATGAACTGATCGTGACAATCTTGCCTTTCCTGATGACCGTGATGGTAAAGATCGGCCCGGTCATCCCGACGTAGATTCGGTCTTACGTCGCTTTTTCTGGCTCTGTTTCTTTCGCCTCGCTCTCTCCTGCTGAGCTTGTGTCTTGATCTTTGACTTCAGTCCTTCCTCAAGCTCGAGGTCAGATTGAAAGGCAGCGTCCTCCTCTTGCATCTCCTCGACCGACCGTTTGGCGGAGGACTTCAGGATGGGCGACGAGTTCCGGACGAAACAAGCGACGAAGAAACCGTTGGTCTTGTCTTGGTCGGGAAGACAGCGAATAACACTCTCAGCGAGAGCTGCAAGTCAGTCAAACTTCTGTAGAGGCGCTTTCACAGGATAAACGCCAAGACATGATGGTCACTTACTCTCCTCCCCGCCTAATTCCTCAGCCCGTCCTCTACGCGACCAAGCGGGAAGAACTTCTGCGCGAGGGGCTAATTTCCAGCCGGCAGCTTGGGCATCAGAGCTTTGCAGCGCAGCGCGGGCAACTTGTTCGTCCTCTTCAGCATGTATCGAACAAGTCGAGTACACGATCCTCCTCGCCGCAGGGACTAAGGGTCAGCACATAAGTCCACTTGGACGACTCGCGTTAAGAGATGACTTGCATTGGAAGGCATGCAGAATCATTTGCAATTGAAACGCGGCCAATTTATCCAGTCTTTCCGCCTGACCCGACTCGTCCACCTCGGCTTCAACCAAGTAATCCAGACGGTTGACGATACCTGAGCCTGAACAACTCGGGTCGAGTAATCTGGCTAGTCAGCAAGTCCCGCACGAGGGCATAGACCATCGAGTCTCTCTCTCGTGGACAACTGACTCACATTCGGGTCACCTTGGCAAATTGCTCATCACGTGGATTCGACTCCAAGAAATCACTATTCCTCACTTTCACATTGTTACAACCCGCTTTCGCCAACATCTTCTCCAATGTTATGAATCGCCCTTTGGACCTCTCAAACGCCCATATCGTACTGCGGTTACCCATCAAAGCCGCAAGATGCGAAGTCTTGTTGCCAGGAGCGGCGCTGCCTATCAGACAAATTTGCGAGTAAGAGAGATGACTTACGTCGCGTCAAGACATTCACCTTCGCCATCTCGCCATCCGTGCATTAGCACCTTTGCAGGGAAACACGATGCTTTGTCCTGTAATATAACCGCTCCAGAGGCGTACCACTCATCTTCTATCCACCAGTTGGTGCCCGGTGGGAAGACGAGGAGACAGTCCGGTAAGTGTGGGTCCATGAAGAATTTTCCACTGGGTATCGGCCAAGTCTCCTCGACGTTCTCAAAACCATATTTCTCCTTCAAATGACGGAAAAGGGCGTCAAGGGACCAGTCCTCAGGACGGGAGAGATCGATGTTCGGGTTCCATCTCACATATCGAGCTTCACCTCCTTGTGACGATCGTGCGAGATCTTCTTTTCGCTGCTTTCCTTCGCGGATTTGAAGCTTCACGAGTTCGGAATGAAAACGGGATTTGTGTTTGAGGATGGCTTCCTTCGGTGGCCATTTGTCAGAAGCCTCGATTCGTGATTTTGTTGAGAAGAGTAGGTCATGGAGCAACACGAGGATGAGAGATCTAGATGAGGGAGTACGAGGTGGGGTCTTTTTAGGAAAGGTGATACGTTCCAGGGAAAGAAGAGGAACGATGTCAAGGAGTTGGATGAGCACAGGCCGGTCTGAAATCAGCAATGTCTTCTGGGTTCTTTAATTCTGATCACGGGGTATGATTAATGATGCATAAACTTGATGGCTCACATTTGAGAGTCTCTATGACCACTACAGTCCATTAGCATAGGATGATGTCGTAGGAGGAAACATACGAGCTAAGACCCTTTTCGTCTCTGGAGGCGAAAGTTTAAGACCTGCGGCGACGAGAGAACCTTTGACAGAACCTTGGTGTTTGTCCAAATGATCAATGACCGAAGCTGCAGATTTGTAAAAGTTCATCTGATACATATGAGCTATGGTCAACTATCAAAACAGTGGCACACCTCATCGACGCCAAGAGGGAGTATGGAGATTATAACGATTCGACGCTTTTTTGCAGCTTGCTGGATGACAGTCAGCCACTCCATACACACATCAGAGTGATAAAATTCGGACTATGAGACTCAGAGGTGTAAACTTGTCGACATTGAACATTCCGACAATGTAGATAAGTAGTGTAGACATCATAAAGCGGCCGTCGTGGTAGGAAGACTGGACGACGAAGAAGATGAGGCAGTGAACAGAGAGATGGCCATCTTACTCACAGATACAGTAGAAAGTGTGATACGCCAGAGCGACGGATGACTTCTATTTCCTGGGAAAGATTGATATGGTCATGCACAGAGTCATGACAAGACGATGTGAAAAAAGTTTCGACCGAAATTTTAAGCCTGGGGGGTGATCGGGAGGAATTACTAATAGAAGCTTAATGCATCACAAAACTTATACTAATGAGCCACGTGGCATCTGAGCTTGGGACGCGTCCGTTGATTTCCTCACATCCAGCCTGTGCAGCTGTCAATCAAATTCACATCTGACTTAGATCTATAACATCATGGTACGTTCATCTTCCTTCAGTGGGACACGGGATAGTGTCAGGTTGACCAGCTGCCCCCCAATGGCTCGATATGGCTTACCCTAAGCTAACATGCAGTCGTCCAAACCGTCTTCCCTCGGTGTCGGGTTTCCCTCAACCAAGAAACCAAATCAAACTGCTCACCCTCGTGAACCATCCGGAGGAGCATATACAATGTTCACACCTCAACAAGTGAAACAGTTCAAAGAAGCTTTCAACATGATAGATCAAGATGGGGATGGGAGAGTTACGGAGGGAGATTTAAGGGTCATGTTGGCGAATCTAGGTTTGTTCTCAACTCTCTCCCTCTGAAACATTCCATCCTACTCTTCCGCCAACATAAGCTTCTCTCCTATCGCTTCCACTGTCAAAATTCATACTTATCGAGATCCCCTCACTCTTAAGGTTAAGACTTACACATCCTCAATCGACGACTTGAAAGCTGATTTACCTTTGGTGGAATAAGTGGCTGTGTGGAACGGACAGCTGAAGATGTTGAGATTCTTTGCAACTCGGAGAGAAAAGACATTTGAATGATGTACTGACCCCAGGTCAAACACCAACTCCAACACTACTCAACAACTTACTATCTTCTCGACCTGGAAATGCCAATTCTGGTCAGAACAAGGAAGGTATAAACTTTACTCAATTCTTATCAATGATGGGAGAACGTTTATTAGCTCTTGATCCAGAGCCGGAACTCTTGGAAGCTTTTGCTAGTTTCGATGAGGGAGATAAAGGTGTTGTGGATGTTAAAGAGATGCGAAGATGGCTTGGAGAGATGGGAGATAGGATGGAAGATTGGGAAGTGAGTTTTGTTTCTTCTCAATCATTTTTACATCGACTTGATTCTTTCCCCACAATGATATCTCATATATTCCTTTAACCCCCACTTCGACGTCTCACGCTATGGAGCGATTACAATGAATATTCTGTCCGTCATCACTTCTACAAGAATATCGGTGTTTTTTGCCATCTTAGGAGATGGAGAGTCATTGGTCTACAAAAGAAATGAGCATGCGTAGATATTGATATCAGATCGACCGTCTTTTCTCCGGTCCATTTACTAGAGGAGGTAAATTCGACTATGTGGAATTTGCCAAAGTATTACGTGTTAATGATGGTGAGGAAGAGAGAGATGATAAGTTAGCCACTTGATGACTATGGATCCATACACATTGCAGACCTTAGAGCTGTCATAGGCCGGTTCGACCCGAGAATGACATTTGTTGTAAAATGCATGTACAGTATGACATCTACATTCTCTTGTGTACCGGTACATTTGCGATTTCACCATTCATCAATTATAATAATTCCATGCCAGACTCGTGAGTTTACAGAACCAAAAGTCAAAGGTCGACTTATCAACTGATTAAGAAATGCATTAACTCATGAAATGACGTCCGTACTCTACTCGTCAACCATTCGATACTTCACCTTTAGTCCACATACTAATAGCCATCATTGCACTCGCAGCATTCCATAACCTTCTACCTTTCCCAACTTCCATTTCTGACACATGATCCATTACTTCTCTTTCCAACATATCGGAATAACTCATAGCTACATCCCTCACTTTAAGCCAAATCACTCCTATCTCTTCATCTGAACTTATCGCTTGTCCAACTTTATCTTTCAAAGCTTGTAAAAGGGTGAGAGAAGGAACATCATGAGAGACTAGATACATTGCCAAATTTGTACTTTTCATTTCATCATCGTTGTCATCCTTTTCCACTCTCTCCTCCTCTCGACGTATGTTGAATTGTGAACGATCCATGGATGTCGCAGAGGATGAAAAATGTGTGTCATGTGATTGTGACTGTGATGTGATTGATTGAGGTAGAACAGAGTTGGGCCATTTCCAACGATAATAATAATGTCCAAGGATCAACGGATCGAATTTGACCTGCTCTTTCAGACGTCTACGTAGGGTTGAGATGAGTGAAAGTCGGATCCAAGGTGGTCTTTTTTCACCTGGAGTTAAAGTCGGAGGAAGATAATGAGAATCGTATATCTTTGAAGATAAGAATGTAGACAATAAAGTTAATTGTCGATATCTTTCCACTTGAAGATCATTTTTATATTGATATAAAACTAAATCGAGATAAAGAGGAAGTAAGATGAGTTTATCCAAGGCGATACATTCGATAAGAAGTGTTCGAATACTTTCGTCGATACTACTTTCATTCTCTCCTTTCTCTACTATTGCATCTTCAACACCCTCGACTTTCATTCGAGATGGTATAGTTCGATGTTCTACGGAAAACGCCGCTGTGGGATTTATCTCGAATTGTCGAGAAGATGAAACGGGAGTCTTTGAACCTGATGAATTGGGAGATTTTGAAGATGTTGAATCGAAAGATTTTGAAAAATGTCGAGATAATCCCACCAAAGCAGAATCACCTAAATGTGCTTTGACCAAATCCAAAACTTCTTCTGATCCAGGTGAAGGTGGTGAAGCAGGGGATATAAGATCCCAATGCATATCTATACCAGTCATACTTCCAGCTCTTACGAAAATACTTCGATGACCTTTTGGATCTGTATTATAATCCAAATAACCCGTTTTACGTTTAACGAATACTGTTTTCGTTTTGACCAAAGATGTTCGATCTGAAGAAAAAGGTGATAAATCATATTTGATAGGCCAATATCTAGGTGAATCAACTTCTATATTGATCAAAGATTCAAAAGGAGCGATCAAAGTTGGTGATATTAAATTTTGTTGTCTTGTAGTTTTTCCATTCTCATCTTTCAACAGGACTTTGACCAAAAGATAAACAGTTTCACCCGTATCAACATCTCTTGCTAATAAACATCTTGGTTCAACTGCTAATGCCCATAAATGTCTGAATGCTTGAGGATAAGATCGATTATCACTTGGAGTAGGTTCGAATCTTGGAAAGAAAGAAATAGCCATGATGGCAATAGAAAGATTTGAATTTCCTAATGTATAATGACCTCGACCTAAGAATAATAATCCACATGCCATGTGCATTGCCATATGTGTACCATATGTTACACCTGCACCTTCTTGTCCATGTGCTAATCTTAATCGACGTAAAACGCTAAGTTCACCAGTACCTGACATTACAACGGCTAAAGCGATAGTTACAACGTTTAATCCTTGTCGAGCGGCATGTCGACGAATACGTCCTTCGTATGTCATTGAAGATCCTGTAGCGGCTTTGTTCAAGATGGAACAGAAGAATATCAGGTTTGTATGTGCTAATTCTGCTGCTGTTCCGGCGTATTTAAGACCAATCGCGAAACATGCTCCGGATATTATATGGATATATGCCAATTCGTGTGAAAGTTCCATTTGACTAGATCGTCGATGACCTTTATGTTCCGATTGTATGAAAATGGGAAGTTGATCTTCTATCCATTTTTTCGAAGGAGATACTTCTTCCCACATTATCAAAGCTCGAGATAAGGTACGAAGAAGTAATAGTTCAGGTCGAACAGCTTCTAATTCGAAATCCGTTTGAGGGATAGTAAGCATGTCGGCGATATCTCGTCTGTTGGTTTTGAGATACATGAATCCTAAAGCTAACGTAGCACCAGAAGAAGTCAAAGTCGGATCAATCGTTCCGACGTGAGACTTGGTACGAGATCTTTCGAGAGAAGGAGCATCACCGTAGATACATCTTCGAAGTTGAGATAATATCCGTCGATCCGCTTCGGAAGTTATGGAACCTCCTCGACCTAACATGATAAGTCCAAATGCCATGGCGGCAGAGAACGAATACGCCTCGGCATAATCGGCAAAATTATCAACACCGACCATTGTTTTCCTACCAATCTCAAATAACGCAACTTCCGCCATACGCAAATTTTTGCTACCAACGTATAACAATCCCAACCCTACCAGAGCGGAAGACTGGATGAGAGGGGAAGCGTTGAGTTCCATCGATCCGAGAGGTAAGAGTGCGTGGGTATGGAGAGAGAGTACTTTGGTAAGAAGTACATCCTCTGTACCAACGTACGAACATGCCAGACCCAATAGAAGACCAACGGAGATGAAATCATTTCTTGGTTCTAGATAAGGGAAAGCGTGATAAGTCATGAGTTTGCGTAGATGTCCTGTTAAGCCGAGACCGAGGAGAAAGCCACCGTGGCCCATGGTCAACGTAGCAGGTCGATTGAAAACTATCCAACTCGAATCGATACCTTTGCTATCGGGAGAGATCGACAATGCGGCCGATACACCAGAATGGAAGCTCGGCCATTCAGCATTTTCAGGTAAGATAGGTGGTTTCATGGTGTGGTTTCCAGGGACAATTTTTACGGATAGTTCGATCAGGGGTATGTCCCACACATCAGTGAGGGTCGTTCGACGTGTTCCATATTCGAATATACCTTGACCTACGGTGATGGAAAGAGTTCGATTGGTGATCGCGTTGACGGTCGATTGATGATGATGTATGATTTCCTGTTCACTGGCTCCAGGACGAGTGTGTACGATGATTGTTCGCATTCTGGAAGTCTGCATGATTCTCTCTACTTCTTGCAAACGTTTGTCAGAGCCGAAGCGGACGTGGGGAAGGGCGTGATGATGTTTTTGGTCACCCGTTCCGATTTTGAGGTCTGCCACTGTTGGTCGCTCCCCTTCGAGTGGCTGTGATCAGTGAGGTTTCATACAGAGATGTACTCAAGCCATGAACAAACGAGCGGCGTTAGATAGGATCAAATTGAGAGGCGGAAGAGATACTTCTGATCTGACAATGCGTAAAGGAGTTGATGAAAGTGATGAACGGAAGTCGAAGGAACGTGGTAATGACCTACCTCAGCAACCACAGTCCCCATCGGAGCCGTCCCACCTCTCTGCACACCCAGATCATTCCGTCCCACAAACCGACAAACTTCCGGTCCCCATTGATTATCAGGATACGTCTGACAAACCCTCATCGTCTCATAAATAGGCATAGCCACACCAGCTGGGAGATCATGTATCCACTCATGTCCCAACCCAAGACGAACCATGAGAGTGACCATTCGTGATGCTCTTGTCAGAACGTCTATTCCGGGTGATACGGCGAGAGCGTCATATACCTGACATACAATAGAGGTCTGATGACAACAAGAGGATGACGAGGAGGCTTCTGTGGCGGAAGGGGAAGCGAGGGACGTCGGACTGGGAAAGGGTTTGACGGGATGTGTGAGACGATGAAGAAGGTGAGTGAGGATGTCTGGGGGTTCGGAGAATTTATCAAGAAGGCTTGTATTGCATGGGTGATCGACTGATATCAGCTTCTAACTTATCCCATGAGGGGGAGCGGGAGGAAGTGATTTGTCAGTTGTCAGAGAGCTCAATCAAATTCGGTCAATCCTGAGCGAGAGCCGATAGCATTATTGAAGAGGAGGGGGGTCAGGGGAGCAACAAGGCAATTGTGATTGTGAGAGCAGGGCATATGGATTGAATGTGAGAGTTGGTAATGAAAGACTAGTGCCAGACGGCAAGAGCAAGTCGACGGAGCAGGGGAAAAACCAGTGACTGTACTCACCAGGAGAAACGACAGATTTGATAGCACTAGGTATCAACCTTAACCAATAATCCATCCAATCTTTTCTCCCTGCCGCACTGCTCAAACACACTATTACCTCTGCAACATCTACCAACTCCCTTTCCCTCATACTTGATAATCTACTATCCTGTCCTACTAAATGCAAAGCCATAATAACCCCTCCCATCTCTTTCTCGATGGATAAAACTTCCTTCCTCCCTGGAATCATGTTCACTTTAGTCCGTGCGGCTCTTGCCAATCTACGAATAGTTGGATCTGACGATTTCCTAGCTTGTTCACATAACTTTCCAAATGTCCCTTCTGCCCTATATATTGGAATCTTAAGACAATGTCGTAAGATAATGGTAAACTTTGTCCATTCTGTCGAAATAAGTTCGGCGGGATCTGTATAGTCGGTTCGCATGAATTCTTGATGAAATATAAAGAAAGCTTCTTCTGTTAATAAATCGGATAAAGCAGTCATACATCTTCCCACTAGACCATTAGGGAAGACGTAATGAGCTGAAAATCTGATTCGTTCTTCATCGTCGAAAATAGCTGTGAACGATGATTTGACAGGATCAACAAGTTTGATTACTTTCCTTTCGATTGAATGAGGTGCGTGAAGGTCAGTCATCATACTGAAACTCGAAGCTAATTGACGGACTGCTTCGTCTGATCCTTGTTGTGAATCTGGAGGGAGACTGAGAGACATGAGACGTCCACAACTACCAATAAGATTTAGAGAACCTTGAGGAGTGAGATAGATAGTGTCATGGATGTTTGGACGTGTGGAGATGATCGGGATGGCTGATGTGGATGAGAGAGAACGAGAGAGGGTAACACCGTAATGGGGATAAGGGGTGGTGTGAAGTCGGATTTCGAATATGTGTAATTGGGCAGAGAAAAGAATGTTCAGATTTAGAGAGGATGGAGAGATGTCATCGGAGATGAAAGCTTCAATCGTGTTAGGGTCGATGTTGCTGATAATCAGCCAGGGGCCGGACAACTGAAATAAGGTGAGACCAAACTCTCAAGCAAAGAAACAAGAGGTGAAAGAAGAGATACATAGCATCGCGTTCAGAGTTAGTACTTGTGACAGAGGAAGGACAACGGAATGGTAAAAATGAAGGAGTTGGCACAATGATCAGACAGTCAAGAAAGAAACTCGACCCACTTTGGTAACTTATATGCCCACAGTCTATCCAAAACCCACGCACTCCTTCTCTCTCTACCCCTTTCTAAACCCATCATCATAGTGGTTTCCCTCAAATCTCCCCATCCTCCCATTTTCAACCTTCTCTCTGTTACTCTCACTTCACTTTCCAATCTCATTGTAGATCCTCCTGACATTCTCCTATCTTCCTTCCCTCCTCCCATGACTACTCCTACAGAAGATCGAGACTTTTTATTCCTTCCCACTCCACTTCCAGGAGGTACGAACCCCGATCCGGGTCCCACAAAACCTGAAACATTCGCAAACCCAGATCCTGTACTCATCCCTACGCCAGTACCCGAGATGACTGAACTACTGGCAAAAGGTTGAGGGTCCAGAGTAGCTTGAAGTTCTGAAGGTTGAGGTTGTATCGTCCCTATCTTATTCTCTTCTAATGGTCCACCGGCACCTCTTGACATCCTAGGAGCACGCCTTTGTGTCCTATCGAGAGGATCTGCACTTGAGATATGTCTTTCTTGTCCTAAAGAACCTTGATGACGATGTAAAGAAGTTCTTGGTTTTCGGCCGATCGTAGTTTCTTGATATGGCATTGACGTGTCGATTGGAGGTAATACACGTCCTTCAGCAGGGACAAGGTCATTACTCGGAGAAGACGAGACAGGTGAGGAAGGAGATACATAGACTCTTCGAAAAAGAACCAATTCACTTTTTGTTCTATCATGTGATAAAATTAAAGGATAATCTTGAAATACCTCAAGAACGGTAAGTTCAGGACCTATTTCCATTGGGGTACTAGTGCATTTAGCTTCTTTGGAAGGATAAGGATATCCACCTTGAACTCGGGATTGAGAAATAGGTTGGAATTCTTCAAATGGTGAAGATAGGGTATATAATCTAGGTAGAGAAGGTAATTCGTCGAGATCTTGTTCTAAATCGTCTAATGCGGAGGAGAGTGAAGTCATTCCGGTTAATAAACTAGAAGAACGAGTTGTCATTTCTCTTCGTTCCAATACTCTTTGAACGAGAAGACCACCACCTTGTCGTGATTTAGGAATCTCATCCTGGCCAAGTCCCGGATGATCCCGAGGGTTGGGGGGAAATGACGAAGGCTGTTGATAGTTGAAAGCGAATGATGGTTGTTGAGGTTGAGAGTTTTGAGGGAATGTAGAAGGTCGTTCAAAATTGTCAGGAAGAGTTGAAGTTTGCGTGGTGGAAGTAGGAACGAAAGATATTGACCAAGCTTTATCCACCAAGAACGGAATATGGAAAACCACATTTTCTCCATTGGACCAATAAACGTATCCTTTACTTTGAAGCAAAACGACCAAACTCCTACCCTTCCTCAGCTGACCCCATCCTCCATCCGTTCCTTCCTTCTTTCCTCCTGAGAATCCTGCACTACTTCCTCTTGAGTCTTGTCCATCGTACGAAGATATATGTGGTGATCCCCATTTCCCTGCTCGACTTTCATAGAACGGTCCGAACATTTCAGCACGACCATTCGGGTCAAGGATTCCTGTTGGATCTTTGAACTTTTCTGAATGTTGAGTGGCATTTATGTTTCTAGTCGTGTCCTTAGAACCTCCGGCAGGATGGGAAGGTAAATCGTTTCCTACCGTCTCCCCGGAACTCCCAGCGTGGTGGGCAGCCTCAACATTTCCTGGAAGAGGGTGAACATTCTGTCGAATATCATTCCTCTCCCCTCCCTTCAATCCATCAAACTGATTTTGATCTTTCGGACTTGTTTCAATGAAAGATTCACTTGTAGAACCAAACCAAGTGAAACCAGCCCATGTGACATCCTCTACTTCATGTTCGAAAGTCAAAGTTTTGACGACTTTCGAACATCTTGACCAAATCACAGTTTTTTCATACCATATAATCTCCTCTGTGGATTCTTCCTCTTTGTCTCTTCTGTCCTTTTCATCAAAAGAGGTATAAGAGGAGGAAGAGGAAGAAGCAGAGGGGAAGGGGGAGGAGGGGGAGGAAGAATTGTTTTTGGATCGATCGTTGTGATCATCTTCATTGGTTTTGACGGTCGGTGGAGTGGAAGTGTAGGTGGTATAAGAATGTTCGGATGGTTGTGAAGAATGACGAGAATGATATTGTTGACCTGGGGTAGTAGCTTTACCTAAATGTTTCAACATTGACTCGACGAGAGTAAGTAGGTGAGGGATGGATGGGAAGAAATTCAAAGTTAGAGTCAAGGAGAGTAACGCGTCAAAAGTCAACCCGCGTGAAATTGGCTCAAAAATCCAGTCTGTGGTCGCATGTAAAGATGCATATGATACCTTGTGTACAACCCACTTTTCTCTTCCTCATCCTCATGACTACAAAACGTACCACGGACCATGTATATCCGACAGACAGGATACTCTGATAAAACACTCAGGGAAAAATCAATACTAATGCACTTCGCACCTTCCTTTCATTGACAAACAACCAACGATTCGACACGACACACTTGATAACCTTTAGACCGCTCCACTCCTCAAGAGCCCCTCTATCCGCTGTACAACTCATCATCTCCTTCATCCATAAAATCAAATTCGTCCATGTCAAAATCATCGGCGAAATCGTCGTCTTCAAATTCATTTACACTTTCCGTGATTTCCGTCGGAGCCAAGTCCAGGAACGATGCGTTCGACAACGAAGAATCAGAAGCTGAAATGAGAGAAATGGCATCATCGAAGATATCCCCGTGACCAGAAGATTCCAGTTCGGATCCTACATCAGCCGCCATGAGAGGAGCTTGAACGGGTATCGTGATCGACCCGATTCGGGGGTTTACCGGCATCTGACAATTCATAGGTTGGAATGGTCCAGGAGGGGGAATAGCGTTGTCGCCATTGTTGGAGGGCATAATGACAGCTGACGAGCTCATCGAGTCTGGGTCTGCCTTGACAGCTTCGACGTTGAACCTATTCATCAACCATATGCCCTAGAGAATGAGTAAAATGGCGAAATCAACTCACCGCAATCGTAAAGGCTGTCCATACACAACTCCGCGCTCATCGACAATTCTCCATTCCACTTCAATTTCCTCACCTGCTTTCTGAGGCACTCGCAATCCCTCAACCTTGATCTCCGTCTCTTGTCCTTCTTTGACATCGCACACATCGAAAGTCACAGGTGCCATGACGCCAAGATCGACAGACGAGTCATATCGCAGCATGACCTTCTTAAAGTCGTAATCTTTCCCAGAAGCAAAATGTTTGACCGTCCAGGTCTTGGTGAATTCCGCACCTGCAGGCAGCACGCAGCCAAAAGGAATCGTCACGTGTCGAGCCCATGCGAAGATGTCTTGCGGACTGGGTTTTTCGTGAATAGTGGCGTCCTGTGCAGACTTCCCGGCAGACGCTTCTGACATTGGGACGTCCTCGTGTTCGGGGGCAGTAGTAGCTGGCCGAGGAAGCAGATCGGCGTCGAGTCGAAGCTCGTTTATGGGTGCCTTTTCATTGGAATCTTTGACTTTTAGCTGCTCCATCTTGCCTTGGAGCGAAGATTCAGGAAGAGCATCGGCAGACATCCGGAGTTCGTTCACCGGGACATCCTGGGTGGACTCTTTATCACCCATGAGCTCCATCATACGCTTGATCGATGACTCTGGGAGCGCATCGGCCAGGATGCGGAGTTCATTGACGGGGACGTCTGCAGACAAAGCGACCACTGGAGGAGTTACGTTGTCGGGGATAATCGGTTCTGCCAGTGTCTTCGGCGCAGGACTTTCCTCAAGGACGTTCTTGAACACATAACTGCCAGGAATGGGACGCTCGTCTTCGCTCGTTTTGGTGGGCGAGACGACTTGTTCACGAACCAAGCCAGCATGGTGATAAGGTGCCCTCCTTTGAAGACTCAGATATCTCGCTCCTCTTTCCCTCCCGATGTGACGTCCACCATAGGGACCGCCAGTGGTGATGCCAGGTCCGCGTACCAGAAGCCCATTTTGATTGAGGGTCGAGTCGAAGTCAATCTTGAGAGGAACCTTGGTTTTGAGCATCGGATGATCGGTGGGATGTACGGGAATAGCCGATATCTCGCAAGCCTCACATAAATCATAATCGGGGCAAGATGGGTGCATGCATTTGTATCTCGGACCGTGGATCTGTTTTTCGCACCCGTCACATACGATATCGGGGTGTGAGGTTTGTTTGGCGATATCGGGGGAACGATCGACGTAGTCAGCGGCGCGATACATCTTGACGAAGGAGTGACCAGGATGGGTATCGTTGACGGTGGCCGCGCAAACACCACAGCAGTCCCAATCCGGGCAGCTGAGGCACTTCCAACGAACTCCACGAATAGTTTCCGAGCATAAATCGCAGGTTGCTGGGTGTCTGACAGATGGGTCGAAGTGAGAAGGAAGTTTGATACGTTCTTCAAGTCCGTGATGCAACATGGCACGGAAGGTGTGAGTGCCAGGGTGCAAATCAGATGTGCTGAGCAGTGGCAAGCAAGATCCACACAAGTCATAATCGGCACATTGCTGATTGTCAGCAGAGATCAAGAATAAGAAGGCAGTCGAGCTCACTTCGCATTTGTATCGCATACCCCGAATTCCAGTCAAACAACCATCACACGAAATGTGCTTGTGTCTGAATCCACCTCTACCGAGACCGCGCGAGGGACTGGCCGGCTTGGCTTCTTCTGTCTGCGTCTGTGCCTGCGTTTGTGCGGGAGCTTCGACCTTGGGCTGAGACGAAGAGACGTAAGCGCCGGGAACATCCCTCTGTGTGGAGTGATGCGGTGACGCGGCGTTGTCAAAAGTGTTGGCGAGTTGATTGGTGAGGTTCATCAAGAAATGGTCGAGCATTGTCTTGATCTCGTGGGTAGGGACCAAGGATCGAGCGGTTTCTGGGTTGTGCATGACGTCTGAGACTCGATTTAGCAGGCTGTGGAAGCTGTTTTCGAGTCGACTTCCTGATGGTCCCCGCTGTGGGGTAGGTCTTTGAGGCTGCGGTAGGAAAAGAGATTCCAGTGCGGGGAAGAGCGTCTCGTGATCTTGCTCATTACCAGCAGTCCAAGCTGCAAGTTCTTCGAGAGTCTGCAAGGATCGCATTTGTTCCTCCTTGCTTTCGTCCTCCGCATGGGCCTTGAAACTCTTCTCAAAGGGACCGGAAGTAGCATCAAGCGAGTCTTTCAGCTTGGCAGCTTCTTCTACCCGAGCATCGAGTTCCTTCTGGAGCTGTTCTACTGCCTGACGTTTGGCATCAATCCTGGTAGACCAAAACGATACAGACATGGAGTCACCTTCCGCGTGGGCCATCTCTTTTCTCTTCACGAGAGCGTCAAAGAGTGAAGTAGCCGACCTATGCTTTTCCTTCAGTTCTGCGATTTCGGTCTCGAGGTCGGTCACACTTTTGATCATTTGATTGGCGCGATGGAAACGATGAATCGCTTCTAGACGTGGATCAGAGGCGAGTAGTACGGTGAAGACGAGAGCAGGTGCAGCAAAATGACCATGGGTGAAAGGGGATTGTGCAGCTTCGTATCTGTTCGATTGAGGGAGTGGAGTGACAAAGGAAGGTCAATGAAGGAGGGAAATGTCGTCAGCCAAATCCCAACATGACTTGCGCCACATCCCTCTCTCCTGTTGTATACAAAACGAGTCAAAGGGGACAGATTGAATTGACTGAGATGGAAAGAAACTCACTCGGCCGCATCACATATATGTCGCTTGAACATGATCCTAGCATCTTGCGCGTCGTTGGGGTAGAAAAGGGCATTGACCCAATATGTATGCGCGGTGGATGGAAGGTTGAAGCTAGTTCGAAGCTGAATAGTCAGAGGAATTTTCACATCTGCAAGATCACATCACTTCTTTGCAAAGATTGCCAAGATCTGTGGACAGAGAGGGGAGCAAAGTGGCGACATCTCACGTCGGACCGTCTCCACGACACAACTCCCCATGCCGGGGTAGAAAGAATATCACTCACTCGCTGTTGTATGTCTGCAAAAAGAGGAAACTTATTACTTTCAAACGCCAGTCGACGAGTTTCGTCCCTTAACGTAGCCTTGATGACTAGACCCATGGTGGGGGAATAATCAGATCTTCTCTGAATGTCGATGTTGGGCACAAAGAAGGAAGAGGATTGTATGAAATCTGTCAAGAGACACACTGCTTATAACAGAACGAATACCGATCGGGCTGTACAAAGAAGGGGGTTGTTGAGGTAGATGATAGTGACAGAAGGAGTAGTACTAGTAATGAGTCGATGGGGATCGATGGAGATGAGATCAGTTGGAGGAAACGCGCGGCTAGCCGAGAACGCCGGTCAACCCCGAATTAGGTAGATCCTGAGAGTTAGGCTTGCGCTGCGGTCTCTCGCGCACGCCTACTTACTTCACTTGCCTGGCTCGAGTGAAGAACTCGCTCAGAGTGGAGAGACGAACACTACATCGCTCAAACAAGTCATGTCATTAGCTAGGACAATCAAGAATATACGTCAAGTAGGACTCAAACAATGGTTTAGAGATATGACGTGAGTTATTCGTATTCTTACTTGTCTCTGAAGTCTCAATCGGATGATATGATCCGTTGGAAATTTACTCAGAGGGGGAAAGACTAATGTTGAAGATATATCGGGGACGCCAAAGCCGGAAGATTAGTAGGACAAGATGCTATGGGGAATAAATATTATGAGAATCTGAATCCACACGATGAAGTTCCAGGTGGGTATATTGTCTTTTTCCCTCATTCATTCCCCCGGTTCCTACCAAACAATCTCATCTAACAACAATTAACCCCCGCTTGTTTCTTTATATGCCTTCTATCTATCTGATTGATATTCTATGCACACTGCGATGAATCTATTTCTTGTCCGTTCGTGCTCAAAAGTTCTGATCTGGGAATCATCCACGAGGAGGGCCGTCTTTCCTAAACGAAATACTTCGTCCGGATATCTCACAAATGTATAAACAGCTAATTCAACAGGAAGAGGAAGATGGATCGAATATTCTCAAGATGACTTTAACGCTTCTCAAGCTACACCAGAATGGCATTCTTGGTTACATGGAATACGTCATTTACCTCCTACTGAAGATCCTATAGTCCAACAAAGTCGACCTCCTTGGCTTGCAGTGGGTTATCTCTCTTTTGATCGTTTACTATTTCCCCCAACACCTTTACTTTCCCTTTTTTCTCTTACTCTCTTACCTCAACTAGCTACTGAGGTACTCTGGGACAATTCCTTCCTTCATTGTATCAAGCCCATATCCTTAAAGAGATCAAACATCTTCCTTCTGTGAATGTGACGGGGGGAATCGAACTTTCCCTCTGCAACTTGCAAACTCAGCCATCGGGGACAATCGCTGACACGTAGTCATACAAAGAGAACTTGACTGGTACTCGGGCAGCATACAAACCTTATTCTACTACTCCTCCAAAGCTTCAAGCCTGGGACCCCGTTGCCCGACCTAGGGGACAAGAGGCCAAACCATAGAATGCTGCATGTTCTCATGCATTCATTCCATAACGGCAACGTGTCTTATTTGACAGTAGTAGAGTCCTCCTCACACTTCTGCAATCGTTCAAGTTGAAGACTTGTCACGGGATTACGGGCCTGGAGTCTAACACGACTTCTATATGCATGTTTTGGTCATCTCTATCACAATGTCACTCTGCCATTACTTCACAAATAATCTGATATCTCTCCTAGATTGTTCTTCACAGATATACCACACCTCAATCCTCCTTCACAGCTTCATCCATCTCTTTCTTAAGCTTCTCACGTTCTAAAGCTATGGGGTCGTTACCCGGCTTATCGTCGTCCAGCCATTTGTAGGCTGTTTTGGGAAATTTGACCTTTACGGCGGCTATTTCGTTTACGAACCAGAATACGAGGCCGGGACTGAGAAGTCAATTTCAATCTCGTTTGAGTTATCTTGGGAACTGAGAAGAGGAAGTCGAGTGTCATACCGTGAGAGTGGGATGCGGGAAGAAAATCCAGTGAAGGAGGAAGACAGTGGGCATAGAATAGAGGAGGAAGGGAGGAATGAAATAAAGGGGCAAAAGAAGGCGAGTAAGGGATGAAATGACTCACGATGCTGGTCGAACTCTAGAACATGGGAGACCCTCCTCTGGTCGATCAAGGATAGTCGCTAATGTGTCTTGTTTGTTTTCCCCGCCTTTTACGACAAAGGCACATCGAACGGCGTGGTTAAGAACGGGGTAGCTGATGGTCAGTCCATGCTTGTTGAATCTCCGCGGGTGGTCTACGAAAGGTCGGGAAATCAATGCCTACATTGAGCAGGAATTTCAGTGACGAAGCCTGAGAAGCGTCAAGCATGACTTTGGGGTATGAAGCGATACGAAAGGGCTAATTGGCGCTCTCTGGGATACGAGAGACATTGACAAGGGGGTATATGAAGGACCCACGTAAATGTAATCCTTCGCTTGGGGGGTTTCGGACTATCCTCTATTTCCGCAACCCATCTGTTCGACTCATTCAATAACTCATGTCCAGGGAATAAACTACAAGTATGTCCATCGGGTCCCATACCCAATAAAATCAGATCGAACGTGGGATATCTAGCCGAATTCGCACCCGCAAATATACTAACCAGTTGTTTCTCATAATCGTCTGCAATTTCCACCGCCTCATCTTCATCCCCATCCTCCCGTGTGGGATCCTTGATGGTTGCCTCGGTAAAAAGGTCCGTGTTGATGGTATGAATTTGTTCGCGGTTGATAGGCACGTGGTCTAGGAAAGCTTTGGCACATGCTGCGTAATTCGAATCTGGGTGATCTAATGGGACGAGACGTTCATCCGAAAAGAAAATTTGCCATTTCTCCCAATGTACACCTTGAAGATTCACCAGAGAAACGAGATGTTCGGGGAGTGAACCACCGGAGAGGGCTATGGTGAATGAACCACGTTTAGCGATGGCTTCGGATTGAGCTTTGAGTATAAAGTTGGCCAAAGAACTCATGAGATGTTCAGAGTTGGGGAAGGTGTAGAGGACAGGAGGAGCGGAATGAGAGTTTGGCATGGTGTGATAAGCTGACAGCTGTTGGATTACGATATCACCGAGAAGGGTGCAGCGAAAGCTGGGAAGGATCGGCCAATCGACGACTGATCAATGAATATTCGTCTTGCTTTCGAACGAGTTGACGGCTTTTAGACGAGTAGCTTGGGACAAGTGAGAGTAGCTTGATGTCGATGAATGTGAAACGGAGTGATCAAAGAAGAGAATGTATGAGAATAGTCAGAGGTTTGATTGAAAAAGATAGCGCAGGATTGCCATGACGTCTTTTTCTCTTCACAACGGCTGAACGGCAGTTCAATGTGAAAGCCGCCACATGCCACATTTCCGCTGTCGAAATTTCCGACGTAACGCCGGTCTGACTTTCAATCTGTCTGCGCTCACTCCCATCTTCCTCTGTCCATCCATTCTTTCATTCCCTAACAAAACCCTACATCATGTCGAAGCTGCAGACTTCTAGCGTGCGAAACTCGGTTAAAACCGTTCTGGCTCAGTCGGGCGAGACTACATACAAAGAAGCAGGTGGCAAGAAGAGAAACTTTGTCGAGACGATCGAACTCCAGATCGGTCTCAAGAACTATGACCCCCAGAGGGACAAGCGTTTCGTGAGTGTCTCATTCTTTTCATAGTGACCCTACCCTACCCTCGCCGATCACCAAGAGAGATTAGTGGGACTGTGTGATTTGAGGAATTGCAATTGCCACTGACATATAGTCCGGTACCGTCAAACTGCCCCATGTTCCCCGTCCTAGGATGGCTCTATGTATCCTTGCTGATGCCATGGACGTTGATCGGTGAGTCGATCGAAATGTTTTACGGGAGTCCTGTATTAACAATAGTGCCAAACAACTCGATGAGGAATTGCCGTTCATGACTGTTGACGATCTGAAGAAACTGAACAAGAACAAGAAACTCGTCAAGAAATTGGCTCAGAAGTACGATGCTTTCTTGTCTTCTGAAGCTTTGATCAAACAGATTCCCCGGTATGTTGCGATGGATTTCTCTGTGCTTAACACCCTTTTTGAATCTACATTCTGTAGCCACGGTCGGATGGGTCGGTGTGTGGGATGAAAAGGTTCAGTCGCTAATTCGCAGTCTTCTCGGTCCTGGTCTATCCAAAGCCGGTAAATTCCCCACGCCCGTGTCCCACTCTGAAGACCTCGCGCGTAAAGTCATTGAAGTCCGATCCACGATCAAATTCCAGTTGAAAAAGGTTCTCTGTCTCGGTGTCGCCATTGGACATGTCAACATGGACGAGGATCAAGTGATGCAGAACGTCATGTTGGCCATCAACTTTTTGGTATCTTTGCTCAAGAAGCAGGCGAGTCTTCACTCTCCCTACTCTTCTTAATCACGCTGATGGTTTCAGTGGCAGAACGTCGGATCTCTCACGATCAAATCCAGCATGGGCAAGCCTCTTCGCTTGTACTAGTCTCTCCCTTCTTTCACCCAGCCTCGCGCAACACGTAGCATTCGTCGGTTCGGACTGAGATGGCACAAAAGGAGCCGTCGCACGCTATACCCAAGTCGCTGCTTTTGGCACGTGACCGAGGGGAGCTGTCTCTTCTGATCGATGCATCGCTATGTGTTGCGAAGGTGCAGATTCTGTCTCGAGGCCACTGATCTGGTGATGATCCTATGACTATTTCGACCCTTGCAGTATACTGTGATTCTCTGAATACCCATCGAGCACTTACTACTAGAAGAGTGAGGAGGTTTGGATGACGTGTGATATGTGTCTAAGGCACCGGCTCCGCTCATCTGGCCTTGAACATGGTCTCTCACCAATTCACTTCGACTCGACTATCCACTCTCTTTCACCAGTGACTCTCACCTGTACACCTCTCGCCGCCCTGGCCCCCTCCCCACTCTCCCAGCATAGCTAGTATACTTTTCGAACCAGGGCCTTACTGATCTCAACTACAAGTGACTCGTACACTGCCTTGCACCCGAAACGTCGGGGACACCGGAACCCTGTCGCCCTAGACTGCGGACCCTTTCGACATTCCACTTGCACACTTCCACCGTTCACTTCCAAGCATTGCGTACCAGCATGTGAACACTCGTCCTACTCGATGGACTCGACTCGACTGTACATACTCTTAGATTCTGGGTCATCGATATATATAAAATGTAATCCAGTTCCCACCCATCCACCCCACACCATAACGTAGAGCAATAACATGTCAGATCCACCACCTCGAGGTCGTCTACCTTCAGCTTCTTCCACTCCTACCTCTTCTTCCCCCCTTTCACGAACTACCACAACTCCAGATGGCAGTATCACAAGTCCTAACCCATCTCCCACAATACGTAGAATACCATCTGGTCTATCTCGACCGATATACACTTCCTCCACACGACATGTCTCCAATCCCAACACTTCTCACGCCTTTCACACCCCTACCATCTCCGATGATGCATCTAGCCCAAGATCTCACACTCAGAGCGAATCACCTCTATCGGCCAGAACCGCCATGCTTGCTCTTCGAAACCCTCGTGCTGGTAGTCCGAGCATACGATCAAACCCCGATCCATCAACCGGTCACAGTGTCTCGCATGGAGCAAGGTTCGGAACTAATTCTAGTCCCGGAGCAAGTAGAGATAGACCTGGTTTATTTAGAAGGATAAGTTCACCAGCACCACCGAGTTATGCAAGAAGCTCTTTAGATAGATCACCCAGTGATAATCCTTCCGATATGGACGAAAGACCAAGAGTACCTCCTCCGATTTATTTGAGAAGTAGTAGTCCACAACCTCAATCTGGAAGGGGTAGTTTGAGAATACACGTTCCAGCTTGGTTAGTCTCAATTTAATCTCCATACATTTTTTTTCAATAGTGAGGTGATGCTGATGTTTTAGGGGTGTTGTATTTGTTCGTCCTCCTCGTCAACTCGAACTTCATCCTTCCGAAACAAACGTCAGAGAACCTCCAACGGAAGATACAGTCCTTACCGGTACACTCGAAGTCATTATGAAAGAACGTCGTCGTTGTCAAACTATTAGTGTAGGTGTACAAAGTGTTTGTCGTTTACATATGGGACCTAAAAGAGGTTGGGAAGAAGATGGTATTTTTGAACGTGGTGTAGAAGTTTTAGGTGGTAATTCAGAAGGTATTTGGTTAGAAAAAGGAAGTCAATCATTTTCTTTTTCTATTCTTTTACCTGCTACTTTGGCGACACATGATCGACATACACATTGTCGATTATCATACATTCTCACCGCTCGTATCGAAGGAATACCAACTTCTTCTTCTTCTTTGAATTATTTCAAAAGAGATTCAAGTCTCTCAAAAGATATAGAATTTAAATCTGATTTCGAAATTGTCATCGCACGTTCAGATCGTTTAGCCATGGCTCGATCAAAATCTGGAGAATCGTTTTCACCCAATTTGGATCCGAATACACAAGATGATACAGCTATAACAATAGGAGAAGGATCACCTTCTTTAACAGGATTATATCATCGTCAACAATCAAATGATATACAAAATATACCAACGTTGAATTTAGGAAAGACTAAAATGGATGATACTAGAAGTATAATGAGTGTCAAGAGTAATATGAGTGATAATGGTCAACGTACGGAGAAACAAGGTTGGTTAAAAGGTGATATGGTTACAAGTAGAAGTCTGATAGTTTATGCTAATCCGAGTTCGACGGGGGATGTTTCACAATTGGATTTGAGGAAAGATGGTTTTGTGGATGGTTTGGGGAGTTGGATCTTTTCCGTTACTTCAGATCAGGTATGTTCGACGTCGTCATTCATTCCTCTTTTTCATATCCTATCTTTTGCTATCATACATCTCGATCAGTTTCCCATTTTTATCGCCTCTCGTCTTCCTCAATTTCCTGAAGCCTCCTCCTTACGTTGTATGGGTCCATACCCCCCTGTTTCAGAAACAAGGACGATGCCTAAGGATGAAGTGATAACTGAAAAAATAGTTCTCGATCTCTTCCGTCCTCCTCCTTTCCGTCCACTTTCCATCACCATCACCAAAAGTCACCATCTTTCTTCTTCGACTGCTCCTCTCTCAATCCTATTCAATCATCTCTCCTCGAACTCCAAACGACCCCCCGCACATGCCAGAAGCTCCCAAGAATCATGTTTTGTACCAAGTGGGTCGGGCGCATAAATCAGGGGAGAGGTTTCCAAGTCATGAAGTGAATAGTCTATGGAGAGGACCTGAAGCTGGTGGAAATGTAAAGGTCTCAGAGGAAGGTTTGAAGATACGTGCGATTGCTAGAATGCCTGATCATGATAAAATTCGACCGTCCACAAACGAAGGGTGAGTCGACGCATCGTTCTCGTCTGTTGTACTCGGACTTCACTTCGTTCACTTCTCCGTGAGGCTAGACCTGTTGTTGTGATGGTACTGGAGAGCTCAGTATGTGTAGTAAGGAGAATTGATGTGTTTAGCAAAATGTTGACGAGTAGTACTATCACCCCCATCAGAGTCAACCATGCCTTACTATTGCAAGTCTTTTACTCTGTTAATGGAGAATCGATCACAGGTGCTCCCATAGAAGGTCCAGGAGAGTTGAGAATGATGCAGGTGAGGTTGGGAGTGAATGTGCCTTCTGTTAGTGAATCTCTGTTTTCTTGAGCTTGTGTTCGTCACCGAACATCAGTCTCAAGTTTTGGTTTCATCCACCTTTGCGAAATCTCTCCAATACCCATCATGCTCATCTTTCCGTTTACTCCGGGTTCCAAGCTCTGATTCGTGTCAGAATTATCACAAGCAGGTGCAGGTGAAACTATTTGACCTTTGTGCTGATATCCAGTGCTGTTGCACAGCCAGTGCCCTCCATCTGCCAGATTGTGAGTGTTACTGAGGTTGACTCTCTCTTCCCCAAGTCACCTCGCTCCCGATGTGTGATCTTGTAATGTTTATCTTGTTAGGCTCGCTAACCATGACTGCTGTATTATGTATGTCAGAGATCTGGGGGATGATTCCACCAGATCGGGATCGTATTGAACGAGACTGACCGACCAGACCAAACGGCCGATGCCTCTCCTCGAACGAATATCGACGAGATGCTCGCTTCGCCCCCAAGCAAGCATTACTGCATGTGTGGGTCAACATTTGCCGAACTGAGCGAGGCTGCCATGCAGCGTCAGCAAGCTGTCGAGCAGGACCAACACGGGGGGTATCTTGGGGATGAACGGGAGCGAAGTGGGAGGAAGTCCAATGGTAAAGAAGATGAGGCGAGGTTATCTCGGTCGTCACCAGGTTGAGATGATCATTCTCTATTCCATCTTTTATCGTTTGATGTTGACCTACGGACATTTGTCATTCAATTTCAGGTTGAAAATATGTCTTTCATAGTGAAAATGTATCGTTAGTGTTTGGCTAAGTGCCCAACATCATGATCCATCTCGTCTGTCATGGATTCATCGGCCATCGGGTTTAAACGACCGACAAACTCCGTCATCGATCCTATCCCATTCATCCATCGATCACTTCTTTCCATGCTTCTCTCTTTCTTCAATCACACACTCTCCCATCATTCCATAAACCTCACCAAATTGACCAGCTGGTAGTCTAAAACATCACTCTTTGAAACTCTGGAAAGGTTGGGTGTAAGTCGACATGCCTCACAATGTTCAAGCAGAGAGGCATCGATTACCCATCCAAATCCAAAATCGTATCATTCACTTTTGTCTAGCTCTCACCCCTTCCATCCCGCCACCTTTGACGGCTGATGAGCCTGTGACGCCCGAGTGGGACCGATTGGCTGGGATGTGTGGGAGAAGAGCTAGGACGAGGAGGATAAGGGAAAGGTCAGAAGTCCAAAGATTGGGTTTGAAGTTGATGAGGGTTTGTAAAGCTTGGAAGGTGAGTTGAACTTCTCCATATGTCTTATTCGAGCCTCATTAAGAACATTCCGCTCAGCCTTAATCATCCCTTTATCTCTCAGTCCCAGTCGCTGGGCTCTGATCAGTTCATACTGGAGTCCCGATCGGGACAGACACCTACACACTCTCGCCCTAGAAAAGTGTACTCGGCTCGATCGACGATATGGAATTGTAGAGGTATCTTCACATGATGGAGATTTGTCAAGGTCGTGATGCAAATCTGCTCACCATCAGCCCCTCGCAGCCAAATATCTATACACTGAACCCCTTCTAACACCTTACAACCTACTCTCTTTCGCTTCTTCCCTCGGTGCGGGTGAAGCTAAATGGTCCGATCTCAACCTCCATCCCCATTCCACTCCCGGTCGATATGTCCGAACTCTTGATTTATCGCATATTCTCGATGGGTCTGATGCTCCTCATCCTCTCTACGTCACTCGAGCATGTCGATCTATCCTCTCTCTCATACCTAACTTGACTCATCTCATCCTCCCTCCACTCCATACACATATACTCGAATATCTCATCAACGTAGACAATTGTAATTTCCCAAAATTACGTGCTATCGAAGGAATCGATACACATTTAGTACAATGTAAATCTACTTTACGACGATTATCTCCTCCTCTGGAACTTCTCAACCTTTACGGATTAGTCTACGACCCTCATATTTCTTCTTTGAAGAATTCTTCAATTGAGGAGACGATCCTGTCCTTTCCCAAATTGCACACCTTGGTTTGGCACGGTAGTTCTTCAAGAGATGGTATATCTTCAATGATATGTCATTCGGAAATGCCAAACTTGTCAAGACTCTCCATCGCCCCATGTCAGGATACTAGAGACGAATTGGAATTCATCAATAATTTTCTCGTTTCAAAAGGGACGAGATTGATTTCTTTGACAATTCTTGAACCTCGTGAATGGCCTCCTAGACGAACACAATTCCCTTATGGGATCCTTGAGTTCTTACCGAATTTACGACATCTAAGCGTTCTTTGTACGGGTGATTTGAATAGGTTATTGGAAAATGCCAAAGAACATAAATTGGAGATTTTAACAATACCAAAACCAAATGCTTATATACCTTCTCCTTCTCCTTCTCCTTCACCAGCACCTGCTCCTACTCTAGGTCCTCTCAATCCTTACGGAGGCGGTATGGTCGGACAAGGTTTATTAGCACAAAATGTCGTGTCAGAAGAAGATTGGTCGGGTCATACTGGTTTCAGTCATCAAATTGATAAACTTCGGAATATTTTGACTCGAGCAGAGATAAAACCTATTGCCGTGGTACTGGATGGGTATAGATGGTTACCTCACGATATGGGCTTGGCAGCTTTAGAAGCTGGTGTTAGTGGTAGGATGAGAAGATTAGCATGTAGGTTGAAATCTTACAACGTGGAATTGAGGGATATGAATGGGAAGCAAGCTCCTTGTTTGGGTGAACATCAAAGAGGGAGGAGTGGAGCGAGAGGTTTATCACCTGTTAGTCCTGTACGGTCACCGGATAGGAAGGGGGTTGGGGATGGGGATGGGGATGAGGATGGGGGGTGAGTTGGATGGTTGAAGTCTCTCGAGTAATTTGGTCATTGTGTCTTCCTCCCATTCCTCCCATCTCATCATTTTCCCTTTTCAAATCACAAGTCATAAGGTTATCTAATGTCTCCATCTTGCGTCTCACTTCTCTTCATTCACGTTGCACCTCTCAGATCGCACATGTCAACATTCCATCCAATTCTTGTGTTGTAACGACTATTGTAACATTAGCTCAGTAGGGATGACCAACGACCACTTCTTGTTCCATGCTCTTTTTCTCATCACCTTGCAACCTTGTCAACCCTTGTTTTGTCTGCCTGAACTAACCTATACCTATCTTACTTCTAATCATAACCAACTTTCTCCTCTCCAAATCCTAACGGACCATACATGATTCAAACTCAAAAAACTCGCCACATGACTCACCTTCAAACTTGGTGATCTACGCCAAGACTAACCAACTCAATTTTACAACCTCAACTTTCCCACCGCCCCCTCAGACGAATGAGAAACCCCCCCGACTACCTTGAGACCTCCTTTATCTCCTGACGGAACCCTCACACGGTCAAAGCTGTCGGAGAAGGAGATCCTTTGTCAACATGTTACATTTACCCCTGTTTACAAGGACCATGACTTGTTCTTTTCTCAGCTTTCTCACATAGATGGGTAGAGTGATGAGTGAGTATCATTTTGTTTTCGTTTTTTGCTTTTATCAACTGTTTTTTCGTTGAATTTGTCACTCGTTTGTCCTTGAATCTATCACTTTCTCGTTCCATTACAACTTTCACTCGATCAACCACCCGTATAACAACTTCATTCCTCACCTCCGCCCTTGATCCTTGATCCTTGAATCCTTGAATCCTTGAATCCTTGAATCCTTGAATCCTTGAATCCTTGAATCCCTTCGACATTTGGGTCTCTACACTATTACTCCGACCTCTTTTCCTTCCCAACTAAAGTCCATCAAATATTGGGATTATCGCTGTTCATCGACATTATCACAAACAGAACCAGTCTCATCGAGCTTCGATATCCGTAATTCGTGTGTGATCGCGAAGACTTGAAGAAGTGCGGTGTTTTCCAACAAACGACCTAAGAAAGAAAATCTCAAATATGCAAATCCGATTCCTCCTCCTCCCTCTCCTTTCCTTCTTCCTTCCTACTCAAGCTCAAGAAACTCTAGAATGCGATGACGACGTCCCATTAGCCACTTATTTATCCGCTCTTCTAGATTCCCTCTTTTCAGCCGGTCTCACAACGTTCGAAGAACTAATAGTCACTCTATCATCAACCGATTCAGGATACGAACTTCTTTCCACTTGGCCAAATTCAGCTATCACCTTATTGGTCCCTACGGATTCTGCATTCTCTTCTGCTGGTTACATTCCACCATTTACGGATAAAACAGAATGGGAATTAACGAATTTAGTAGCTTTACATACTCTTCAAGGTAATTGGGGATATGGTAGTTTACCTAATTCACCATTGAATGGAATTGCCAGTAGTTTATTAAGTTTGAAAAGTGAAAGTAATTCAACTCAAAGTGGTGATGGTGATGGTGATGGTGAAGGACCTTATCAGGTGGTAGTTATGAATCAAGGACAAAATGGAGAGGTTGTAGTGAGAAGTATTTTGAATAATGCTACTAGTTGGGATGGAACGGTTGATGTGGAGAATGAAGGTGGGAATGGTTTGACGGTACTTCCTATTGATACGGTGAGTGTTTGTTTTAGTATTCTTCAAATCATCTTTCCTCCTACCTCCTTTAATGACAAGTAATAGTCAATGTTTGAGAGGGTCAAGTAAAATATGCGTCATTGGTAAGACAGGATAGAGTCGCTTCGGTGGATTGGAGAACTTTATTATAAGGTTTTACGAAGTTCGACGGAATAGGAGGATCGGAAAGCCTGGTAGCTTGACGATGTGTGAGGTGTTGGTATCAGTATGGAGGTTGAGAATGATGGGAGATGACAAAGAAAGAATGTGTTAGATGTGTCAGAAGAGAATGCCCAGAAAACTCACACATAGGTCATCCCTCCTCCTCTGAGTCTCTCAGCGGCTTTGACACAACTCGGTCTGAACAAATTTGCACAAGCTCTTAACGCTTCTTCCATCGGTGGACCAGAGTCTCTCGAAGCAATCACCTCGAACGGTTTTACCATATTCGCCCCTGTCGACTCGGCCTTTGGGGATGGGAAAATTAGTGATACCGATTTACAAAACCTGGTCAGTCCATATCTCCCCTTTTACCATCTGACATCCTCTGCGCGCCTCTAATCCCGTCCTCTCGTTATTGTAGACAATTGGGAACATCCACTCTGGCTTCAAATGATCACGCCTCACGCCTCACGTCGAATGATCAGTGATCAATGATCAACGAAGGCAATTGAAGTATGTGAAGAAATGTTGATTTTCAGTACACAACAGATTATTCCCTCTATTCCCCATTCTGGTACAGTAGCGGTACCTTTTCCTCCTTGTCGATGAAAAGTGGTCAGAATCTCAAAGTGGTGTATAATTGGACTGGTTCGTATGTCGAATTCGACTCCGGAGATGGGGCGACAATCCTCCGATCCGACATACCCATCACGAACGGGGTTTTACATGTGAGTATATCTCACCTCTACCTTCCATTCTTCGAGTTGGCACAGTGAACGCTTCTTTACGGGTGATATGATTTATTGATTGGCTTAGGTTATCGACCATCTTCTCCTCACTCCCGCTGGTACATCATCAACACCATCTTCTTCATCCGCATCGGCCACACCTTCCGGGGTTGTAGACGTACAGAACCACCCGGCTCCTTCCACCTCTTCTAGCGCTGCATCCAACGATTCCGATTCTGACGGATCGAACAATTCCGGAGCTACAAAGATCATACCCTTCACTGGTTTGTTGGGTATTTTCATTCTTTGTCAAATGGTTTTGATGAGTGCGCTGTAAGTTTTGATGCGGGAATTTTATGATTTGAGACGGGACAGATATCAAGTTGTGAGATACCCTTCTGGGAGGTTAGTAACAGAGGATCAATATACCCAGCATGCAATTTATACTTTCATTCTTTGTGATTGACAGCCGGACTGTATGTGTTGAGGAGGAGGAATGAGGATTTCATGTCGTTGTTAACTTGAGATGTCTGGAGTGACGGGGATTGGTATTCGGCGGGAGTCGGCAATACGTTCGAGCTCCTGGAAGAGCTTATATCGAAGTCTACGTCCGAATGGTGTGAAATGTTTGCTAGGTCGAGAGAGCTGTGGGTGAGCATTGGTCTGAAGCTAGCTTGGACAAAGACTCGAACAGCAAGTGAACTTTGAATATTGGTCAAAGGTGAAAACAAAAAACAAAAACCCACCAATAAACCTTCCAACCCACCAGCTTTCTCAACATCCTTCAATCTTCTAGTCTGCATCTTAACCCCTTTCAACATATTCATCCTTCCTTCTTTAACTTTCATCTCATCTCGTATCACATGTCCGATCTCCAAGTTTTCCTGTTTCGCAGCGACCCTCTTATCCTCTCCCGACTCCGACTTGATGATCAAACCCTTTTCTTCATCTTTCTTCATATTCTCCACTTTTCTGCTCGTTTCTTTCATAGATCCGATCGCGTGATCTTGAGTCCTACCATCCGTTATCATTCGAACAGAATGAAGAGGGGATTGGATTGGTTTACTTTCGTTGGTTGCGATCAGTGGTGTGGTAGGTGTCGTCCGACCCAAGTATATAGGTGCAGGGTAAGAAAGGGTAGTGGATCTAAGAGCAGTTTCGAGTAAACTTATTGGCCAATCGGCTCGAGTCGTATTGGGTTTCCAACCTCTTCGAGTTTTATGTAAGGATTTAGGGACGTTGTTTCCCGCTCGACGTGAAGGGATAGGAAGGATAGGTGGGTTTGTAGGTCTTATCAAAGCTCTAGCGAGGGATGTTCCGGATAATGACATCTTGGTCGTGTTCTCTCAAAGTATAAGATCGTTCTACTTGGCTCTTGCTGTGATGAAGTTGAAGAGTTGAAGATTAGGGGTACTAAGTAGCTGAAGATTGGGAGGGACGGAGAGGAAAGGGGGGAAGATACAGTGCCACATTAATAACGCCGACTAAGTCCGATAGGGGACGCCCTTTCAATCACATCCAACTCTGTTCCATTCATCAAACCTTTAAAGATAATGTCAACACCGAAACTCTCTTTACGCGTTTCAACACCTGGAAAAGCGGACGAAGCTACGGGGGATGTGATGACTCACGATGTATCTTCTGCGCCGGGGAAAGATAGGGAAAAAGAACCTTTGTATGGTGGAGAGCTGGCGAATATCTCTCAAGGAGTGGGTATGGTGGTGGATCCCCCTGCAGGAGGTGTGTCTTCTTCTCGGTCACCTTTACACGATCTTCACCTTACACTACCTCCCTTACGCTCATCCTCATACTTCAAACATAGCTCTTATCGTTGTATGACGATTTAGCGCTGACATTTTAGAATCATCTTCAGCCCCCCAGCAAGAAGACATCACGGTAGAAACACCAGCCGAAGAACCTGAACGACCTTCAGCTCGTGATCTTCACGCGTTAGCTACGACCTATCTTGCCTCTCAAACTCATCCCCTCATTATCCCTTCCTACGCATCATGGTTTTCTCTCTCTTCCATTCACCCGATAGAACGTCGATCGTTACCTGAATTTTTCAGTAGTAGAAATCGTTCAAAAACCCCAGCGGTCTACAAAGATTATCGTGATTTCATGATCAACACATATCGTTTAAACCCTGGTGAATACCTCACCGTCACTGCTTGTCGTCGAAATTTGGCTGGAGATGTGGGTGCCATCATGCGAGTTCATGGTTTCCTCGAACAATGGGGTTTGATAAATTATCAAGTTGATCCTGATACTCGTCCTGCTGCTCTTGGTCCTCCTTTCACTGGACATTTCCGTGTTACACTCGATACACCTCGTGGATTGAGTAATCTTTTACATGGAGGTACCAAACCTCTTCCCTTGAACCAACAATCAAGTCAATCTCATTCTCAAACAAATGGTTTATCTCATGTTAATCTCGATCTGAAGAAAACAATTTATCAATCCTCTTCCCGTCCTTTCAAACCTATATCTTCTTCTGAAGCGGCTGTCATAGCTGCAAAACCTTCATCACCCAATAAACCAACTTCGTTCGCTTGCGACACTTGTGGTACCGATTGCACTAGATCTCGATATCGTTCTCTCAAAGATGGTGAATACACCTTATGTCCTTCATGTTTCGTCTCTGGTAGATTCCCATCCACCATGTTCTCTGGTGATTTTGTTCGACTAGATGACGAGCTTTTCAAACATACCACAACTGGTGCAGGATCCGAATGGTCAGATCAAGAAACATTGTTGTTACTCGAAGGTGTGGAGATGTACGATGATGATTGGCAAGCTGTTGCAGAACACGTCAGGACGAGATCGAAAGAACAGTGCATAGCGTATTTCCTACAAATGCCTATTGAAGATCCTTATTTGGCTCAAGACGGCGCTCAATTGGGTCCATTACGGTATCAAGCAGGGATGGGAGCGTTACCTTTTGAAGGTACTGAAAACCCAGTGATGAGTGTCGTGACTTTCTTAGCTGGAGCTGTTGGACCTGGGATAGCAGCCGCAGCTGCTCAAAGTGCTCTTGGTGAATTATCACAAAATCTCAAACGTAAACGAGCTGCAGAAGACGTCACTTCGGATTCTAGACCTGAAAAAACGAAATCACCAGTGGGAGAAGGAATCAAGGAAGAAGGTATGGTGGTGGATGGAGAAGAATCTCAACCTAAACCCACTGAACCTACCGACGAAATGGAAGCCGAGGGAGAAAAGGAAGAGGCTGCGGGTGACGCTCCTTCTAAATCAGCGGTGGAAAGAGCGGCGGCCATCGCACTTGGATCAGCAGCTGCTAAAGCTTCCGCTCTGGTTCAACATGAAGAAAACCGGATCGCTTCTTTAGTCTCGCGTTTGGTCGCTGCTCAGGTGAAGAAGGTAGAATTGAAATTGAGTATGGTAGAGCGTCTTGAGAGTGTCTTGGAGGATGAGAGAAGGTCTGTGGAACAAGCTCGACAGGGTGTTTTCAAAGAAAAAGTGGTTTTAGAAAAACGATTAGCAGAAGTTGAAGAGATTTTGAGGAAAGCTAAAGAGGGTGGTGCGACACCAGGAGGGGTAGGGACGAGTGATGGGATGGTGGAAGAGGTACGAGGGATAAGAGAAGAAATGGGTAAAACTACGGCTGGTCAAGTGGAAGAGGTTACGAATGGGACGAAACCGGATGGAGGAGAGGTGATCAGGTTGTAATTTTCATGATGCATGTTATATTATGATTTCTTGTAAATTGTTTATCCCATCCTTGTGTTCTAATTCTATCTGCGTTACTTGTGGAGCCTTCATTTGGTCTGATACAGAGTTCGCTTTCATAGACTGTGTGAACTCCTCAGACCCCGCTACATCTCCATGATCCTCATATTCCATATCTGACTCTACTCGTACAGCTCCAAGATCTGAGGAATGGGTAGAATGAACCAAGGTAGATTCAGGAGGAACTACCAAATCCAATACCGACATTTCTTTCTCCCTCAATCCTTCTCCAACACTAACCGCATCCCTACTTTCCATCTTACCATCTCTACCATTCTCCTCTCTCATATTTCTCAATCCTCTGAACCCAACTCCTAAACCACCTAAACCCATACCAACACCTCTTCTGACTAAAGTCAAACTTCCCCCGACCCACCATCCAACTCCTCCTACGGCTTTATCAAGAACACGTCGTTTAACGATGTATCCAACCGTTAACAAGAATAACAAAAGGGCTAATAAAAGGATGAGACGATCGTATTTATCCGCACGTTCTATAGCTTTGACTAAACCTGTGGAAGTTTGGAGTAAAGAGGTATAACGATCGTATAGTGTACCGGTGGAACGTAATGTTTGAGTTGAAGATTCTGGTCAAGGTAAGTGAAGAATCCGTTGTTCAGTCCATTAATCTTCTGAAAAAACTCTTGAGCTTTTCATGACTTATCATTTGGTTGTTGATATGTATCTTAGTACCAGTTGACCTCTTTACTCTTACAGACATGAGTGGTGGGTGATTGGATGAAGTGTTTAGATGTGGGGAGTAGAGAGATAGAGGGTGAGATCTGATTTGTACGTAGATGTCATACGGAAGAGGGGATGAAGTAAAGACAGGGCATATGAGGGTCAGGGATATTTTCAAGGAAGAAAGGAGAAGAGGGGAGGGGTGGGAGGGGGTGTTCCGATCAAGGAGAAAGAGAATATACCTACCGAGCATTTGAACACTCAAAACACTTCTTTCCAATTCTACTTGCATAAGTCTGGCAGTCCGTCCTAATACTTCTGTAACTTCATTCGTTTTAGCTTGTAATTGAGCGTCACTACAATATCAACTTTTAGTCATAATCATTCTTCCATCCTGATCAATCAATATTCTTTGATTCTGATCTGATCTGATGATTCTACCTAAAAGAAGTTTCACCATACATGTTTCCCTCTCCACTTAGTTCCGTCCGTCACAGGGACAAAGTCAGGGATCGAAAGTTTGATATTAAACTCATAAAGACAAGGAGTGTTCTAAAATGAGTGAAGAGGAGTACGAATCAAAAGATGAAGTTGAAGTTGACAGTGAAAGTAAGGAAAGAAAAGGAAAAGGAAAAGGAAAAGGAAAAGAGGAAGTATACCACACCACATACCCTAAATCTTCTCTCGTATCCGATCTAAGCTCATACCTTTCATCCTTGTCCTTCAAACGTTTATCCTCCAATGTCGATTTACGTACGTTTCGTCGACTGTTCAAAATCGCTTGTCTGTAAGTTATCCGAAGTGCTTGACATTCCACTTCCAAGTCGGAACATGTTGAAAGAGATGAATTCTGGGATGAAGAAGGAAGAGAGAGAGATATTTCTCGACAGAGCTTTTGATCAGTTTACTCAATACTCGACTCGTGTATCCCGAGTCTCGATCTTATTTTTCATAGTATATGATGATAATGTGATCGTACTTTCCAAAGAGTGTCAAGCTCATTACGTCCAACGTTTCGATAAGGCGTGGTTGGTGTAGAGTGTTATACAAGCTTAGAGGAAGGGTGGAAGATTTGGAGAGGTTGAAGTTCGTGTCATAGAGGTCAAAAATGATGAGTGAGCGAGGAAGGATCTCCGGGAATTGGACTGAACGCTTATAATGAAAGTAGTAGAGACATTATCAAGTCGAGAGAAAAATAAAAGTACATGGGATACTCACACGGATAGTATAAACGACTCTTTCCAAATCTTCTCTCAACTCTTCACATAATTCTTTCCTCATACTTGGTTCACAATCCGCGAGTCGGGGTAATTGAAACGTTTTCATATCTTGGATTCTCCTTTGAGCCGAAGCGAGCAGATGAGGCAGTTCACTAGGTGGAGGAATGGGTGACATGATGAGTTAATGAGATGGTCTTTTGTATATCCTAAATGATGTAGAAAGAGGAGTGAAGGAATGAGACGTGGCAGAGTTGTGTTCCTCTTGCCCCACTTTCGTTACCCCATCCCCCACCCAATCTTCTGTCCTACCGCTACAGGTGAATACCATAGTCAACACCCGAGCAGTCTTAAGCAGTCGGACCAGACGGGATTCAAGCGATTCTGAGGCAGCCCAGATTACATATATTATATTATTTATAACATTAACAAAAGTGCAAGGATGCAAAGATAATAATTCATCATGATCTTCTATACCGAAATGGAGCTTGGTATACCAACTCGTCTCTCGGCACAGGAACACTACGTATGCTCGTTTCGTTGAGTACACCCAAATCGGCCCTTTACATCAGATGCGTATTCTAAGGATGGTATGCGAGCCAGCGAGATACAAAGAGGGAAGAACGAGCGACACAGACACACAGGTCGGGGGAGAGGGAAGTAGGAAGAGAATGGAGAGGATGCAAACAAAAGAACTCACACTTTCTCGCCTTTCTTCAATATTGTCCATCTAACAAATCAGCTCTATGACCAAACCAACCATTGTTGAGCTATTTTAATCATGAATCATCTGTCGACGTTTCCTGCTTCTCTGCACGTCTCCACTCATGGAAAAAGAAGTCATGTGGGATTGTGGGAAAGAGTTGTAATAGGTTAACACATGTCTTGAGATATGTTGTACAGAGAAAACGGACTCACCGGATGACCATAGGATCTCGTCTCATAGTTTCATTTATCGTCCGGAGCACTAGAGGTGAAACGTCGAAATGTAAAGCAAAATGACTAGTATTAGTTCTCTCTCCCGTTTTATACGTTCGAAAAGCAGATCCTCAAATCATAATCAGTTCCACTCACAACCCTCGAGGAAATCCCCGGCGCATTCCCCTAGTCTACATGTCAAGGTATGTGGACCGAGAGATCGGCGAGAAAGGTTATAGGAGGGTGAAGTTAGGAGACCGGATCTAGCCGACACGCGAAATTGTGACAATGTGAGAAGTGGAAAGAAAAGGAATTTGGAAAGACTCACTCTCCATGAGTATGATATTGTTGATGGGCTCTCATCCTTTCCGGTAAAGTCAAACCAAGTCCTAAATTTTGTATTTTCCGTACCACTCCTCCTGACCTATGAACGGTGTTGGTAAGCGTATCGACGAGTTGTCTCAAGTTGGTCTGCAATCAGTAATTTTCATTGGATTACTCGACGATGAGAGGTAGTTGCAGTAACGAAAGAGGAGATGCAAGAAGGATAGGGAGGTGAAAAGCAGGGAATGAGCTTCGGAAGAACGATACGGGTCAGAGATGACAAGGCAAGAAAGATAAAAAACTCACGGGAGATCTTTGATTATGAACGGCGATACAAAACATTTCATATAGTGGCATCTTGGGTCCTTGTTCCTCTTTCTTCTCTCTCCTCTGTGTACAATGTGATGCTATGACTTGTCTTTGTGAAATTTACCGTCGCGGTTGAATCGTAAACGTCTTGATAGCTTTTCACAAGAGTTGAAACTCAGCAACCTGGATGCCACGTGGAATGAATGTGGCACTCGACCGAAAGTGGCATATCCCATCCTTTATAAGAAACCTATGAAAGGTGATGAAATTTCAAGTCTCAAAGGTTGGACACTGCTCTGAACTCGAGGCAGTAAAGCAGTGGTAAATAATGAGAAAGGAAGTTGTAGATTTTCACACGTTCACAGGCTTTTTGAGCAAGTAGGGTAGAGGTAGTGCACATTATAAGCAGAGCATGCACTCACTTTCCCCTTCTCATCTATTCTTTTCCTCAATTCTCAACCATGGCTAGTGAAGCTGAAACTACTTGGTCTGTGTTTGGCACCCTACCTGAGGGTGAGACAACTGTCACAAGTGATACAGTACTTTACTTTGTAGTTTATCTTTCAGATTCAGACGACGACGAGTATGGTCTCTCCTTGTTTATCTCTTACAGAGGGACACCAGGCACAGAAGCCGAGAAGAGTCAGCTGAAAAGGGCCAGTCGCTTTGCTGAGATTGCACTAGGGTGGGCAGAATTTCAAAAGAGCACTCTAAACGACAACCCAAATCAAGATTACAGTCATGATGGGATTAAAAAACTTGTAAAAGTGATTGCCCATGACACCTTTTTCTCTGCTCCTGACCCTCCCACAATGCGGCTGATAGACGATAAACATTGTACACTGCCGCCCTTGAAGAGCGTGAATATAGAAGGTCATCAGGCTTGGCGCTACGAACAGGGTAGTGAAGAGGGAAATACTCAAGGATCAACAGAGGCAGAACTAGGCACCCAAACAACGCCAGTGTCTTGAATCAGTGATGGTTCAGCTTGTAGACAGGTGAAGATGCAATGTTTGAAAGAGAAGTCCGCTACTCCCCACTGATGTATTGTCTATGACCTCAATGACATCCATGCATAACACTATACATCAAACAGTACCTAAGCTTATCGTGAGAACACAGCATCTTCTTGCTATCGACCGTCAGCCTCCGCTCACTTCTCACGCAACACCCCATTGGATCCGTATCATAACGATGAATCAACTGACATATCTTCTCTGTCTCCCCAACCAACTACTCGTAGCCGGTCTCTGATGTCTCTTCCCAGTACCTGCTACGGCCAGATGATCCCTCATCACCCTTTGCCCTAAATCATGCCATGCACTCAACATCAACCTCTGTTCCGTCCCATACCGTTGTTCCAACTCTGACATCGAGGCGCGCGCTTGGAGAAGGTCGGATTTGAGTGTGGAGATTTGTTGTTCGTATGCTTTTTGGGCTTCTTCGAATGCGCTGGCATCCTGACAATCAGTTACTGCTCCCAAATCCATAGACATTTTGAGAGTGAAATGGTGGGCGTTGAATGCCAATTTGTGGAGATGGATCGAGAGACTCTGCCATGTCGGGGGAGATCGTGAATGCGGAGGCATCTCTTATGAAAAGAAGCTGAGCAAGGAGGGATGAGACGCACCAGTCTGTTTCCTTTTGACAACCTCAAATCTCGTATTTGCTCGTTTAGACTTGTGATCTCGGTTTGTAAGCTGGAATTGCGCCCGTGTAATTCCATAATCTGATTCTGAGTCTCAATCGGAAGGCCTTTCGCCGCCAAAGCAGCTTTCAGATCCCTACTCGTCAACGAGGTCACACTGTCGAAGAAGCAAAAGCAGTTCTCACCCAAACTCTTTCTCTCGTGACAGATCTTTTTCTCTTTGGGTGATTGAGGCGGATTGCATATCCACTTTGTCCATTAACAACCTGTCTATCAGCTTATTCCTCCGTACACTCGAAAGCTACTGCTCTTGACCCTAAGCCTTGGACTCGTGGTCTTGAGGGGAGGAAAAGAGGAGTCTCACTTCTTGATCTCTTCCAGGTGGACACGATCTTTTTGCCGAAGATGCTCCACCTGCTGTTTGAGATCCTCCAGTCGGACATCAGTACGTTCATATTCCGCCTTTGCTCGATCTCGAAGGGCTGTTCATTAGCTAGCCTTGGGACACTTAGACTGTTGACTTACTAGAAAGCATCGCCAGCTGGTCTTTATCCACCAATTCCACTGATACGTCAGCTTAGTCAAGCAAGCGGATACTCACAATCTTCTCTAGCGACGGAGAGCTCAAGCTGCACTTTATCTTTCTCCCTCTCAGCGACTTGAGCTTCATTCCTCAAAGCGTCCAGTTCAGCTTCCAGCTCTTCCACCCTGGCCTTCAGGGCTACTGAAGCTTGGGAATTGTCGCTTCCAGATCTAATCTTCTGCAGTGTCGTTTCAAGTCGAAGGTTTGTGCGATGCGCTTCGAGGTAGTCGAGCTGGTAGCGATCTCGGGAACGATTGGCGTCCTCCAGAAGAGTCTGAAGGGCTGATAAACGATTATCGCCACTAGCCACACCTTTCATTTGGGCGAGCTGTCTTTCCAGGGCTTTAACACGTAGCTTCAGGCTGACCGTTAGCATTTGTCACAGAATCAAGCACCAGTCATGTCGTCAATTCAGCCACAGTGATTGACAGAGAAAATAAGAAGTACGCTCACGATGTTCGAGTCTCAGCCGTGGCTTTATCATCCGCCATAGCCACCAACTCATCGTCCAAAGTCGGTTTGTCATCTGAAGACCCACCAGACGTGTCGCGGGCCATGCTGACACTTCTATCCCCTGACAGATCCGCCTCCTTTGCTCTTTCTTGATGTAAGTGAAGTTCCTCCCGATCTTTCTCAGCCTCTTGCTCCAACGTAGCCAACTGCAAGTGGGCGTCTTCGATCTGATGTTGTAGCTCGACAATCTGTGAAAGTCAGCCGCACACTTCAGTATTCCTCGACTTCGTACCTCATTAGCTTGCTCTGCAGTTCTCCTCTCCAGAATGTCCACCTGACTTCGATACTCGTCGAGAAGACTCTTACTGGCTCCTACACTTTTGATATCGGCTTCGAGCTTCGTATTTGTATTCACCAGCTGTGCATTCTCTTCCTCTAGACTCTACCGATTAGCTTATGGAGCAGAGTTATGATAGTTATGTGACTCACTCGGAGCTCGCGCCGTAGACCGGCAGACTCTTCGAGTTTCTTCTTGTATTTCTCAATGACGTTCTCAGATTTCTGCAGGCGTTCCGCGGTATGCCGGTACTCGTCCAGCTGATCTTTCAACTTGCTTGTCTCCGCCGCCGCAGCTGTCAATTCCTCCACAGTTTTGGTCAAGTCGGCTACAAGCCCAGTATGTCTTTCGAGCTCCACCTCGGTTTGCTGCAAAGCTTCCTCGGTCTTGGTCCTGCCATTTTAGCCGCTCGAAATAAGTGGTCGCTGCAATGGCGATAGAGAATGTGACTGACAATTCTGCTCGTAGACGCTCAGACTCCGAAGACATAGGCAGACTATGACGGGGATTACCAGTGTCGCGAGAGGCGGCTAGACTAGCCATTGCCTCGTCCCGTTCAACCTTTGCCTCTTCCAGAACCGAAGACATCTCAGCTACTTGTTCCATCATCTGCTCGCATCTCGTCCGTAGCTCATCGTTCTCTTGTAGAAGCTTATCCCTTTCTATCCGTTGGGTTGGAACCGTAGGTCTATTCAATTAGTAACAGACAGCCACCATAATAGAGATGCCTCACGAAGGTGGTGATCCTGATCGACCCATAATTTCGCCATCTCCTTGCTCCCCATCTTGAGGCAGAGTTCGCATGACCTAATCGATGAGCATTTACCCTCGTCGTTCAGGACGGGAATTTACCTCTTCAATACTCTTCATCAAGCTGGCCATAGTTCCCTCCTCGAAACTTTGGATCTTAGCAATCACCTTCTCATTCCCCGGTCCTAGGACTCCCGCGGCCAAACATAGCCTGCATAATTGGACCAAATTCATCGCCCCCTCCACCGTCGTGGGGGATCTGGCAATTGCGGAAAAGTTGGGTTCAGGCAGAGATGAGGTACCAAGATTCGGAGGGTGAGGCGACGGGAGAGGATATGATACGAGTAATCTATGCAAGCGTTTACTTATGATCAGCTGAATCGCCGGGTCTGCTTCCGGCTTACAGGGTATTCATTTTCAAGACCCAATTCTCAGAGGAACGAGATGCTGGAGAGCTGCCCAGAGATTGCCGTCCAGCGGCATTTTTGAAGTGACTAGGGTCACTGTATCATCAGCACTATATGTATAAAGTCGGATCAGGTTATACATCATAGCCATGACCTAGACTATCAGCGACGAAGAGCAGCCTATAGACGAGGGACTGACCTCCATCAAAGCCTTTCCATCGGACAAAGCGTCAAACGTTCGAACGGGTCTTGACAGCTTGAAAGAGTTGACGAAAGCGAGGAGAGCCGCATGCTCCTCTCTACTCTGCCGTGACATGGTGTAAAGTATGGTGCTGTTCTATGACATGGATCACACAAAGGTAAGTACAAAGTGGAATCCAAGGTAACTAAGGGAGGATGGTGAGCAACGAGGCCCGAGCGAAGGGAGAGCGGGGTAAGGGTGTGCGGGGCTCCACATCAATCTTGGTGCGGGGAAGGGGGTGAAAATCGACGCGTTTGACTTTGTCTTTTTCTCTGTTTTCACCTCTACATCCCATCTTGCTGCCTGTATATCTTGTCTGTCCTCTGTCCCTTCTTCCATCTTGATAGAGGAGTGGTCCGCCCATACGTGCGCATTGACGCAGAGACTCGACTCCACACCCTTCGGTCAGATGAACAAGACGCGTCCTTCTCTACCTTCCGGTCAAGACGGTCCCAGGAAACGTCCCAAGCATGCCAGATTTGCTTCCCCGTCAAAAGATGTGGCAGCCACGGAGAATGATTTCATGGACAATCTTCTCGCTGGAATCGATGCGAGCATGTTCGACGACCTCGTCTCGTCTCCGGTGAGACCAAAGAGTTCACAGCAACGATCACCACTCCGGCCCAAGACGCGAAGTCCGACCACGGCCATATCCGCAACCAGACGAGCAAAGGTGGTCAACGTCGAATATGAGCCCCCGTTAGAACCGAGTGTCGTATACAAGTTAGATCCACCCATATACGTTGAGAGTGAGGTTGAGGTCAAAGTAGAGGCCAAACCTCAGATCCACGACCATGATCTACTGGTCGACTTCGATCTGGGAGATTTATCAGCTTTTGACGATGATCTCTTTGGTGAATCTCAATTGGAGGTACGTACTGTTACGATAGGTGGATGTTTTATAATGTCCAGCTAAAATATCCAATACGAAATCCTACGGTACCCAAACCACCTCCGGGGTATCGTCCGACGCCATGGGCGAGGTGTGTAGTCAAAGGGGTTGTGGATGGCTTGCGGTTCAGCGATGGTGTCATTCCCCCTCTCGACACCCTTGGTCCGGGTTCCCCGTCTACGGTAGCACTAGGCAAGGTGATCTCATAATTTTTTCCTGCGATGAGCTCATAAGACAGACACTGGTTGTAAAGACCAAAGAAGGTGTGACTCGCATCGTTCATCTCAAAGAACGATGGGCCGACTTGGCAGTTTGCAAAGGTAAGCCCCACAACTTTCAAACATCAAGTCTGACTCAGTAGGTGACATAGTCAACATAATCTCTTCTACTCTCAACGACCCATCTCTCCCTATAATCCTCACATTCAAAGACCCAGCGTCTTTCCTCATCCTCCATCCCGACCTCATGCTCACTATGACATCCATCGCCAATGCTATGCCCTGTCCACGTCGACCGATTCTCCAGTCCCTGGTCAAACTCCCCGGTCCACCGTCCAAGTCTGTTTTATACGGCACTATGCTTCATAGCCTGCTTCAGGATGCTCTTCAGCAACAAGACTTCAGTGCTGACACTACGCGAAAACGTCTTGATGCAGAGATGAGCAAAGAAGAGCGGAGGATGGAGATATGGGGTACTGGTATGAGTGTGGAAGAAGTCAGAAATGATGTCGAGATGAAAGCCTGTTCCGGGTTTGAAAGTTTCGGAAGAAAGTGGATTGGACCATCACCGACGGTGAGCCTCGTTATCTTGAGGATATCTGGCAAGTGGACTGGCTGACTTGTAGGGTGCGGGAGAACTGCATGCCACACCTGGTGATTCCCCAAGTCTCTTGGCCATCAACGGTCTGCATGAAGTGGAAGAGGATATCTGGTCTCCTAAGTGGGGATTAAAGGGAAAGGTCGATGCCAGTGTTCAAGCGAGTATCATTCTTGATCCGAGCAAAAGGACAACAGAAGCGAAAGAGAACGTCGCTCCTTTAGAGATCAAGACTGGACGTTCAGTCGGTGTCATGGCTCATCGAGCTCAAACAATGCTGTACACTTTGCTTATGGAGGAACGATATGGTGAGTCTTATTCCACCGTCTTTTACGTCCATATCTTCGTCGAAAACTCACTGACAGGAGTCCCTGTGCCAGCTGGGCTGTTATATTATTCGCAGCTCGATTCAATCCTTCGTGTAGAAGCGCGTCCCAACGAACTCCGAGCTCTCATCTTTGCGAGAAATGAGCTGGCTTCGTATCTCTCCAAACACCGTCAAATCCAAGGGCTTTCACCCTCTATCAAGCATACTAGCACTTCAGAGAGTCCTGGAGCCATAGGAGACATAGAAGAATCATTCCTCCCTCCCACTATCGACAATGCTAGGGAATGCAAGACTTGCTACGCTGTAGACACGTGTATGTTGTATCGCAAAGTAAGTCCGTTTCCGAGGGGAACGGTCTTCTCGCTGATGCATTACAGACGGTGGATCGTGTGCCTGTGAAAGAAGATGACGATCTTGCAGAATCGTATAAGGAAAAAATGGGACATATGACTGAAAGACATGTCGAGTTTTTCCGCAAGTGGGAAGCGTTGGTCAGTGTCGAGGAACGGGAATTAGGGAGGTTCAGAAGTCAATTGTGGACTATGAGTGCTCGTCAAAGGGAAAAGACAGGGCGGTGAGTGCGATTTCAATTCCTTGACTCACTGATCCTCGACAATATGAATGATGTGACTAGTAAATCTCCTTCCAGCCAGGCTTATGCGTTGGCCCACAGAATAGTGGTTCTCAACAGATGGCGGTATGGGGTGATGCTGAGCTGTAGTTGTTTCAGCGATATGATCATTTCTTCTTACTCCAACGATATCGGTAAATCAATGGCCAAAATTCATCGACACACATATACATTCATGAAATCTCCTCAATCCTCTAATCCCTCCGGATCCCTCTTATCAGGTCATATAGCTAAAGGTGATCCTGTAACCTTATCCATCGAACCCGATTTATTATCCCTCACCAGAGGTTTCGTCATCGATCTCACTTCCACTAGCATAACCATCGGCGTAACGTACATTCTCGACGTTTATACATTACTAGCAAGAACTTCTCATCGTGGTGATCAATCACATTCTGGTAGAATAGTTTTCCGTATCGATAAAGATGAAATGTCAACTGGAATGACACGTTTACGTTCAAATCTTTCTCATTTATTTCATCATCAATCCGATCCACGAATACGTTCTTCAATTGTAGATCTCACAAAACCATCTTTCTCAAAACATTTATCTCCCCTACCGAATGAGATCCCAAAACATCTGAACGAAGATCAAGGAAAAGCTATGGAAAGAGTTTTGACAGCGGAAGATTACTCTTTAATCTTAGGAATGCCAGGAACAGGTAAAACCACTACAATTGCAGAAATCATCAAAGTTTTAATAAAAAGAGGGAAAACTATTTTATTGAGTAGTTATACTCATAGTGCCGTTGACACTATTTTGATGAAGTTGTTAGATGAGAAGTTTGGGATTTTAAGGATTGGTAATGTTGATAAAGTACATCCTGAAGTGAAACATTTGACTTTGGAAGCTATGGGAGATAGTTTTGATATGGAAGAATTGAATAAAACGTTGATGGATCCTCCTGTTGTTGCTGCTACTTGTTTAGCTGTTGATCAGTGAGTGAGGAATTCCTTCCTGCTTTCCACTTCTCATCCTCGAAATCATCTGCTCTCGTCTCCTTAATGACCCTCACAAGGCACCTGATCCAGTTCAACGACCGCACGTCTCAGACATTCATTCAAGCCTCAACTCATCCCATCCCAGGCAAAGATTACACACTCATCCCAAGTAAAAATTACAAAACAAGTTATGGTAGCTCACACCCAGCCCTCTATTCTTCAATAGGAAATTCGATTATTGTATAGTAGACGAAGCATCTCAAATCACATTACCAACATGTTTAGGTCCGATCCGTATGGCAAACACTTTCATCCTAGTTGGAGATCATTATCAACTTCCACCCATTGTAAAAAGTCCTTTAGCTCGTCAAGGTGGTTTAGATATTTCTTTATTCAAACTTCTCTCAACTGAACATCCAGAATCAGTCACGGATTTATCTTTACAATATAGGATGAATGAGGATATAATGATGTTGTCAAATAGATTGATTTATGATGGAAGGTTGAAGTGTGGGTCTGAACAAGTAGCGAAACAGAGTTTGGTTTTGTCTCATAAAAAGGAATGTTGGGAGATGTTCAGTGGATCGACCTGTGGAGCTAGTTCATATTCCAGAAATAAGCCTGTTCTCTCAAATGGAGAATCTATTCTGGAATTGGAGATGAACAGGGACAAGGTGTTGGTGGTGTAAGTGGGTATGGAAGGAATGGGAGGAATGGTGGACATGAAGATGAAAAGATGAAAGAAGGTTGTTGGATACAGGACTTGTTGGAAGAAAGAGTGAAAGCGGTATTTGTGGATACGGATCATGTTCCAGCACGGGATTCTAAAGTAGGGGATTTGGTACAGAATGAAGGTGAAGCGGAATTGGTTTGTCAAGTGGGTGTTTTGTTTCTTCCTCTTAATGTTACTTCTCTTCTCATTTCCCTCCTACGTTCCTTTTCTCTCCTTCACGTCCCTTGTCATCCAACAGCATCACCTCTTATGAAGCCCTATGACATCTCCTCGTTCTCCCTTGCACTTATCCACCGTACTTCTCATGACCGAAGGACTTGCCAATCACCATATCATTCACACCGTCACTGCAATATTCCCATCATGCTGTATAAGAGCAAACCAATACAATCAAATCTTCTAAACGTCCCTCCTCCACCTCGGAATCCAGGATGCAAAGTGATGAAGGAACACTTGATGAAAAGGCAACCAACTTAAAACTCACAATACAGCTCGCTACCGCCCTCGTTTCAAGTGGAATCACTCAACAATCCATTGCAGTCATAACGCCCTATCGACAACAAATCAAACTTCTCTCTGGTCGATTTTCCACCTTACCAAATGTTGAGATTCTTACAGCTGATCGATCACAAGGAAGGGATAAAGATGTTATCCTTATCTCTTTGGTGAGATCTAACGAGTCAGGTTATGTGAGTTTTGTCATCCATTGTCCCCCATTGGAAATAAAATAATACATTCCCACTACAGATCTCCGACGCCAACAAAGCCAGGATTCGGGTTTACAAACCACCCAAAAACGGAGATAGATCCCAGGAGGAAAAGCGATTATTATGGAGAGAATTTCTGTGGCTGATGATTCAGATTGGGGACCTACTACGGGATTGGAGAAGGATAAACGTTTCTTTTACTCGGGCTAAACGAAAGTTGGTCATTTTTGGCTCGGCTAAAACTTTGTCTTCGGATAAATTACTGGGAGACTTTATCGGCTTGATGGAGAGTCAAGGATGGATGTATCGATTAAAGAAAGGAGCCGATGGTCAGCATATCAGGCAAGGGTGTGATAGTGAAGGATGAGGTTTCGAAGTCTTGTTTGTGATGACTACTACCACTCGTGTGATCTTGGCATAAGTTAAGGAGGGACAGGTCGATGAGTGAAACGGAAATGGGAATGCTTGATATTGTAATTATTGTTCATCACATTCGTCTTGATACCTTGCATGTTTCATCTTGTTTTGTGCGATTTCATGACTTTGATCAAGTTAGGATGTGAACAACATGCATTGACTCGGATAAATTGTGTGCAGAAATCAGTGTTAGAACGCCGCTCCGCCGCTGATTGTCAGCACTTCGTCTTCTCATACCCTGTGTACCCTTTGAGCGATTTTCAGAGAGTGGGGGTTCAGTGATATTCAAGAAGAAACGGTGAATGACCAATAAACATGGTGTTGTCAAGAAAAGGAAAGATGATGTACGACGGAAAAGACATACTCTGGTAATCGCTCAATTTGATATCGTCGCTTGACAACGTACATCAAAGGGACACCTGGGACTTTACGTATTCTTCGTCGAAGATCACGATCGCACTGGAGTTAGGAAGATGTTTCAATGTTGAACATGTATGAAGTCCCAGAACACAGGACAGAATATGGGCTGAACGAGGCAGAAGAAGTGTTCAAGAAGGGTCCAAGGAGTCATGAGTGTCTGATGTCGAGTTTTGACGAAGCAGAGGAGAGGCGAGTGAGAGGAGCACCATGGGACAGGGAGGGGGGGCATGTAGAAGAAGACAGATATTAGAAGGGATGCCTGAAACTCACAGTGGCGACTATATAACATTTCTGCACTGATACACGCTGCACCAGACAATCATCGGCGTATGATCCAGAGTCTAGGATTAGCTTCTCCTCGTTGTTTACTTTTCAGACCTTCCGACTGCTTTTGGTCGAAAAGATCGGGAATTATAATTCCCTCTTGTCCAGTGCGTACTGAGCTCAGAGACACAGAGAATGTATCCATTCCGGAGATAGGAATTTTGAAAGAAAGACGTGATACGGCTGTCTTCATTAAGGTATCATAAATACTCACGATCACAATGTAGTCTGTCAAACCGCGGATCTTTGGCTATTCTTTCAAGTCAGCTTCAATAGTGATGTGTATATAGCTAGACTTACCTCAATGCCAATCGGTATTTAGGTCCCAATTTCTCCAGTTCGGCAAGTACACAATCGGTGATAGTTGGGATACCTAAGATTCAGTGTCCGGCCTCACTGCCTCGCTCTTCCACCCCAATTCCTATATGGTGACCTTCCTACCTTGTGCGGGTTCTCGATGGAGAAAGTGATACAGATGATACAGCTAAACTCACACTTGGCCATCAAACAATCCATCATACCTTGTACCAACTCGACCTTATTTTGGATACTAAAGTTGATAAAGTTGGTATCGACCAATACTCTGTACGGCGGTCCCAAGTCTGTGTTATGGGATAAGAACAGTCTGTCACCCTCAGCTTTTCTCCTCTCCCTTCATAGTATAATTCCTGATGTGGGCGTGATGAGGACTCACGAGGATGATACTTGTGCTCTTGACGTCAGCTCACGGTGGACAGGTACGGATATAGTTGAGGACTTACACTGCTTTTTTCTCTTCCGCTTTCTTGACTTTTTCAGCTTTTGCAGCTGCTTTTTCTACATTGTCTTTTCTTCCATGTCAGTGGTTCATCAGGTCATACAGGCAGCCAAGTGTCTAAGTTCTACCAATTGAGAGGATAGAGCCAATGCTTATATGAGACAGCAGTGGTGGGAAAAAAGAAACTCACAATCGGGGATCGGAAGGTTTGATCATGCGTTTGACTGCAGCGAATTTTCTCGTCTTTGCTGCTTTCCCCTATTAATCAGTTAGTTTTGATAGTATTGCGCTGTATCATATGGAGAAGAACTCACCATGATTGCCAGTTGTTGATAGTGCAATGCAGTAGAAGAAGGTTGTTAGCTGTTGAAGATACAAAGAGAGACTTTTTGCAGAGAAATCCCCGAGTGTTTGCGGCGATGACCGCTCGCCACGTGGTTCTCCGATCCTCCACTTTTCACGCCCACTCAATTGAAAAAGGATTAAACCACCCGTCTCTCCACTCTACCCCCCTCCTCAGTGACACCTATCATCTTGCTCATCTTGTCCACTTATCACTATCGCAACCATCTCACGTCTCTACAAATATCTCGCAGACTCGACATTGCATCATGTCAATGCCAGAAGGGCCCTCGCTCACACCTCCTCACATCCCCCCACCGACACTCAAACGACCCCGTCAGAGCAATGGTGCAGCCGTCAATGGTCTGGGAAGACATAAACGTCGGAAACCGGAAGATAGCGTCGGTCCTGACAGTGGGACTGATAAGAAAGGTGCGATCAACTTTGGAGTAGGAATGGTCAAAGGTCGTGAAGATGAATTTGGCGAGTCTCAAGAGGTGGTCACTAGAGTGAGTCTCGGTCATCTGGAATATGGATGGAAGATAGGATCATGAGAACTGATACACAGGTTGATTTCAATGACTTGCCGGATGATTGTCTTTATAGGTATTTGGAGGTATATGATTTAGTACCCAGATGGGACGTGTCTCCTTGGTCTGAAAAACCTTGCACGCCTCGTCAGTGTTTTTCTTCATTGTCACCATTACCATCTCATAATCCATGTAGAACCTGTCCTTCTCTCGTTCTAATCTACTTTGAATTGATGAGCTACATGGCATATACAAAAACGCAGCTGACGCGCAGCAAACGCATTGTATACCCTCACCCCTGCTCCAGCGGCGATACCTATCAACCCTTCACCTCCAAAACCCTCTCCGGTCAACACCCCCACTGTCCCCAGCACCATTCTCCCGGACGTACAAGCTGATCTATCCATGTCAGTCGACTTGCCACCTACCTCCGGTTTAACCGATGCAGTGGAGGATGTGCCAAACTCCGTTGTGGCCGACGCGATCGAACCTGAGCCAGAACCTGATCTTCCTGCTCCTCCTACCACACGTTCGAAAACTCTTCCATCACGTAGACCACCTACACCTTCCCCCGAACCACAAGTAGTGAAGCGAGGCGTAATGACTCTTAGCGATGTGCATGCCGCAAGAGGGGCATTGGCAGAGAGAGCCAACGCTCATTGGGCTAAAGGATTAGGAGGAGGGCAGAATAAAGAGGGGGAGACTATCGTGAATTTCTTATATAAGAATAGAGTAGGGCACGGTGAGTGTTGTTTTCAACTTTCTAAGCCCCTCGTCATGATATGAAGACTAGTTAATGTCAAAGAGGGGAGGTTAAGTGTGGTGCTGATGATCTAGGTCGATTGTTGAGGGTTTATAACCCTATGAGAGAAGGCTTATGACATTAGTCTTCTGTCACCGTTACTCCTGTTATACTTGTCTGAATTAGCCGTGACAAACGGATTTGCTTCGCCCTTGCAGCTCTTGTCCTTTGTCCCCCCTCTGTACCCCTGTGGCTTGTGGCCTATGGTGTCCTGTCAAAGCCTATGAACTCAGACTGTTGGCTAGGCACCAAAGATGTAATTGACCTCCACTTTTGACCTCCACCTAACCTCCACTATATTAACGACCCGCCTTTTACGGAATCCCCCTTCGTCTTCTTGTTTTTTTGAATAGTCACCTCATACTTATTGTATATACTCGTCTCCAAGTCTCTACCTTTGGTTACTTCTGATAACATGGGTGTCATTGAGCCTGGAAGTAAAGTTCTAGTCACTGGTGCATCGGGTTATTTCGCTTCGTATGTTTCTCCTCTCCCTTTGACCTTTTGACTTCGTTCTCACCTCCACCATTACCTACTCTTTGCCACCACATAGTCACCCTACACCCCTCCCCCTACTTTCCTCACCCTCTTAGAGTAAGGGAGTGAGATTATCAGGATATACCTGACTCTCAGACACACCGTAGAGGCGTTCTTGAATGCTGGCTTTCCAGTCCGCGGGACTGTCCGTTCGGCCGCGAAGGGTGAATATCTGAAAGAATTGTTCAAGGGTAAACCATTCGAATATGTGATAGTACCAGATATATCAGAAGTGAGTTACAGGCTTGCTCCTCTCTCACACCTCCCTATTGTACACTCCTCCCTCCCCCAGCCCTCTGACGGGGGCGCATCACATCCTCCCTCGGAATCGATTAATTTCGACATGCCGACAATATCTCATCCCATCACATCATGCATGGTGGTATACCTATATAGAGGGAGTCAGAGAGCCACGTATGCTGATCAACAGGAAGGCGCATTCGACGAAGCTGTCAAAGATGTCGAAGGTGTTGCTCATACGGCCAGGTCAGTCTCTTCACTGTCCCACTCCACCTCTCCCTCGTCCAATGGCCCGTATGGTGATGGCACCCCGCATACTTCCGTTTCTTTAGTTGCGATTGCTGATTTTCAGTCCCTTCCACTTCAAAGCTATATATCCGGAGGAACTCATCAAACCCGCCGTGAACGGGACAGTTGGGATCCTGGAAAGTTTGAAGAAGAACAAGTGAGTCACCGGTTTGTCACCCTCGCATGGATGCACCATTCCAAACGAGTTTTCTTCCGAGATCACCCACGTCACTCATATTCGCTACGGACTAAGTTCATGAATGATCGCTGACGAGTAGCCCAAATATCAAACGTGTGGTCATCACCAGGTACGTTCTATCACTCTCAACTCATGTCCACTTCTGAAAAATTGCTGACGCTCAGTTCCATCGCTTCCGTCTTGGACCCCACCTTTCCCAAGCCTCATACGTGAGTGTCATCTGTGGAATACGAAAACAAACTTATGGAAGATACACAGAGAAGGACTGGAATAATGTCAGTCCTAAGACCTGCGAGGAAAAAGGAAAAGATGCACCACCTCAGGAGATGTACAGAGGTGAGTACACGTATCTCTTCTAAGCTCAGGTAGGGCTGATGAATTAGCTAGCAAAGTACTTGCTGAAAAGGCGTTTTGGAAATGGATCGAAGATGAGAAACCTGCTTTCGACGGGGTGGTCATCAATCCTGCTTTGGTGAGTCATTCAATGACAACTCCTCACCTTTTGTACAGATCACTCAGCCAGGACATTTGGCAATCGTGAGGAATGTTAATAATGATAGATCCTTGGTCCCGTGATCCACCCATGCGATAAGGTTGAAGACCTCAATTCTTCCGTCGGTATGTCCCCTTCATTCAAGTATGCCTATCTCGAAGTTGACATATAGCTATGGTGGTCCCATTCACCAAAGCTGTACCCCGTGATCAAGTGCCCCCTGTGGCCGCCAATCTCGTAGACGTGAGGGATTGTGAGTCGTTGGGTACACAAAACTGATACAAGTCGCTGATAGACAGGTGCACTCCATCATGTCAAAGCTTTGACAGTTCCAGAAGCAGGTGGACAACGTTTCATCTCCTCTCTCGGTCCTTCCTTGGCAAACGATTGGCTTCTCGTGAGTTTTCAAACACTCGTATATGATTTTCCCCTTCCCTAAAGCCGTGACATTTTGTTCACTTGCCTTCTTTGGTGATGTGTGAAGAAGTAAAACCGGTCGAGCTGATGATATAGGCGGTGCACAAATACTTTCCTGATCTTGGAACTGTGGATGGCGATCCTTCCATTGTGGAATCATCTAAAAAGGCGGAGATCTGTCATGATGGATCTAAAGCTGCAAAGGTTTTGTATCCCTACCGAGCGGAAGAAGAGACTTTGAGGGATACAGTGGAGAGTCTGAGAGAGAGGTTCAATCTCTGAACCAGTAGGTTTCACAGGTCCATACTCAGACCATTGGGAGATATGATTTGGTCGCTGTTCATGTCTTGTTGCAGTCGAAAGTAGCGTTAGTATCAGAAAGATGCAAACATGCAAACATGCCTTCTTGATGCTCCCTCGGTTATTCATAGGTGCCACCCACGTTTACACCAATTACAACCACTTTCAACACATATCACTTCCATACACTACTTTCATACTTTCATCCGGAACTTGTCCCATCTCGTCAATAACAACACAAGCCATCTTCCGTACCCTGTACATGTGCTCGAGAAAGAGTACATGATCTTACCAAATCATACATCATTCCGTCCTCATCTCACGACTTGTCTAACCCCTTATCGTCCACTCGTACCTTATCGCTTTTCTCCATATCTGACCACTTCGGTGCTTTCCCTGCATTATACAAATTATCGCTCTCTCTATCTCATTTGAAGCCAGCGTACAAGAGGGAAGAAAGGGGAGAAGAGAACATCGCTCTTTTGACTCTTGGAAAAGGTGAAGAAAGTGAGATAGGGAGATATACAAGTAAAAGGTGGGATTGGAATTCTGACACACGACCGAAGAAAGGGACCAGGATGAAGTTTGGGTGAGTTCATATTTCTCCTTTTACTCTCATTCTCACCTCAAGATACTCAGTGTATCCCATGTGCATTATTTTATAAGATATGTATGTGTCCGTGACTTGTCCTTCCACTGAACACGGGGTTGCGCCAGTCATGGGATTCATAGAATTCTGATCATCTTTAACTCTTACATTCCTTCTAGTACGATGCTTCTCAACGTACATGTGCAGGGTGGGTACAAAACTTTATGTATTTCTTCAAGATATCCGTCAAGCTGCGAAATTGCTATCAACCTTTACTTCGCTAACCAGGTGACATGTGACTGGGAATGTTGGACTGCTGGAGGATATGGTGTGAACACGGGATTCTGAAGACTGACTTTCAGTACTCTCTTAGAGCTCAATAGTAACATTGAATGGTGGAATCATTATGTCGAGTAAGTCGAACCGTCAATCTCAACCTCATACGAATGTCTCTTTCTACTTATAATCCTCATCTTATCGTCAAGCACCTCGATCCCTCAAAGTATAATAGACAATTAAATTTGCAAGGCTTCCTTCCCTACATCAATTGTTGTCAAAGTTGAAGGTTTACTGACCTCAGCTACGACGCTCTCAAGAAACTCTTCCCTTCCAACCCTCTCGACCCCTCCTCTTATCTCTCCACCGTCACCGAGTCCACTTCCATTCTCCCCGTTCATCGGGGTGATAGTAAATATGCCACTCCTCCTGAGTTTCGCTCCGCTCTTGATCGTGAACGAGAAAAAGTATCTACCTTCTATCTATCCAAAATATCTGAACTCCACCGTTCATTGGAGCAATTAGAAGAAGAAATCGAATCTGAAGAAACTGCCGAATTGGTTGATGCAGATGACACTATAGCCGAGGTAAACGAAGATGGTGATGAAGCCCAAGCTATGCTAGGACCTCCAAGTCCCAGTATATCTCGAGCGAGAAAACAAGGTATCCTCAGTCGATTAGCACCAAACGGTACGATAATGGGACGAAGAAGAAGTTTATTAAATAAAGACGAAGCTGATGTAATGGAAGGTTTATCACGTGGTAGAAGTAGAAGTATTGGAACTTCAGGAAACGGCAATCAAAATCAATCATCCCCTTTACTTGAGGAAAATCAACTGATCACTACCGAAGAAGATTTATTGGGCTCTCCGATATTTCCAACGAAAGGGAAAGTCCCACCACCGAGAAATAGAGCAATGTCAGATCTCGAATCTTCTGATGCGGACATTGGTCGGGAAAGAAGATTATCAGTTTCGTCAGCTTCATCACATGGAGATGATTATGGTTGGCCTAGAAAAGCTTATGGGAGTTTGAAATTGGTTCCTATGGATAGATCGGCATTACCATCTTGGACACGAGAAGAATCGGAAAATGAACCAGGCACACCTTCGTCGTCGAGAAATGCGGGGGTTAGAGAGAAAAAAACGGTTTATATCTGGAGAGGGGACGGACATAGAGCACAGATGTTGAAGATACAATATAAGAAAAGGATTTCTGCACTTTGGTTGGAGGCTTATGGGTTGAAACAATATGTGGATCTGAATTTGACAGCATTTGAGAAGATTCTGAAGAAGTGAGTGACTTTACATTATCCAGTCTCTCCTTCCCTCTCTTTCTCTTCCTTAATATGGAGTTTGTCTATACACAACGCGGATGTTACAGAAGATTCGCGTCTTTTGCCTCAAATCCTCAGTTCTCTACACTTTGTAACGATTCTCGAAGGTCTACCTTGTTAGAAAGGAGAGATTTAGTACGGACCATAGTCGATAAAGTATGTTCATAAAGTACCTCACGCTGATTTTTAGATATGACAAGAATACCAGTTCCAAGGTAATCCTTTCCTCTTCCCCTTAACTAAGTATAAGCACCATTATTAACCGGCAGCTGAAAAACGACTACGTACCCAATATCGTCCTGACCTCTCGACCATGGGTCCAATCCGATCGAGACGATTTAGACAATCTGATCTCCCATATACTTCTTCTCTACCGTCGTATAGTCACTTCAGGTAACGAAGATCAAGCCAAAGATCAACTCCGAGCGCAACTCCGAGAGAAAGTAGTGGTGGATCGTGAAACCGTATGGTCTCAAATGGTTTCTGGTCATAGAGGACAAGGAATATTTAGGAGTATTGAACCTGATGAAGAATCAGTATTCAAACCTGATCCTACTCAGAGATCCGGTAAATATTTACCTGGATGGTTATCACGTAAGGTCGTGCTTTGTTTGTTGGCTTTGGGAGTGTTGGTTATCATCGTACAGACTCAACCGGTGGGAAGAGTGGAAGAGAGTAATTGTTTGGCTATGTTGTTGTTTTGTACTATTCTATGGGCTACAGAGGTGAGTAAACTTTCTTACTGGTAGTCTGCGCCATACTCTTTTACTCTCCTAACTATCCTTCTGTGTCGCTATCTCAAACTTAATCCGTTGATTTGGTCATCTGGATCCACTAAATTCGACCATCCATCACATTCGAACTTCCGACTGACTTGCCTGACATCACGACCTTTGTGAGGATGACGATGGGAATATGGCTATATGGCGAAAACGAATGCCTGGAAGGGAGAGGAGAATGGAGCGTCTACTCACAAACAGGCCATTCCCCTATTCGTCACTTCCCTAGCGGTCCCATTCCTAGTAGTAATCCTGCGTGTACTTCGTTCTTCAGATGGCGAAGATACTCGTCTTTCCGCTTCTGATGCTACCAAGTGAGTTTCGTACCACACTAACCATACCTTTCCGCATCTCCGCTCTCACAATTTTGTCTCTCATTCTACTCGGTCCCAGTAAAACCTACTTGCTGTCCATCTATTCCGTGATGTGCCATCCTCAATTATATTAACGCAGTGTTCACTTTGGTGATGCACATGAACATTGCCTTCCAGCAATCATGGGAGATGTGGATGAAGCGTCGAAGACTCAAGACTGACATTTCCCCAGATACATCTTCTCCCAAATGTTTTCACCCACCATCATGCTTCTCATTGGAGGTTTCACCATCGCTGCTGTATTGTCAAAAACCAGGTTAGACGTGATGACTGCCACTCGGATCCTAAACGCCGCAGGTACACGACCAAGTGTGGTTTTACTGGTCCTCATGTCCGTTGCGACATTTGCAAGTATGTGGATTAGTAATGTGGCCGCACCGACTTTATGTTATGCTTTGATCAAGGTTGGTGTCTCATGTCATTGATGGTTTACAGCTGATTAGTAGCCAATTCTCGACGAGCTGCATCCGAAGAGCATGTTTTCGAAATGTCTTATTGTGGGTTTAAAGATTCCCTTCTTCTTCTTTTCGTCCTCCAATTCTCACGAGTAATAATCTCTCTCATCTACTTGTCCGAACTGGAAATTCCTAACTGGAGTCGAAAGCATCTAATCCATCATCGCTGGTGGCTCCTTCAGAAACTTACACTTTCCACAAGATAGTCAATGGGCTCACTTGTCAGATCGCTATCGCTCTAGCATCCAACATAGGTGGTCAAGCATCTCCAATCTCATCACCTCAAAACCTCATAGCATTAGGATCCATGGATCCACCTCTCAGTTGGCCAGAATGGTTCGCCATTTCCATCCCAGTCAGTAGTATCTCCGTCATCGCCATTTGGGCGTTTTTACATTTAAACTATCGATGGGAGAACGATCTTCGGATCCCTAAAATGCGTAAAAATACAGATGCTTTGTCAAAAACTCATTATTTCGTATTGTTCATTTCGGCTTTGACCATTGGATTATGGTGTGCTGAGAAAAGTATGGAAGGGGTTGTAGGTGACATGGGTGTGATTGCTGTGATACCTTTATTAGCTTTCTTTGGGACTGGGATATTGTCTAAGGTTAGTGATATGTTCAACTCCTCGATTGGATTTCCCGGTACTGTCTCCCCGTCGAATCATCCGTTTTCATTCATCCTTGAAATCAGATTTAATCTCGGAACTCTCTCTCTTCGTTGCATCATTTCCTCTTGACAGTAGTATCTCCAATCACTCGCATCGTCAGTTGCTTGTTGTTACCTATTTCCGTTCGTTTCGTTTCTGAGCGGACTAAAGTTTTCTTGGGATAAGTTTGATCTTGATGATGATGAACTGCACCGTTCCCTCAATATTTCCGCTGAGAATACCCACTTACTTGATAGGAAGATTTTCATTCATTCCACTGGTCCATCGTCTTTCTCGCCATGGGTGGTATAGCACTCGGCAAAGCCACTTTGTCTTCTGGTTTATTAGATGATTTGGATCATATGCTGGAAGGTTTCGTCGAAGGGATGGGATTATACAGTATTTTGATCGTATTTTCCATTCTAGCTTTGGTCATTGCTACTTTGTAAGTCCCCTATCCTCAACCCTCTTTTTGCTTGTCGCTTTCCACTCTTTCATCCCTTCGACGTGCGCATATCTCTCCATGAACAGAACCTTCCTCCGAACGTACAAACCTCTCTGCGTCAACAAAACTATCTTTCAACCATACTTATTCTTCTTGACCAGTTCGATCTTTTCTCCTGCGCACAATCCACCCTCACTTCATGACAAATCTCGTCCATATCCTTCTGTTCAAACTCGATTGATGTCTGCAATCACCGGATCCAAGAAAGAACCGTAAACGTCATCGAGGAAGGAAGAGTGTTCATGAGAATAAAGGACCAAAGTCTAACATCTCAGTATATCACACACCATAGCAGCGGTACTATTAGTTCCAATAGCAACACGTATCGGTGACTCTCTCGACGAACCTCATCCGAAATTATTAATCATGGCAACGGCTTTGATTTGTTCAGCAGGTATGGGTTTACCAGTCTCTGGTTTCCCAAATATGACAGCTATTACCCAAGAGAATAAACTCGGTCAAAGGTTTATTGGAGCGATAGATTTCTTGAAGAATGGTGTACCTTCTTCTCTTTTGGCTACTTTTGTGAGTAATCGTTTTCACCCAATGATCATTTGTGTACCTTTCAATCATTAATTTTTGTATCTATCAAAGGTTCTTTTCCTCTTTTACAGAGATTTGGAATAACACTAACACTCATGTTTTCTTGCCCTTTTGACGTCTGAACTTTGGTGCGGTTGGAAGTGAAGGAGGAGTGCTGATGAGAAGGTAATTGTCACTATCGGGTATGGTATCATGAGGTCTTTAGGATTATGAGGAACGGATATGAGCTTTGATGATGCATGCTTTTACAACTCTAAAATACCACATGGTACAAATTTTGTCACCTCTCATCCCATTAGGCCGTACGGATCTCAATCGCCTTCTTCTCAGCGCATGCAGACTCAATCAACAGCCCGTCAGATTCAATGGAAGACATTGTACATTTCATCAACTGTAAGTACTGAGTATGGTAGTATTTTCATGTCCATGCATACCGAGATCAACCCCAGATCTAACTCATCAGATCTTCGCCTTGTCCTTGTTCCTGCTTAACTTCCCCATCTTGAACCCCTTCACGTCCTATCACTTCCCCATCTTCTGGTCCTTCACCCGTCTTGTCAACTTCCAACTTACCGTCCCCATCCAGAGCACCAGGTCGGACACTACTAGGTCCTCCCGAAGATGGTCGAGTATCTGATCGTGAAGACGCGTTGGGTGCTGGAGCTAGGAGGATCTTATCACCGGGTTGAACCAGTTGATCAGGTTCGTGGTTCAGTGCGGAGGGTTCAGCCACCAGGCTTCCGTTGGACAGTTGGATGAGGAGACCGTCATGTCCCTCGGTACTGATAGTGTCGGTGGGAGGGGGAAGGGAGACGGGTGTGCTGTCGTTCCGCTAGCACATTAGCACTTCACGATTGGCTCAATGAAGTGAAAGGAGAAATGGTGCATGAGAATCAAAGACTGACAGAAGGACGTCGACTTTGCTGCATGGCATTGACCACTCTTTGTCTCTCGATGATCCCGCCTACGCATAAGTAAGAGAACGATCACGGAGAGATTAACGCACGCATGACAGCTGCCGTCGCCCGTCGTTTCGCAGCTTTCTTAGAATGATTGTCTTCAAACCTATCCGTCTCGTCGATCTGTTGTTAGTAAAGCTCCAATACTCTGTGATCACGATCTCACGATCTCCTCGCCGATGATTCTGTTTCGTCAGCTGATTGTCATTCCGAGTTTTGGTTCCAGCTCACTCTTCTATCAAATCTTCCACTGGGTCATCAGCGGGTGTCAACTTCGATGTCAGACGACACTTACGACTGACAATGCCTAGCACACCACCTTTGTGCCCTGGATTCTCGCTGACAAGCAACAGATGTGCTCGACCAGTCTGGAAGTAGTCCAGTGCTTGGAAACAGTTGATCTCGGGCCTGGCTTCGGGAAGAGGGAGTAATGGGAATTTTGATATCGGCCAACAATCATCGGGGTCGTATGGTATCAACTGTGAGGTCAGTCATCACCTCTAGCCTTCTTGGATACTTACCAAAGGTCAGGATGTGAAAGGATAATTGGAATGGCGGAAAAGGTGTGAAGAATGACAGCGACTCACCCGCTTGACCAAAAGCATTCCAATAAAGTTGTCCGGCTGTTTTGGTTCATGAACAGGTATTCTCGAAAAGCCAGAGAGTAAGATTTGGTCTATCGCTTTGTGATCTAGGATCGTATCGGAAGACAAAGTCAGACAGTCCTTGATAGGGGTCATAATCTCATTCACTCGTTTGTCGTTGAGCGACAACACTCCGTTGAGAATAACAATCTTCGGGTCAGTGGTGTTCCATTCCTTTCCCCAGCAGCGAAGTGCATAGGTCCCAAGGCGGCAGACCAAAGAGACGTTGAAGAGCATGAACGCCTCACCTCGTCATCCCGCAAGGGTTCTTGACCTTCTCGGTGGAACTGTAAAAAGCTCTTCAGCTCGGCCTTTTTGTACCTGCATCAAGTCAGCTTCGAGCGAACCAAAGAAAAGAAGATGCTGACGTATGACCTTCCTCTCGTCCTAGCACATAATCCAGCAATTTGGCCGTGGGCCAAGCGATCGGTGAGAAGAGAATCATAAGACCCCATACTAGTGGTGCGCACGCCCCACCAATAGCCAGACCATATCGAACGCAGACCTGATGAGTCAGTACATGGCCAAGCTTGACAATTCAGGACTGACCGCTTGGGGAATGATCTCTCCGAAGATCACAATCATCGTGGTTGAGACCACCACCGCAGCCAGTCCACCACCGAGGACGTCATCGAGAAATATAGGTAGAGACTCATTGACGATCTCCTCGGGTCAGCTGTATTCATATCAGACACACAAGCCACAATGTGCGTCGACGTAGCTAGGGGAAACGCTTCACGTACGACATTGCCCAGGAGAAGCACAACCAGAACCCAATGTCGTCCCTTCTCCAGTAATCGTAAAACCTTGTGAGCCGCTTTTCTCTCCTTTGGATCGTCCGAGCTGGTGCTGAGTACTCTGAGGTTGAGATCGTCACTGCCCATCAGAGCCAGGGTTAGTCTTGGCAGGGTCAGCAAGCGCGGCAGAGAAAATGACCAACACATACCCTGCAAAGACACCACCGGCGAGGACAAGAGCAACAGAAAAACATAGCTTCCATACAAAGTTTGGTGAACCTGGTGGATCCTCTGGCTGTATAGGACCCTTGCCCGGAGAAGCTAAAGCGTTGTCGCCAAAAGCAGAGTAGGACCGGGAAAGAAGGCAAGGAGCTAGATGAAAGACTTTCGACAGTGAGATGATAGTGGGAATGGTAGAAGCTCCGCGCCTGAGTGGGTAGGCTGGGGGCATGCCTCGTGATGTAGGCAAGGGAGAGGTGAGGTGGTAAGGGAAGAAACAAGGAAGGGTATGTAGTGAGTAGTGGTCGGAGGGGAGGAAGGGAGGGGAAGGAGGGAGGGAGGTTGAAGATTGGCTATGACGCGTTTTCCCACGGTCGCTCCTCCTCCTTGTTTCCCCCACTCCCCCACTTTCCTCTCCCCCCACTCTCCCACTCTCTTACTCAAATTTGTTACTCTACCACTACTCTACTAGACCTTATCACTTATACCCTCCTATCCTAATGTCCCTTATCGCACCTTAACATGTCGTCCGGTAACTCACTCAGACAGTCTCTCATTCTACCACCGTCTCATCTGACCCTACCCGCTCAGACTACTGACCCTGCTCAACTCAAACTAAAACTCACCCCTCACGTTCTTTACCCCTTACCGCTCATTTCTCCTCACATAAACGGCAAGGGATTGGAAGAATGCTCCATGGTGATGCCGCCAGAAGGAAGCAAGATCGCTCTCAAGATCACCGTACACCCTGAAAATCTACATATGACCGACGTTCACGAAATCCGGGACAAGATCGAAGGACTCGTCAAGGATACTTTTGACAAGGTGAAGCGAAGACTTTGATATGGGCTGAAACAACAGGCAGCCGGCAGTATCGGAGCCACTACGGTCATTCAAGACGTAGAACATGATGAAGATGAAGCAAAGTATCGCTTAATCCCTTTATCTTACTCAATACAACCTACTACCCTGACAAACCTCATACCAATTGGACAACCAGTCGTCCATCTAACACAAATTGACTTGTCTCTTTCTTGGACTAGATGTCAAGTCACAAGAGTAGAAGAATCACATCATTCTCACTCTCACGCTCACTCTGCCTCTGACTCACCGACTCCCCTCTGGATGCCAGACTACATGATTTTGGATGATGATGACCAACATCCGTTGACTTTGGGTAAGTAGATATACCTCACCAGTCTCAGCTGACCCTGAGCGGATGTGCTGAACGCTTCGGAACGTACATCGGTGGAAATACCAACTTGGCTTGTGCGACAGGTCCAAGAAGGAATTACCAAGCTCATCAGAATGAATCTTATCAAGTGGGTTTGTCATCGTCATTCGAACTCTTGCTCACACTTCAGGCGTTTCCCGCTAATCTTCGATGCCGCGTTTCTCACGGCAAGCTTTCATTCATCATTCTTTCATCTACTGATCCCGACAGTATTTCCCTGCCATTAACCCAAGACCATCCCTATTCCACGCATGTACGACGTTCCTTCGTCTTGCCATGTCCCACCGTCCCGACTTTGCGGCGGAACTGTTGGAAACGATGATGGGATTAGATAATGCTATGGATTTGGAAGTGAAGGCACACGTGAACCTGGCTGCACACCTTCCACATTCTGTCAAGAAACGTCGGCTCGGTGCTCGACAAGCAGGAGGGATGTCTTCTCAAGTCCCGGATGCGTGTGTTCAGAATCATCCCGACTTATCCGATCCCGACGCTCGTGTGTCGATCTACATGACTGAGAGGGCGGAGTTTCTCCAGGATCTCGAGGCACAGCGAGAAGATCGGTTCGTTCGACGAATCTTAATAGATTCCTTGGGAAGCATAGGACGAGCAATGTGGAATAAAGCTAGAAATGGAAGAGGGAAGATGGCAGCTTGGAGAATCGCGGTGAGATATTTATGGTTGATGAATCTTGGTAAAGCTGACTGGTAGCTACAGCCCAGCGATCAGGGAATCATATCAAGAAGTGAAGAATCTTCGCAGAGATGCAGTCACGTACCTTCGAATACAGTCGCAGAGAGTGAAGAGTCACCCGACCGTACATGCTATCCTCCCGTGGGATCTCTCCTTGCCTCAGGCATGGACGAAGACGACTCAAGATCTATCCTTTCTATGGCAACTCGTCTGACAATAAATGCCGACGACTTGGACGAAGATCCACATTGCTTCTCTGTCCTGGAATCAAGCTACGAGCTCGACGATGACGTTCTCTCCGACGCTCCCGAAGAACTTTCAGGATCTCTGGACTTTGACCTTGTCGCTAAACACTCCAATTTAATCGACACTTTCCCCTATCACCCGACCCCTGCGTATCCTCATACTTCTATTCATACGTCTAGCTACTCATCTACCCCTCAAGATCCAATAAACTATCCATACACAGACCAACACCCATCAGCTTCTTATTCGACACCTCGCTTGTCTTACATTGACGAACATCAAGAGCTCTACGAGCGCCTCCGATCCCCACCTCTAGACCCGGACAGTTCGTTCGAATGGGCCGTCCCACAAACTCCATTAGACACAGACGATCTTGATATTGACATTATCCGTCCGACATCACCCTCGTCTGACACACTCGGATTTGTACAGGATTTCCGGTCCTTAGATGAGGACTGGTGGTATGATCAAGAACACCATGAGCTTCCTTTGGGAAAAGAAGTTGGGTCCGAATCGGATGATCTGGAATTGGAATCTGGAAATTTCTACCCTTCATTCTCTGTCTCACAGTTTGTCAACTCTACAACATTCTTTCTTGAAGAGCGGGATAGGCAATGGGAAGAGAGGTCGATATGTCCTGACGATATAGACGATGAGGGAGTACTGCAAGACGATGGAGTGACCCGAGAGGAAGAATCAATACTGGAGAATGACCAAGATGTGTCAGATACCGATGAGGATCGCATTTTAGATGCTCTGCCGGATGCATATCAGGACGAATGGGTTTGGGGGAAAGACGAGGTTTGGCAAGATCACCGATCAACAACAAGCTTTGAAATTGGTTGGAAGCAACATAAGAATCCACTTCAATACTATAATCACCCGAACTCACAGGAAGACATAAACTCAAAGAGCAACGAATGGGGGGAAAGTGGTGTCGAAGGAGAGGAAGATACGATTTTGAGTGATTCAGATGAAGGATTAGGAGATTATATCACTCCATATCATACAGATTTACCCAATGGGGTAATCCTCGAAGATGGACAAGGAGAAGGAATCGAAGATGAATTGTCAATGGGAGATGGGGAAGAAGAAGGAGGATATCATGATGAGATAGTATTGGGAGATGAAGATCAAGAAGGAGAATCTCATCATGAAGTATTATTGGAAGAGGAAGAGCAAGAAGGAAAAGTTTACAATGAAATATTATTGGACGAGGAAGATGAAGATGAAGAGGGATTGTTAGACAACTATGATTATTCACAAGAATACCAATATCATCATATTCACCAAGATTTACATACTCACGAGGTCGATTTCGATTGTGGTGTTCAAAATAATGATGAGGTTGATGACAATTACGATGTTGAAGATAGTAATGATGAGGTTGATGACGACTACCATGTTGAAGATAAGAATAAGGTGGATGACAAGTACGATGCTGAATACGATTACGAGGTTGATAACAATCACGATGTCCAAAATAACGATGAAGTTCAAGACAATAACCACAATGACAACCAAGTTCACGACGATTATCATGATCAAGTTGAAGATGATGTCGATATCACTCACCATGACCAACACCACGATGAACTGAACGAACGAAATCATTTTCTTCACCCTCAAGAAGTATACGATTACGAACATGAATACGATTATTCTCAAGAGTATTGGGGAACATGATTCATTCATAAGGATACCTACGATTATGAGTACGAGTACGAATACGAATGTCATCTTTGTAAGACATATTATGCATTCCATACTTACCTCCCCTACCTCTAATCTTCCTTTTCATCATAGACGATATTCTAGGATTGCATATTCCTCTCCACGTGCCACAAATGAACGTTATACCAAGAAGATGTTTTGACCCAGCTGGTTCGGTTGCTACGTAAGATACTATGGGTTTATTAAGGTGACAATTCCAGATCTTTGAGGAGGACCCAAAATAGAGATTGAGTGAATTGTGCGATCATTTTATAGTGGTCTTCAACCAAATTTAGACTTGCACTAAGTAAATCCGTGTAGATAGTCAGGAGGCACAGAAGATCCAGCAGAAAAACATGCATATTAACATAAATCATACTTTCAACCAGATGCTATGCTTTAAATTGTAAAAGAAAAGTGAAAATGCGAAGAAATGTTCATGGACGGTCGTCCACAAAGTTAAAAAAGTATATACAAGCAACAAGGTAATGATCATTATTCGTTTTTCATGTTTTTCTTATGGGAACATCTTTCTTCTCCCATGTTCCATCTTTGAGTTCGGACAAACTTATTGAGTCGTACATTCGATGTTCCTGCTTGTCGTACTGTTTGTTCATCACCAGTCTTCATGAAGATGGTATGTTCCTAAAACGTGGGTGTATCAGAGAGAAGAGGAGTTAACGAGATAGAGGATGATTGAAGTGAATTTGTGGGTTCGAATGAGGAAGGAGGATTGTTGGTCGAAATGTGGTTGGGTTGAGAGCTGAAAATATCAATTCGGGATGCAGCCCAATGATGAGTTGAATATCTGAGTGGAGGCCGATATTGGAGTGGAGTGACCAGGAGGCAAAACCATCAATTCACTACTTGACCAGCTTGAGCCTTCTTCCTCGGAGTACCTATACCAGACAACGAAACGTCTGTCCAATCACCAGACGATTCTCTCCAACTACTAGGTGGGGGAGAAGTACTAATCCTACTTTCTCTTTTTTTCCCAATATCATTCCCATCAGATAAAGGAACGAAACCTAATCTACTATTCCTCTGTTGTCTATCCGGATCGAGAGAAGAATGTCTTTGTCTGTTAACTTCAAGATTATATCCACTTGAACGTTTTTGTCTTGGAGATCCTGATGTGTCGTTATTATACGTATTGAATTGTGACGATGACGTATCCATGTTATGAGTACTTGAATGTCTTTGTCTTGAAGGTGTAGACGTAGACGTATCCAAATTATACGCACTCGATTGTCTTTGTCTAGGAGAACCTATTTCTGTATAAACCCCATTACGTGGAAAAGGTGGTGGACCAAATTCTCCTCCGAAAGCTGAATGAGCCGTTGGACCATAAGAATAACCGTAATTGTAATTCTGTTGCATAGGAAATCCAGGAGCATAAGGCATGGTCGTCATGGAAGGAAGTTGATAAGGCATGTTCATCGGATAAGGATATGGCATGGTGTATGGCATTGAAGAAAGATGTGAGGTGTATGGATTGACGGACGATGAAGATGGTGTAGGTTGAGAGGTCGAAACGGATGAAGCTCTTTCCCATTCTTCTTCACATTGACGAGCTGCTGCAGCCATGAAACTAGCTTGGAAATGTTGTTTCATCATAGCCCTGAAGGTCAACATTTGCCTATCAGATTCAAGTAAAATTTCAAAGCCCCTAATGGGACGAGGGATACCAAGTGGAGAAAGATCAGATGGGGTCAATTGGACGATAGATGGAAGTAAAGCAAGTGAAAGACACTCACAACATTGTGGCTTGATCATATGGCATGACTCCAGGTCCAGGCATTGGCATAGCCATCCCTTGCATCCCTCCCATTGTATCGTATTCATTGGGCCATTGAGACAAAGTGCTCGGTGGTCGCTGGAACGCATCGGTCGGCATTGTCCTTGAGCTAAGTCCGGACGCCTATAAGTCAGTCAAATGTTGCCTGATTGCTCTCAACATGCATCAAACTTCCTGCTGAAGGTTCAGTCACTCGCTGGATGAGTTGCATTCCCTCAAAGTCTCGTCCCCCACAAAGGACAAAGAAGAGAGAGGACTGTTCGCTCACCACTCGATCACGTCCTTCGATTCTTGACCCCCGCGGCGTATGCGGACCATAACCCGTCTGATCCCACTCGCCCGTGCCCGAATCCCTAGGAGTGATAGGATATCCAAGTTGACTATCCGCAGTAATCCCACTCTGACTCGAAGCGGGCGAGTGTTTTCTCGGATCATCCTTGTCCCTCTTTACCACGTTCCCCAAACCTCCTGTCCCGTTCCTGACGCCATTCATCACTGACGGGTTTGCAACTCGATCTACTCGAGACTTCGACATATCCGGAGGTAAGGCAATGGCGTTCCTAGATGGAGATCGTATGGGCATGGTGGTCTTGGGACTGATGCCTATAGCCGGACTTCGAGACCGAGGGGGCGGTGGTCGACTGGATGCTCGAAGACCAGGAGCTGGAGATGGAGAGGAGGATCTGGCAAATGAAGTAGGAGAAGTGACAATTGGTCCGAGGTCGAGTTTACTTGTCGATTTCGTCACCGACGACGACGTGCTCTTCTTGACTTGCAACGCCCTTGCTTGTTGACCTGTGGGCGGACTGATAGCATCGAGTACCAAAGAAGACCTCGAAGCACGTTCACGTAACACAATGAGAGGTTCATCATCACTGGAGTCACTTTCCACCGTCGTCGCTGCTCGTTTAGGAGGGAGAAGGTTCTGCTTACTTCGATCATTCAGGTCGATCACAGATTGAGTAGCACGGTTGGTGGCGCTTGATTCCACACCGAGACGTGGTGTCGGTCGACCCTTGACAGGTCCAGGCTGTCGAGGACCTAAAGGTCGCTTGATCATATCTTCAGAATCAGACATCGAACCCACAGAGCTTGCTCGCCTGTTTGTGATAGTGCTTCTCCGTGTACTTCTCGGAGCTGATGCTCTTGGGAAATTGGTGATTGTGGGTGCCGCGCTAGTTGTCGGTGACGCGGTGGTGGAATCGCTGACTGCTGACAGCGGCTGATCGGGAAGGGTGAGACCCTCCGAGCTGTCTTTGTCCGGAAATGCCAACCGGCCCAGATGAGGTCGATCGGGCCCACCCATCTTTTGTTCTCCCTGCGCTACATTTGCGAGTCTCTCAGCCAACGTCGTCCTCGGGGATGTTGCGGGATCGGGTGGAGGCGTTCTCGCCGGCTTGGGCTTCTGTGGTGTGACGGCGAATGCATTCATAGACTCGACGACGAACGCGGGATCAAAACCGTCATCTTGCTCTGAGTTGCTACTCCAGATACCTGACAGAATCCGTGGTCCTTGGAGTACTTTCTCTCTGAGAGTGGTCGCGATCCCGCTAGGAGAGGGTAAATTGATTCTGCTAGATGAGGCTTCGGCATGTGGGTTCGCCATAGCGAGAGGGGAATCGGGCATCTGGTCGGGGGGTAAAGGCAAGAGAATTGATGATGGCGTTTCGTCTCCTGGTTGCGGGAGATGGATAGGTTCAGGAGGGGGAGGAGGAAGGGAACTCCGAGGGCGAGTTTTGGGGGAAACACTGGAAGCAAAGGGGGAGGAAGATCGAGGACGAAGAAGTGGTGTAGAAACACGCTGAGGAGGGAAATAACTATCCGTATGACTCATCTTGTCACCAGTCGATGTCGCGCTCATGCTCGAGGGACTCGCCATAAGTCCCTCGAGAGGCAACATCTCCCTAAGTGTTTCATCTGGTGGTGGTGACGTTCGAGTAGTGGTAGCACTTTTCACGACGAAACCTCCACTGAGGTTCCGCTGGTGTCGGACTACGTTGAAAATGATTCCGGAGCTGGGCGAAGTAGCTCTCGGTGGTTCTTCATCTCTTGGGTTCATACTGGACAGTGATAGTGCGCTGGAATTTGCATGATTCTCTTCTCCTCGCCTCATGGCTAAAAGACCTAAGGGAACGTCGTCTACATCCACCAAAGGCGCATGTCCATGCTCACTCATAGCCTGGCGACCCTCACTAGGTCTACGAATGCCTTTCCGGAACGCAGCGGCTGTGATTTTGTTGTAGGATACGTCATCCCCGACTGACGAACAGGCGAGACTTGGAGGTCGGGAGGGACTCGGCCGTGCAGGTCTTGGGCCGGAAAGTTGGAATGAGCTCGGTGGATGAGGGACAGCGTTCGCAGGGGCTTCCGACGTCTTGATTACGGGTGAAAAGTCTGGGACATCTACGGAGATGATTGAATTGCGTTGTATGTGAGGCATATTGGCGCCTAAACCATCGTCGGCTTGACTGGCACCGGAAATGTGACGAAAGCCTTTGAGTTGGAAAGAGCTATCTGCCATCGCGGGGTCGAGGTCGCCTTGGATGATAGAGGCACGCGAAGCGGTGCGGTGGAATGGATTCTGAAACAGTGTTGAAGAGATTCGACGGACAGGCGGAGGACGGGCGATGTCGAGACTCGGAGAGGGATGACGTTCGAGAGTATCAGGAAAGGCTGTAGACGATGGTCGATCTCGAAGATCAGCCGACTGGGCGGATACTTTGCGAGGGGTAGGCGAGTCAGACTGTATGGTAAGACACGATTCATTTATAGATATGTAACTCCTCAGATAGGATCTCAGGATCGACATGTTATGGTGAGAGTGAATATACCCACCCTGTCAACATCCAACTCTGATCTCGCCTTTCTCTTACCCTTCCAAAACTTCTTCTTATCCCCTTCAGGGCTTTCGAGAAGTTCCAAAGGATCGTCCCCTTGTGTAGACCCTAAGGTCTCCATCGACACATCAGCGATACCGGTCTCCGCGGAAGATACCTTTGGTGATTCTTTCACCGCCTCTGAAAGATGTCTGACCATGTCATCGGAAGCTAGATCCAGCCAGCCCTCTTCCGAATGCGCTTCATTCGCCAAGACACTTTTGGCAGGACTGATCACCTGACCTTCGAATTCTAGCTTTCCCAAGATCCCACCTTCTTTCTTGAATTCCCCCGAACGGACTTTTTCTTTTCTTTTTCCTGTTATTGATATCTCCGGTATACCCAGAGTCGAGCTGGCGCGAGGTCTGGCGGGTGCGGGGGAAAGGCGTGAGGTGGCAGCGCTGACAGTGTGAACATTTCGAGCTGAACTGTGACGTTCCTGCGGACTCGGAGGTGCAAGTAGAGGGGAAGGTAGTGGATGTTCTTTTTTGGACCAAGGGGTTTTGATTTTGCGGGAGATAATAGATGACGATGAAGGGGAGAGGGGAAGTGGACGAGAAAGGGTAGAGGGAGAAGATGAAGGACCTGGTGAATCAGGATTTAGGGGAGGGGTAGATGGACGTTTAGTTCGGAGACGGGTGAAGAGACCCATATTCTACTGACTATCAGTATGTTCTAAGCAAGAATGAGAGAACATGTGTGTGAGGATATATATATATCGAAGATGAGACGAGACGAGAGGAGGGGAAGGATGACAAGACAAAGGAAAGGAAATCGGGTGACCGGATAGAGTTGTAAAAAGTCAGGCGCGGAGTAGAAGTACCTCTCCCGCATGTCAAGGATCAAAGGGATCGTTAGTGTGAAAGGGGTGTAGGAATCAAAGACATGATGCTGACCTTTGATATGAGTCATGTGATAGGGTAAATATCAAGGAGTTGTAGAAGTTTGTATGACGCTGGTCATTGAAAAGTGGATCGGAACGTTGGAGTGGTCTCAAGATGCGAAGCAATGCAGTCGTGTATCGTCAAGTCGTGAGGTAGTCGTCGAGCGTCGTGGTGATAAGAGATGACTGTCTGTAGAGAGGTAAGAGGTAAGAGGTGAAGAGAAGAGAGAGGATATGGTGGTAGTGAGGATGTTGACAGGAGTGAGGGTGACGAAGGTGTGAAAGGTGGGTGAATATGGGCGTGCAACATCATTACAACATGCACCGTAGGGGGCTACTCTATCGCTCATTAGGATTTATCAGACCAGCCATTAGTAAACCGCTTTCTGATGTGATTAGTAAAATGGCTAATACCTTTGCCGCAAATGGCAAAGTGAAAGGTAAATGTGCCTGAAAGCGGCACACGCCGATAACGGCCGGTCTGTAAGACCAACTCTAAAACAAGACGTCATACTAATCTTTTGACATGTTTCTTGCCTCTTGACTCTCTAAGAACTAACTCAAAGTACTTATCTCCCTCTATCATCTCAGCCATCCTCTCGCCATTCCACTGCAAGCCTTTCTCATTCATCGTGTGAGAATACTACATATACTGACATGTTCACTCGATCACTGACCTCGCACTCACTACTTACTTTCCATCCACCTCGCCTTGGTCTCTTTCCCCATCTCCGACACTTTGTCAAGGATCCACGATGAGCCTCGGTCATCTTCTCTCTTGTTTCTTACTCTTCGCAGCTACAGTGCTACTTCTCATTGCTACCCGTCAGTTTCCTACAATACGTATGAGCTACGTGACTGAGAAATAGTCACAGCACCTATCTGGCACACGATCGGTTTTTTGACAGTCCGTAATGCAGGGGTCCAATCGGTTTTTGGGACGTTTGGATATTGTTTATCAGGGGTATGTTCAATCAATTCCTTCCAACATCCTCACATGTCTTCATTTACCGTCTCAACTATATCAAACTTCTATGGTCATATCACTCATAAATGTCAAGTTTCATATTCCCACTCACAACACAACACGGACAAAGCCATCATGTCCCATTTGTCCCAGCAGCTCGAAACGAGGCCTATGACTCTTCACTAAAGGGTAAATGGTTTGACAGACTAGCTGATGGATAGGGCCCAAATGACGGGTGTTCAAACACCGCCTTAGGCTATGACATAGCTTCCATATCTGGCGCCGTTTCAGATTACACTTACATCAATAATCATCTGGATGATGTCACAAAAGCTTTAATCTTACATCCTATAGCGTGTGGTGAGTCTTTTCCGTCTTATCAACGCTCCATCGTTTCAGTTCCCCTATCAATCAGACACCAATCCTCCAAAAATGAGATTATTTGCACCAACACATCTCGAATCACCCTCTCACATCCCAACAGCCTATTCACACATGATCAACCCAATCCTCACTTCAAGACGCTGAATTGGCTCCTTGATATCAAAATAAGGATGAGCGTATCACCGTTCTCTCACGAGATACACTATCTTGATAGAAGCAAGAGGATCCGAAGGGTCATAGGGACATTGTCATAAAGGACAGCAGAAGGAGTCAAGGATAAGAAGATTCAAAGATACAAAGTTAGGAGGATAGAGTCATAAAGGACAGCAGAAGGAGTCGAGGATAAGAAGATTCAAAGATACAAAGTTAGGAGGATAGAAGGATACAAAGATAAGAAGATACAAAGATACAAAGATAGGAGGACGAAAGGACAGAAAGATAAAGACGACATGTGGAAAACTTTACTAATTTATAGGTTTATCAACAATCACATTCCTTACAACTCTCATATCTCATCGAACAAGTTTCCTAATCTCATCTTTCTTTTCCATATCAACCTTCATCGTAACCTTCGTAGTGATGATAATCGACTTTGTTTTATTCGGTATGATCAAATATGAAATCCGACATAATACAACTGGTACTGCTGACTACTCCACCGGCGTGTGGTTAGTATTATCTTCCACCATCGTATTATTCTTTTCCACTTTCATTTTGATATTCGAATTCTTCCTTGGTCGGAGGAAGAAGGCTACAGAGAGAGAAATGAGAAGTAAATCGGAAATGTACATCACTCCTGTAACTTCTATTGGAACGGGGAGTGTTTATGATGAGAATAGAAATGGGATGGGGTATGATCATGGATCGATCATTTCTGAAAGAGGGATTACGGAGCCTGAACCTGCTGTGATTTCTGATAATGGGAGATGGTATAATATTAGAAAACAACGTGTTGTTTAATATATTCTTGTAGGATGGTAAGGGGAGGAGGGTGATCTTACAGTAGTTTTATTTTGACTTGGGACTTTGAGGCATATAATGCAGGGGGTTTCGTTTTGATAACTGAGGAGGTTACACAGTATGAGTAGAGCTGTCGAATAGGTTACAGGTTCTCCACTTCACCGTAATGAGGACTCGGCAGAGCCTTAATGCTCCAAGTGTGTTATAAGGGGGAGGGGGGTATTATGTGAATAGTATCCGGACGTAAATCGTCAACCAATGCATCATACATCAACGAAAATGCTACAACTCAATCAATAACGCTTCTTTGGGAGCTTCCGGTGTTGGAAGATCTTGAGGAGCATCTGGGAAAGCAGGTGGAGCAGAAGGGAAAGACGAAGCCGAGTAGACATGAGGTTGATATCCGTTCATTTGGGGAGATGGTTGCCATCCGTTGGCTACCTGTGAGGAGGGTTCGGAAGGACGTCGAGGTTGCAGTTGATATGGCTGAGAAGGTTGAGTCTGTTGTTGTTGTTGTTGAAGTGGAGGTTGCGGTTGTAATTGAGGAGGATGATATTGAGCCTGCAGTTGTGGAGGTTGTGATTGAGGAAGGTATGATTGTGTAGACTGAAACTGAGGTTGAGAGTGGTATTGTTGTGGAGGCTGTGATTGGAGTTGAGAGAGGTATTGTTGAGTTGTAGGAGACGAGATTTGTGCATTTGAAGAAGAATAAGAAGCACTTCTTTGAATTGGTAATGGTGATTTACTACTTTGGGGAGAAGCAGAAGGATGAGATGTAATATCTACCGGAGGTGCAGATACTTCTTGCGTTACAGACGGTACTGAATAACCTTGAACTGAATTAACTGATACTTGTCTCTGAAGATTCGTTTGATCATTGTGAAGCGATTGAACGGGAACAGCTTGTTGTGATGTTTGAACAGGTTCCGAATTGTATGTATACGCCTTAGGAGCCATTTGTGGTTGAAAAGGTTGATACGAAGTCATCATATTGGGCATATTCGGATACAAACCGTTTGATTGAGATGGTAATGATTGATAAGCCGCTTGTTGAGGTGGTGCATAGGAATACGATGAAGTCGCTTGTGATTGAGGGTTATAACCATATTGTGGAGCGTATTGAGGATTATAATATTGTTGATATCTCTTATGTTGCTCTTCTTGTAGTTTCCTAGCGGCGTAGGCTTGTTGACCATCAAGGATTTGTCCGTACAACGTAATGGCTTGAGATAATTTATCTTGCATCTCCATGAGCATTTCTATCATGTCAGCTGGTTTATATCATGTTCAACAAGGAGTAAACGCACGTTGTTTTGTAGTCTTCTCCTCTGCATTTCTTTGCAATTTCCCACCGAGAGCATAGGCTTGTTCATATAATACATGAGCTTGGGGAAACCGTCGCAAGTCCCTTTCCCCATACGCAGCCATCTGTTCCAATGTGTTGGAGAATGTCAATATCGTTTCTGTTTCTCTTGTAGTCAGATCGAACGTTGGTAATGGCTTGATAATCAGCACTCCGCGTCTTTGAAATCGACAAGACTCACTTTGTACTCCGGCTCGTCCAATCCGATCGGTGCACTAGGTCTAGCTTCCATATCTCTCAAACTCGCCTCAATAGCCAAACGTAGTTGCTCGTCATCATCATCCGCCGCCGCCTTCCCACTCCTTCGAGCTATGGGAGGTTCAGATCCGACTAATCGTCCTCCCCCGTGACTCTCCGCTAGAGACAGCTCGATGGCTCTTTGAAGATCCGCATCGAGATCCTCTCGTGTTCGAGGAGTTCGACCAGGAACCGTAGGTGGTGGTCTACGACGTCAGCATGAACTGAAGCATAGCACGATACCGACTGGACTGACCCGTTTGGCTTGCCACTTTGCCCTTTAACCCAGCAACTTTCACATACTCTGACTGGTTCGACGATTCCGTATCTAGGCAAAGGCATGCTGCGACTGGAGCATGCTTGATCGTACACCAACCCACAATTTCGACAATGGTGTTTTCTGTTGGTAAATGTGAAAGCAGACCGACAGCGCATGCAAACATCCGAGTCAACCCAAGCGGGCGCGGTGGTCGTTTCGAGCAGATTGGCAGGTTGAGCATCGGGTGGCGGGGGAAATTTGATACCTATAAAGCTTAGTCAGATGACCTCCATAAGGATTGACAATCAAGCTCACCACTGTTCTTCATCTCGTTGTATTTATCCACCACAAAGCTGAGCTCCTTCTTGGACATGAACGCAATGGCCCAAGATTGAAACATTCTCAAAGCCATTTGTTTCACTTCTGGACTGGGTCCCTGCACCCTTTAGCTTCTCTTGCCACATGAAAGGAGAGCAAGGACTTACAGGTTGTTCGATGACTGCAGATATTTCATCAACGAACTCTTTACTTGCAATCTCGGCAAGAAAGTGATCACCGCCGTTCTTGATGCAGGTGTCGATGAGCTGATCAGAGTCAGCAAACGTGTTGCAGAGACGGAGTATGAGATGGGCACTGACCGACAAGGCATACATCTGAACTCTTCCGTTCTTACTACCCACTCGTCGTTTGAGACTCTGCATGGCAGGCTTTGGTTGTACTGCCTTCGACCGGATCATGTCGGTGATCTCCAAAGCGGTGGCCATGTCTTCTGATTGGGGGTAAGGGAGGTTGAGGGGGGAGCATGCCTTTTCTGAGGATGAGCTAGTCGGTCACATTGCTACTGGAGAGTGATGTGAGGGGGGATTGCAGGAGTGAAAGACAATGGAAAGTGATGACTCACCGACTAGTTCTTCATACTGGGCGGGTACGGCTGAGCCCCAACCGAGCCACGACATACTGACCAGGGAAGGAAGGGGAGCGCTGTATTCAGAAAGATAAGGATTATTGAGTGGTTCGAGATACAGAAGATGAGCGTTGGAAGGATTCTGATGATAGATGAAGAAGATGAATGCGAGATATAAAGTAGTGAAGAGAAGAGAAGCAGGTAGAGTGAGTATGTAGTAGTACTTAGGTGTGACGAGGAGAAGCGTGAGCGTGACACATTAAGCGCTGCCGTGGTTTCAATTCCGCCACATTCGGTAATACGTACGGCATTAGGATGTTACCGCAGTGGCAATCGTTTTCTGCTTTGCTACCCACGCTCTCTGTCAAAACATCCCCCTTCTCTATCTCTTTCTACACTCAAAAGTCACAAAGCTGTCCATTTTGGGCAGGACAGTGACCACAGGCGCCCATCACTGTTCGACAGCGGTTTACATCAACCTCTGATACATCGACCCCGTTTAGGCGCCGATTGCTCGACTTTGAGCAGGTTCAACCCCAGCCTCACGGCCTTTCAAGCCTTTCGCCCTTGAATTCTTTCCTTTTCGGCTTTCCTGTTTCTCTGACGACACCTCCGGCGTTGTTTAGATATTGTATCACCATTTTCAGACTTTTTGGCATCGCATAATACAATATAGACAAAAAATTACCTATCGATTCGATCTTATACCCATAGACCGCGTGTCGCCACCATATTTTTATACGACCAAAAAAATTACACCACAAAGCGCATCCATCTCGACACAGGAAGAATAGAGGAGGATAGGAGTAGGATAGAAGGATAGCACTTTTACGGCTACAGAGCGTTACTTTTTGACCCTCTTCCAATATGACAATCACTTTTCCGTATTCCTCCGCTCCCACGCGGCAGGTCAAGGAGATCCAATTTGGGGTGATGAGTCCGGAGGAGATTGTGAGTAGTTGTTCTTCCAGCGTCCACTCCGATCCCTAGACTACGTCACGGGAGAGGATGGATCGCGTAGTTGGGATTTTGAAAGAGGAGGGAAAGAGAGAGAGGGAAGAGAGAGCCCTAGCGATATCGGACGTGTTGTTCAACCCTCCAGCGGATAAATAACATGTTCGGAACGCGGGCTGACACATATAGAAAGCATTCTCCGTAGCCAAAATAGAGCATCCCGAAGTCATGGACGAGAATAATCGGCAAAAAGTTGGAGGACTGATGGACCCGAGAATGGGCAGTACGTCCTAAAAGTCGTTGTCACTAACCTTGGCGTTGACCGTCAGCCATCGACCGGAACTTTAAATGCCAGACTTGTCTCGAGGGCATGGCCGAATGTCCAGGTCATTTCGGTCACATTGAGCTTGCACGACCCGTGTTTCATGGCGGGTTTATGGTCAAGGTCAAGAAGATCTTAGAGTGTATCTGTTTCAGTTGTGGCAAACTGCGTGTTGATGTGGTTAGTATAGCGGTCAAAGTGTGACCGTCGCTGACGCTTTTCTAGCGCGATCCTATGGTCGCTAACATTGTTCGTCGCGTGAAACCACAACATCGGCTAAAAGCTATTTGGGCCATCGCCTCGAAGAGAACGTCGTGTGAGACGGACGAACGGGACGATGAGAATGGTGACGCCACCAACGAGGCAGAGTTTCAAGCGGAGAAGGAGCTTGGCGTTCCGAAAGGTCATGGCGGCTGCGGTGCAGATCAGCCCCTGTGGAGAAAAGAAGCTCTGAAACTCATGGCCAAGTCCAAACCATCCACGACCGACAAGGACGAATCTGGCAGCGAGCTCGAGATCCGCTCCGTCTCTCCTGGGGAGATATACAACGTCCTTCGAAAGATCCCTGCCGAAGATCTTCACGTCATGGGTCTGAACATCGACTACGCCCGGCCAGAGTGGATGATCCTCACCGTCATGCCTGTACCACCCGCCGCTGTCCGACCCTCTATCTCAATAGATGGAGGTGCTATGCGGAGTGAAGACGATTTGACTTACAAGCTTGCTCAGATCCTCAAGACAAGTGCGACCGTTCGTCGACTCGAAGCTGAAGGTGTACCACCCAGTGTTGTCGACGAACAATTTGATCTGCTGCAGTTTCACGTGGCGACGTATATGGATAATGAGATTGCCGGTCTGCCGCAGGACATGCAAAAGTCTGGAAGACCTATCAAAGCTATCCGTGCGCGTTTGAAGGGTAAAGAAGGGAGGATGCGGGGTAATTTGATGGGAAAGCGAGTTGACTTTTCGGCCCGGACAGTCATCACCGGTGATCCAAACCTTCAGCTGGATCAGGTCGGAGTGCCGAAAAGTATCGCCATGACGTTAACATATCCGGAGAGGGGTGAGTGTCGTATCAATAATCAGTAACCCATACTCACTGATAGTGACGCCATACAACATCGTCTACTTGCAGACACTCGTCAACAATGGTCCCTCGACATACCCAGGCGCACGGTACTATGTCAAAGATACCGGGGAGCGGATAGACTTGAAGTACCGCAAGTCCGGTGAACCAATCAGTCTTCAATTCGGTTGGATCGTAGAGAGACATCTCAAGGATGGAGAGTGGGTGGTTTCCATCTGATTTCGCCACAGCTGACGCCTCAGTTTTGTACTATTCAATCGACAACCGTCTCTGCACAAGATGTCTATGATGTGTCACCGTGTCAAATTGATGAACTATTCCAGTATTTGATCTCCATGTCGCTTTCGTCATACGCTGACTCGCAGCCTTCCGTCTGAACCTCTCTGTGTAAGATGAATGACAGGCATGAGGCTTTTGCTAATCTCCAGAACGTCGCCATACAACGCCGATTTCGATGGTGACGAGATGAACTTGCAGTACGTGACTCGCCTATCTTCCCGTCTCACGCTGACATTCAGTGTCCCTCAAAGTGAGGAGACACGAGCGGAGTTGAGTCAGATTGCATGGGTGCCCAGACAGGTACATATCGCGCCCTTGTGCCGATTTGCGCATCATGCTCAGACTTGCAGATTATCTCCCCGCAGGCCAACAAACCCGTCATGGGCATCGTGCAAGATACGTTATGCGGTATCCGCAAGTTCACTCTCCGCGACAATTACTGCGACTGGAAACAGGTTCAGAATATCCTTCTCTGGCTGCCGGGCTGGGATGGTACGATCCCGACACCGGCTATCCTCAAACCAAAGCCCATGTGGACCGGAAAGCAACTCATGTCCATGACGATTCCCAAGGGAATCAATATCACGTTCAAGAACAACGAAAAGCCCTCTCCCATCGACATCACCGACGAGAATGTCCTCATCGACAATGGCGAGATCATCCACGGCACGATTGTCAAGAACATGGCAGGTAGTGCGAACAACGGATTGGTGCACGTCATATTTCGAGAGTTGGGACATGTCGCTGCGAGGGACTTCTTTTCAGCTTGTCAGATGATGGTCAATTTCTGGTTGTTGCACTACGGGTTCAGTGTTGGGATCGGAGATACTATCGTGGACACGGCTACGATGGCAGGAATCACAAATCGAATGGTAGAAGCGAAAGAGGCGGTCCAACGACTCATCGCAGAGGCAGAGGCGAATCGAATGAAGCCAAAACCGGGTATGACCATCCGCGAGACGCTCGAAGCTGGTATTGCGACCGAGTTGAACAAGGCTCGTGATTGGACGGGTAAAACAGCACAAGACAACTTGAAGGAAGACAACAACGTCAAACAGATGGTGGTATCTGGCGCCAAGGGTTCATTCATCAACATCTCCCAGATGACCGGTGTTGTCGGACAACAATTCGTTGAAGGAAAGCGTATCAATTTCGGGTTCAAACATCGTACTCTTCCTCATTTCCCCAAAGATGACTACGGTCCGGAGTCTAGAGGTTTCGTCGAGAACTCTTATCTTCGCGGTCTTACGCCTCAGGAGTTTTGGTTCCACGCGATGGGTGGAAGAGAAGGTTTGATCGATACTGCCGTCAAAACTGCCGAGACCGGATACATACAACGACGACTGGTCAAGGCGATGGAGGATTTGAAGGTCGCATATGACGGGACGGTGCGGAACTCAACTGGGGATGTCGTCCAATTCCTTTATGGTGAGGATGGTATGGACGGGGCGGCTATGGAGAAGCAAAGTTTCGACATCATTCGTCTATCAGATCGAGCTTTCGAACGTCGATACAAAATTGACGTCTTTGGTGGACCGGGTGCTGGGTTCGGAGAGAAGACGTTGGCCCCGGGGATCGACAAATCTTCTGCGTCTCTACAAAACTTGTTGGACGACGAATATCGTCAATTGAGGGAAGACCGTCAACTACTTCGACAGTACATCTTCCCGGACGGTAATCCAAGTCACCCGCTTCCCGCCAACATTCAGCGGATCATCCAAAACTCTCAGCAGCTGTTCAACGTTACTGTACATACGGTCAGTGACCTCGATCCTGTACATCTGATCGAGATGCGGAAAGGCCTTTGCGACCGTTTGGTCATTGTGCGAGGCGATGACAAGTTTAGCAAGATCCATCAGCATAATGCAACCCTCCTGTTCAACATCCTCGTTCGATCTCACCTTGCCACCCGCAGAATATTGGAGGAACATCATCTTACTCGGGAAGCGTTCGAGTGGGTGATCGGGGAGATCGAGCAGATCTTCAACAAAGCCGTCTGTGACCCTGCTGAAATGGTGGGGACGCTTGCTGCTCAGTCCATCGGTGAACCTGCGACTCAAATGACGTTGAACACCTTCCACTACGCCGGTGTCGCTTCAAAGTCAGTCACAGGTGGCGTGCCTCGATTGAAAGAGATCATCAATGTCGCCGTTAACATCCGTACGCCGGCGTTGAACGTGTATCTGGATCGTGAATACTCGCAAACGGAGAAGGCCGCTCATCAGATCATGCGAAAACTCACATATACTCGATTGAGAGATATCACCGCCAGTGTCGAAATCTTTTACGATCCCAAATTGGACAGCACGGACATTGAGGAGGATAAAGACTTTGTGGATGCTTTCTTTGCCATCCCGGACGAAGACATCAAATTGGAACAACATTCTCCTTGGTTGCTCCGTCTAGAACTGGACCGAGCGAAGGTGTTGGAAGGAGGGTACGAAATGTCTCAAGTCGTCAATGCCATTGTCGACACTGTAGGTAAAGATGTATTCGTCATTCACTCGGAAGACAATGCGGAGAAACTCATCATTCGTATTCGAGTGGTTTCGGATGAGAAAGAAGATGACCAATTGATCGGTGAAGAAGATATTTTCTTGAAGAAGATTGAGGGTACTTTGTTAGATCATGTCGAATTGGGTGGTATCACTGGTATTCAAAGAGTGTTTATATCTGAAGGCAAGCAAACTGTTCTTTCACAACAGGGAGAGTATGATCAAGAACGAGAATGGTTCCTTGAAACCGACGGTATCAATCTGAAAGAGGTATTGGCGGTGGACGGTGTCGATGCTGTGCGAACATATTCGAACAATTGTTACGAAGTTTATCAAACGTTGGGTATCGAAGCTGGTCGAAACGCATTATTCAAAGAATTAAACGGTGTCATCGAAATGGGAGGTTCATATGTCAATTATCGACATTTAGCTCTTCTCTGCGATCTCATGTGTTCAAAGGGTCAACTCATGTCAATAACTCGACACGGGATCAATCGAACGGATGCTGGTGCTCTTTCCCGAGCTTCATTCGAAGAGACTGTTGAGATCTTACTCGAAGCTGCAGCTGTTGGTGATGTGGATGATTGTCATGGTGTTGCCGAAAACGTTTTATTAGGTCAAATTGCACCTATGGGTACTGGAGCTTTCGACGTTTCTTTGGATTTGGAAATGCTCAAAGATGTAATTGTGGATCATCGTCTACCTGTTCAAAATATGATGGCTGCAGGAGTTTTAAGTGGAGGAATGACACCTGGTGGAGCCATGACACCATACGACGCGTTATCACCCATGTGGAATGGTCAAGGTTCTGTTGGAGCAGCCGCTTTCTCACCAATGCAAACTAGCAATAACGAAGAAAGTGGTGGATTCAATTATATGGGTTATGGAATGAGTCCAATGCAAGGTGGATTATCACCTGGTGGTGGTGGTGGTTATTCACCTTCTTCACCAACAGGATATTCACCAACTTCACCATTCGCAATTACATCACCAACATATTCACCTTCTTCACCATATCAAGGAAATGCAGGTTCAGCTTCACCTTGGATACCAAGATCTTCAACTAATGGTGGTTTGAATATTACATCACCTGCATATTCACCTTCTTCACCACAATATTCACCTACATCACCAATGTATTCACCTGCATCACCAAAATTTTCACCTTCTTCACCTACTTTTTCACCTTCTTCACCGAATTATTCTCCAGCTTCACCTGCTTATGGTGGTGGTGGTGGTGGTGGTTTAGCGAGGAATTCACCTTTTTCACCTGCTTCACCTGCTTATTCACCAACTTCACCAATGGGTATCACATCTCCTAGATATTCACCAACTTCACCGAAATATAGTCCTGCAAGTCCGGCTTTTTCACCTACCAGTCCGGTATATAGTCCGACTAGTCCAGCACCTTTCCAAGCTACCAGTCCTAGATATTCGTGAGTGTCTCGATCAACATCGTGTCAACCTCACCTATCATCTCGTTGAATCCTCCATCAATGTCGTAATCCATTATCGATGTGCTTCTACGGATATTTTTCAAACCCACTCTATGTGAATGTTTGAAGCTAACATTTACAGACCTAACAGTCCGACTTTTTCTCCCACATCACCAGTTTATTCCCCTACTTCACCCGTTTATTCACCTGCCAGTCCAGCTTTCTCTCCCACCTCCCCAGCGTACAGGTGAGTCATGAACAATGTTTGTGAATTGACTTTTGATTGACTTGCAGTCCGGCATCACCAGCTTACAGTCCTAATTCCCCAGCTTACTCCCCCACTTCACCCGCCGCCCAGGGTTCCAACGGTCAGCCACAGACGAATGGACAACCAGCGAGGAAAGGTTGGGGTACGTCAGGAGGTTATGGTACTTCACCCAGTTGGAAAGGTTAGAATAATCGAGTTGAAGTTATCTGAGAATAATGGATGATGGATGATGGATTGTGTGTGGATTGATTGGTCTCTCCTCAGTTGCTCTGATTGTACCCTTCGTAGTACTCTGCTAGTGATGCATGACTCGTACTTCTACTGCTACAACATGACCATGACTGGTAGGCAATGGCAACACGACGAAAAGAGATTAAGAGTGATGTACCAGATACTAACAAATACTTCAACAAATCTATCTAGGTCGAAAGAAAGCTTTGATACCTTCTGCTTTCCGTTTAACCTGTGCTACAGGAGCTCGTCGAGGTTCAACCCCTTCTTGAAGGTCTTTGGCAAAATGATAATCTTCATGTTCTTGCTGAACCTCTCTCATCCTCTTATTTCTTTCTTCTACATCAACGACATCCTCCCCTTCCATCGACCCAAAGCGTGAAAGTGTGAACCTTTCCTTACATCGAGGACAAGACCATGTCTCTGCGTCTTCCTGCTCTGCTGTGCCGACCACGATGTCTGACACCACGTCTGGTGGGTCCGCATCGACTTTTGTTACTTCCGATAAGGAAGGGGAGTTAGTCGAGTTTCTTAGGAATGTCTCCAACACCGTCTTTCGTTTTTCTTTCCCAGTGTGTAACGTTGGTAATCGAGGTTTCTTCATCGGTGATTCTCCCTTCGGCGGTGGTGTCGATGTGGACGTCTGAGCTTCTTCAGATGGCGGATGAGGCGATTTGGATCGTAGACGTTCGTGTGGACGTTTCAGATTAGATGGATTGGAGAAAAACCCTTCGATTCCTTTTTGACCATCTTCAAGTTTTTCTAAACCGTTGAAAGCTAAAGCCATCTTTATTGTCAGCTATACCACCCCCTTCAATGATCAGTCCACTTATGATCCCCTTGACCAGTCGCCTCATTGTATGTAGACGATCAGGCAGGATACAGTAGAGTAAGCGAATATGAGGTCAGGACAGTGGAGGGAAATATACGCAAGTGATCAAAATAACCCACATTGTTCACCTTCATACTCCCATGTTCCATAGGTTGACATACTTCCGCCCATAGCTTACTGGCGTACTTGACTATATACTCTGTCGACAAATCCCTTGTGAAAGGAAAAGGAGTTTGACGAGATCGACTTGCTTCACCACCCGTACGATGTGACAGAACCAGAGTTTTGGGCCATAGACCTGGAGATACCTCTCGAGCTTCTCGTAATCTCACGTTGAGTTCACCAGAGAGGACTTGGATCCAATGTAATCCTTGAGCGGGGGTCGTCACTGCCGGACGGGTGTTTTTGCTTGCTAACATCGATTTGGTTGTCACGCGTTCTTTGACTGGTCATCAGAACCACACTTTCATTGAACTTTGCACAATGTAATTTACCCTCGGTGTGGTCAATCCCCTAGACGTCAGCTCAAATGGATGATCTGCTCGAGTTGAAAGCACGAACCCTGATGATGTTATAGACCCAAACGCTCTCTTCTCCAAATCTCCGTTGTAATTCGTCCAAGGGGACTGTCCTACCCGTCAGATCATCGAGATCTGGAATACCCTCAGAACTCACAGCATATCGCCGACAGTCTTGGCCCCGTATTCAGTCGCGATCGCATTTCCTAATTTACCGCCCAAAAAACGGATCTACTATCAGCTGTGACCTAAGCCGCTATAAACACTCTTGGACAACTTACATCTGTAAAGTCCATATTTCGTAGGAAAGCCGGGGTCGCAGCTATGCGCAGGACAGTTTGATTATTCGGTTTTTTCCACGCCGAGCACAACTACTAACTCAGCAAGGCGTAGAATAAACCTCCTGGCGGGCACTCACCTTTGCCATAGCTTTATTATGTGCTATGCCCTGTACATCAGAGAATGAATGACGATCCATGAGTTACTTACAGCTGAGCATGTGTAATGTAATCGTTTATACACCTCTGCACGAAGCTCCGACATGATCTCAGCGCCGATACAAAGTGCCCAATCTTCCCACTTTCCTTCCGGCTCTTGCGACCCGTCCGGTTCCTCTATTCCTAACGCGGGATCAGTCTCACCGTCGATAGGAAAAACGTTGCCAGAGTTCTGCCAATTGACCGGTGGTGCGGTAGGAAGGGCCGAGTCGAGTCCTTCCGGCGCATCTGGAGGGACTTGGGAGAGATAGGGGAAACGTTCTAGTAGACGTTCGAGGACTTGGGTAGTGAGATCCAAGAAAGCTTCGTCGATCGAGGCTTTTTCTACAACGTCAATCTCTCTTTTTCATCCCGCCTAATTCACATCTCCTTCAAGCCTTGGGCTTCAGATACGAACGAAACATGTCTCAAAAGGAACTGGACGTGGATGATGGGGAAGATGACGGAATGATGTTCGTCAGACTGACCAATCTCTCCTCGAGGTACCATCTCTTTGAAGATGGCCAAGATTTTCAAACTTTCTCGGCGATACGGATCTAATGACACCTGTGTTCATATCAGACCATAGTAGACGTATAATGTAATGTTCGCACCCACCTTGTGCGTCCGAGGGTCAACTTCACCCCAATAACCAGCTTCAGCTTCCCCGTTCCGATACGTAGCAACGTGTTGAACTACTAAATGAGGGCACATTTTCTTGGCTTCGTCAATGGTGTTGAATCTGAGCTCAGTGTTGGTTCATTTTTGGTGATTGAGGCATGGTAGCCGTATGAATGTGCTCAGTGACCATCCTGAAGATCGGGCAGAGGAAGAATGTACATGGCAAGAGAAAGAGAGAGGGAGGGAGGGAGAGGAGGAAGGGGTAAAAGAAATACTCACCGTTTAATACCATATTTCCTCGCAGGATAATTAACAGCTATAATACTCTGCCATTGCGCACATATCAAAGGTATGTCATCAGGTAAACCAAGCCGAACTTGTTCGAATTCTAATGATCAGATGTTTATCCATCCATGAATCAGATATCTACTACGTCATAGGGCAACACCCAATCAAATGGATGACTGGATGTGCGTAGAGAGACACTCTTATATGGATATCTCAGTGCTTTTATATAGGTAATAGAGAAAAGGGATCATGAGAAAAGACTTACGAGCATAAGCAGCATCTATATCACAATGAGCTATAGTTCTCAAAGGGTTGCTGTTCTCAGCTTCCCTCTTCTGTCTGTTTATTCTCTTCGACCACTCACAATACTGTCATAGATGCCGAACTGAGGACATGTCTGTAAGTAGGCGTATCTGAACGCCTAGATGGACCAGGTTGAGAAAAGAAAGACATTTAAAAGTAGATAAGTTAGAGTCACTCAATGGCCTGGGTGATTGTCACTTTTGTAACCCCATCTCTGCCTTGATTGCTTTCCGTCGGAAAAAGACCCGATCGTAATTGTTGAAGTGGCAATAGGAGGTTGTCCTAAGCGGCGCGCCTAACTTTTCTTTGCACAGTGGTTTCCAACAGTAATGCTTTGCCACCGAGTGTCACCCCTCACAACACAACTACGATCAAGATAACCGTCAGTACTTGCTACCCCAAGTAGAGAACGAGTACTGATGCAGTGCTATCTTTGAGTAAAGTAACAGGTGAGGGATCATCATGCACACAAAAAACAGTTTGAGAGAAAAGTATCAATCACTTCATATGCTACATGAACAACAAAAGATTATCACAGACAAGACCAACCACCTGCGTCTGAAGTCAATTCGAGTTTCCTCGCTGTTAAATGTGGAATGGTATGTTGTAACCAAACCGCACGTCTCAATTCGTCTAATCGACCAAGATGGAGGTATTGTCTTTGTCCCCGTCTGTGAGTTAGTACTTGTTCACTGACTGATCTATTCCTCTTTCCCTACATTGTATTCCCCTTCTCTGCGTTTCCCTCATGGCATCTCTGTGGGAATTCTGACAATGCGAGACGGCATGTGGAAAGATCTGCAGGGGAGAGTGAAGGGAGCAGAATATCAAAATATAACCCACCTCATGTGAACGTCCAGTTCACCATGTTGATCGAGATATGGCATAGGACCAAAAGATCCACTACCAGCATAGAGATACAAAATATGCCATCGTTTAATATCGACAAACATTCCTACGGCTGCACCGCAGCTGTAAAGTCAGTAACCGACACCATCAATGACTAACTCATAGGACGCTTCACTATGCTCGGAGCACGTAAAACTGAAAGAGGAATATCAGACAAAGAGTAAGACGAAACAAGAATGTAAGAAACAAATATATTAGAGACTGGGAAAGGAATGAGATCAAAACTCACTCTCTCATATGAATATTACACTCTCCTTGTTCTCCTTCAGAACAACAATCACCTCCTAAACATAAAAACGTTCCACAAAACAAACAAACAGCCGGCCAAGTAGGTTTAATCCCACAATTAGTACATCTCATCTCGAAATATCTCATCACCATTTCCTCCAACAATCTAGGTAATTTGAATAATTCGTATTTTCCCGGATATTCCAACGGCGGTACTGTCCTCCCTTGTAAAGCCCATTGATTTATCCATCTTGCCACAATAGGACTTTCCGTCGAACGAGGGTTTGCTAATGTTTCTTTCGGACTTGGAATGACAAGTAGTTCAAGTAATTGACGATATTCACTTTTACCTTTTGTTTCAATAAGTTGAAGAGAAGGATATGTACCTGATACAGAATAAAATATTATAGAGCATCTTCGCAGGAAAGATATAGTGTATGAATATAAGAGTTTCGATAACCATTCGTCGGAAAGATGAGTTAAAACTAATTCTGTATCTGGAAAAGGACCTGCGTTTCGGAGTACAGCATACATTATAGGACGAAAATCGGCAAAGATTTCCAAAGCATCTTCCAAGTTTGGGTCGGTGGGAGAAGGAATAGGTGTTGATGTTGATCTACCTAAACAACGTCGAACGTGGACACTTACACCTAACATGACTCGAGTGAGTTCGGCGTAATAACTCATAAGTATCACGCTGTGTAATAGATCGGGAGCTATGGCAGCTGCTTCGATCACCATAGATAGAGGATGTCGTAACAGAAGTGGAGTGGATAACATGGAAGCACGATACCAATCAGGTAGAAATCTTGCGAAAATTCCAACACGAAGAGAAGCACGATCATACTTCATCCCGAAGAATACGTCCAGTTCCAATTGTAACATTCCTATCAAATGTTTGATAAGTTTTGTGGTCGTCTCGGGTACTTGTTCAGCGACCGATTTCATATCGCCTCGTAATGGATATCCTCGTTGAGTGACTTCGACACACGCCACAGTATACGATACGATATCTTCTGGTACGTACATATGAGATTTTCTTCCTCGAAGTCGTTGAGATTGTTCGGATAAAGCTCTGGCTAGAGCACGGAATTTGTCGATCATTTTAGCTGAATTACGCATCGCTCGTCTGTTTTCCAAGTCAAGAGTAGAATGATAGAAAACACAATCAGTGAACCAAGGTGCCAACTCTCCCGTTTCGATATGATAATCCCATATTTTTCCACTGTCTCTGACACGTAGTAGACTCTCCTCGCATACGAGACGTATCTTTTCGTTGAGGGTGACGGGAAAGCCTGGATTGGATTTAGATGGTTGTATGAGGGGTAATGTTGATGATTTGGTCGGTTCGACAGGGATGAGAACGTTTCCTATACTCTTGCATAGAGGACATAGATATTCTTGACGCATCGCGTTCTCCGGATGATGCCGTTGGACCTGGGTAGAGTGTCGATGACGAGTAGCGTCAAAATATGTTGTCATACAAATGTCGTGCATCATATGACCACAGGCTGACATGTGCACGCCGAAACGTAAACCAGTAGAGGGATGAGCTTGAAACGGTACTGGGTCTTGTGGTAAAAGTGTATCATCCGCACCACGGATCGGCTCGCTTGAAGATTTTGAAGGATGTGACGAATCGTTGTTATGGACACGGTCATTCACCACATCCCTTAAGATTCTACTCGGCTGTAAAAGCGCCAACATTCCTCCCGGCTGTTTGGAAGACACTTGTTCTTGACAAACGATACACTGACCATAGGTCACGATTTCCTCATCTTCCATTTCTTCCGTCAAATCATCATCATCGTCCAACAGATTCGCAGCGAACTGGGTTTGTCGCTGGGCGAATTCGGCCATGAGAGCTTTTTGTCTCTCAGCAGCATTGGTCTTAACCGCCGGAGCAGGTATTACCTGTTTGGATACTTCCCTCTGTCTCCGATAGTCTTGAGTCATGTCGTCCGGTAACTGGGTCACAATGGTGTTGAGGATATAGTCAATCTTGGGACGGAAGGCTTTGAACGTCTCGTTGGTCTGCATGAGCCAAAGTCTTTGAAAAACACTAAAGCGAGGATTGTCACCACCGACACGCAAAGACCATCCAGCAAAGCACTGTGGAGAGATGGCCAAGGCGACCATAGTGAGATGAAGAGCGAGGTCGGTGATAGATTCGAGTTGTGGATTTTCTCCAAACATGAGACAGTGAGTAAGAAGATAGCCAATGAAGGCCGGCATAGTTTGGTCGTAGAAGCCTTCATAAAGATTTGAGAAAGCTGATCCTTTTGGTGGGATCTTGAGGGGAGGTGGGAGAATTAGAGGATTTTCGACCTCAGGATGCAGTCGTTTGGCCTCTTGAATGAGTCGGTTTTGCACCGTACGATGCTCATTGCGAGTGTAGTGTCGCCAGTAAGGATCGACCTCGGAGTAAAATTCGGGTTTTAGAACGTACACGCCAGTTGCAGTCTCTGTAGGTGCACGAAGGTCTGCGATATCTTGAAGGATAGGAGTGATGGATTTGTCTAAACTCTTTTCCGGTAGCTTTTTGCATAACTCGGAGAAAGTCATACTGTTGAGTGCCAGTAAATGTATGAGATGACAACGAGTTATTTCGTCTCGTGTGACGTTCCTGATGATTCTGGTATCACAAAAGAGGCTGATGACGAGGAGTACGAGCTCTTCCAAGATCGCCGCGTATTGACGAGGGTGACAAGCTTCTGAGATCCAATTTGAAGCTTTGGTGGCGTCTCCTCGGAACAGGTTGGTGAGTTCAAATTTATCGATCAAGGCAGTCATGAACATGACCGGTCTGAGGGTACATAGACCGAATTGGAGAAGAAAGAAATCCTGATCGAGGGTCGCTTCACGGAAAGCGATATCTCGGTAATGTGTTACCTGACTGCGCATGGCGACACCATTTTTCCTCCACATGTCAGCTTTAACATGAGCGAAGACGGCGAATTCTTGATCAGTCAGCTTCAGTCTTGTTTCAAGAAATGAACAACAAAAGCTTACTTGTGAGAGGGACCTCTAGGAGTGTAAGCTTATCAATGGTAGGATCGCCTAGATCCGAACGGAACAGCATTGCGTCGACGAAGTCATCAAAACTCAAATCTTGTCCTTCCTCATCTTGAAAGTGGGCTACGGCCGGCGCCCAGCGAAGAAGTTCAGCAAAGAGTAAATGAAGGTAGTGATGGAACGAGAATGCCTTGATGGTCATGACGTCGGTCTGAATGAGCTTGCACTTGACCCCTTCGAGTAGGACGTTGGAAACGATGTGGAGGGCCGGGGGGTAATATTTTTCAGGATCCAAGATTTCAGTGACCATATTTTGATCATGTAGGATTTTGGTCAGGACTCTTGATAAAGCCGTCAACATTTGATCAGAGTTGGCAAACTGGAAACTCGAGCCGAAATCCCTGCAAGCTCTACTCATTTCTCCGAGGACAACAAAAGCTTTCGGCCAATCGACCTCGAATTCGACGTGTTCTCCCATTTCTCTAGCCTGAGATTGCATAGCGACGAAGATATTGGCGAGGGTAAGAAAACGATCGAAAAGTGATGGAACCCGTACCACGAGCCGTTGTAGTCTTTCATTCTTGAGTAAACGTCGGATGTGTTGCATGATGACCGCTCCTTTCTTGCTGCGAAAAGCATGATTACGATCCGGGTTTATACGGACCATAGCTTCAGCTTCGGGGTGAAGGTCACCAGGACGCAGAGCGGGAACGCGGAGTCGATCTTCCACCATTTGTAATGTGTACCAAGCGTATGCAGTATCGACGACGATGTTGAAAAGCTGAGCTCGTTCGGTGGCATAGAGTGAAGCCACAGGATCCGGAAAGAGTTGACCAGCCAGGGAATGAATCAACATTGCTTCAATGTCGCGGTCATAGTAGATGAAATATTCGAACAGTCTAGGGTAGTTGATGGAGAATCGACATGCTATGGTGTCAGTCGTTTCCAACGTTTTCTTATAAGAAACACTCACCGAAGGAATTTCTGGCCGTTTCACCCAGAGTACACAAGTGTGTATAGATGGAGCGCAAGTCTAAGCGGGACTCTCTCCATAGTCTCACATCAAGGTAAAACAGCCAGTCCAGCCGAGTAACCTTTTGTCCTCTGATGGGGAAGGGACGTTCCAACTCGAGGTCCTGTAAATCGCTAGGGAAAGGAGTACCCTCACTACCTGAAGTGACAGCGAGCATGGGTAGTCTGGGTTCTAAAAGTGCTCTGAGGAGTAGTCGACGAAAAAGTTCAATATCACCCCCGATGGTTGTCTCGCACATGTGTCGTAACCATTGAATAAGTGCTGCCCCCATGTCTTCTTTACAGACGTCATTGGATTTACGGAGAGAAACAGTGAGATCGATAAGGCGCATTGATGAGGCAGCGTGAAAGGCTTTGAAAGGGTTATGTGTGGTGACCAAAACGAGACGACCCTGACAGTAAGTTTTGATTCGTATTTCACCATCATCAATGTATTCGAGTAGTGTGATGCGGATATACTACACTCACCATCAAATCCAATTTACGTCTCATGGTAGCAGCTACTTCAGGGGTACAACCTAAGGCCACTTGCATTTGCCTCTCGACTTCCGGACCGGTATGCTTTTCGTCCGTGATGACTGTAACACTCCATCTTCCATGGGATCTTCGATCCTTTGGTTCTGCCGTCTGATGAATATGAGTGAGCATGTCGTTGAGATTTGCGGGTAAATCTCCGTATTCATTAGGCAATAAGCTATGTGAAAAGCTGTTGATGATTGCCTCCAAAGTGACGCATATTGTTTCGTATAAATTGGTGGTGAGGGCTCTTGTCAGACCTGGGGTGAGGGAAGTGTATTCTATTGCATGGTCGATTAAAGTTTGACCGGGTTGAAGAGGAGGATGATGTTCACATCCTAGTGATTCTGGTCTCCAAGCAGAGGGATCGTTACAATCGCAAACTGTACTAAAGCCGATTGCCGTACCGAAGAGAACCTCATGACCTTCATGGTCCGAAGCGTTGAAACAGTTTGTGCATAGGACGGATAAAGCATCGGCTTGACATGTCCTGTGAAAAGTCAATACATACCCCCTTCCTTTATAAGAACTTTGAATGGATAACATTCCTGATGAAGACCATGATTGTGTGATGTATGAAGAAGGACTCACCGACAGCTATAAGTTTTAGCACCCTTAGGTAAAGTTTTATCACACCTCATCCCTGGAGATTTTGCCCTCTCTAATCCGACTTTATGAAGTATGTCCAATTGTCGATCTCTCAAGGCCCAATTACGTTCCAAGCCATCTTGATCAACGATGGCATATAGAGGTGGGTCATCACCGTTACACATGTATAAATGAGGATAGCTTTTTATCCCTATCGCGGTGTATAGATCTTGCACAACGGTCGATCGAGCTCTGAGGCTGAACTCGGCATTGTTGCGAACGTGTTGGTGAGTGAGGGTTTCCCATAGCTTGCGGAGGGGAGCACGGTCTGAGCGGTCATTCTGAGGCAAAGGCTGGGAAGGTGTTCCATCGTTGGGACCGCTGCTGGAAGGTCCTGGGAGAGACATTGTGATGGCCAATACGACTGTGAGGAGGATAAGATGGGAGATGAGAAGAGTGGAGAAGGAGAAATGAGGGTAAAGTATAAGGTAGTAAGTACAATGTAAGCGAGGAAGACGAGGAGGGCAGGCGAGGTGTTGCATGTTGCACGTCATTGTTTTCCACCTGTAACCCTTATCATCATCAACCTTTCTCTCTAAATCTGTTAATATTATACTTGGACATCTATCTACAACGTCTAACATGTCTAGCCGTCCTTCTTCTTCAGCGGCTCATCCACCAGCTCCAGCTCCTACCGTCCCTCAAGCCATACACCAACTCGCTATCCCCAATCCCACTCTGATAGATTCTCATCTCCCAACATACCTCCTTCCATGTGTCTATGACGTCTTGCGTCAATCCACAGCTCATGCCATAGCTAAGAAGCGCAAAGCGGAACAAGATTTGGTAGATGAAGGCTTGATAACATTCTCCTCTCTGTCGCTGGAAAAGGGGAAAGGTAAGGCTGAGGTGGAAGAGGGTGTGGTAGATGAGGAATTGACCAAGAGATTGGAGAGGATAGGTTTGATGGTCGGGGGGTATATCGCGGAAAAGTGAGTCTTCCAATTACTTTCTCTTCTCTCTTTGATGAGTGAGAGAATGATAGATGGAAGAGAAATAAGATGAGAGAGGGGATACTTAAATGGTTATAGGTAGACGGCTGATTGAACAGGTTGACATTGGCTCGACCACCATTAGCATCACAACTAGATGTGATCAAGTTTATTTGTAAAGATTTATTCTTGTTTGTATATAGCAAACAGATTGATAATCTTCGAACGAATCATCGAGTGAGTCTCAAATCCTTCCTCTAGACCGTCCACACATTCCACTTCCCGTACCAGCACAACATTCCATGTTACGGACCCATCAATCAGTCAAAAAGTATGCGAAGTGAGAGGAGTGAAGGGTTATTGGAGGAGTGGATTTGAGTTAAACTAATGAATAGGGAGTGTTCGTACTACAATCTCATATATTTCCTCCTCTAGCTTCCTTGTCATCTCACAAAGGTCAAGCTCATGATCAATCCATTGCCCCTATGGTAAGTCATCTCTCACTTCTTCCCAAACCCCTCTTGACTCATACCCCACACTCACCTCCGGAATATGAGTGAGTTCAAGTGTGAGCTTGTTCGGACAACCGTGAGACTCTAAACTCAAGAAAGTGATAAGATGTGGAGATATTGAATGGGTGAAGCAAAGACAGGATGAGGAGATACTCAAACGGACTAGTTAGGAATTTGAAAAGACAGGAATTGGCCAGTGGAAAGAGAGGTGCGTGCTTATGTACAGCACTTAGTCTTTCCTCAAGCTCTGATACAAGGTGCTCTTGCAAGATTAGGTCTTCCATGTTATGTCACAGCCGAATCTTCGACTTTACCTCAATGTAAGTTTCTTCTTCTCACACATCTCAACCTTCTTCCTGACTTGACTCTTCACCAATATCTTCCCTCACAACCCTTTCACAGTCGCTATTCGTACATCTTCTCCTGGCAACGATTTACGGCTCCTCGACTTGTACCCTGGGATATGAGAAAATGATTTTCTCATCACATTCCCATCTACGGCTGTTCCACCTATCCCCGGAATGTGACAAGATAATATTCTTATCATTTCCTCATCAAATATAGACATCCCCTCGACTTATCTCTCTCAAACATGTTAATCTTTCTTTCCTCGAGGTATTGAATGATGAAAACAAAGAAGGAAAAGATAAAAAAAAGCTGATATCAAGGTACATTCCAAATCCGGACTGTTAAATCTACTCAACCTCCCACTCCTGAAACTCAATCGGGTACACCTACCACTGCTGATACCGCTGCCAAGGATGGACCAGAAGATTCTGTAAAGACTCAAATGGGAGGTACAGGGTTAGGTATAACAGGTGCACCGGTTTCATGAGTTCGTATACCATAGCGTATATGCATAATATCGAGTAGTCACTTACTCACACAGTACAACATACCAGCTGGGCCGTATTGACCATATTGGAGTAATTAGCAGCAGTAAGTACGAAATCTGACGGAGATGACTGGCGACCAATAAGTCGAGAACGGTTCATATCATACGTTACATAGGAGAGAAGCAAGACACAGCATGCAGCAGGGGGGGCAAAGGTAGAAAATTCGTACATTTGCATCTTAATGTCATTATCACTTCCATGCACTTGAACTAAATAATACACCCCCTGTCGTAGATTTTTGACCTCATACGACAATTGACTATCTACAGAAACCTGGGCATTCGTATTACTATCTTTGCGTATCATTAATTTCTTGGATCTGAAAGTCAGCGCTGAGAATTCTTCTCAGATGGAGGCAAGTTGATAGACTGAGTGGGTGTTTGACATAAGACAGATAAGTCGGGCGAGAGAGAAAAGGGAAAAAGGTGGATGACAGGTAAGAATGGAGACAAGTAAATGCAAACTGACCATCCCTGGGAACTTGTGACATCCAGATTCTAGATTTGAACACCCTGAAATTCTCTTTTGTAAGATCACGGAAATCTACCCGTTTGTCCGCTTTGAAGTAAAACGTGAGTTTGCGTCGGTCCCTACTAATCAGCAACGCTCCAACCTCCACAAATCCAGCTTTGATCCAGGGAAAGTAACACCGGGTGGAAGACAAATGGATAGGAGCGAACAACACTCACCATTGATATTCCGCATCAACTATGTGCATTGGCATACCCCTTTGTTGTACCTTTTCACGACATATCATCATTGCTTCGTATTCATCCTTGAGCTTGTCCATCATACGTCTATGCGTCAGTCGAGATGATCGTTCACATTCCGCCCTTAGTATTTTCACGCGCTGACATCAAATGCAAGGTGAAGTGAAGCAATGCGATCTCTGGTACTGAACCAAAGATGAGTTTCAATTTGATGAATGCTCCAGAAGACAAGGAGAAGGAACGCCCACGCGAGGAGGAGAGCAGAGAGTATGACGGAATGTACACTCACGCCTGTTCTTCCGGTCCCTGACTACTTTTCGTAAAAATCCTCTTTGGCATGATCTCCCTCGTTAAAGGTCCTTTATTTCCGTTACTCAAATCCAGCTGTCCGTTCGCACCAACACCCATCAACAAATTTTCCAAATCATTCCCACCAATTTCTCCAGACGGTCTAGACCTGTGATTTCCTACACTTCCCATTTTGATCCCCAAACCCCCTTGTCCAGCCGCCTGAGCCATACCGGGTGGCTGATGTTCTCTCGCGCCTGATAACAACGCTGCGGTAGCCTGTTTCTCCTGCCACTCGCGAACATCGACGGGTGTCAGTTGGTCATACACCACCGTACCTAAATCACTTCCCCTGTCGGCTTCTACGATGACCCAATCGCCATTACTGATCAACAGAGTGGGGTCGGGACAATAGAAAACATCCCTTCGACCAGCTTTGAAAGTTACGATGTAGAGAGCAGTTGTGGGCGGTAGATTCGTGAGAGGTATCCCTCTACCTAGGTCGGACAGGTTGAGAGATGAGAAATTTGGAGAGGCAGGTTGAGTGGGAGAAGTAGGACCGGGTGGAGCGCCAGGATAAAAGCCCGCTGGAGGACCTGGGAAAGGCATGGGTCGAGGAAAGTAATTGAATCCCATAGGCGGTGGACGACCATAGGTGGGAGGACCAAGATTTACAGGGGAAGAAGGGATAAATGGAGGGGCATTACGAAGTGTGTGAGCTGGAATAGCACCGAAGCCTTGCTGAGGTGGATTGAAAATGTGAGGGTCGAAATTGATTGGACCGGTCCCAGTAGGACCTTGAGTACCGAGAGGAGAGGTGGGCATGGGCTGGTTATTTCGATCTCTGCTTCGGTCAGGACTAGCATGCAGAGGTCCGTACGGCGGAACTCCTCTTCCGAAATTGGTACCAAGTGCTTGGATGGGTGAATCCACTTGTGGCTCGAAAGAGAACCGACTTCGAGACGAAGATGACCCTCGGTCTACAGCAGGTTGTAGAGCCCCGCCCCGCCCACGATTACTGAAAGGTCCAAAATCATGATCATCGTCGTTGTGATTGAGGAGTGATACGGGAGGAAGACTTGAAGCGGTATGAGTCTTGTGAGGTCGTCCAGCTTCAATTTCCACGCCCCTTCGTCTACTTTCGTCTATTTCTAATGAAAGAGCATTGCCCAGAGCATTACCCAAACGTTCTGATAAAAGAAGATCTTCATCTGAGAATCCCGACGGTCCTAGCCCACGACTGGGATGAGCACTGATATTGGTCATAGCCTCGAAACCGAAATCTCTTCTTCCTCCTGGACCACCCACGACGGAAACGCTGTGTCGTCTACTGCTTGAACCGGATTTCCCGCCGCTGGGATCGAACCCCACAGTCGTAGGCCAAGCTGGTTGTAAAGCTTTTGCCACCGAAGAAGAGAGAGCAGATGTAGGAGGACCCCAGTTGGCACCGTAAGTAACACTTTGAGCAAATCGATTCGATGAAAGAGGTTGAACGCCAGGGGATTCTCTACCCAGTGTTGACATATGACGAGCAAAAGGTGACACGTTAGAGCCGCTCTCGGGAGGATTGAAATGCGCAGGGGAGAACGCTCCAGAGTTTCTCAACTCGGAAGTGAAAGGCTTGTTGAACCAATCTCTGTTGGCCACCGGGGGTCGAGTGAGCATTGGTCTTGCGCCAGTAGCGAGTGACTGGGATCTAGAACGAGAGATATGAGCTTCTGCTCTTGGTGGACTTGGAGGTCGATTATTCCCAGAGGATTCCGCAGGACTTGAGCTGGGTGAGAAGGTGGGGTAGGGCGATCCGGAACCTGAACCGAAACTGGGATTCTCTTCAGTGTGAGATGACAACGCTCTTGCGAAACCAACCTGTATCTCGTCAGCATTTTCAAGCGAGGTTGACAAGCCATCTATGTCATTATACGATTCAATCAGGGGTTTTGAATAGGGCGTTGACTCACACCATAGTCGCGTGGATCGGCCACTGAGAAACTGTTTGCCCTCGTCTGAGTGCCCCCCACTCCAAGAGCTAATCCGAACCTACCCGAATTACGGGATCCACCAATAACACCATACTCATTCGCCCCAACACCTGGACTACCACGACCAGAAAGAGGGTTGGAAGCCGGAGAAGGAAACCTTTCTCCTGCAGGTTGAGATGCAGCACGAGCTTTGAAAGTCGTTTGTAATGACGCGGCTCGGGTGGGGGTTGGTCGTAAGTTTGAAGGGAGGATGGGCGCAGAGTGGGGGGTAGGAGAGGAAGATGGGAGTGATAAGTGAGTGAGGTTGGGATAAGCTTTAGTGGATAAAGGTGGATCTTTAGGACTTGGTGCTGAGGGAGGGTGAGTGGGATTAGGTGATTTGGCAAGAAAGGAAGAAGATTTTGGAGAAGTAGGATTGGTGTTTATCATTGTGAAGAATATTCGAGTTGGGTTGAACGAAAAATGAATCCCGATATTCACAACATTCTTCTTATCATCTGTGTAGGATTAATAAAGAGTATAGAGGTTTGGTATATTCTTCATGTATATCTGGAGAGAAGTTAAGAAGCAAGAGAAAGTTCGATCAGGAGCATGGAGCACCGGATTGAGTAGAGAGAGAGATCGGCGTTGTAAGAGCGGTCGAGGTCCCAAGAGAATTAGCGATGACGAAAGAGGTTTTAAATGGTTTCAATGATGGAATGAAGTAATAGTATCTATACAAGATCCACACACGTCGAGTGGTATCTCTCTATCGAAGTCTATGGGGGGGATGAGAATAGGTGGCGAGTGTGGTATGTGTTAGATGAACATGACGAGGTTGTGAATGTGTTGCGAGTAGTGTGAGTGGTTGAAAGTGGCATGCGAGTTAAGTGGGGGTTTACTAATTGGATTAGTATATCGGTTACTATTGAAACCCCATCGTCGGGTATTGAGTTGTCAAAGAAGCCGAAAGTGCCACTGAGTAGAATCGCCGGTGCCTGGAGCCCCACACTCGGCGACGGCGACGCGTCGAGGGAACTGGTATTGCATGATGGCGACGAACGACTTGATGATCACTTGGGAGACAACTGACCATCGACGACTACAACAGCTAGTACAGAGTGATGAGCGATATAGCAGATCTCACTGCGAAAACATATGAAATAGCTAGGCTCATCCCGCCAGGTCACGTCACGACGTATGGTATGTCATGGCTTCCTCCCCAACACTTCACTCGTATCTACTAACTCAACTACTTAGTAGCTGCCGCATGCCGGGTACATTCATCATATGCGACTCGATGATGATGATGAGCTTGAAACTGATCCATAGGACATATAGCTAGATTAGCGGGATATCCAAATCATCCTCGACATGTTGGAAACGCTTTGAAGGCTTTGCCTGAGGATTCTACCATTCCATGGCAGGTGAGTCCACATTCCTTCTCATTTCCCCACCATCCCCTTATATGTCTTCTCTAACAAACGACTCTTCTTATTTCTTGCATCTCTCAATTTGATGGCTTGTTCAGCGCAGAAGAATCATCCATGTGTCAGATGAACTTGTTCCACCTTAGTTGAAGTGAGAGAGGAGAGAAAATTGATATGAGGAACTAAAATTGATCTCAGCGCGTGATCAATGCAAAAGGTCAGATATCTCCCCGAGGCGATGCAGGTTTAGGCGTAGCGAGACAAAAAGACCTGTTAGAGGCAGAAGGAGTACAAGTGAACAGTGTAATGGGAGGAGGAGAAGTGGTAGATTTAAGAAGATGGGGTTGGTTTCCTGAACATGTATAAGGTTTTTCTTGGTGATGATCACGAATATCTTATGTTGTATCTCACATAGCAACATACTATTAGTCTCGTTATTCAACTACTGTCCCCGAGTATTGTATCAGTTCTGCGTTGTGTTCCATCATTAGCGTCGGACGGAAGATCGGATGAATTCAGATCCAATGGTCATCTATATGCCGGACCGAAAAAATGTAGTGTTGACGAGGGAAGTGCAGACATAAAATATGCATGCGACAACAGCACATTTTGGCAAACCCACATGAATAACACTAGTACAACAGCCTCATTTATCATAACAACAAGTATATCCGTCTTATAGACGTGTATCGTTCCGACTGTCATGTCCAAAAATGCCACAGAAGAATGTTTATTTAGTCGTTATCGTGGCCTTTCCTCGATTCTCATCTCCCGGGGTATCATCCTGTTTTTGATTAGGATCCCAAATTCCGTAAAAGGCTTCGTATAATAACCGAGTGGAATATTCGTAGTGGTAAGGGATATGATCTCGGAGCATCGTTTTGGAGAATACGGCTGATTGTGAGTTCTTCCATTGTGTGATCTAAGTATGGGCTTAGAAGGTGACTGGGATTTCTGAGGACCTACATGGAGGTGGGGTAGGTGGGATTCAAGGGGAATATGTTACGTGGATCTAGAAAGGCAATGAAGAGTGTGTGGTCCGAATGGGGTGGGGAAAAGGAGGGAGAGAGGGAGATGATAGGGAGAGGGGGCAAGAGGGGCAGAAAGTCAAGGGAGAAATCCAACACTCACGTTCTCTAAACCGTTCCTCGACGGATTCGCATTTCCGCAACAACACCCTCCTCGCTTTTCGAGGCTCTGCCTGGGGTTGTCCAGGTGGAGGTGTCCGACTGACGAGAACATCGAAGTTCTCCTTTTTGTCAGCTTGGTTACACGTCCGGCATAAGCTGGATTCGTTTAATGGACGACGGAGGAGTATGTTACCACTGGTGGAAGATTGTCGAAGAAGCTCAAAGCTTATTGGCATGTACGGTCGATATGTTTGGCATTGTTAACCTACACTTTGAAATAGCAAGTAGTCAAGATTGAGTCTGCATGATGGGTGTGATTGAAACACAAAAAGTGAATGGAGCAAAGAATGAGAGGTAAAGACAATGAAGGAACACTCACCATGATATAGACATCACCAGGTGGATACAACTTATCATGTTGCATATCCGCCCTCATAGTTTTGATCAAACTGGTCATCCAATCATGTACCATATCATCATCTTTCAACCAAGGATGATCTTCTGTAGACATTCCAATCTTGAACGGGAGTTGTTGTTGTTTCAGACCGATGACCTGGGTGTTAGTGTTCTTCTTGATAGTGACCTCATTTTCTTCTCAAAGGATTTCAAGGGTAATTCTATATATTAAGAAGAGTAAAAGGCCAGTGGGGGATCAGATCAGCTTCTAAAAGAAAATAAAGTGACTTTGAGGTTTGGCGGTATGGAGAGTGTGACAAATGAGAGAAGCGATATGTGAAAGGAAATGAAGATGGCGATATGTGAAAGGAAATGAAGATGGAAAAGGGAGAGAAGAAAAAGTGCGGAGTGGAGAAAGAGATATGATGTTTGACTCACCCTTCCCACAACTTCCTCTGCGACATTATTCTCTTCATACAAAGACAAAGCAACATTTTTCATATCCCTCAAAACTCCCAAACTCAAAGTAGGAACCACATCGCTATCTTGTACCACACTAACCACCAAACCTCTTGCATATCTTGCTAAATCCGAAGAAGCCACCGCACTTGGTCCAAAAGCATAAGCCATCAATGGTCTACCTGCAGGTAAACCAGATGAAAAACTAGTGACGAAAGCAGTAGTTATTTCCGGATGTTCCACTGGATGTTCTCTTTCTTTGTTTTCCTTTATAAATGTTTCTGCAGGACAAGAAGATAAAATAGCGAGTAAAGCTGCTACTCCACCACCTAAAGAATGACCACACACAACAAGACCGTATGAAGGGTATTTCTCCAATGCGGCCAATAACGCTACGTGTACAGTTGATGTTGGAGCTACCAATCCTCGAGCGGAGGTGTACATTCCTGAATGAACGAAATATTCAGGGGCGAATTCGACTGAATTACTAGCTGGTTTTGGGGGTGGAGCGTGGGGAAGAGTTATATCGACGTAAACGCATGTGAAATCGACGAGTACGTCTGAGAAACCGAGTGTACCACGACAGGTTAGAATGACAGATTTGAGAGAATGGTCGACGACTAGGTAATGTACTAATGGAGGGGCTTGAACGTTTGGAGAGACAGGAGGAGATTCGAGGAAAGAGGAAAGTATGATGTTATCTGTTTCAATTCCAGTATGACGGGCCTGATGATTAGTTAGTCCGATAACCATGTGTCTTCACGAGTCTTTTTCGACTCATTCCCATTGACCCCGCAAGATTCAAATCCGCTGTCAATCCCTCTCAGACTGGCTAGATCTCTCAGATCCCCAGACAAATCATCGAGTGGTTGTACCAAGGACAAGTGGATTTTCAAGATGTGGACTCACAAAAGCCTGAGCATTGGCATGATGCCTAGTGGTAGTCTTGAAAGAATACGTTCCAAGTTTGAATATTCTCATGAAGTTTTGCTATTTCATCAGTCATGATATGTCTTCCAACGAATGCACTCACGCCGTACGCAGCGGTTGAATACCTCATAAACCTATGGATATTCCTGATCAACGAATCATGAGGATACAAACCCGCCGATGGGTCCGCATACACTTCAACAGGAGGTTTCTTCTTTCTTCTCGGTTGGGGACTACTTGAAGATCCCACATTGTCAAAGGTATCACTTTTTGACTTTTGATCTGCTGTGTGTTGATCGATCATTTCAATTGGTTCCATTGAGATTATCGTGCTAGTTGTTTTGTCCATAATCTCGGCCCGAGAAGCTAAGGAAGGAAGATCATCGGAAGATAAAGCCCCTTGTTCCTTTTTACGTCGAAATATTCCCAAACTGCCTCGTCGTCTTCGAGATTGATACGTATCTTTCCATGCTGAAGGAGGTGACGAGGGCGGGGAAACTCCAAAGAGTCTTTTTGCAATTCTCAAAGTGGAAGGGGACGTAGAGCCACTTTTCATGAAGGACGATGGTGATGTTGATCCGCTCGAATCCAAATTATGTAAGGGGCTCGTTTCTTCCGAAGAAAACTCATCGTCCGTCATTGACCTACTTGTTTTCGTCTTGGACCGACGCTGAAGAAGTTTATCGGTCATATGTTTCAAAGCTAGTTGAATCCTTTCGGAATTATCATGTGGATGTTCTGCAGCTTCTTGTAGGGTTTTTGATGGGATCGCCGGAGTTCCATTAGGTACAGAGGGAAGTCGATGGAGTTCGTCATCGGCAGTTTGAGGATCAAGTTCGACCCATTCTTCCAACTCGGTTTTCTGAGGGGTTATGTAACCAGAAAGTATTCTTGCTGCTTTGCCATTGACTACGTTTGTACCTGCCAGGGGAGATCTATGACCTCCTTCGCGATCGATATGGACGATTGGGACATCTTCAGATATATCGTCCAGCTCCTTGTTCTCGGAAGTGGTCGTAGAGGATATCGGTGGGGTGGTCTCGATTCCAAGACCTTCTCCAAAGGTTTGCAAATAATCTTTCAAACCGTCATCGAAGTCGGGTTCTATTGGCAAGTCGAGGTCCCCGGCAGAAGGCGATACTGACAGCCCAGACGTGGAAGTACCCGCGGCTGGCTGGGAAGCAGGATGGATGTGAATTTCCATTCCTGTATCTGGTCGAGCGGTCACATCAACGTCCACCGGGGTAGCCTCGGCTTGTTTGGGAGTTTCAGGCTCTGGAGATTCGGTGGGTATTATAGGCGGATCGTCAGGTCGGATTTGAGTGATACCCTCAGTCTGACTTGGTTCAAGGTTGTTGATAGCTATGATCTTCCGTCCAGTCGGGCTTTCTTCAGTGATCAATGTAGCGTCGTATATCCTGTCTGTCAATACCTTCACTCAGCTCTCAGCCCAAATCGACGCTTCATTCCTAACTCAGGAACATGACAACGATCACATCTTGTGTGGGCGCGAGTAGGTATGGATACTGATATGATGAGAAAGGTAAACTTACAGACGAAGTTTCAACCTCCCTTCTAATCTCTTCCAAGTCGCCATCTGTAAACAAGCAAAAGCCGTGAAGGCCTTTGTGAGTGCCGTAGAACTATTGAGAAAACCATTCTCATCATTCTGAAACTTTTCATGTAATAACAATTCGCTTATACTATGTCCAATAAAGCTACTCAAAGCCCTACTCGTTTCGCTACTACCAAAGATCGCATCGAGGATTTTGACACTTTGTAAAGCCGCCATAGCTGCCGATTTGAAAACTGAAGTAGTGAGATAAAATCCTGACATTGCGAATAACTCTCCCATTGAAAAGATATGATGAATGACGTAAACTCCAACATTTGTATATCTGTCGAGAAATTGCATGAACATATCTCTCTTTGGAGATATTATCAATTGACCCGTTCCGAGATTCTCTGTAGTTGAAGAAGAAGAGGAGGAGGAGGAGGAGGACCATAATGCTGTAAAAGGAGAAAATGGTGATGGAAGATATGATAACGCTGCGTTGGATATTAGGTAAGCTCGACGAGCGGAGGAAATGGCTGTGATGAGAACATCACGGGTGATACCCAAGTAAAGTCGACTACCTGCCACGTAAGTTTCAAGGATGGCTTCAACTATCCAAAGGACGGTATTGAGTGATATAGAAGTTGATTGAGCCACAGTAGAGATTAGGGGGAGCTATACGTTCTGGAAGGAGCGGTCCAGTGGTAGGTTTAGATACGGTACCCCAGTTACGTGAGACCAGAGCGGCTGTTTCGCTACTTGAAAGACGGGGAGCGACGGGAGTAGAGGATTGATTTTGCGGTCTGGGGGTCGTTCCAGGAAGAGAAGTGGCGAGACCGGCAGCTATTTGTGAAGGAGGAGTAGGAGTAGATTTCGTTGAAGTTGGTTCTGGGACCGACATACTAGGTTGGACAGGTTGTTCGTTGGGAAGTGAGGGAGATGTGATGATGCTGAGCATGTTGGAGACAGTGGAAGGTTTGGTGGACATGGTGGCCAATCTAATACAATCGTTGAATCGTTGACTTGATCGTGAGATAACTTCGTGTGAGATAAAACGTGAGGTCTTTTCTCAAAAAGATATCGTTGGTGTATAACGTGAAAATCGTACAATCGTCAAGCGTACAAATACAATTTAGGACCGTCGTGATGTTTTATACAATCGTGATAAAGAGCTTGATACAACAAGTCAAGTGTTGACAGTTGATAGAAGAATTGTTGATACAGATGGAGGAAATGGGGAGATACAATGTGCACAGGTCTTTGACAAGTTTGAGATTTGGGAGAGATGCCGAGGACCGCCGGGTACGGGGTTCAAAGCCCACAGTTCATTAGATCATTGAAACATTGGATCATGGGTTCTATGACGATGAACGGGGGTTGCGGACCGAATCACCGGTATCTGCGGGGTATATGTCGTATTTATTGAATAAGAAGTACGGCAGATGGTAGGGTAATGGGTAGAGGGATACCTTGGGGCAGAACGTCGAACAGAGAGAGGAAACAGGGACGCGTCAATGGCCGTGGGCCGTGGGCCGTGGGCCGTGGGTGGTCCTTGTTACTACTTGCAGTGGTGATCTGACCGAAGGATGAGTGTGGAACAGATTAATTGGTTGCTGGATCAAGTATTTGGGAGTCGTTAAGGCAAGGTCATCTAGAATGTGTTGTTGTGATATAGAGATGTGTTGTTAAATAAGTGATGTTTTCCAACGTCATAGCGGCATGTCTGACTGGATGGCCAAAAGCAGATTACGACTCGCCCCGTGGCCCGTGGAATCCGTGGGCCCTTGGGTCCCCACAAACAACATTGGTACCGAGACACGAGGGCACGCCATGGCAGCTAGCAGCTAGCAGCTACTAGCTACTCGATTCTCGTCGTATCTTTGTTTGACTCGGGTACCCCCTTCAGCATACCTTGCAGTTGTCATGCGCTGGCACCGACAACCAGCAGAGGACGAGATACAGCAGGTCATGCATCATCAGAGCAAATTAGGTCTACACCTTGAGCTATAAAATACGGATCCTTCCTTATCTTCCCTGTCATAGTATTCTGCGCTACACATGGTCATCAACAAATCACACGGCGACGTCTTCAAGCTTTGACGGGTGTACCGTTAGGGGCAGTATCGGTTTGGATCTTTGATGACAGACTCTTTCCCGCTCCAGCGCCCTGGGTAGCCTCAGGGTGGTGTTGACCGGTGACGGCGGGGTGTCGAGCGTCGAACAAGTCGAATACGGGTGACCGCCACTCTTGACCAGAATGAGCGGCGTCCTCAACTTTGAACATTCGTTTGGCGATAGATTGTTTAGAGTCATGTCCGAGGTCCGGGTTGAGTTGAGAGTCTCGATTTCCAACAACTCTAAAGGTCCCAGTCTTCTGCACGGCAGCTTCCTTCTTGCTCGCCGCTTCATCCTTCTTCCTAGCGTACAGGTCTTTGAGAGCCTGTCGTCGGTTCGTCTCGTCACTTTGCTTCGCTTCGTCCATGGCGTCACGTACTTGGACAAGCTGATCGTCAAGATGTCCCATAGCGGTGTGAACGGCGTTTTGGATGGCGGCGGTGATGGCTTTCTTGATCACCCCGGTGGCAACACCCTTGATGAACTTGTACAACAAGTCGTGCTTGCTGTCCCGAATGGAGAATTTGAGCGTGTCAATCTTAACATTGACGTGGTTGGTCTTGAAGACCGTGTCGCGACGGTTCTCGACAGACTCCAATTCGACGTCGATAGAGATACCTTGACCAGCGAGGACGACGTCGGCGAGGCCATGGTCGGAAATACGTGGCCAACCAGACTTACGTCTGAAGGCAAAGGCAACATCACGGATGTCAGCCTGGATTTGGGATAGACCAAGACGGAATCGGTGATGGTGGACATCGAGCGTCTTGTTGATCTCGCTGCAAGGGGAGAATTTGAAAGAGTTGTGTGCTTCGATGGAAACAATGTTAGGGAAAAGGTTGGGTCCGGAGAGAACGAGGTTCTCAATGACCAGATCAATCTTGTCATCCGAGTATTCGGCACGAGGGATGGGTACGTAACCTATTTGGCGAATGACGGTGGGGAGAATGACGGTGCGGATATCGCTCCAGAGATGGGGTTTGAATTCGAGGTTGCCTTCTTCATTGAAGAGCAAGTCCTTGGTCAATCGTTTCCAATCATCACCGAACCTGTCACGTTAGCGATAGGCGTCGAAATTGTGGTTGGTAATGGTAACTCACCTGACGTTCAATGGATCTTCGCCCATGGCCTGGAACCATGCCTTTATCTCATCGGCAAGAGTGTCCCAATGACCCCTGTACTTGTCGGTGAAGAAACTTTTACCCTTGTCACGCAATTCGCGACCTTCCCTGTCGCTCTCTTCTTCGAGGATAAATCCAGGTTCGAGCAGGATACGACGGACGTAGTCGTCGAGCTGAGAAAACCAGCCGCGAAGCTGGTCATCGTTTTTGGCATCGGTGTAGATGTTATCAAGAGCGTTGAAGATGCCGTCCATGGATCGACCGTTGGCGAAGCGTTCGAGCAAAGTGCGGAACTGGTAGGTGGAGTCAGTAAGGGAGGGGTCTTCCGTTACGGCTCCAGCAGCATCGGTACCTTTGCTGATCGTGTGTTTGGCGTGACCCTTGTAATTTTCGAGGGCGTCCAAGAGCCATTCCATGGCTTCTTGGTAATCCTTGTGCTCCTGACACTCGACCACAACCTGATGATTAGCTTCGTTCTGAGGAATGATATTACGCACCTTTTTCAGACGGTAGATGTACTGATCTCGACGCTCTTCGGGAAATTCGTCCTTGAAGTATTGCTTGGAATCGTTGACGACATTGCGGACTTTTTCGCGGTGTTCCTCGGGGATTTTGTTCTTTAGCTCGTTGACCTTTGCTTTGGCCTTGTCCTTTGCTTGATCCTGGTTGATGTCGGTGCCATCGGCCTTCTCGTTGGCACGACCCTTGATCTGGTCACGCTGTTCGGTGAGAGGTGCGTTGGGGTCTCGAGAGGAGGCGAGGTCGTCGGCATGAGAGGAAGCTTGTTGTTTGGCACTTTCCTTGACGTCCGCGGCTTTGTTCTGCAGATCGGATTTGGCCTGTTGGGCTTGGTCGTAAGCCTGACCGGCAGACCTAGTTTGACCGCTGGTGTCGGTTACCCTGGATATCAGATGTGATCTTGGGGGAGGGATGAAACACTTACTTGGCATCGGAAGGGGAATCCTTGGGGTGGTATCGAATTTCAGCGCCGTTGGGGCCCTTGAGTTGAAGCTCAGGAGTGGTGTTGGCACCGACGGGTTTACCATCTGGGCCGATCCATTGCTTTGAGGGAGCTTCATGATCAAGCTTCTCCTTTTGCTCGTCGGTAGGACGCACTTGTTGGGCGACATTGGCGGCCCCAGTGGCGAATAAGTCACGAGCAATGATGCCGAAGTCGCTGATGATTTTGCGAGCTTCAGAGTTGGTGAGGAAGAGAGTGATGAGGACACGTAAGTGCTGAGCAGCTGGGGAATTAGCAAGATGTTTTAAGGGAAACGACATTGACTCACCAGTGTTGGCATCTTTTTTAGCGTCTTCTTTTGAGACAGACACCACACCCTCCTGCTTGGCCCGAGAAGGGTCGGCAGAGTAACTTGTCCAAACGGCGTTTTGGAATAACTCATCGGCGTTCTTTTCCTGAACGATCATGCGCATGGTTTCGAGGATGTCCCTGCAGGTCAGCAAAGCAGCGAGAGACAGGCAAAGGTGTATCAACCTACCTGGTGTCTGCGATGAGTGTTCGACCTTCAGGTGACAATTTGTCCAGATCAACAGGGGAGTGTCCGATGGCATATTCCAGGGCGGAATCGATTTGACGGTTATCAGGCATGCGTCTGGTCGTCAGTCTACTGTCGAAGTCTGTGGTTTGGTGAACTCACCCATCACGGAAACCGTTGATTATACCCCATAATTTCATCTTTCGTTGAACGTCGGCCTCCATCTCTTTGCCAACGGTGGGCGATGTGACGCCCATCTTGCCTGGCTTCTCAACGACAGCCTCATTGGTAGGTGCTACACTCATATTGATGTACTATGATTGTCAGTCTTTAGTCGTAAGAAATGATAGAAGATAAAATGATTGTAGAGCTACAAGTCAGAGTGAAGATATGAGTTCTGACTGAATGGCGGGTTAAAGAAGTGAGACGGTGGGGGGAAGAAGGGGGGGTTTTAAGACAACTCGTCATAGGTGAGTGAGTGTCCGTTGAGCGATTGGAGCCGATGATGGCACAAAGGTTGAAATGATGTCATCGATCGACAGTAGTAACTGCTGGCTGGCGGGTCGTTTTCTTTTCTTCTCTTTCGCGCGCGGCTGCCACACTGCTACTGCAATCCAATTCCCCAAAGTGATCCACGGTGACGTATCATCCAAATGAACGTTCCCTGCATCCTACCTCGCTGCCTCCTTGCATCCATGCTGTGATGGATGAACCCCCAACACTTCCGCCACTCAAAGAAGGTGTGGTGCCTATGACGTAACCCCGGGCCAAAGGAGTCGCTCGTGATTCGTGGCACTTGGAATCTGGTCACATCGGATGCTTTCGAACGCGTGAACTTGCAGTACTCGTACTGTGAACGTGAACGTTGTGGTAGCCAAAGTGGAATACATACACTGCATAGTATGAAACCAAGTCGTACTCAAAGACCCAGGCCCTGACCGAACCCCTGTCACTTGCCCATATTTCACCGGATGTTGACTGGCCATTAGTCTTTCGTCGTTCATGCTGTTATCACTATCACTCACAACTCTCACCACAACCGCATGTATCAACGACATTTGGACTATAAGTTAGCTCATCATCTAAGTCTTCATCATGGCCTGGACATGCTCTCCGTCAGGAGTGGGCTCCACTCGTGAGGGTGCCGCCATGTCGTCTCTATCCCTTGCAAATGCCCTCTGGAGTAATGAGGCGGTAACTTGTCAAATGATAGGCCCACAAGAGGGATATGGTATTGCAGACAGGAGTCAGTGATGTTATTCGTCCAAAACTCACTTGTCAAACATGAAACCCGCACTTAACCGATTATCCCTCCAATCCATCCTACTCCCAATGATGCTAAACAGAGCCTTGCTGTCTATCAAAACTTTGACCCCGTCTTGCTCCACCACTTCATCGAAGCGCCCCCCTGGGGGAGATACGTATTCCAGGTGGTATGCCATCCCTGCGCAACCTCGGGATTTAACACCTATCCGAAGAAGCTTAGGATCGGAAGGGGATGCGAGGAGGTTACGCAGACGAGTCAAGGCGGCTGGTGTCTGCATCCTTAGCGATGATTCCAGCAGATTGATCTCTCAAACAAGATGATAATCTGAGTTTATACACTCCACTTTTTGGAAACATGAGAATTGGAGTGGACCATATGGGACAAAAGGAGCACACAACATACCATAGTGATAGCGTTCTTCTTAGCTTTGAAATCTCTTCTCTTGGTTTCCTCTTTCCCTTTCCCTTTGCTATCCATGGCTTCTACACGAATGGGCGGTGGCACACCTTGGAATCCTGCTTCACTCTGAGGACTAGGGATTCCATGCGTAGCACTCAACTCCTGCATCCTCCTCACTCCTCCAGAAATGCATCTCAGTTGAGTTTGGCGTCGATAAGCGGGATGATGACTGGATGATCGAAATGAGAGACAGTGGAGGGTGACGCGAGAGGAGGATGGAATTGGGAGATGGTGGAATGAGGGGATATGAGGGACGGATCGCCATATGTTGCTTGTTGAGAAGGACATTGTCGTGCAGGACTTCCACTTCCTCCTGTCGTTTCTCGTTCTATGTCGATGAGAGGAAATCGATCTTGAAGGGAGAAGTAGTGGCAAGAAGGGTGAAAGGGTTCGAGGTGAGACGATTGAGATGCTGAGTCAGGAAAGAAAATTGATTGGTCCGCGTCGCCGTCGGCCGTTCGATTTCTTTCCTCCTTTCTCTGCTTTTTTGTGACGAGAGGAATTGGGTGGGAAACGAGGTCGACACAAGCTCAAATTGGAGCGTCTGAAAAGTGTGAAAGCATTTTACATGCATGATCATTTGTTCATCGAGGTCGTGATTGCACCCAGAACGGTTGCATCACGTGACGAGATTATCCGACCATCGCCGATCGTCCGACAGAATTTCGAAATCTGCAGGAAAGTGATGACCGCTAGACGCTTGTGAAGAGCAGGAACATGGCCCATGGCCCATGGCCCATGGAACACTCAAGACGGGCAGAATGGATCAAGGGCCAGCACTTGGATAGGTACATGCTCACTGTCGAGTGTGGATACGACCCACTTGAGCACGGAGGTGGTGTGAAAAGACCGACAGGCAGCTAGCACCTCTCATCTCACTTGCACTTGTCAAAAGGCTTCACTGGCTCACTGGCGTACACCCCCTTTGGATGTCACACGTAGGCCTAAGTCATATCTATCCCACTGCTAGCCAATACATTCTCATCCTGTATCATCTCATCACTCAAGAATTCACTCGAATCGCTCATTATATTTACTCAGCCGTACTACTCTCACGCCTACTTCAATCATGTTCGAACTCGCCGCGCCCCGGCTAACCCCAGATCAAGTAGACCGCGTTGCGATCATCTTCTTCATCGCCTTATTCCCCATCACATACTGCATGTATCTTCACTGGCGCAGTATCCGAGCTCGTTATCCAACCGTGTCACCATTGGTAAAGACAGAACGGACCAAGAGTAGTTAACGAAGCGAGTCAATGATTGTTGTCCGTGGTAAGCAATGCTATGCTTTTGACAAATGAAGCTGAAACGAGTAGCGATCAGATGTCAAGGCTGTTATACCTTCCTGAATAATATGTTTATTGAATGATATGAGATGCATTACAATCCCAACCTCTTTGATCAAAGTAGTGATCAAGCACACGGAATACTACTTCCATCTCCATTTTGACCAACTCCGGTTTCCGGTGGGGGCAACCCTGTAATGACCACCGATCGGCCTCGCTCTGTCTTTAGCGCGTGCCCCATGCCCCATAGCCCTATCCAGTTGTGTACACCCTACATTCACTCATCTGCTCATCTACCCATATCTAAGACCTACTCTTTTTTCTTCATATGTTTACTGTTCATGGTCTCTCATTCCCGATTGACAGGTGACTCCTTTAAACTTTGATCTCTGGTGCTCTGGGTCTAGACCTTTGGCCATGTCGGAACAAAGGACAGTGCGGCAACCCCCTCCTCCGCCTCTTCAACTCGCGTCCTCTTCAACTCCTTCCTCTCGTCCACCCAGACCGCCCTCTATAGCATCTCTAAAACAGTCCAAATGGCAACCTCAACAGGTTCATAATCGGAGGCTTTCCACAGACATGGAACAAAATCAACCTAACAGGTGAGCAACCCCATCCGTCATAGCTCATCAGATTTCCATCAAGTCCCCAGTTTCGTGGATGATCTCCCCGGTTTTCCCCCATCAGGAGATCAAAGGAGCTCATGTACCCAGCAATAACCCCCCTTCACCTTCCCCAATGACTTACTTTCCTCAACCATCTTTCTCTTCAGACACTACCCCACTTCCACCGTTGGCCACCTCCCCCACTATGACTCAACCTCAACCTCAAGGACAAGGAGTTCCCATTCCAAATCAACATTCTTCCAATTCCGTCTTTTCAGCTGCCGAAGATGATTCCGAACGGGAACGACTCGCGAGCGCGAAAAGACGACCTACCTTAGAAAGTCGAGGTCCAAGTCCTCCTGAACGTCGTAGAGGAAGCACATTGGAAGAGAGGAGGATCGCAAGTGGTATACGGACTACACCAATGTCATACGGCTCAACATCGCAGAATGGGACTCTTTCAGCTTTAGGTCTGAGTGAAACGACTCCAAGACCAAAAGGTGATCGTACACCTTTAGGTAGAGGACATGAAGAGAATCGTCATAAGGGTCCATTGGCATCTCCCAGAAGAATATCTACATCAACTACCATGCCCCCTATGCCTCAGACCGCTGCTCCGAGACACACTTCTCACCATCATACATCAGATAGTAATACCTCCCAGACACAACCACCAACAGCAACTACACCCCGCTTCCGTCATCAACAGAAGACAGGTCGACATACCCCATCTCAGTCGAGTTCTGGACAATTCAACCATACTCTCAGTATTCCGGGAGTCGCACATAGGAGGCAGAACTCCGTTCAATCTGCTCTGAACTCGCCGTTGCTGGTGCCCAAGAGCCCAGGGGGTACAGTACTGCAGAGCATCAGAAAGACGGCGAGCATTGCGGGCTTCAGCCTGGGTAGGCCGACTAAGTACGACCAAGACGATGAGGTCAGAGGTGTGGAAGATGAGGAAGGATTTGAAGATGAGGCGGAGAAGAGGAATGGAACTAGAGTATGGTACAGGCAAGTTCAACCATGATGTTCTTAATTTTGGCTGACATGTAAGCTCGTATGTGACAATCGACTGGATACACGATGCAGTCAGTGTTCACATTACTCCAGTCACCTTACAATCAAGTGCAAAGAAGCTCATGAGTACAGATCAAGGAGTCCACGCGTGTCCGCCGTCTAAGACACAACTCCCACCGGTCTATGAGAGGTGCTATCGCCAATTCTTGGGACAGATTTCAAGGCTGGCTGGTTGTCACCATCATCGGTGAGTTGCAACCATCCTAATATCTTGATTCTCAACTTACTGTTACAGGCATCGTCACCGCTGTCATCGCTTTCCTGATCATTCGTGCCGAGATGGCCCTTTTCGACCTCAAAGAAGGTTTTTGTTCTACTTCTTGGGGAACAGCCAAACGTTTCTGCTGCGCACCTAAGCATCACCGTCTTCCTGGTAGTGGGGAAGAAGATTGTGGGGATTGGATCGAATGGGGAGAATTTTTCTCTCCTGAGGATCGGCACGGTCCAGCAGGTAATTGGTTCTGGGGAAGGTCGGAATTCATTGCTTACGGTGTCGTTGCTGTAAGTCATCGTACTCACTGAAATCGTTCATGGAGCTGATGGCATAGCTGGGTTTGGCCACTCTGGCATCCTGCATGACAGTCTACCTCTCCTCCTCTGCTCACAGCGCTACATCCAAAGATTCAAACTTTCTCATTCCTGTGCCTTCGGAAGAGGATATCACATCGGCTACGCAGAAGACGCCGACCGAACGTCAGCCATTGTTGGATGCGTCTTTTCACACCGAGCCGTTAGACGTCGGCGTGCGAAGTGAAGCCCCACGCAAGACAATGTATTACGCAGCGGGAAGTGGTATCCCCGAGATAAAGACCATCCTATCCGGTCAGTCGACTCTGCTTTGTGTAAGTAAACGCTCATCGTCCTAGGTTTCGTCATACATGGATATTTAGGAGGATGGACTTTACTCACTAAGAGCGTGGGACTAGCTCTCAGTGTGGCTTCTGGCTTGTCGTTGGGTATGTGAAATCAAGCACAAGCACAATTATGTTCACATCTGATCAAGACAGGAAAAGAAGGCCCGCTGGTTCACATCAGCTGCTGCGTGGGTAATATCGTTTCCCGGCTATTTGTGAAATTTGAATGCAATGAGGGTACGTCCGTAGCATGAAATAGTCCTTATCGACTGTGGCTCATGTTTCAGCCAAGCGCCGTGAAGTACTGTCTGCTGCGTGTGCGGCTGGTGTAGCCGTGCGTCCATCTTTTTCTCCACACACACATGTACGCTTACGCTGTCTAGGTCGCCTTTGGTGCCCCAATCGGAGGTGTTCTCTTTTCGTTAGAAGAGGTATCTTACTACTTCCCTCCAAAGGTCATGTGGCGAAGGTAAATCTTTCATCGGCTTCTTCAGGCCCCTGTACTGATGTCTAGTTTCTGGTGCGCAGCAGTAGCTGCCATAACATTAAAGAGTCTTAATCCGTTCGGCAATGGCAGTCTAGTGCTTGTACGTTTTTCCATCTGACAAAGTTTGTGCTGACGTGCGCAGTTCGCCGTGACGTATACGAAACAATATCATTATTGGGAATATAGCATCTTCGTCCTTCTTGGTATCTTCGGGGTAAGTTCCATTGTGTGTCATAGGTGGTCAGCTGAAGTGTAGGGCGTCTACGGAGCGATTTTCTCGCGATTGAATATCCTCTGGTCAAGGAATGTCAGACAAGGCACTTGGGTCGGACGACATCCTATCATTGAGGTCATGCTGGTTACGTTACTCACAACGGCTGTATCGTTTTTAAATCCTTATTGCCGGATGGGCGGGACGGAGCTTGTGGCCAGTGTGAGTGATCCTCCACATACGCACACTTCTTGCGGGCAAGATCTCTCCTTACACTGGATTACATACGACCTCTTCTCATACAGGTCCCGTTTCTCAATTCTCCCCAAATACTCATCTACGGTTGACCAAAGGCCCCTTCGGTCAATCTCCTGTGGTATCATACAAGCTTGACTAATATGTCAGCTCTTTGCGGAATGCAAGAACAACTCGTCCAATCCCCTCTGCGCTCAACACCCACATGAGATTGCCTCGGTCATATCTACTATCGGCTTTGCTCTTTTGATCAAAGGTGCTCTGACTATCATCACGTTCGGCATCAAACTCCCTGGTCAGTCCCTCCTTCTCCTGCTTTCACTCCCCTTGTACTCTCGCCTTTCTAGTAATCGCAGAATCGTCATAACTATATGATTTTGAAGATGACATGAAGCTGACAAATAGCTGGTATCTTCATCCCATCTCTTGTCGTCGGTGCTTGCTTCGGTCGCATCATCGGCCTGACATTGGAATGGCTCGAATTTGCTTTTCCCGATTTACCGATCTTCGGTGTGTGCACAGGTACGGACTGCATCGTCCCTGGTCTATATGCCATGGTGGGTTCCGTTCTACTTTTCTCGTCACAAATCTAACGATCAGGTGGGCGCTGCTGCCACCTTAGCTGGAGTAACGCGAACTACTGTTTCTTTGGCTGTGATCGTCATTGAGCTTACAGCGTCTCTGAACTACGTGGTCCCGATCATGCTCGGTGTGCTGGTAGCTAAAACTGTGGCGGATGGTTTGGAGAAAAAAGGGATATACGATCTCGTGATTGAGTGAGTGTTCCAACCATCACCAATGACCTCTCATCCTCCATCGTCAAAATCCCGACCGACTGACCCGACCCGGCACTCTGGAAGATCATCAATGGACTTTGGACATTGCTCATGATTAGTCTCAACCAACTCCCATTCCTCGATAGTAAACACGAATATCTCTGGGGCGGTCGACGAGCGATCGACGTGGCGGATCACGAAGTCCCTTTTCTCCGCGCGGACAAAGTCAACAGTGTCCGTCGACTTACGGGACAATTGTTGGCTTTGGTCAGAACCGATATGGCCGATACTGGGTTCCCATTGTTAGTGAAGGAGAATTCAAATTCTCTAAGGATCGTAGGGTTTTTAGGTATGAACGAGCTGGAGCATGCTTTAAGTCAGTCAATCTCAAGTATTCCTTGTATTTCCCCTCTCTCCCAGATAATTCGTCAATCGAATAGACTCGCCAGTCCCTCTGGACCACCATTTTATTTACACGCGTGCCTGGACACTTCAGGTATATTGAGAGAAAGGAGGCGAGGTTAATGAACATGTTAAAAAAAAAAATGAGAAGCATGCTGACTACGTAGGAACACTACAAGATGAACCTGAAGCTGAACTTCAATTGATGCCCAATGACGCTAGTAGACAACAAAGTACAATGTCAATATTTAGTTTTGCTGAATCGGTTAATGACCGATATGATCCATATGATATTTCTCGTTATGTGGATAGAGTGAGTCTTTTTTTCTTTCATTTTCTCATCTTCTCAATCATTTTCTCCCGATCCTACATTATAATCTCGGCATTCCATCAACAATCCCCTTGTCTATCTTTTTCGAAATGTTCATCGAGTAATACGATAAGGTTGGTGGAGACACAACGCGTAAAGTCATGTTATGAGAGAAATGTACTTATATGAATCAGGCTCCTATCACAGTCCAAAAAGATTCTCCTCTGGAACTTGTTCAACAATTATTCGTCAAGCTAGGCGCTAGTCAGTTGTTGGTAGTAGATCATCGGGGTTGTTTCAAAGGTATGATCACGAAAAAAGCTTGGTTGAGATTTCTTTCAGAATTAGAAGAAAAATCTATATAAAAGTCATGGTTGGACTTCTTTCTCGGTTCGACAGAGATCATACCCAATCATTGTTGGACATTTGAGATTTACATTTATTGTTTTAGTATATAGTCTTCGAAACTTCACATTATGGTAGGAAGAATATTGCTTTGCTTCACCATTGTTGTCATGAATAATGCCTTATGAACTACACGTGCGTTTCGAACCCCATAGAATGATATATGGGATTATCGAGGAACGTTTTGCAAGCATCATCGTATAGTGCATGTGGTGAAGGATACATGTTCAAAATACAAGTAATATTGAGACGGTCAGAATGAGGTGACACTCTATATCAAATTTGATGACGTTCGTCATCGGTGCGTTGAAGTTTTCCAGGTACAGGTAACAGTTCTCCATTAGGTCCAAGTACTCCGACGGGATTCATCTGTTGGATAATCTGTTGATTCTGAGGATTATGAAACATGAGGTTTCGTACTGCGAAAAGAGCGTGTTCTCTTAGATCTAAAAACATCAACATCTTTCCTCGTCCACTCATCCGTTCCAACCCTCCTTCCCTTCACACGCTATCGACAAATGGGCAAAAATCGATTTTGGAAGATCATGCGGTCAAAATCAATTCGGGAGTATACACGGGGACAGTTCTGATCAAAAGCTAGAGAATGTGCAGAGAATGAGACAGGGGAAGTATCAATGACTTGAATAGAAGATATCTGCTAGATTGGAGACGAAGGGAGATAAAGGTAGTGATCACTCACAAGGATTCAATTCGTCAACTTCTGTCATAGATAATAACAGATGAACCCCACCGTATTCTCTTACCAGGTCGGAAGTTTGGATGGATTCAAATGTGAGGATCCCGACTAGACGGACTAAGTTGCGTTTGAGTAAAGTGATAGGTCTGATTTGTTCTTCATTCAATTTGGTTGTGTCGGTTTGTTGAGAAGAATGTTTACGTCTTGGTAAAAACGTTTCGAGTTGTTTCAAAAGCTCTATGTCGTTAATAAATCTCTAGTGAACATCATTTGACAAGACTGCATTCTTCCTCAGACGATAACTGCATTCTTCCTCAGACAGTCCGAATACCCTGTTGCGTTCGTCTGCCAGTGATGATGTCAAGTTGGAGGTCAAAAAGAAAGACGTACCGATCAAAAGTCTAATCACTCCAGTTTCATTCTTTCTCAAAAGACCTATTAACTCTTCTTCTCCTCCCTCTTTGTCTTGAACTTGCTGGTTCCCGCTCTTCCTTCGATCGGACCTCTCTTGACATGCCAGACCAATACTACACAAACCTTCTAAAACAAGTATCAACCCTTCGAACACTTTCGGAAGTCTGGCATCGTCCTTGCCCGATTGGAGTGATGCTAAAGAGTATTCTGAGAGGTTTTTGTATAGATCAATGAAGTAACAATGAGGGCTAGGGGAACGGTTGGGATGAGGTGAGGAGAGATAATGGTCGATTAATTTCAGTAAAACAGTTTGAGAAGGGGTGATAGGTTCTGGAGGTGAGGCCAATGATGTATAGGCATGCTGTTGGAGTGAGAATTCGAAGATGGGCCGAAATAGGGTGTACCTGGTATATCAACATGTATGCTTGATCAACCTCCGAAGTGATACCAAGATCTTATTGAGTATGATGGGTAATACACTCACGCCACGTCAAATCTACCATCATGTAAAATCAACCAATCGTCCAACCTAGCTAAGATTTTTGAAGTCCAACTCAAACCAACTCCTTCCCAGAGCGTTCCGAATCGCCGTCGACTTCTTCGGGTCAGATTGGCTACAAAATGCAATGTCACCAGATTAACCCCGACATCTCTAGAGTCAAGTAATCGACTGGATCCTTCAGCTCAAGTCTCAGGGAATAAAAGAGGAGCTAACATGATGACATCGTCGTCTCTTTTCCCACTTTGATATAGCGTTAAATGTGTGTCGACGAATCTTTCACCCACTCCCAAAGATGTTGGGGAGAGGAGGTTTGATAAGAGTTGAGTCAGGACTATCTGAAGAGGAAAAACTGTCAGTCAGCGATGAATGGATAGATAGGTCTTAAAAAGCTTACAGAGAGGACCTTCAATCCGGGTGAAGGTTGTAATATGAAATAACAACTTTCGTATAGCTGGCTCGGAGTCGCTGTATACATATTAAGCCCTTTCACTAATTTTTCCCATAGGGAGAGAGATGTTATGAGATATAAAAAGAGAATAACTCACATGGCACATTCCTGCCATCGGTACACACCAGCGATGAGGTTACGTTGCAATCTCCCCAAACCCAAAGCCAAGGCTACGTTGCATTCCACGGCCGTCAAAGAGTATTCTTGGATAGAAGGATCAAATATGTATGAAAGAAACTCCCAGAAAGTTCGTAGTCGATCCCATATTGTCTCATCGTCTATCTGGATTCCATTGTCGATCTCGGTAAGGAACGCAGTACTAAAGTTCAGCAGGGCTAAGTCTGAGAGGGGGTGACTACGGACCGTTGATACAGATGCTGAGCGATATATTTAGAAGCTCTCTCCGTCACTGCAGCTGCCTCCAGTGTCGTTGATTCTGTCTCTGTAATATCTCGAGGGTCAGCCAAGAGTATATTCCATAACTCGATTGATAGCATAATGACAAGTCAACATGTTCATTTCTTCTTGACCACTTGCTTTGATGGTGATGGTGATGGGGGTAGGGTGTGGGGCTCCACTTTAAATGTCGACATCTTACACACCCTGAATCTCGCTCCAAAACGTCAACTGTGGTAACATACTCTTGTATATATACATGTACCCACTTCCAACAACATGACAGTCGATAACGTACCCCCTCCCTCTCCCGTAGGCTCCCGGACCTCTACCGACTCTTCTCGAAGCGAGACCTCGCGCACTCCGCCGGTAGTACTCGGAGTATGTGCCATGGACGTCAAGGCCCGTAGCAAAGCCATGCGAGAGATTTTGACCCGTTTGAACGATATCGAACAAGGAGGTGTGGACGTCAAAATCTTTGGAGATGTTGTGATTTTGGAGGAAGGTGATTCGTCCCTTCTCTCCTCTCATCTTCTGCACTTCTCTTCTTTCCCGGCCGTGGTGAAATATATGCTTATTCGCAGACATATCACATTGGCCCCCCGTAGACGTCCTCATTTCTTTCTTCTCAACGGATTTCCCACTTCCAAAAGCTATAGCCTATACACAGATACCTACTCGTCTTCCACCGATATCAATCAACTCTCTCGCAATGCAGAGTCTTCTATGGGATCGCAGACTTGTACTTGCTATCCTGGACCATATCGGAGTTCCCACCCCAAGACGAGTGGAAGTATCCAGAGACGGTGGACCGAAAGTCGACGCGGCTTTGCGTAAAAGGGTAAGAAGAGATTTGGGTTTGGTACTACCTGGACCAAAAGTCAAGGATGAGGATCAATGGGGACCTGTTGTCGTACCGGATAGATGGAAGGGGAAGAAGAAGAAAGAGGATGTAGCCAGGAGTAAAGAGGTAATTCTTAGGGAAGATGGGAATGCGATCATAGTGGACGGTGAGGTGTTTGAAAAGCCTTTTGTGGAAAAGCCAGTGGATGGTGAGGATCATAATGTATATATCTATTATCGGGGCGAGAAAGGTAAGAGGGGGGGAGGGAGAAGGCTGTTCAGGAAGGTGAGTCAAATGAGCCACACGCTGACCATATTCCTCTGTCTTTTGCTTCGATGGTCCGACCGTTCGAGGTTGTCAGTGAAGAAGGTGTGAGCACCAACTGATATTGAGGTCGGCAACAAATCTAGCGAGCTAGATCCGTCTCTTTGGCATCCCCGCACGGTCGGTTCGTTCATCTACGAAGAATTCATCAACGTAGACAATGCCGAAGATATCAAGATTTACACCGTCGGACCAAATTTCTGTCACGCCGAAACCAGAAAATCACCCGTGGTAGATGGTTTAGTGCAACGCAATGCGGACGGTAAAGAAACCCGATTCATCACCAAACTATCACCTGACGAAGAACAATCTGCCAGAGATGTCGTGGAAGCGTTTGGTCAACGTGTTTGTGGGTTTGACCTTCTTCGATGTGATGGGGGAAAACGGAGTATGGTAATTGATGTGAACGGGTGGAGTTTCGTCAAGGGTAATCAAGCGTACTACGGTAAGCTCTTTGCGCCCTGGTAAGGCTTCATAAACTCATGTGAGCAGATAAAGCTGCGGAGATTTTGTCATCGGTATGCAGGATAGCAAGGGAACGCAGGATGTTGTCCATTAAACCTGGGACTGTACCCCCTCCCACCACTGTCGACCTTCCTTCTACTTCCATTAGTACATTACGAGCCACGGTGAGCGTACTTAGACATGCGGATCGAACACCAAAGATGAAGCTCAAGGTCAGTCAATGCGAACTTTGACATCAGTGTGAGCTGATTGAACAGTTTACGTTTCCCGCCGCTGAAGCCTGGACCCGACCGTTTCTATCACTCCTTAGAGGACATCACGAAGAAATCATTCTCCGTGACCCTCGTCAATTGGCTTTCATCCTTACCGCAGCTGAACAAGCGGAGAAGTCACCTGGAATATCTCCTGACAATCTGGTCAAGTTGTCGCAACTCAAAGAAGTATTGAGGAAGAAGATGACTCTTTCGGGGACGAAAGCACAATTGAAGCCGTCTTTCATCAAGAAGGGAAAGAGTAAGATTGGTACGGAGGACAATGAAAATAAACCGGAGAAAAAGGTCAAGAAAGAAAACGCAGGGAGTGATGACGAAGATCAGTTGACAGAGACGGAAGGAAGGAACAAAGTCAATGAATGGCTTCGCGGTGGCCCACCCATCAGTAAGAGAGGTGATGGATTGGAGACTCGACCTCAAACACCGGATATGAAGGACCTCATCAATGGTGCTTATGGATATGAGGCTTGGATTCCTGAAGGGCTCGAGAAATTACAGTTGGTAGTAAAATGGGGAGGGAACTTTTCTCACGCTTCACGTTATCAAGCGAGGGACTTGGGGGATGCATTCAAGAAAGTGAGCTTTATCCTCGGGATCGACTAAAGCTGACATGCCAGGATATTATGATCATGAGTAGGATTTCATCCAGTTGAGCCCTATACGATGGACTAACTCTCTAGACAAGGATGTTTTGAACAATGTCAAGATCTATACATCGTCTGAACCCCGTGTAATCGTAAGTGCTCAGCGTCCTTACACTCTCTCACCCTCCTCACCCCCTTGTCTCTCACTCGCCCAGTAATCCAAGTATTCCAAGTATAACGGAACACGGTGGTCGAATATAGGAGAGTCAATTGACCTCTAGAACACTGCGGAGATCTTCGCGCAATCCCTTCTGGGCGTTGGTACTTCATCAACCCCTGGCAGTCAAATTGTCCCTCGCGTCCCAGACCCTGCACCTCAGATCTCTCATCTGATCCAACGTCGAGACCTACTGGATGACAACAACGCCGGTAAAGAGAAGATGGCCGAAACGAAGAAAAAGCTCAAGATTTTGCTTCGACCAGGTGAAAGTGAAAAACGTCCTGACCTCGCTTGGCCAAAGGGGTTGAAGAAAGAACCAGTTGACGTCGTGACCGTTAGTCGTACACACCACAGGATGACTGAGCTGATGTATTCCAGGAAGTCATCGAACAGCTCACGGAACTGCGAATGATTATGCGGAGGAATTATGAGAATGGTAATGTGGATAGAATACCTCAACAGAGATGGTGTTCTGGTGATTCGCCTTGGCTGTTCAGGGAGAGATGGGAGAAGATCTTTGAAGATTGGGTGGGGGTGAAACAGGAAAAGTTTGATCCCTCAAGGGTGAGTCTCGAGTCTTTCTCTGATTCCATTTCCCCTCTTTTCAGAACATCAATCTCACCTGTTCTTCGATTCTGAACTCGCCTAGTCCATTGGAGAAGGGGGTTAGGATGTGTTAAAAGGGAATCTGTGGAGTAAAAGCTGACTACCAGGTGTCTGAGTTGTACGACAGTGTAAGCGGGATCCTCTCTTCAACGGGCAGAAGCTGACGTGAGTAGATCAAATATGACAGTCTTCACAATCGTACCTTCCTCTTTGCCGTCTTTGATCCAGAGGGTAAAGGTCAAGCTAGTAAACCTAACACGGAGAACCAAGATCGACGTGAGCTCTTTCGTTTTTTTCTTCTTCAAGGTACTGCTAACATGATCAGGACTACACGAGCTGTACGCCAGAGCGAAAGCATTGTTCGATCTCGTAGGTCCACAAGAATATGGGATAGATCAAGAGGCGAAAGAAGAAATTGGGGTTTTGACTTCGTTACCTTTGTTGAGGAAAGTATGGGGAGATTTGGAAGAAGCGAAAAATACCGGAAAATCTCTAGCTTGTTTCTACTTCACGTGGGTTCGACTAACTAACATTCTCTCCTTTGACTACCCATTCACTCCTCTACATCCGTAGTCAAACTGTTGGTCTCACCCACCCTCAAGTGATGCTTCCCCTATGCTCCATCGCCCCTTGATGTCCACGATTGAGTGCAATGTGTTGCGAGCCCGAGTGAAGTGATATTTGAACAACGGGTGGGACTGATGTGAACAGGAAAGAATCTCACATTACCACATTCGTACATCTCCTCCTAGCCTCCGGATTACCATTCACAAATATCCGTATTCCCGAACTTGACTATTGCTCTCATTGCACCATTGAACTATGGGAGAAATCTTCTGGGAACGCTTCTAATAGAGGTCATAAGGATTTTTCTATTCGTTTGTCGATTTCTGAAGGTGCACATAGTCCTGCGGTGTTGGACAGTAATGTGGATGCTGTGAGTGTGCTTTTCTTCATCTTCATCTCCCCTCCCCTACTGATCCTCACGACACGCTATAAAGCACATCTCCACTTCCGAGTCTCGTCATTATGGAATCCGCGCTCTGTCTCAACACCACTTATGATGAGACATTTGTCAACATCTTCGAAAATTTGTCCTCGCTGAGACCCCAGCGCCACAGTCTCACAGTTCAACCACGCAAGAAATTAACCTCTCACGTGGATTATGAACTCGCTCGTGAATGTTTCTCCAAACATTTCGGCAAGAGCATGTCTTTTTCCACCACCCCATTGGAAGGTGACGAAGTGTATTTGAAGAAGAGTATACAAGATGAGGCTGTTTTACCTTTATCTTTGGCCGGTCGAATGGGTGAAGAAACCCCGAGAGTCATGTCGTCTGCTTCTAGCGTAGGGACGAACGAGGGATGGTGATGATTTCTCTGCGTTTTCTTATATTTCTTGTGCTTGGTTTCTACCAGTTTAATAATCGGTTCTACGTGTCTGTAGCTCTCATAGTTGTCCACCGAGTATGATCTGACTGCTCCATGTGACATTATACGCTATGTATTGTCAAAGCCATGTACCATGCGACATGTGTCAAGTGCCACGGAGGGTTCCGTCGGTTGAGAATCAAGGGTTGTCGTCATCGCCGCGGCCGCCGGTCAATGATCTATGGAACTTACAAGCACCATGCACCATGCACCACAACCATCCTCGTCATACATCCTCAATCGCCTGATCTTCGTTTGGTAATACCCCACTTCAATCACTTTGGTGAGACTCAAATCACGTTCTTGATCTCGAGCGTCTTCACTCTGGTCTAGAAGAAAGTTCCAAAGTGGTTCAAAGTGGAAGGAATACGGGGAAGACACCCTTCTTAACCCGCCACTCAACATGGGTCTCTTGAGCGGGAGTATGGAATCTCTTTCGATAAAAGGAAAATCGAGAAGAGATTCAGATGCTTCAGGATCAAGTAGGAACCCCCCAGATGGGAATCCGGATGATACGAGTACTTTGGATAAAGAAGAGGGGAACGTTTTGATGTCGATTATCTCTCAATGTGGGTTCGGTCATGGATCATCTTCCTCCCTCTTCTTCCTTCCACTCTGCCTGAATATGTGCCTTTCATCGATATAGTACTTGTGATGTTGTCTACAATAAGAGATCGACATCGTGTCTGAAGATCTCATGGATGTGGAGAGGGAAGGGGCTTTGGTCATACGATCGAATGACGGGGTGTTGCTCGGTGTGGGGGGTCGATCTCCCGGACAATCCTGTCGGTGTGATGTGTGGAATAGAGTGTTTCTTCAATTGAACATGGGTCCTCAGACGAGGATGTACCATTCGCCAAGATGACATCATATAAGAAGGCTTTGTTGCACGCTCGGTCGGGCTTAGACCCGGATTCATAAGTTTGCGATATGGGCAAAGACAGAAGGAGATTTACGAGGCAGTACGAGGGAAGAATGATAGAGCTGACAAAAAAGTACGTCCAGGTATGGACTTGTCAAAGATCGCTTTACCGACTTTTGTACTTGAACCTAGGAGTTTGTTAGAGAGGATCACCGATTTCTTCTCACATCCCGAGCTTATCTTTGGGTGTGTGTCGTCTTCATCTCCTCCCCACTGAACAACAGCTTCTGTCAATCCTGTGCAATATCCATTCTATCTTACCTCTAAGTCAAATGCCATCATCTCACCCTCACTTGCCAATGTGGACACATTGGATGAGTAATGGTGCAGACCCAGAACTTGGCGATGAAGATGTACGGAAAGGAAGAGAATGCTGATTAGTAGTGTCGGAGAAGAAGACGACCCAAAACAACGTTTCCTCGCCGTCATGACTTTTTATCTCTCCGGATGGCATATCAAGCCCAAAGGGTGAGCATCGACTGACCTTTGAAATCCTGGTCAGATTCTGAATGCACGGGGCAGGGAACTAATCGGCAGTGTTAAAAAGCCATACAACCCTGTTCTGGGAGAGTTCTTTCGGTGTACTTACTTCTACGCCGATGGCTCGGAAGGTTTTTACGTCGCTGAGCAGGTCTCACATCATCCCGTACGTCCTGACTTCTTTCCACCAACTCATGGCATATGCTTGTCCCTCGTACTTTACCCATACTATCTTTAACTCGAGCTGAGTTTCGTCACGAGTGTCTGCTAATCTCAGCCCGTCTCCGCGTTCTTCTATGTCAGCCCGAAGAATCGACTGCTTATAACCGGCGAACTGAAGCCTAAATCCAAATTCCTCGGTAACAGTGCGGCGACAATCATGGAAGGAGAAGATAGAATACGACTTTTGGATCGACCAGGTGATGGAGATTATGTCATCACTGTAAGTCTCACTTATGACTCTTTCCACCTCATCCTCCCTCCAACCAGAATCACTTTATCCTTGATGATAGCTCATACCAGATGCCTAACACATACGCTCGTGGTATTTTATTCGGAAAGATGATACTCGAATTGGGCGATTTGTCCACCATTGCCAACCCTCAAACTGGCTACACTTGCGATGTAGAGTTCAAAACGAAAGGATGGATTTCGGGAGGTTATAATGTTATAAATGGTCGTGTCAAAGGTCCCGGTAAGACGGACGTGGGAGAGGTGACGGGACATTGGCATTCGACTATCGAATATGGGGATAAAGGGGCAGGGAAGAAACAAGTCATGTTTGATTCGGCGAGTGCGAAGATAGCTCCAAAGGCTGTATTGCCAGAGTCTGAGCAGGAGGAGTATGAGTCAAGGAGGTGAGTTGTCAGCTTCTCCATCCACATCTCCTCGCCCACTTTGATTGCATACGTGAGGCAAATGACCTAAATATAAGTTGTGCTGTCCACTGAACCGCAGGTTATGGGCAAAGTTGACAACTGCCATCAACTCGGCCGATATGTACGGAGCGACGGCAGCCAAGACTGCGGTAGAGGATAAACAGAGAGAGTTAGCTAAAAAGAGAGAAGTGGCGGGAGAGAGTTTACCACCATCTAGATTCTTCACACATGTAGAAGGGGATAAATGGATGCCTAAGATAGGTGTTGATACGTGGGTTTTTTTCTCTCTTATCACTCATATCTGTCTATCATCACTTCGATGTATCAATATCGCTCTGCTTTGAAACGTTGCACTCTCCATTCGATCAGGGAATGTATCGGTCAAGCTGACATGTAGTCTGCCAAAGGATCCAATAGAGATGGAAGAAGCTGTTAGAAAGTGGATTTTCGGAGATCACTCGCCTACTTTACAAGGAACACCCAGTCGGTCTCCTACCACTTCCACTAGATCAGGTGCGACACAAGCCACACCGGTTCCTGTACCTCCTGTTGGACCAGCATTAGCGACCAGCAGTGGAGTGGTATCACCTCGTAGGTTGTCTTTCTCTCCGAGGTTTTCACCACACACTCTCTTCATCTCTCTGCTATTCACATAGAGTTTGCATTCTCCCTCGATACCAATATCTGTTCAATACGTCAAGAGAATTGTCCAAGGATTGGGAGAGCCATACATAGTCGGGATAGTCGGTGACTGACCATCAGCGGCTAGCAGCACTGCTCCGGGTCCACCCAAATCAGGACCGAAATACGATCACCCAGTGGGAACAGGTTCATGAGAGTCGTTTTCACATTATTGATCATGTGTTTGATAGTATATATCAGATGTACTTGTGCACATGCAAACGCCACCCGCGTTGCCTCTACCGTTCGCTCCATACTTGTACTGCAGTTTGCACTCAGGTAATGTTTCCTGCGACCGTCGCAGTAGTGGGTAACCTACAAGTACAGGTAAGTAGTGACATCATGCCTCTGCCGAAAGGGAGAAAGTTGGAAGATCAACCGTGGGAAGATCTCCTCGCTGGACGATTGAAGATTGAAATCTGGTAAGTTAACTTATTCGTATTCGTATGCCCATCGGACACTTTCTTTCACTTACCATTTCATATACTCTTACTTTTATAATACCATCATTCAAAATGTTATCTCTCCGATCCTCACGTCTTCTCCTTCAATCAACTCGAACACTCTCACAATCCTTACCTCGATCAAGTAGGAACTACACCATTCGTTCAGCTACACATAACCAATCGAGAGCGTGGAAAACCGCCATCTTGCTCTCTGGAGGTATTGGAGTAGCTTCGATCTTAAGTATAGAGAAGACTAAGAATGAAGAGGAGAGAAAGGTCAGAACGAGTGTTTTAGATGAAGATAGTTTGAAGAGACCTATACATAAGACAAGTGAGCTTCTTTCTCTTCTCTATCCGATCTTTCACCATATACTTTCCTTCGATAATTCTCTTTATATACTACAAGAAGGATTCCTCTCTCATTGAAGGTATCTCAAATATACGGACTGATTCAGCTACATCGAATATGTCAGATACTCGATACATACCACCTATCTCAGAATCAAAGCTTTCGATCTTGTCAAAGAGCTAGATATAGAGCCACAAACTTTATCTCACCAGATGGAGGCACCCATTCATCCGGGAAATCACATGACAAACCGTTTGTATAATAAAGAGCTGACGAAAAGGCGAAGATAAATTACCTGCGGAGGAAATGGTCGCTTCTAAAGAAACTCAAGCGTCGAGTGAAGGTGCTTTCAACGAAGAAACCGGTGAAATCAATTGGGATTGTCCTGTTAGTTTTTCTTATCACTTATAGAACCATTACCTTCTTTTTCCACCTGTTCAATCCCTCAATCTTATCCATTGAATACATGTTCAATTTCATCATTTAAACAAATCACAAGGTGCTCTTCTAAGAATACTCGATGGCGTTATATAGGAGATATTGAGGATTAAACGCTGATACATCAAGTGCCTCGGAGGTATGGCTCATGGTCCTTGTGGAGAACAATTCAGAAACGCTTTTTCATGTTTTGTATTTTCAGAAGCAGAACCTAAAGGAATGGATTGTGTGGAATTATTTAAAGCTATGCAAGATTGTTTTAGAGAACATCCTGATATTTATGGAGAAGGTGAGTTTATCTTCTTCTTACTTCCATGTCCTCCCCACACTTCAATTCTGTGTTTGATGATTCACTAATGTTCCCTTATCTGTTTGACTGATTCCTTCATGACCCTCTCATCTTTCCATCTGCCTCATTGTCTTCGTCCATACATCTTCCTGTTCCAACCATTTACAATGTCCTTCTCCATGATATCTGCGAAATCTACGATGACAATTGGACGTGTTATCTTGGCTTCTCGTTATTCCAGAGACTATTTGAATGTATATCTTTCCTCCAAGGAAATCAGAAGAAGATGGAGTGATGTTGATGTATTAGAAATCGACGATGAATCCGAAATATCGGGAACTCCAGCTCCTGAAGGGACAGAAGGAATCCCTAAACCTCCCAATACCGATCCTCCTGTCAATTCACCAGTGTTAGGTGTGACACCTGATAAAACGCCTTCAAAAGGTATCTTGACATTCTCTCCTTTTCCATCACCAGCAATGCCCCCTTTTATCAGTCTCGTCTCAATCCGCGGAAGGTTTGGCTGACGAATAGGCGAGGAAAAGCTTAAACCATCCGGCAAACAAGTCACCAGCTCTTCCACTACCAACAAAGCCAAAACGGGCTGATTATAAATACACCAATACACCTGAAGATCAATTAGATCCAATGTCCAATAACAAATGGACTACTATGCAAAGTCATAAACAAACAATTATGCATCACTCATATCATGCCTTTCATCAATGTTGCTACAATACACAATACACAAATGTTCATGATCATGCGATGCTTCGTGATCGTTCAAATCGTCCTGATCTCAATCACATACTCCAACCCCAATCGTCCACATCGTCCACGCTGACTGCACTGGCGATTTTGTATCCTGCCTTTCCCGGTTCGTACGAACATACTTTTCTCTCTGGTGATGTTGAAATACATTTACCGTTCTGTAAGCATAAACTGAGACGGTAAGCTTTGACGGCTGATCTTGTTCCTTGACAAGGTTGAATGGTTACCTTTAGCTTCAGTCAAGCGTCTGAGGAAAGAAAAGTAAGACATACGAAATGTTGCTCTAGACCAAGAAAAGAGGTGGTACCGCTCACAGCCCGGATATCCATATCTTGCTCGTGATCATACCGACTGTAATCGTTCATCGATGAAGTTTGACTGACATTGAGGAATCGATCCAAGTCGTCATCGTCGTCACCGTTGTTGGTGGGCCTGACGCAGATTTGGTCGACTTTGATTGTGGCCACATCTCTCAGTTCTGCCCAATGTGCCGCGGTAGAGGAGAGGTAAAAGAAGTATGAGGAACTCTCTGTCGAAAGAGGCGCGATGATGCAAGCCGGTGGTTCGTTAAATCTTCTATTAGGACCAGGTGGTGCGTCCACCAGCTTTAGGAATTAGCCACTTGACAAGATTTCCCATTCCCTTCGATCCCTTCATCACCAATCACATTGCGCTCCGAAATCTTCCTAGAGAGATTGAGGAGAAAGGCTTACCTGACAGATATCGATGAGATTATGCCACCAACAATCCCTTTCTCCTTTATTTCCCCAATATCCTCGAAAGTTCAACCAATGGAGTTGATGCTTGTGAATGATTTTCTCCTTGGTTTCTGGTCCACTCCACCATCTCAGAGGTACCACATGACCCTTCGTGTCCCAGATTGCACCTTCATCGTCTGTACTATCAACCAACTTGAACAAGTTTTTCAACTGATCGTCAGCACAATCATTCAGGATGAGTTGAACGTACTTCAGCGATGACATGCTCTCCAGGTCCTGGCCAGATACCATGACTACCGGCAGCTGCATATGCTACTGGTCTTCCTTCAACCTGAGTTACATCTTCCCATCGTACAGTCCTGAGTCTCAGCTTAGAAAAATACCCAAGAGCTGACAGACCCGGCTGAGAAGCGTCCTCCTCTGTGGCTATCTGTTCATTCAGCTAAATCCTTGGGTAAGGCTCAAAACTCACTATAGTCGGCTGAGACGGCTGTGCCATTGATAGTACGCACCGTGAACCTCTCTCATGTCAGCTCGTGTGCATTCAATTCTATGGAGCTGGACATACTTCCCAATCTGCCACATCTGTGAGTCAGCCGGAATTCTACGAGTGTGAAGAGTGAAACTGACGATGCCCTAAGATACCAAATGGTCCCACTGGCTTACCATAGTTGAAAGGGTAGAAGCTAACAATAAGCTCAAAAGGTCAAAGTTTGAGAAGCTCACGTCCAATACCACAGATCCTTCAAGTGTTAACCGATCACTCCCAAAGTAGTAATGTTCACACTCACCACGACCCCTCTCTTCTGATCCACCCAAAAAGCATAAACCGGCTCGGATATTCTTTCTCTTCCATCTTCATCCCTCTTTCTGAAGCTTTCCTGGCGAGATGGACCATACAGATACTCTGACCTGTCGTCTAGAAATGGCTGAGGATTATGTGGTTCACTAATGGAGAGAAAAATTCCCGAGCCGTCTCGAGGGAATCGGTCTAGATGCGTCGGTGTGAGAATAGTGTGGTTCTTTCTTCTCAGTCTTGGTTCATTTTCAAATAATAGTGACTCACAATAGCTTCTCTTCCACCTTCTCTATATTCTATCTTTTCGTGAGCGATGTCAAGAGACGAAGCAAAGACAACGCACGAAAGAGTAATGAGACAACATGTATTCGATAGAACTGGGAAAGTACTCTTCGATTCCTCTTTTCATCAGTCAGACTCTTGGTGACCCGGATTGACTCACGAGAGCTTTATGATAGGTGCATATCTCTCCAACAGCTCCGTCATGTGGTCATCTCGACCATCATATCCGTCCAGCTCTCCGGGAGGGTGAGAAGAGAAGGCAGCTTGATGAGGGCTTAGAAGAGGAGCCGCGGAGGCTCCTAGCACCAACGAGGTAGCTACGAGTAGCCTCTTGAGACGATTAGCCGGTCACTTGCTGATCACATCATGACTCACCATGTTGAGATGAAACACGACATGAGTGTACTTATGAATGGCGACCAAGAGGGGGGGAGGGAGGGACGATGCGTCATTCGTCTAGAAAGCAATGTGGCACTCGTCCCTTTGTGGCGAAAACGCCTTCAAAGCGCACGGAATCACCGAGCACGAACAACTTGCTAAGAATGGATGACGCGTGCACGTACCACGTCATAATTTTCACACTCCTTACATATATCCATAAAGGGTGCTTGGTCCCGCATGTGTCATCTACTCTTTCCCAGGCCATATACTACTCACCTATGCACTTGTTCTTCCTCCCGTCCAACAACAACAACCACTCTCTCATAACAGAGCGTTCCACAACATCAGCTCGAGACAACATGGCCAGTGTAACAAACGTGACATATGAAGTAACAAGGGGATCTAAAGTCGAAAGAGCTCTGCCTGAAACCACATTGACAGCTCATCCCTATCAACGACCCGACGGTACTGGTTTCAGCATTCATTTCAGTCTTCCTACCGGTGTGGACCCCACCGTTGAGAAGGATATGCTTGAACTGGGTGATCATCTCGGTGAGATAGCCAACAGGCAGGCGGTATCAAATGGGCATTGTGACATAGATATCTGGGCATCGCTTGTTGCTCTTTCCCGGGAACCCGCGCTTTCCGACGACGAACGCTTCCATTTCTACAGTATAGCAATGGGACAATCGCTGACTGACCCAGCAAAGGTGTTGGAAGTAGAACGTATCGAAGCCAGTCGTCCCAATACCCTAGTCTTCAGCATGTACTCTGTCGATTCCTATATCAAGTTCATTAGTGAGGTTGAAGATTCATCTTTGGAAATGGTCCAGAAACTTTCAAGAAGCGCTCTTTCAGAACATGTGAAGTCCTGGTATGAGCCAATCAGGCTTGAAAGGGGAGCAGATGACGCCCTCATCTTCTTGACCCAGTCCGCGGAACTGGAGAGTAGAAGATTGATCAGAGAGAAGGATCTCAAGCTGCAGACAAAAATTGTCTCTGTTGAAACCTTCCAATCCACTTGTAGAACTTCAAGTGTCGTCAGAATTGGCGTTCACTGGTCAGGAATGTACGGCCAGAAATGGTTCTAACGAGGTTTGAGAGATCTTTTGGGAATGAGAAACTCCGCAAATAAATTGACGTGATGTATGATGGTCACTTGCGTTTGAATCTTACTTGTACTATGAGAATGCCTGCCAAAAGTGTGACGACTGTCTCTACTTGACCAAGTCTCTTGAATCCTATGAGATCTCGCAATGTTGTCATGAACTAATGAGATATTTGCTGTTTGTCCTTCCAAATCTCTCTTACATTGGTTGTCTCAAAATCCCTGATGAGTTCGGGCCAGACAGTCCATAGTACCACCTTTGAAGATGTAGGTGGGACTGGTCCAGAAATGTTATTTCATCTCCATCCATTGTCAACCTCCAGGTATAATGGAGGGTATCTTGACTCTCTGCAAGGGGTTCTAAATTTCCCACACTGTCCTCCACTAGAAACCATCAACGGACAAAGGACTAGAACCCTCGATACTCGAAGGTGGGACGTCCGAGACTCGTCGTCGGGTCGTTGTAGCATGATCGTGCCATTCCCACCAGACCGTGTAGACAGGCAAGGTATATAAGTAACAAAATCCCAAACTCTTTCTCAAGCTGTACCCACTACCTTCCATTTCAGTTTATTATCCTTCACACATCATGAGCAGGAATGGTTCAGAGCGTCTTCCACCACTCGGTGAGGACCACGAACCTCCTGCGCCATCATTCCCCCCAGGGCTGACTACAACTGGCCGAACGATTAGGAGGCGTAGAATATTCCCCAAGTCTGATCAATCTACGTCCGCAGACCTGAACACTCTGAATACTGGAGAGAATGATGATCTGTCCTTCCTGAAGACTCAGGCTTCAATCTCCTGGTATTTCAAAAAGTCAGAAATGCAAGCCAACAGCAAAAATGCAGCACTGGGTCCTTCCACCCCTGAGGAGCCAGCTATGGCAGACAAAGCCCCAGTCCCAGTCTCTGTATCAAGTTGTTCAGAGAAGAGTCTATCAAGCAATGGGGTCATTCTGGCCTGCAGACAAGAGAGCAATGGCGCCAGCAATCTGGAGATGGTACCAAAGAGTCCGGTCACTGGAAAGCCCATGGAGAATCATAGACCGGAAAACAGTAACAAGATCATCCCTCAGGGTGATCAAGGATCAGGACTGGTTGACATGGAGCAGTTTACTTACAATGGGAGAAGATCTCAGTATAAAAATTATGGTGTGACATTGATGGCTGATTCATGGATCCACAATCAACCACAGGAGGATGGAACATACCCCAAAATTCATTTTGACTATGATCAACAGCTGACTGGACCTCGGTTGAACATGATCAGCAGGGTTGTGAAGTCTATAAGTGAAGACGTTCTAGACCATACGCTTGCTTACTCGTATGAAGAGTTGAAAACTTGTCAGGATCACGGGTACCTGGTTACGGGAGTGTAGTAGTCGTACTTCTTTTCCATTACCATGTCCTCTCCTACTACCCCTATTCCGTTTTCTCACACCACATGATACTTTTCCTCGATCCCCGTGTCTCATATTGATCTCTGTCTTACTTTGCTCTTCTACCCCATGTCCATTTCCGTCTTTACTCCGTTACATCGGTATCACCCCGTTCCCCTTTTCTATATAGATGCAGTCTATTTCCATAGTCCCCTTGTCGAATGTATTTTGTGTTCTTTAGTATTATCTTTCGCCACTCGATCTCGATAACCTTTCAGGTCTATTAGATCTTCTACATCAATAGGTTTGTCCCCTACGAGGCCTCTACAGCCATAGCACAAGTGACGCAGACTATCTACAACGTCTGGTCCTGACAAAACTCAACTCAGAGACCTCTGTGAGCATTGGATCAAGTCACAGACAGAGATTGACACAGCTGCTCTCAAAATCTCACTAAAACTGTACAGGAGCCAGCCAACACACCTATTGGACCATCAACCACCAGACAGATCAGGACCATCCACTGATATGAGAGCTGGGATTGCCAAACAAGGGCCTCTGATAGTCCTCTTCAATCGGGACAATGAAGCAAGTGAAGAATGGCTTGATCTGATGACCCAAATCGGTCAACGGTCTACATACAGCTATGGCAGTGCAGTGCATATGATAATAGGTGCGATTGATTCTGAAGAGGCTGAACAAAGACTGTTGGGCCGGATCAGGGGAGCAGTGACTGTGGCGGTCCAGCGAGGGGCCACAGAGACCAATGTTCAGGTTGCGGGTCTCCAAGAGTCAGAGGAGGATCATGCGTCCAATGAGGGCTCAAATATCACGGTCGCAATCTGCCCAGCTTGCAGATTTGAGGAAGGGATTCCTTGGAGCAGGATGAAAAATCACCCCGCCAACCACTGACTCCAGACCCACTGTGTGGTCTTGAAGTGGCAGAGAGGGTGGAGAATTGACAGGGAAAGATTTATCTTCTAAAGATTTCTTTGTCAGGCTCTCCCAGAGAGATGTTACAGGGTAACAACAATTTGAAGCAGGTTCCGTCAAACGCAACGGAACAGGCTAGAGAAGGACAGAATAGCGTAGAGAAGGATGGATACAGGACACAGTGCTGCAGTAGGTAGAGGTTGGTTTTCCCCTTTCAAGATTTTCCCCACTGGTCTGCTTAGAGCGGGTTCTCACCTGTCCGTATGTCACGCCGCGGGAACGAGGTTCGACATCAGTTCACCATCAACAATCCTAATTTTACAAACTTGACCATTCATGAGGGTGTAATGAGACTAACTTCTTTGAGGACAAAGTCAGGAGGGTAAGAAGTTGGTAAGATATAAAGTTAGAGACCGAGGTTATGATACTAGGAAGTCTGCGAGATACAAAGCTTGGGAACTCGGGTTGAACGAAGTTCTGCGGAGGCAAATTTAAAGAGGGACAAGGTACTTGTGGGCCAAAGTTCCCAGAGATCTTTGACAATTTTGGGTTGTTGGCTTAGCAGTAGAAGTTAGTAGAGTTCAAAGTTAGTCCACCCAGAAGTTACTGTCACCTATTCATATTAATAAGATTGAGTCTTCCAAAGGTTATCACCCATGAAGTTATCAGCTGTCCATCGTAGGAAGCATTCAAGGGTTTTGCCCCATGACACCTTGTACAATGAAGTTAGCCGAGGTTTGTCCACCCTCGGTCGGCCCAGACAAGAAGAGACAACAACTGTGACAATTGTGTGGTAGAGACTCAACAAAGGGAGGAGCGAAAGCGCAGAGGAGGAGGCCAAAGGGGAAAGGGGAAGGTATTGAATGCCAACCACAGTCAGGAAGCGCAGACATCTGAGAATGAGCAGGATGAAGGTCCTTCTGGTCAGGAAGGTTCTGAGGATCCTTATCAAATGATGTACATAGAATTTGAATGCAGTCCTATGGATTGAAAGATAACATTGCTATCAAGTTGTGCATGATGAATGATCCTTGTTTGAACACCCCGTGGGTTCCCGGACCCCGTGGGAACGGGTAACTTACCTGTATTTGTGGAACGTTCCTTCCCGGAAGATCCGTGGCACTGCCTCGAAAGAAGTACGTGTGGGGGGCCACGTTCGTTTCAGTGCCCGCTCTTCGACCAGAATGGAGGTGTGAGACAATCCTGTCTGGTAGAAAACCAGTATACTGTTACCTCTCCCTCTCACATTTGAATTCACCTCAGAACCGGCCTTGGCAACATGATTCAGAGTATTAATGGAGATACCCAAGACTGTCCTCCTCTCACTACTTATCGCAGTCGCCTGAAGGTAGTGAGAAAACGGGCCACACAGTCCCAAAGACGAAGACAGGGTAGCCTAAGTCTTGCGGATGGTGGGGAATTCGAGAGGATATTCCGCAAGTCCTTGAAAGAATGGGCAGTTTGCTACTCAGAGTCCATCTTTGCTACCAGTACTGGTACCTTGCAGTGTACCAACAATGCAGGTGCCACCGAGATTGTTCAGGAGGGTGAAAGCCGAACGCCAGAAGAGACGGCTGCAGTGTCCGAGGACCCTCCTCCAGCTCGAGGATCAGCCGTGAAGAAGAAGAATAAGAGGAGGAGGAAGACAACAAAGGATGTATCCAAGCCAAGTGATATTGCCAACACCACCGAAAAGGGGCAGGTGGAGTCTTTGGGTTCCAAACCTCCCGATTCCGTCCCTGTTGCAGGCCGAGAAATAGTCACCTGCCAGTCCAAACCCCAAGACAGGTCTGCCAGCCACCAGATGTTCTCCAAAACATGTGAGCACAAGGCAAACCATGTGGTTCATCACATCAAAGGCTCATGTGTGCCAACCGCAACCCCGCGTCGGACTGTACGCTTATCAGCATGGTTTAATGATGATCGGTATGATGGGGGATCATATGCAACCTTGAACACAACTTCAGAGATGGCGCAGGGCGCCGTGGCCATGGACCTGCTTGAATGTATTAGAGAGAAAGTTCTCAGTCCAACACCAGCAGATAGTGAAGAGTTTGAAACCAAGCTTATACAGACTTGCTCGAGTTATATCCAGACATGGACCGAGAAAGAGAGTACTTCCATGACAGCGAACGTCAAGATCTACACCACCAAACCTCCACCGGAATACCAGCCAACTGGAACTGTCAATTCCAGTGCTAAGGTGGGGCTGATGTTAGGAGTAGGTGTGTGTTCTGACGGCCCGATTGCCTATTTGTTCAATCCAGATGTGCACCCAGAAGCCAGCGAGATATTTGTAGCTGCGGTTCACCAAGCAAGAATAGCACCTGGCAGTAAGGCTTTCTCCCTTGTCATCTCCAACACCATTTCTTATATGGAAGGATTTGCAGCAAAGAGGGTGCTGGGGGCGGTAAGCTTTGAGATTCATCAACGAGGTTTGAGGCATCTGGGAGTGGACCTCCTGGACCCTATGCTCAGTGGTCTCATGCTGAGCAAACTTCAGTCCCAGATGCCACAAGACACAAAGCAGCTTGTTCTTACTCAGGAGGGAAGATGTTCTTTCAAGGCAGCACGTGACATACTTCAGGAAGGTCAGCTGGCTTCCTCTCCAGGCATCTTTGTAGAAATAGCATAGTTCTGATAGGAAAGTAGGGTTCGGCGGCAGCGCCAGAGTGAACATCGGAACAGATCTGGCTAGTGATGGAAAGTGCTTGCAATGAGAGCAGGAGAATGTCACAAAGGATGTGTGTCATGAATCACATCCTCACGTGTTCCTTGTTGCGCAAAACAAGTTCAACCTCCACTTTCGTGTTTTAATACTTCACCTCTGCTCTCATGCCTATCAGGCAAAAAGTCCAAGTATCATCGTAGTATGTCGGTGCGTAGCTCCCATGCCTGCAAGGCATAAGTCCTCAGTAATTCTCTTGTCTCTAGTTCCTCTGTTCTAATGCCTGCTAAGGCATAATCTCTCAGTCTCTTGTTCTCGCAGCACTTCTATGTTCTGCATAGTTCTTCACAGTTCCTCATCGACCGCCTTCGACAAAGTCAAGCGACTTCCGGCGCATCCCATAGGATGTCATAGTAGGACGTAGGTAAACGCAGATATGGCATCATAGGATATCAGTGGTTAGCGGTGGGATGCAAGGCAATGCATGCAGGACAGTGCAGGACGGTTCAGAACGCTCGTATTCCGCAGGTCTGCATGAGTCTCTTGGAAAAGGCTGATTTGTCTATATAAACCCTATCTTGTACTTTGTAGTCTTCTTTAGTTCTTGATCAAAAGTCATTTCCATTGCCACCCTTTTGGAGTCCAATCCATTCCAGTCCAGTCCAGTCCAGTCCAGTCCAGTCCAGTCCAGTCCAGTTCCCTCTAGTCTTGTCAGACAAGCCAGAGACATTCCTTGGGTCACAGTCCCATTCCTTGTTGGACTCAGTCTTGTTATCTTAAGTATATTCCTTGTCACTCCTAGTCCTTGTCCCCTTGTCCTTTGTCCTCTGTTCCAGGGTGGGCAGTATCCTTGACAATGTGACAAGTCAAGCGAAAGTTGGGGAAGGGTGTTTAACCAGCGATTGGTGGTAGAGCTAACCGTCAATGGGCAGGCCTTTTTGTTGCAGTGGTAGCCTTCTCCCAATCCAGGTTTAGACCACTGTTCTGTTGGGCACTGTTATATTGGTGTCACGTGGTGACAACTCTGGTATGCGGAGGACGCCGCTGGCGGGGTACCTGTGTCATGAATGACACTATCAAATAATGACTTGTCATAATCACAAGTTCAAACCTCCACTCTCATATCTTCCTCTGCTCTCAAGCCTATCAGGCATGTCCTGTGCTCTCATTCCTGGAAGGCATATGCCCCAAGTACATCTCTAGTTTCTCTTTCCTCTGTTTGGTTGCCTTGTAAGGCACAATCTCTCAGTCTCTTGTTCTTGCAGCTCTTCTATGTCCTGCATGGTTCCTGTTAAGCCTGGTTGTCTTAAGGGAAAGATAGCAGGTGGACATTGTCACGGCCGTCGAACAACTATTTCTTAATAGACCGACGGTCGACGAACCTCGGCTAACTTCACGCTCTGAGTCGATGTCTCACCCAACCAGGAGGGCGCAGACGTCGAAAGGGGTGTAACTACGGCGTACTTCGGCGTAGTTACTCTAACTAGGGTTTTGTTCTACTGATGGCGATGTATCTTGATTTATAGCTATCTCTATCTGTCTTTCACTACTGACAACAATCAAGGATCGCTGAAGAACTTCAGCGATCTTCTCAGCTAATATTATCTACTCCTCCTAGACGTTCATCCAACCCTCTCGCGCTTTGACGTACTTCAACGCACTTCGTCCAACTTCCCCGAGCCCTCGGCCATCCTCTTCCTCCTTCGACTAACTCCGCCTAACATCGCCGCACTTCTGCTCCCATTGTCCCTACTTAGCCTAACTCCGCCTAACATCGCCGCACTTCTGCTCCCATTGTCCCTACTTAGCCTAACCCCGTCCAACTTCGCCGTACTTCTGCTCCCATTGTTCCTACTTAGCCTAACTCCGCCTAACATCGCCGCACTTCTGCTCCCATTGTCCCTACTTAGCCTAACTCCGTCTAACTTCGCCGTACTTGGTGTCAGAAGTCCTGAGTTACGTGTAGAGTAAAGAGGTTAAGGCGTGATGGGGTTTTGATGGCCAAAGGAGGGTCATTGTTGGTGGAGTAATCGAGGTGTCACGACGTAGTTCGTGACAGTCGCCCCCTTCTTTAGCCGCGAACGTCCTCGTGAGCGATTACACCTCTGTCGTGGCAAGAGAACTTAGCAGCGTAGTACCCCCATTCTCTCCCTCCCCATGACCATCCTCCACTCTTCTGCTCTTTGCGCCGCACTTCGTAGTTGGGCCTCCTTTCACTCCAGAACCCGACAATGAGACTCCCCTAACTTCGTCGAGGTTTGCCGTAAGAAGCCCTGTGTCTTTTTTTGTAGGTGAGACACGCTTCCTGAATGGCAGCCGAACAACACCGTTGTTTGTCGAAGTAACCCTCGCTTATATTGAGATGAGACACTATAGCGTGGGAATTTTGATCGTCCCTGCGATGCCTTTTGTTGATGAAACGCGAAGTTTGCTGCATGTTGACGACAAGGGGTTAGGTTTGATTATACTAAATACTGAGCAGTTCGTCGAGCTTCTCTCTTTTTCCCATCTGCTTTCAAAACTCTCTATCTCTCTTACCTAGAAAACAGATTTGTTACCTTGAATCATCGCCTCGTGTTTTATTCTCATTTAAATATCTTAACGTCATGGCCCCTTCTACTCCTACACCCAGCCCTTTCGCCGCCATGAGGAACTTTGGTGGTATGGTGTCATCTGCTCGTGAGTTTTCATCGATACTCACCCTACCTCGCCGAACTTGGCTGATGTTCAGTTTCTTTCGGCGACAGATCTCGCCAAGTCTCCTCCCTCGGCTTCGGCACTCTCTCTCTGGGGGAGCCGTCTGGCGCTGCCCCGCCCCCTCCCTCCGCCTCTCCCTCCGCTGGTTCTCCCTCCCCCGTGTCTGGTTCTCCCGTCCCCGTAACGGGTTCTCCTGGAGGGCCTCCTCCTGCCGCCACTCCTCGCCGTAGGACGCCCGCCTTTCGTCCTGGTGAGTCTCCGTCCTCCTCCGACCAGGGCTCGCTCAGTGGGGGCTCGGAGTCGGGTGATCGACCCGACACCGAAGAAAGTGAGGATGATGATGATGGGGAGGGTAGGATCGATAGTGAGGGTGAAAGCGAGTTAGAAGAATACCCGGGTGATGATGTGGAGGTGATTAGTGTAGAGGACAACAACGTAGATAGTCCTGAGCGTGAGTTCTTCGTCCAACCCCTCACACCTTCGCCGAACTTGGCCTTGTTTATCTGTTCTTTAGCTCTCCACGACATTGCTAACTCGCAGCCCGGTCCTGCCCCTCCCCCTGCTCAAATTGTGGGCCAGAAACGACGCCGTTCCCTCTCTTCTTCTTCTTCTTCCTCTTCTTCTTCTTCCTCTTCTTCTTCCTCTTCCGGGGTTCTCCCCCCCCCCAACGCCATCGCCGCTGCCGCCGCTGCTGCCGCCGCCCGCCCTGCCGCCGCCATCGCCCGCTCTGCCGCCCCCGCCGCCGGTCCTGCTGCCGCCGCCCCCGTCGCTGCTCCCTCCCCTTCTCCCAGAGGGGAGCCTTCGCCCAAACGGGTGAAGAGATCACTGCGGGAAGAAGAGTACTTGTGGGAGAAGATGAAGTCCGAGCCTGGTCGTTGGATCGCGGTTGGTGTTGACGAAGCGTGTGATCGTTGCCGGTGAGTCCACCTATTCGTTCTACGCCGAAGTTACTCCTGCTAATTAGTAGACGTGAGATTATCACGTATAATCGTGCAAACTGGCCCTGCCTCAAGGCAGTCAGGCCACACAACAAGGCCCTCCGTTGTGCTTCATGCACGTCTGGCCCCTGCTCCTTCTGTCCCGTTTCCTCTGCCCGGGACATCCCGCCCCGTCCCTCCGACTCTTCGCCCTTCCCCCCTCCTCAGACTCCAGCGTCTGTCCCCCGTTCGCGGGTACCTCCTTCGTCTCTCCGGTCGGTTCGCCGTACTTCGCCGGACCTCCGCCCGTCGCCTCCGTCGCCGTCGCCCTTCGCTCCTGTGGCCGGCCCATCACGTCTCCCGGCTGTTCCTCCTTCGTCTTCTCGCCGTCCTTCGGCCTCTGCTCCTTCGGCCTCCCGTCCTTCGGCCTCTCGTCCTTCGGCGCCACGTCCGTCCTCTCCAGTGGTAGCTTCTCCCCCGGCTCACAGCACCCGAAGTCGGCGTCCTTCTGTTCCTCCGGCCACTTCGGCGGCCCCTCCCGTCACCCCTCCCTCTGCTTCCCAGAAGACACCGAAGTCTTCTTTAAAGAAATCAAAAGGGAAATCTAAAGAGAAGGAGGTTGCCTTCAATGATGGTGATGTGGAAGGTGAAGATACTCAGCGTGCTGGTCCCTCTGCTCCCCGGTTGTCCCTCGTCCACCCTCGTATCTCCCTGGACGTCCGTATTCCTGAGGACGAAAAGGAATTCGCCACTTATCGTTCTCTCGTCCTCGGTCTCACTACTCAGCTTGAGGCCGCCCGAAATGATACATCTCTCCTGCTTGACTTCTCTTCTCGTCAAGCTAACGCTTTAAACAATCTTACTGCGGCGTTAGTAGATGTAGTCAACACTGGGGCTCTGGACGACGAAGCAAGGACAAGGTTAGCGGACGTCTCTCGCCGAAGCCTTACTGAGATAGCCGATGTTCGCCGAAGACTGTTCGACACCCCCTTCCTAGTCACCCCTATGGCGTATGAGCCACCACCGTCCCTTGACTGGTTAGGTCGCCGTAGTAGTTCTCGTGTCCCAGCTTCCGCCCAGGCTGCTCTCGACCTCCTCAGTCTTCCCTTCGAGTGTCTACGGACCATACGTTCTCTGTGGAGGACTCCGAGCATGCAAGCTGCTCGAGATGTCCAGGACTTCGGTGACTTCTTCGGGGCTATGAATCGGGCATGGAATGCTTCTCTCTCTACTGCGTTCCCGTCTGAGACTCTCGATCTACCTTCGGTCATCGGTAGCCTCCACACCAATCCTGCGGGACCGAGTAGATCGAAGGAGAAAGGAAAAGGAAAAGGTAAGGGTAAGAGTAAGGACAAGTGAGCGGTACGTAGCTGTAATCCTATGTTGTATGCAGTACGTTCTATCTCCTAGCCCTTCGCAGTCGCCCTTCTTTCGGCTTAGTAGGGTGAAGTTCGTGGAACTTCGCCAATATGTCATCAGCTCCATCGACGTTCTCCACTGGTTCCCATGATACTGAATCGTCTGTTCCTTCGTAACCTAACCACTCCACCAAGTACTCTAATTTTCCTGACCTCTTATTTACTCTAGAGTCCACAATATCCTTTACCTCCCAAGACTCTCCCACATTGTCTACTTCTACTGGCCCAGGTGGCTCAGCTTGCTGACCAGGAAATATTGGAGGGTGATAAGGACGGAGCAAGGAGACATGGAATACATCATGGATACCTGCCATCGTTCCTGGTAATTCCAATTTACAAGCATGAGAACCTACCTGCCGTACTACCTTGTACGGCCCACTTTGCTTAACATCTAACTTCTTCATTGGTCTCTTCGTCTTAATATTCTCTAACGACAGCATCACTAGGTCTCCTTCCGCAAGGTTCGGCGTAGTCCGGTGTTTCCTATTGTATCCTTCGGCGTACTTCTCATTAGCTTTCTCAATTCCTTCGATACAATCTTTGTGTATTTCAGTCAAGTCTTTTACCACCACCGTAGCAGCGGGCACTTCGACCTCGCTAGCCTTTATCTCTTCAGCCCAACGAGGGTGATATCCATAGTTCGCATAGAATGGGGTTTTGTTTATCGCAGAGTGCTGGGTGTTGTTGTAAGCAAAGCTAGCTCGAGCGAGTAGCTTTGACCAGTCGTTCTGCTGATAGGAGGTGAAGATTCGAAGATACAGTTCCAAAGACTGGTTGGTTCGTTCGGTCTGTCCGTCAGTCTGTGGATGATATGCAGTAGAGAGATGTAGTCTTATTCCGAGACTATCGGTCAAATTCTTCCAGAACTTGGAGGTAAACTTCGACCCCCTGTCCGATACTATATTCTCTGGCAACCCATGCTGGGCCACCACATAGTCCAATATCAACTCTGATAGGCCGGCTGCGGTTAACTTCGTCGTAGTCGGGATAAAAATGGCCCATTTGGTCAACCGATCCACCACTACCAGGATGGAGTTATATCCATGGGAATTTGGCAGCTCCTCGATAAAATCCATCGAGATGCTAGACCAAGGTTTCGTAGCTACCTCCAGTGGTTTAAGCTCCCCATGGGGTTTCTGTCTGTTAGTCTTTGCCCTCTGACATACCGCGCATCCAGCGATGTAGTCCTCAACATCCTTCCTTACTCCAATCCAGACATAGTCCCTTAGAACTAGCTCAAGGGTCTTCGCTGAACCTGGGTGACCAGCTAAGGCCGAGTCATGTCGCATTTTCATGATCTTCAGCCGAGCATCGGCGTAGTTCGGCACATAAATGCGATCGTCGAATGTGAGGAAACCTCTTGAGTTCCACCCCCCACGAAGGATTAGAGGAGACCGCGAACTACGGCGTAGTTCGGTGATTGATCCTGGTTCCTGCACGTTATCGTTACACGTAGGATGAGAACACTCAGCGCAAACGACTCCTAATAATTCTTCTCTGACCCCTTCTATGTCTTCGTCCTCCTGAACTCCAAGTACTAGATCCATAGGGTCCACAAGATCATTTTCCTTTACCTCCCTTGTCCCTTGCAATGCTCGAAGGAGGTGACGCAACTCCGACGTGGTGGCGTCAACTTCGTCGAACTTCGGCAGACCTTGGATAAGGTTGCTCTCTTGTACCATGGTACTTCCTTTCCCGGAATGATAGTCCGCCCGTCTAGATAATCCATCTGGAAGACTTGCCTGGGTTCCTGGCCGATAAACCATTTTAAACCTGAAGTTAGCTAGCTCCTCTACCCACCTACCTTGCCGAGGACTGAGTTGTTTCGGCTCCATCCAGTAGGTAAGGTTTAGATGGTCGGTAAGTACTGTGGTTTCTACCTGCAATAATAAGTGTCTCCTTCTTCTGAAACCCTCCACTACAGCGAGGAACTCCTTTTCTCCTACCGTATAATTCAGCTGAGCTGTGTTGAAAGCACCAGACTCAATAGCTACCGGGTGTTCTTGACAGCGTGTTGATCTGCGAAATTA